GTTCTGATGCGTTTTTTGTCAATGTAGTAATCCATTTTGGAATGGTATTATCCGTTATCCTCTTGCCTCTTCGTAATTCCCAGTCTTCGTTTTAGGAAGAAGGAAAATTGTTCCTCCTTTTTCTGTAAATCCATAGCATTTGTGTTCTAAAAATATTCTGGGCTCAAAGCCAGACCCTAAGCATGCTTTGCTATTCTTCCTACCCCCAATAAAAAGTGTAACGAACTCAATCTTCGTGTATCGCTGCAAAAGTTGTGTTAAAACAGCTTCTACTTTTATTGAGAAACCATAATGATTTACGTGTTCCATTTTCTGGTAAAACACAACAGAGAGGAAATTAATATTTATTCAGCCTGAATAAAACTAAACTTGCAATTATCTCAAATTGAATATGCTATTTATGCTGTCATTAAGGTGACAAAATCTTCACGTTCAAGAGCTCTACTAAAATGAGTTTAGAGGCACACATAAATATCTAATAAATCGGAGAGTTTATAGATCTACTTTCTTGGAGAACGCCATCTACAAATAAAACTTTATGACATAAAAGATTTAACCCTTGCAAAAGGGAGACCTGATTCATCACTAAAACGTTTCTTTTTTTTAGTTCTCTGTCAGATTCTCCACATTGACGCCGTAATTTAGAATTTGCAAGGAAAATATTTGTCATTTTAGTTAACACACGTTGAAAAAATTAGCTCCCTCGTCAGAAGTCAATAAAAAATTAACACATTAATATCTTCTCAGTGAGTTTGGGTCGAGACGTTTTTGGAAGCAACACGATTTCATCATCATATTTCCATTAAGTTTCCCAAACGTCAATTTTATTTGTCTAATTTGACATAAGATATGCAAATATTATATCGTATCCATAAGGGTCTTTGTTGGGTTGTTAGTTCGAAATGAATAATCTTTAATCTCATCCTTGAGTGTAGTGAGATCGCAAGCAAGTTGTGGCGAGCGGTTCGAAAGTAAAAAAAGTATCTTAAAATAACTAGCAGTGGAAGATTCTCTGGGTGCGGAAAAGGCTGATATTTTTGGCGTTAAGTTTTACCGTTAATCATCAATTAAAAATTAGAAATTAAACCGCCATCTCCTTTTTGACAAAAACTCCTTGGGATGGGTGTAAAGTCTCCCCTCTTTGAGTTAGGCTTAAACTTCTCACAGCATTTGTACGCTTGCAACAAGGCATTCCAGAATTGACATTACAAATTAACTTAAATCCGTCTCGATAATTGGAACTCTGTAAGGCATATAACAAGGGGTTGAAGAAAGAGTTTGAAAACAGTAAAACCCGAGAGGTTCTGTGAAGTTCAAACAAAACATCGTAGTTCTCCTCGACAGTTTTTCTGTCGGCCGATACCAAGAAAATGAAATATACGGAGAATGGCAGCGAACACGCAGCAAAGACGATTGCCAACCAAATTACTAAACGAGCTAATTGTTTCTTCGCTTTCCTTTCTTCAACATTGCATGTCGATTCCGAGCAAATTGTTCTGGTGAAGTACAACCCACGAATGATTTCAAAATAACAGAAGATGAGTATCGAGGAACTCATGAGGCCAAACCCAGAACAGGTGAAGATGATGAAGGGTTTGTGAAGGAAATACTCATCCAAACTCCAGGGGCGCTTGCAAGGATATTTGGTTGAAGAGATGTTGTATGTATTGGCTTGAATATCTGGTATGCACGATAGTAGAGCTAACAGCCACAGAACTGCCATAACATATTTCACAGATTCTTTAGTCAGCTTTGCAGTGCGAAACGGTTTCACAAGCGCCATATATCTCTCCACGGCGATGGTAGAGACTGTAAGCACGCCTGCGTTCATGGTTATAGGAACAATAGCATTTCCCACAAACAACTTGCAGATCAAGTCTCCGGTGATACCCTGTAGATGAACTTTCGTTATGGCAAAATCGTACAAACCTGGACAGAGTAGCAATGTGATCAGGTCGGCCACAGCCAAATTCATCAGCAGATAGTTTGTAGTTGTGTGCATTGAAGAGTTTTTCCACACAATTGTTATAATGATGGAGTTTCCCACAATACCTGGAAGAACGATCAGCGAGTAAATCACCGCAAAAACGATGTCCGCTGTGGTTAAGGGACCATCAGCTTCAGAGCTAGACAAGCTTGCGTTGATCATTTATCCACGTGGTTGGATCTCTTAATTAGAAAACCACGAAAGCTGTTTTCGAACTCACAATTCTAAGCTTTTTGGAAAAGCGTCTTCCCTCTCCTGTTTTCAGCTGAAAAAATGATGAAGGAGACCTTATCATTTTACTGAATATTCGGTACTTTAGTGAAAACACTGCTGTTGGCTTGTCAGGCCAAAAGTCGACAGCCTTCAAGTTGTTGTTTACATATACGAGTTGAATGCAGGTTAAAATGTAAATTTCTCGCCGAAAACGAAATGCTAAGTGTTACGTTGCAGCCGGATATATTTAAACTAATGATTGATCATCAGTTCGGAATAACCTCACTAAGAAGTTTCCTCATTTTATCTTCGGTCTTTAATTGTTTGAAGTCATGAATAACAAATATTGAGTTTCGTGCCGATATTGGAGCATATGGGCGATTTGTTTCATGAATTAATGCATACAGACACATTTGAAGAATTCAGTTGCCTCACGTCCAAAATTTTTTGCCAAGAGGCACCATAAATACGATCAGAATATCTACAAAAAAAGTTTTCTTTATCATTGAAATGAACAGTTAAGCCTTATCACGCGTTCGAGTACGGCGTAGTAACAAAGCTTCTATTATAGAACAAAAGCGAGGTATACAGCTCCCTTGTACTCGTTATATTTTAAGCAACGGTGTAAATTGTCTTTTGAAAGGCATAAAACAATAATGGTCGATTGCACTGAGTTTCTTCAGCTGTATACCCAAAGAGCTCTCGTGACGCCTGATGAGTATTTGTCCTTAAAATTTTATTAACGAAAAAAATTAAACTGGATCTTTATCCGTAAACAAAACACGAGCATGTACTGGAGAAGACTTAAAAAAGGAAAGCCAAACTAAAGGAAAATTAAACGAAGAGAAAGTGGAATACCTAGCGTACTGGTTGCAATAGGCAAAAAAAAGATAAATAAATAAATAACCGGAATATGCTAATTAAATTCGGAAAGCGGGTTCCAAGAGACAGGTCTTGTATATACAGATGAGATTTTAAAAGCAGTCTGAAGGAAGTGTCATGGTTAAAGACAGTGAAACCCATAAAATCTGCAGGTGGCTTGGTATTACTAGTTTGTGTCTGATTTGAATACAAATATCAAGAGACGTGGAGGAATACCGATGTCGGAAAAACATTACGCTTGGCACCATTTCGATAGCAACGGAAAACGATAATAAAAAATATACCATTTATTCATAAATACATATTCATCGTTTTTAAACAAATTCAATTTAGTTTAGCCTTCCATCGCCAGATTTTGTACAAAAGACGTTTATCATACCTTTCTGACTTGGCGGCATATATATCTTATGAGACAATTTGGCGTGTAGAATCACAGGGTGTTCTTACGAGTTGTGTTTATTTCGATAGAAACTTATCGAAGCAACCAACCAGCATGACGAAAAATATCACAAGGAGCTAATGGGAACTCCAATAAGAAAACACGAGTAGCAAAGTCATCATTGGTTTTAGTTCTGAATCTGATTTGTAAATAAGGGCAAGGGAACTACCACCGGAGTCAATGAAAACTTAGTTAAGCGAGGAAACTACTCATGGCGCGGGAAAACACGAGTTGTCAAGTGGTGATTGATTTTCAGTTTTGTATCTGATTGGTTGAAAAGGTGAGATTTTTCAGGACCAATCATTAAGCGTGGTAAAGCAAAACCAAACTGTTCCCAGATTACTTTCGACTCTCAATTGAAAATTGTACCAAACAAAGTGTCAACGAGAGAATTGTGTCATTTCCCACGACTTACCAAAAGAGAAATTTATGGTCATCGGTTAGGAGAAACAGTTTGTAGATCTTACAGGTGAAAAGGCTTTGAGGAACCTTTAACACCTGCTCTCTGAAGAGCAAATATTTCGTTATTGGACGTTATTTTTTTAATTATCATGTCAGGGGACCTGAACTCATCTGTTAAAAGCGCACTTTACCGGCCATTAACACTTAAAACTATTTGTTCTAGGCTAGATTAAACTTTTGAAATTGAAAGTGGGAGTTTCTGAAATTAGCTTCTTTTTCAATTCACCTGTCAGCTACTTTACTTGAATTTATACCACACGTTTGCATTTCACTTTAAATATGGCATGTTCAGCCAAGTTCTGATGAAGTATTTTAAATTAATAACTCATGGTAACTTTCCAATCCTGAAAATACAAATAGGGACAAAATTTATAGACAATCGAATGAAAAACACCTGACGTAATTCAATACAAACGTCATTTGACTTCAAATTTCCGAAATGATACCCACCTTTAGTTGTTTTCGTTGTCAGTTATATTTTTCAAGACATCGTATGTTATCGCATCATACTCTATGAGTGGTTGCTTCAGGTTTTGAGTTTTTCCTTTCAGAGCCCTTCAACACAGCCATTCCGTTGATTTCCGGCAATTATTTAAACCTTTTTTACGATTTTACAATGATATAGAGACAGAGCATTTTACTTCTTCAAAGCATTAATTTACAACTTTGAATGGTGTCTTGATGAAATATTTATTACGTTATTTTCACTCCGGAAACCCTATTTCATCACCTGCGTCGCAGCAAAGGGAAGACAAACCTCATTGGTCTCAAGTTTAATGAAGCGGTAATTTGCATGTTCCACAGTTTATTTGGCCGACTCAAAGAGCATCGCATGCGGTGGTATTATATTTGCCTATCTTTTTCTCTCTCGCATTCATCATGTGAAAGCCATCGTTGCGGATCTAAGTAAGCCGATAGCGATCTTGCTACAATTCGATGGATTAGGTAAAATCTAGTTCTTAGTATTGGAGTCTCATTTATTGTTAGAAAGACTGAGACAGCTGCGTTCGATCAGAAATGCTTGGAAGTAATAACACGAGTACGGCGCTGAGAAATTCTGCCGAAGCAACGATTTCAACTCAAGATGTAGTTTTCGCCTCCTTGTACTCATTGATAGTTCTCTTTGGAGTGATAGGAAACTCAATCGTGATCACTATAATACGCAAAACAAAATTAGGTCACACAACAACAAACTATCTGCTAATGAACTTAGCTTTGGCAGACTTGTTAACGTTGTTGTTTTGCCCCGGATTGTACGACTATGCGCTTCAGAACGTTCATTTACATGGATTCTCGGGAGATTTGATCTGCAAGCTGTTTGCGGGAAATGCTATCGTTCCAATCACCATCAACGCAGCCGTTCTTACGGTCTGCACGATTGCTGTGGAAAGGTATCTGGCGCTTCTCAAACCTTTTCACTCTAATTTGAGAATCAACGAGGATCGGGTTAAATATTTCATATCTGGACTGTGGTTGCTAAGCTTGTTGTCGTGCATTCCAGATATTCAAGCCAATACGTACAACTCCACTTCGTCTTATTCAAAATATCCCTGCAAACGCCCTTGGAGTTTAGATGAATACGCTTTTCACAGACCCTTTATCATCTTTACGTGTGTTGGATATGGTGCAGTGAGTTTTATCATCCTACTATTCTGCTACTTTGAAATCATCCGTGGCTTATACTTCACGAAAACAATTTGCTCCGAGTCGTCTGCAACGGGAAGCCGTGAAAAACTAGAAAAGAAACGACTGGCTAAACTTCTCATTTGGCTCACCATCATTTTCGCCCTCTGTTCGTTGCCATTTGCGGTATTTTTCATAATTTTAATCTCCTCTAAACAAGCATTCGTCCAGGATAATTACAATACACTCCATCTACTTCACAGACTATGTCGCCTCTGTCTTTTTTCGAACTCCTTTTTTAATCCATTACTTTATGCTTTGCAAAGCACCAACTTTAGGGACGGTTTCAAGAAAATCTTCGAGAGCTGCATGCTCTTTAGAGCCTTTAAAGACTTCAGAAGAACATCTCATCAGTCATATTGTGTGGAACTAGATGGACCTGCTAAACTGTAAGGTTAGAGGAACAGTTTTGTTCCACTGACTAGGTAAAACTGTCGCCGCATTCGAAGCAATCACCATATTCATCTAACCCATTTAGAGGGACTACAATTACAACACAATACAATATTTTATTTATACACGTAACACCAAGGAGCTCCTGAGTGCTCGTTAAACCGTGTACGTGAGTATTAATGTAAAACAATAAAATTGTACAAAATGTAAAAGGATAAAATTAATCAATTAATTAATAAATACTACCTAAATACTAACTAGTAATAATCTATGAACAAAATTTAACAACTTTAAAAATTTAAAAAGCTCCTCAAGTCATATGAACATTAAGAGCCCGCTTAAAAGATACAGTGTCTTCGGACTCTCTAACCGTTGGAGGCGACGCATTCCATAGTTTACTGACTAAAAAGGTAAAGGATCTATGCATGTACTCCAAGTTAAATGTGGGAAGTTCCAACCTGGTGCTGAGCCCACGTAAGTTATATTTAACATTCTTAAGGTTGAAAAACTTACTAATATAGGGTGCTCTGTGGCTATACAAACACTTGTATAACATAACTAGCGACTGGAATTGCCTGCGTTGTTCCAAAGACTTGATATTAACTTTTTTTAGGAGGTAGTCGTATGAAACAGACTTCAGAAAGCCTAAGATACTTCTTAATAAATAGTAATTAGTGTTCTCCATTTTGGTAGTCTCAGCATTACCTATACCCAGCAAAAGAGGGCTGCAATACTCAAGATGTGGGAGAACATATGCCTTTTAGAGACGTATCATTACATACTTCGGAATAAACTTGCGTAGTCCCCGCAAGGCTGAAGCTTTCGCACATGCTTTTTTCAGCTGTTCCTTTATGTACGCCTTAAAGGTTAGTTTACTGTCTAAGACTACCCCTAAGATCTCAAGTGCGTCTTGCTTCTCAACCTTCACATTATTGAGATGAAATTTATATTCATATAATGACGGCCCGATGGCAACAGTTTGCGTTTTAGCGGCATCAATCTTTAAGTAATTTAATCCGAACCATCTTAATAGCACGCTGAGGTCAGAGTTAATAACACACTGCAGAACTGTCGGTGAGACATCCGAGGCATATTCCGTCGTGTCATCAGCATACAGCCTTAAGGACGCATTAGAAACGAAGTAATTAAGATCATTAATGTACATATTAAATAAGAGTGGACCTAACAAGGATCCCTGTGGTACTCCGGTTGTTACAGTTCTCCGCGGAGAATATACTCCCTCAAGTTTAACACTTTGTCTTCTACCTAAAAGATAGGCTGTCATAAGTTCCAAGGCATCATCTGTAAAACCATACGCTTTCAGTTTGGCCAGCAGAAGGCCAAACGCCCCCTATAGCATGCTCTACTGTAAATAAGAACTGATCCCGGCCGCTCCTCCATTTATTAACGATTATTTTATTTGCATGTCCGCGAGTATAATAACAAGGAAATACTCTCTTTACAATGCTTAAATGTAAAGCTCCTGCCTTTAGTCTTATTTCCATAAGAGACAGTTGTTGGGTCTTGCATTATGAAATTATCTGATGAAATATCAAATCTTGTAATGCACGAGCTTTGAATGGTGTCAACCCTTTAAGTCCCACCAGTGACTGAGACAGAATTTCTTCTTACACAATCAGTACAATATCAAGCAGAAAAGTAGTGAGAATAAAGAAAAATATCAATTAGGGGATTAGTGGTTGATCCAATTCCAATCTCTCCAAACTAACATCATATGAATTGTATGACAGACAGTAAGGAGAATTACTAATGAGATCTTGAGAGTTAAAGTGTTAACCAGCAGAACTTTAATTTAATTCTATTTGATATTTTTATGGTCTTACTAATCATCGTAATTATATTCACAACTAGCTCAGCTTATTTACCACCTCATTTAATATATTTTCCAATTACCTAAATACGTCAGCAAAAATAAACCCTTGCTTTTGTCTGTCTCGACAATCTGTGTTTGTATAATTTAAAAGAAAAGCGCAGAAAAATCTACTTTTAATGATTTAAGATCGAAAATAACTTCAAATCACTTGCTCGTTATGACTGAAATACCATAAAAACTCTTCATGCCTTTTTATATTGTCCTGGCAAGACATTCTGAAACATTCACCTCAGTGGTCTAACTGACAACGCCATACTTCTCGCATTTACTCATCTCTGCTGGAAATCCAGAGATAATAAGCCTTTCTGTTGAGACAGCCGATGAAAGCAGTTGTTAAAATGCAAATATTTCTTTTTTACACGAAGAATAGATTAACCTCATCCATGTAGATTTGGGAACATGCCTGTTGTTTCTCCAGCTTTGTATTGCATATTGAACTAAAAGTGATGAAGGGAAAATGAGAAGAGGCATCATTTTATAAAAAAAATTAGGCTTGAGGTGAAGGTGGATTAAGTCAACTTACGAGGTAGATGTGGCCGTCCTGCAGAAGCGAATTCTATTAAGTGAGAAGTGTTTTAAAAGGTAAGTTTCCGTGAACGAGATGGCAGCCCATTTAACTGGGTTACCCACGTGTAATTCTTCAGGGTTTCCCGAATACTCTGTCTGTGTAGAGAGAGGCACTGTGAGAGGAAAAGGCATTGTCCATAAAGACAACATAACCTAGCCTCTATGACTCTTAACTAATGCATAAAGTGGATGTCAACATTATTACCCAGAAAGAGAATGATCGGCATTTTTTTTTCTGTGATGGACTAACAGAAATAACTGAAAGAGAAACTACTTCGCATGAAAACTATAGAAAATGATTCTCGTTAGCTTTGGTTATTACATGAATCCAACCCAACTTAGTGTCATACAACAAAGCTTAATGAGTTGGCGCAAACAAGAGAACATGAGTTGATCATCCGGCGACATGATAATAATGCGGTGGCGACATCAAAACATAATGTAACGCTCTTTCGTAGATATTTCTCCCTTGAATCGCAATTAAACGGATCATCATTGATATTCTGTAACGAAATGAAACCATTCCATCCATAGATAGTAGAAAAAGTAGCGGAAAAGGCTATTCCTCCGATAGAACAACCAAGACATATCGAACGCGCCGTGGGGCGTAAGGAAGCGCCCTTGAAGAATTGAAATGGACTGGGCTGTAGAGCAACCCAAAAACCGTTTGAGACCCCAAAAGCCAAGAAGACCGACACTCTGCACGTACTGATGGTGATGAACATTTTACTGGGTGTCTGACGCAGTCGAGCAGTGAAAAACAGGGGTTGTGCAAAACTAAAGTCCTAAGATGGGGAAGTTTTATTTGCGAGGCAAAGAAAAAAAAAAATCCATCAAGTAAAAGACAGGTGAAATTTTTCTTCTTGCAATGAAATTTCCAGAAAATGGGAAAAAATTCGTTTGGGTCTATCACATCACAAAAATCCGAGTTTGTATAATCATCACAAAGAAGTGTTCGCAAATGAGCTCTTTTAAGGGTAGAATGACAGGAGTAATATCATTAAACTTTTATACCTAATGTTGTGAATAATTTTACGATGCAATTAATTAAAAAGGGAAATATCACGTAGTAACGTTTTCGTCAAAATTAAAGTTTGTAGACATTTCATGCCGTTTGTTTATTTTGAAATGGCTTTTCTCTTAATGTCTTTATTGTGTTTACCCTTGTGTGTTGCGGACCTCGAAAAAAAATTAATAAGACCACATTGTATTTCAAACTGATTCAAATAATTCGGTATTTTGTAGCCAGAGTTGCTTCCACTAACAACGTGTGGAAAAGAAAGATTGCGTCGTTCACCTTCGCTGACATTTAGATGCTAATTGTAAGCTCTTACAGAGAAGGGTTCGATGGATAAGGCTGGTGATTTTGAAGAAAAGAAAGCAAGGAGAAAAAAAAAATATCTTAAGGTTTTCCGGGGATTAACATTCACAGAAGCTTAATTACTGCCTATAGTAGAACCTTGCGCAGCGCATGGATTCTATTATCATTGGAACATTTGAATCCAATATTGCAAACGAATCAGCTTCTTCTCGGGTTTGAATCTAACTGGCGTGGCCTTTATGAATCTCCATATCTGCTTGAAAAAATGAATAAACCACTGCCATTGACGCGCTTGACTCTCAGGCTGGTATATTCAAATTTATATTAAATTTCGGATGAAACGTGCGTTGTCACTTATTGAAAGAGCGTGCTCTATGACAGTAAAGAGCACAGAGCTGAGCTAAAGCTGCCACGCCGTCTGCCAAATTGTACTATGTCCAATCTTTTCAGGGTCTTTTCTCTAGTTTTTTTCTTTAATTGAAAGTGAAATTTCGGAACAGGCTAGTCGGCACAATCAGACAAAGGTTTGTAAACATGCCAGGCGCCGTAACTGACGTCATAGTAAGCCTAAACACCCGCTTGTTTTCGTATTTATTACAAACGGTTGCTATCAAGGAGCGGTATGCTTACTTAAAAACCTGCAGGCAATATTGAACTTAAACTATGAGTTCTAAACGCTTTAGATCAGTGGAAGCCGTAGGCTAACGTTTAAGATAATTTTAACGAGAAAACTCTCTGATGTCAATGAATTTAACCTGGGATACTCTCTAATTTTAGACACGGAACTGATCGACAAATTGAATGCTAATATATTAGGAAATTCGATTCACCTGTAGAATCATGGGAACAAAGTATTTACACAGCTGGACTTTCGAAATCTTGTGTGAATAAAAGATAAGCTTAAACAATTGAAAGCCTCTCTTGTGAATCTTAAGGGGAGAATACTTGTCAAGCTGTTGGGAATATTAAGTAACACTCGGGGTTGTTCCTTTCTGAAGAGCGATGAGTTCCGCAAGTAATGAAACTAATTTTACCATCGACGGAGAAAATATACAAGGAGTTACACCTGAAAACATTGTTTTCGCAACGATTTACTCAATCATTGTGTTTTTTGGTGTGATTGGCAACAGTATTGTGATCGCCATCGTGTGCAAAACGCCATCAATGCATACAACAACGAACTATTTGCTGGTAAACTTAGCCCTATCCGATTTACTATCGTTGTTATTCTGTCCGGGATTTTACGATTTTTCTTTACATAACATAAGACTGAGTCAAACTACCGGAGATTTTATTTGCAAGGTATTTGCGGGAAACGCAGTTCTCTCTGTTACTGTTCTTGAGTCCATTTTCACCTTGACGGTCATAGCTGTGGAAAGGTACTTTTCACTTGTGAAACCATTTAACACAAATGCAAGACTTGGTAAAGGAAACATCCGTTATGCAATCGTCGTAACGTGGGTATCAGCCTTGCTTCTATGTATACCAGGATTTTTATCGAACGACTACGATCCAGAGGCGAGAGCATATCCTTGTAATCGACCATGGACCCTCGATCGACTCACGCCGTTTAAAAGAACTTATATCATTGTATTTTGCAACCTGTGTATTGTGATGCCTACAGTTGTGATTTTGTTTTGTTACTGCTCTATTTTCTATGGAATACATTTTAAAAAGAACATCTGTTGTGAAAACACCGCTGAAAGTGGGAAGGCGGAAAAATCCAAGAAACGCCTTTTAAAGTTACTTATGTCTCTCGCCGTGGCTTTTGCTGTTTGTTGTATTCCATATGCAGTGTTCTTTATTTACGTCTCCATTATCACAAAGAGTAAACTGCATCAAAACTACGGGTCTCTTCACCTTACACACCGAATGGTTCGATTTTTTCTCATTCTTAATTCATTTATTAATCCCCTTCTTTATGCAGCGCAAAGTTCTAACTACAGGCAAGGACTGAGGAGAATCAGCCGACGATTTTTACAAACACGTTCAAACAGAGTAGCAGAAAATAATCAAGAACATTTAGAACTGGGTATTTAGGGGGGATTCTGTTAATTTCTCTTGCACTTGTAGAGGTGACTTCCATGTATTCTTTTGTTTTGAACATACATGCAGTTTTACGTCTGTTAATAACCGAGTTTTTATTTTATGTCAAAGCTATGCTACTTTGATCACCGAGCAAAAACCATTGCAGAGCCGATATGGTTGCTCGATATTACTCTCACGTAACCAATTTAATAAATTTATTGGTTAACGCTGATGAAGTCGATGAAATATATTGCGTGTGGAGATCAAAGAAAAAAATTATTTCCCTCTCCAGGAAGTCGTTCAAAAATACTCAAATAAAAAAGTTTAATTTTCCGCCATCTCAATGTCATTGTTATGGCAAGTAAATTAATGTGGCATAGCTAAAATGACGCTTTATTTGGCTTATGGAAACAAGGTAGTGAAATGCATGGAATATTCATATTTATTAATTAATTATTCATTTGAAGGTACGTGTAAGTGACGCTGTGAATCGGCAGGAGACTATTCCCAAGTACGCACTGAGGCCAAGTTCGGAGCCGGAGATTTTCATGTATGAAATAGATAAATGACAGAATACATGACGCCTTTCGCTCGGCGATGTCGGCGCACAGTCTGTCTAAGTCGAAGTACTTAAAGTTGTTTCTCGCGCGAAAATACACTGTTTATCTGTTTTCTTTTCGAGTAGACCTGAATGGACAACACTCCAGAAATCATGAATTTTCTGATGACATATGTTGGAGCACTTTCTGCTTTACTTACTAATGTACCGGCATACTCGGCGCCTGTAATTCCATTAAAAGCAGTCTTAGTTTCAAATAATTCCTCAACGACTTTTGTGCGAAGATTGAACCTACTATTTATATCACGCAGCCGAGATCACCTGTCCCATTAAGATATTCGTGGCGCCTCTGAGTCCTTTTATAACAGCGTCTCTTTTTTTATTGGAAAAAAAATTCAGAACATGTTTGACGATCATAAATCGAATGTTGCCTATGAATTTGCTTAAAGCGTACTTCGTGGACCGCACCAAAGAATTCATTTACATGAGCAGGGTTGAAAAATTTATCAGAAAAGTGATAAGAAGTTTGGGAAACGGTAAATCTAAAGCATTCATGCGATACTTTCGACATCATTTCAAAATTGCGTCAATGAATATGAGATTGCGACAAAACGGTCTATTCTCTTGAAAGCATGCTGCACAATTGTTTGTTTAAAAGAGAAAATCAAAAAAAAAAAAGCAAAAAAAAAAGCAAAAGTAGAAGACTACTCACAGCTTAGTTCATGACAGAAAAGTGACAAATCACCTTCTAATGCTTCGCACCAAGGAATCACTTTGTTCTTCAAGTCAAGTTTCCATTGTTTGATTTCGAAACTATTGAAAATTGTTTTGGTTTCTCCTTTGCTGTGCCTTACCATTGGCTTTTGAACCCACCTATATACTTCATTTATATGTAAGATTCCACGAAAAACCAAATTTGAATTAAAACACATACAGATACAACAAACATGAGAAGGACAAAGAAAAGAATAATAATAATAGTATTAAAAAGTAGAAATAAAGGAAAAAGGAATAGGAACCTTACGATATATTTCAGAAGTTTTAAGGATCGCAACTATGAAGCTGTTTTTATTTTTCAGCCTCATTACTCAAGGCGGTAAGAGTCAATTTGCATTTAAAAAACCAAATGAAAAACCAAACCCAAGGGCAAGTTCCTAATTTCCCAAGTTCAAAGCTGGTTTCGTGCATTTAATTTGAATTCTCATCAGTCACCTCTGATATTACCCTTATCTTAATGGGCCGATGTAATGACATGTTTTCAGTGGTTTCACGATACCTCTTCTACATGTCTACTAATTCACAGAGGTTAGAAACATTCACAGATCAAGTATTAGGTTGATTGGCTTCGTAACTACTTACTGTGGATCGATACCTCACCTAAAGAGAGGCTCAAACTAAGCGGGAGTCCCTCGAAGAAACAAAACACCATTACCCCTTTGCTCGCACATTGGCTAAAAGGTAGCGGAATGACTACCACACAGAAAAGCGGTCATTAGGGAACGGTGCCCTTGAGAAAATTTCGTTCGAAAGCTTATGGATAGCAAAATCAACTTGCGAATTTAGTAATCTCAGTGATCACCGGTTAACTTTAGTGATATAAGATGAGATAAATTCAAGTCAGTAGTAGGAGGGATGATTACATGCTACACTTAGCAAAGATTAGCATTCTTTGACCTGTCGACGAAAGCCAAAGAATTCTTTATTATACATTACTTGTTATCATTAAGAAATACATTGAAAAATTCCGATAATTTTTGACGGTATGGAATCTCTTTCAATGGAGGGTTGTGCGTCTCCATAAATCCGGCGGTATTGCCGGATGGCTAACTCTTTAGGAATCTTACAGCTGACAGCTTAATTCAACGAAACATTATTTGCATAGACGATTTTCTATCTTGGGTTCGACTGTAATCTCTCTGAACGTTTCTGTCCATAATCTTCAAGGGTTTGAGAACACAGCGTTCTATTTCTTGACAACTTAGAAAATTAATAATATTTAATCGCATTGTTCGCAGTTGTCCGTGGTATATTCAGTTTGCTAAAAAAACAAAAGGTACATACTTGTGGATTTCGTCTCGGGAAATATTTTGCTACTGAGTTTAATACATATGATCTTCTTCACGCTCCTCAACTGATGCCTCCGACCGACTGTTAATCTTAGCAGTCGTAAGGACGCTTTTCACATGTAAACTTAGTCTGTAGCTTAGCTCACCCTAAACAGGTGTTTTGTAGTTTCGTGTTCCACAAATTTTAACTAAGTTATCGAGACTGTTAAGCAAATAGGCTTCGATTCCACTTTCGATTCGTTTCTCTTTCTTTGTGTTTCTTTCCATTCATCAAGTAGGAATGAAATGTTTTTTTCACGAACCACGATCTTGACAAATATGTGAAAATGATCTTTCTTTATTGTGACAATCGTTTTAGACGGCTGTTTCATAATATATTCTATGTTTCTCCGCTCTGGCTCTGACTGCGGCTTCGTTTTCTGTGTTAGGTGCGTTGTTTTTAAGGCCAAGTTTCTGAAACAGAACTTTTCTGTAGTTTTTGCTTTGAGCAGCGTAAAGAAGAGGGTTTATGAATGAGTTAGAAAATATCAAAAAGCGAACGATTCTGTGTGCCAGAAACAACGGTTTAAAACTTTGCTCTAAATGACTAGGGGCGAGTGCGGTGACATATAAAAAGAAGACAGCAAATGGAAGGCAGAGTAAGCAAAATGCCAAAGCTAACGAGATGAGAAGCTTTAAGAGCCTTTTCATGTTCCGTTTGCTAGCGGGATCTTCATCCGGTTCACCTGCGCTTGACTTAAGTGCTGCGGAACTTGAAATATAGCAAAAGCAAAGAAAAATTGAAGGTAGCACAATTAGAGCGACAGAATGGCCAAGGATGTAAGCTTTGACGTTCCAAGTCTGGTTCTTAACTGTCCATGGACGCGTGCAGGGATACCGCCATGGCGACAGTATGTCATCGTTATTGTGCTTCGTCCATAGCGTATCTGGAAAGCTTGAAAAAGCAGCTGCGACCCAAATAACAAGAATAATAAAGTTTACATTCTTTTTCGTCAGAGCCCAACGTTTGTTGAAAGGTTTGACAATACCAAGGTAGCGCTCCATTGCAATGGCACACAGAGTTAACACAGAGGCATCGAAAGAGACACAAACGATTGCATTTCCTGCAATAAACTTGCAAAAGATGTCATCCAGTGTCCCGGAACCCAATTGAAACTTGTGTAGTGCAAAGTCGTAGAAACCCGGACAAAATAACAACGTTAGAAAATCAGCTATAGCCAAGTTCAACAACAGATAGTTTGTTGTTGTGTGCATGGTTCGTGTTTTCCGCACAATGGTGATGATTATGCCATTTGCCGTGACGCCGAAGAACACGATGGAAGCGTACAACGTGGCAAAAACGACATCGTGAGTGGTGATAAGTGGAGAAGCGGTAATGTTGCTTCCGTTCATCCTGAAAATAAACTTGCGTTAGCTTCCTCTTATTAATCGTGACTCTTAACCAAATATTAAAAATTTCGTTCAGCATGTGTGTGTTTGAAATGTCTTTACTATACCTTGCGTTTAGTTCACAGCAAAACCGATCGTAGGCGGATCGAGTCTTAAACAATTCTTGCGGCAGCGTTTAAAACGAACCGTGGTAAGCATGAGGTTGTAACAAAACAAGTGAGTCGGACAGTCCCTCGAACTTTTGAGTTAAAAAAATACAGAATGGCACGGAAATTACACTTTTAAATTGGTCTGGATTTCATTTATTTGATTTACATTTTCAACATCCTATTGTCCTTAATTTCCCGCCGAAAATTGTGCAATAAATTTTGACGTATAAGGGTGTCAATGGGCCAGGGTAATGGCTTTGATGGGTAGCGGTTAAAAATTTGGCTAGTTCCTCGGCTTACGGTTAATAGCTTTCTATTGTTATAAAAGGAAAATTTTTAGGGGTAAAACGGCTAACAGTTGACCCCATTGAGACCCTTATGTTTATGAAAAGATGCGCATAAATCATCTTAGCGCCGATCTCTTTTTTCCCGGTGACTTGTGATTAAAGTTGTAAGGAGTCACCTCAATAATTGACCAGTTCTTCATGTTCTTAGAGTGAATTTTAGTAAATATGCCACTGGCTACTGAACAAGCGAGTTATTTTTCGGCACAGACGTAAGTCGCTAGCCATGTTAGTTGAATAGCATTAATATCGCTCAGATGATGCATATCGGCTTATACTGATCATGAGAATTAGGAAAATTCGATATATTTTTACCTCATCATGTTTCTCATACTGAAGACTTAGCGACTGATTCTTGAGTCATTTTTTGTATTTTGAAAACTTTGGGATGTTCTGGTAGACTTTAATTCACTTTAACTCCCCCCTCTTCACAGAGTCACGTTATTCAGATCTCACCTGTCAAATGTCAGGTCTAACGTGAATTGATAATTTCCTTCCCGCTTAGTTCAAAACTTTATATGTAATCAGAGAGTGATTTATTTGTTTCCTTTCTAAAAGCTTTTATTATTTCATTTCTTTATTGCGTGGCCATCTGCGCACTGATCCTTGTGGAAACTGGGAATAATAAATCCTTTAAAAACATCGACGTAGGCATATGCTTCTGATTGGGTCATAATTTATTGTCTTCCGTGATGCGATCTTCGAAGAGGAAACTGCAAAAGCTTTTTGTTTGTTTAGACCGAATGTACGGAGTTTTGGCACCAATTCGCCAAACTGTAACAAACTGTAACATTTTCCCTGCTAATCGGATGACACGAAGATGATGTATTTACACTCATCTGTCACCAGTAGGATAACAGCCATTCTTATTGTTTGCTTTGCCTTGTTACAACAGCAAACTGATGATGGTGTGAATATTGAATTGAATCTTTTTATATTTAACTGTCAAACATTATTCGTAACTAACAACTAATGAGTAAGAGATAAGGTCCTATTCAAGTATCACACTTTGAAAATTCGTTTTTGTAAACCGGCGTATTATCTATCGTTTAGAGGGGAATAATCTGGTAACATATTTTGACTCATTTACCTAGGTGTTTAGCCATGATAATTGTCAAAAATTCAAGTTAATAAATAAAATGGTGGTGAGCAAATGAAAATGGCGACTGTCACCAAGATGAGAAGGAGAGCTACTTGTTTCTTTGTCTTTCTCTCTGTTTCTGTGTCAGACAATTCAGAGCAAATTGCGTTCGTAAAGCACAATCCATGAATGATCTCAGAATAACAGATAAAAAGTATCATAGAACTTTCAAGGCGGAAAAAATAACAGCGCTAGCGAACATAATGATGGCTCGTGGAGGAAATACTCATCTAAACTCCATGAGCGTTTGCACGGATAAGTGTATGGAAGACGAGATGTCGTGCTTATCGGCTTGAATTCTGAGATTCAAGAAAGCAAAGCGAGTAACCACAACACAAAAAAACATATTTTACTTAGTCTTCATTTATCCTCAAGCTGATACTAAAGAGTTTGAGAAGAGCCAAACACCGTTCCACAGCAATCGTACAGACAATAAGAACGGCGACGTAGATGGTGACCGGAACAACATCCTTTCCCTACACAAAAAAGGTTGCAGATAAAATCCCCCGTGAATCCCTTTTTTTAGGCTGACGTTGGTAAAGCAGAGTCGTACACCCAAGGACAGAGAATGAAAGTCAAGATATCAGCCTCGGCTAAATTTAAAAAGAGATAGTTTTTTGTTGTGTGCATCGGAAGGGGTTCTTCGTATTATGGTTATCGCGATAGTATTACCGACAACGCAGAAAACAGCAACGAACGTGTATAAAGTAGCTAAAACAATGTCTGGTGCTGTAATGGTGCCACTATCTGTTGATCGAAGTTCTTTTGTGCCGTTACTTTTCATTTCTCTTGTCGTCTTCTTTCTCGTAAGTGACAGGTGTTTACCATAAAGAAGCTAATTTATCATAAGAATGGCATCTAAACTTTCTACATGACTGTTTAAAATTAATAAATAATTCCCTTCGTTTCATGAAAGTATTTTGGGAACCTCGACTTAACGTTTGATTTTTAAGTGTCTTTTTCAAGAACTGATTGTGAAGTATGAGACTTATAATCGCATTTTTACGGGGGAGAAACTTGTAAAACAAATATCGTTTCGTCCCGCTCTGACAGGAACTGTTCTGAGGCCTCGAAATTTTCAGTAAAATTTTCTGTCACATTAAAAGATTTACAACGACATGCTGTCTTTAAAAAGTACTGAAAATTTTCTACAATAACTTATTTTTGAGACGGCATTTATCAAATATATCTCTCCATAATAATGAATGCGTGCTATTCAATTTCAGTTTCATGTGACAAAAATAGATTTTTAATTGCTTTCGTGGCTGTGTTGAACCGTTCATAAAAATGGCTGGTGATAGTTGGCAGAAGTTACACAATGAATACGTCTAACTTGTAAGAACTCTACCGTTGTCATGCTATTCAAATTTTTAGCCATCTTTAAACACAAGAGTCCCTTAAGTGCGTTTCGAGCCAGTCGAAGGTTTTAATAAAACGCCTGGCGATAATCAGATACTGATCGCACAACGCAGATGCCGTTTAGTTCTCAAAAATGCCCAATTGTTGTGATTTTCCAAAAAAAAGAGTGTTTTAATTTCTTTTCGAGAGTTTTTGAACCATAACATCGGCACGGTCGGCGATAGCTGGTAAAAATCCATGTTTTAAATGCGAGTGTCGCGACCAAAGATCTGTGATGATGGTCAGAAGAATTATTCATAAATCAGCTTGTCATATTTAGTGAGCCTGAGTCGAACGAAGAGCACCTGAATCTTATTTTGAATTCGAGTTGTTAGGGTAACAGTTTTACCTTAAAAGTTGTAATATGTCACCGACCTAGATGTCTGTTTCACCAAACGTTATTGTATCTCAAACTCACAGACGACTTTCTATATGTATTCAACTTAAGAAATTAGGAACCTTTTTAAGAGCGCAAAGTAAATTTTCTTTTCTTTCATTGAAGAAAGGTTGAAGTTAATGATCAAGTCGCTTATGTAACTTCGCTATGTTTGATACTGGTATTACGACAAAGGACAGCATTGTCTGGGACTCGGCTCAATTATTTACGTTACAGAAATCGCTGCAGAAAGCGATCTTCACCAGCAGAGTTGACCGCGCGAGTGCAGACGGTTCAGCAAGATTAAGCACAAGTGTTTGTCAATGTCACAGTAGGAAATATGGGAAGATTATACTAAAGATGAAGTCCACCATAAGGTCGATGAGATATATGAGAAAATCGTATTCTGGGAAGGAATTTATTCAAACTCCCGAGAAGAGCTGGGAGGGGAAAGAAATTTATCTCTGAAACAACAAAGTGGATCGAGTTTTGGAACTAAGATGCCATCGAGTTTAAAGATACTGCATTAAAAGTCCTCATAGTGATGCCTGCCTTACTTCTCCAGAAGCCAACATTCAAGTCAGAAGCAAAGGAACACTCCCAGTGTTTGTTAAGGCATTTGACACAATGGGAACTTGGTATATGTTATGAATTCTTTCGTGAGGGTAGTGCGACTCAAGCCAAATTGCTAACAAACCTCAAGGGTCTAAATGAAGAGCAGTTAGCCAAAACCTTTGCTAAGCTTGTGCTTGAAGGAAAGATAAATACTGCTAAGAAACTCTTGGATCAACAGAGTAATAGAGGTGTATTCCCTCCATCCCAAAGCACCATAAATGAGCTAAAACGGAAACACCCAGACGCAAGGGAAGCCGATCCATCACTGTTAATGGATGACCATCCGCCGTTTGTCGACCCTGTTATGTTTCAAACAGAATCTACCATTGCAAATGCAGCCCTAAAGACAAGGGGGTCTAGGGGGCCCTCTGGCTTAGATGCATATGGGTAGAGGAGAATCTTGGTGCTTGCCAATACCAGAGAAGAACTAAATAACACCATCCTACAGAAGCTCTGTGAGAAGATGAACCCAGAAAAACTGAGGGAAAACGACCTGGGAATGATGAAGGGTGCCTCGAGTTATTTTGCAATTATTTCAGTTAAAGTCAGTGAAGTTGGACCTGAACAAAATGGGATTTTACGATGTGTTCAGCCTTAGTTACCGCTGCTCACCAAACATCTGAACATCTCCCATCTACATGTCCTTGTGGCAAGAGATTCGACGTTGATCATGCAATGTCGCGTATGAAAGGCGGATTTGTCCATAAGAGACATGACAAGGTGCGAGGTTTGTTTGCACCTCTTCTCAAAGATGTATGTCATGATGTTTAAGTCAAGCCTGACAGGAGAAGTGTTAACCAGCAGCGCCAACTCCTCTGACAAAGCTCGTTTGGATGTAAGTGCACGCAATTTTTTGGCAAAGGGGGCAAAGTGCCTTTTTTGAAGTCAGGGTTTTTAACCCTTTCGCAAAGAGCCACTTAAACCAGAAACTTGAAACCACTCTCTCGAGCAATGAGAACGATAAAAAACTATACTACAACCAGCGAATCACTGAAGTCGCGTATGACTCCTTCAGTCCTCTCCTGCAGAGAAACCGAGCGAATTCTTTCCGAACTAGCCCTGAAGCTATCTGAAAAGAAGCAGATTGATTATAGCATTGTAAATCAATGGCTGAGAGAAAAACTATCTTTTAACTTGTTGAGATCAGCAGCGTTATGTGTAAAAGGTTCCAAAACAACCAAATTTAAGTTGAGCCTTGATTTTAGCAGGGGGCAATCGCAAATGTGATTGGAAAGATAGAGTAGACACGTGTTATTTGTAATTTTTTTTTCGTAAAGCACCGTGTAAAATATTTTTTACCCTTATGGGCTCTGGACATCTTTTCACAGTAGATTTTTATAAATGAGTTTGTGATAACTTTTATCATGCCTTGTGTACTTGATCTTTTATTGGATGATGTTTTTTCGATAAAGTTGACTTTCACGACGGCATTCAACAACAGACCAATGATGGGTTGTTTTCTCACTAACAATAGAACAGATTCCTCTAAAAGGTGTTGAAAAGTTTGTACCAACGCCAGCAAAATCAATTTGGGAGCAGAACGACCCAACTTTGTCAAAGAATCAATCATCACTTACTATAAGCCTTATCGAGTCTCGTAGTATGATACATTGCAGTAGTAGTACCGGTTAATCGCTTTGTTCGAGAGCCTTATTCGTGAGAACTGATTGGTTACTTTTGTCGTTTTTTCATTGGCTATAGGACTCCGTAAGCGAGCTGCATGGTCTTGATTTCATTAAAACATTCGATTGCTAATCAATTCTCATTAAACACTTTACTCATGCTTTTCCTTAGATTCCTATTTTTACACGCAGTAAACATTCGAGATTCCTGACAAGACTGAGAAAAGTCTTGGTTGTTGAAACACATTTTCGATTCGTTTTCTTTTTAAGGTGAGAAAACAGTATAAACATATTATGTATCCAGCATATTATCGAGTTTTCAAACATGGATTAACTTCAAGGAATTATCATCTTAGCAGAAACTCCTTCAGCATAATTGCGGTTTTGATAGTTTTATCCCTTCAATCTCACCACTGAGTCACCCGCTGTTATCTTGTCTAAGTATCAGCGAGTTTAAACATGATTTATCTCGTCACTATGAGGTATGCAATCTGAATGGCAAATGGATAAAATGAAATCTGATCTCACTCATTGCTTCAAAAAATCAAGCCTGGGGAATTCTTTGTAATAAATCTCTTGCTCACGGCTTGGCAAAATATATTATTTTTAGCGCTCATTAGATTGGAAGCAGAGGGAGAGAGTAATGGCCAATTTTTTTTTTTAATTTTACGTCATCTCAATGTCATTGTTATGGCAAGAAAATTAATCTGGGATCGCTCAAATGACGCTTTATTTGGCTCATGGAAACAAGGTAGTGAAATGCATGGAATATTCATATTTATTAATTAATTATTCATTTGAGGGTACGTGTAAGTGACGCTGTGAATCGGTAGGAGACTATTCCCCATTACGCACTAAGGCCAAGTTCGGAGTCAGAGATTTTCATGTATGATATAGATGAATGACAGAATACTTGACGCCTTTCGCCCGGCGATGTCGGCGCACAGTCTGTCTAAGTCGAAGTACTTAAAGATGTTTCTCGCGCGAAAATGAACACTAATTTGTTTTGATTATCTGTTTTCTTCTTGGGTAGACTTGAATGGAAAACACTCCAGAGATCATGAATGTTCTGATGACATATGTTGGAGCACTTTCTGCTTTACCTATACTAACGTACCGAGCATACTCAGCGCCTGTAATTCCATTAAAAGCATTTCTAGTTTCAAATAATTTCTCAAGGACTTTTGTGCGAAGATTGAACCTACTATTTATATCACGCAGCCTAGATCACCTGTCCCATTAAGATATTCGTGGCGCCTCTGAGTCTTTTTACAACAGCGTGTCTTTTTTTAAAAAAAAAAAATTCAGAACATGTTTGACGATCATGAACGTTGCTTATGAATTTGCTTAAAGCGTACTTCGTGGACCGCACCAAAGAATTAATTTACATGAGCAGGATTGAAAGTTTAGCAGAAAAGTGATAAGAAGTTTGAGAAACGGTAAATCTAAAGCATTCATGTGATACTTTCGACATCATTTCAAAATTGCGTCAATGAATATGAGATTGCGACAAAACGGTCTATTCACTTGAAAGCATGCTGCACAAGTGTTTGTTTAAAAGGGAAAAGCAACAAAAAAAAAGACAAAAGAAAAAAAAAGGAAAAAAAAAAGACTACTCACAGGTTCCAATGTGGCAAGTTCAGCTTAGTTCATGACAGAAAAGTGACAAATCACCTTCTAATGCTTCGCACTAGAAAAACACTTTGTTCTTCAAGTCAAGTTTCCATTGCTTGCTTAGGGTTTCGAAACTATTGAAAATTGTTTTGGTTTCTCCTTTGCTGTGCCTTACGATTGGCTTTTGAACCCACCTATATACTTCATTTATATGTAAGATTCCACGAAAAACCAAATTTGAATTAAAACACATACAGATACAACAAACATCAGAAGGACAAAGAAAAGAATAATAATAATAGTATTAAAAAGTAGAAATAAAGGAAAAAGGAATAGTAACATTACGATATATTTCAGAAGTTTTAAGGATCGCAACTATGAAGCTGTTTTTGTTTTTCAGCCTTATTACCCAAGGCGGTAAGAGTCAATTTGCATTTAAAAAACCAAATGAAAAACCAAACCCAAGGGCAAGTTCCTAATTCCCAAGTTCAAAGCTAGTCTTGTGCATTTAATTTGAATTCTCATCAGTCACCTCTGATATTACCCTTATCTTAATGGGCCGATGTAATGACATGTTTTCAGTGGTTTCACGATACCTCTTCTAAATGTCTACTAATTCACAGAGGTTAGAAACATTCACAGATCAAATATTAGGTTGATTGGCTTCGTAACTACTTACTGTGGATCGATACCTCACCTAGAGAGAGGCTCAAAATAAGCGGGAGTCCCTCGAAGAAACAAAACACTATTGCCCCCTTTGCTCGCACATTGGCTAAAAAGGTAGCGGAATGACTGCCACACAGAAAAGCGGTCATTAGGGAACGGTGCCCTTGAGGAAATTTCGTTCGAAAGCTTATGAATAGCAAAATCAACTTGCGAATTTAGTAATCTCAGTGATCACCGGTTAACTTTAGTGATATAAGATGAGATAAATTCAAGTCAGTAGTAGGAGGGATGATTACATGCTACACTTAGCAAAGATTAGCGTTCTTTGTCCTGTCGACGAAAGCCAAAGAGTTCTTTATTATACATTTCTTGTTATTATTAAGAAATACATTGAAAAATTCCGATAATTTTTGACGGTATGGAATCTCTTCCAATGGACGGTTGTGCGTCTCCATAAATCCGGTGTAAGGAATCTTACAACTGACAGCTTAATTCTACGAAACATTATTTACATAGACGATTTTCTATCTTGGGTTCGACTGTAATCTCTTTGAACGTTTCTGTCCATAATCTTCAAGGGTTTGAGAACACAGTCTTCTTGACAACTTAGAAAATCAATAATATTTAATCGCATTGTTCGCAGTTGTCAGCGGTATATTCAGTTTGCTAAAAAAACAAAAGGTGCATATTTGTGGATTTCCTCTCGGGAAATATTTCGCGACTGAGTTTAATACATATGATGTTCTTTACGCTCCTCATTTGATGCCTCCGAAAGAATGTTAATCTTAGCAGCCGTAAGGACGCTTTTCACATGTAAACTTAGTCCGTAGCTTAGCTCACCCTAAACAGGTGTTTTGTAGTTTCGTGTTCCACAAATTTTAACTAAGTTATCGAGACTGTTAAGCAAATAGGCTTCGATTCCACTTTCGATTCGTTTCTCTTTCTTTGTCTTTCTTTCCGTTTATCAAGTAGAAATGTAATGTTTTTTTCAAGAACAACGATCTTGATAAATATGTGAAAATGATCTTTCTTTATTGTGACAATCGTTTTAAACGGCTGTTTCATAATATATTCTGTGTTTCTCCGCTCTGGCTCTGACTGCGGCTTCGTTTTCTGTGTTACGTGTGTTGTTTTTAAAGCGAAGTTTCTGAAATAAAACTTTTCTGTAGTTTTTGCTTTGAGCAGCGTAAAGAAGAGGGTTTACGAATGAGTTAGAAAATATCAAAAAACGAACGATTCTATGTGCCAGAAACAACGGTTTAAAACTTTGCTCTAAATGACTAGGGGCGAGTGCGGTGACATATAAAAAGAAGACAGCAAATGGAAGGCAGAGTATGCAAAATGCCAAAGCTAACAGGATGAGAAGCTTTAAGAGCCTTTTCATGTTCCGTTTGCTAGCGGGATCTTCATCCGGTTCACCTGCGCTTGACTTAAGTGCTGCGGAACTTGAAATATAGCAAAAGCAAAGAAAAATTGAAGGGAGCACAATTAGAGCGACAGAATGGCCAAGGATGTAAGCTTTGACGTTCCAAGTCTGGTTTTTAACTGTCCATGGACGCGTGCAGGGATACCGCCACGGCGTGTCTTCGTTATTGTGCTTCGTCCATAGCGTATCTGGAAAGCTTGAAAAAAAAGCTGTGACCCAAATAACAAGAATAATAAACTTTACATTCATTCTTTACAGTCTGGTTCTTAACTGTCCATGGACGCGTGCAGGGATACCGCCATGGCGTGTCTTCGTTATTGTGCTTCGTCCATAGCGTATCTGGAAAGCTTGAAAAAAAAGCTGTGACCCAAATAACAAGAATAATAAACTTTACATTCTTTTTCGTCAGAGCCCAACGTTTGTTGAAAGGTTTGACAATACCAAGGTAGCGCTCCATTGCAATGGCACACAGAGTTAACACAGAGGCATCGAAAGAGACACAAACGATTACATTTCCTGCAATAAACTTGCAAAAGATGTCACCCAGTGTTCCGGAGCCCAAATGAAACTTGTGTAGTGCAAAGTCGTAGAAACCCGGACAAAATAACAACGATAGAAAATCGGCTATAGCCAAGTTCATCAACAGATAGTTTGTTGTTGTGTGCATGGTTCATGTTTTCCTTACAATGGTGATGATTATGCCATTTGCCGTGACCCCGAAGAACACAATGGAAGAGTACAATGTGGCAAAAACGACATCGTGAGTGGTGATAAGTGGAGAAGCGGTAATGTTGCTTCCGTTCATCCTGAAAATAAACTTGCGTCAGCTTCCTTTAACTAATCGTGACTCTTAACCAAATATTAAAAATTTCGTTCAGCATGTGTGTGTTTGAAATGTCTTTACTATACCTTGCGTTTAGTTCACAGCAGGGGTTCTTCGTGTTATGGTTATCGCGATAGTATTACCGACAACGCAGAAAACAGCAACGAACGTGTATAAAGTAGCTAAAACAATGTCTGGTGCTGTAATGGTGCCACTATCTATTGATCGAAGTTCTTTTGTGCTGTTACCTTTCATTTCTCTTGTCGTCTTCTTTCTCGTAAGTGACAGGTGTTTACCATAAAGAAGCTAATTTATCATAAGAATGGCATCTAAACTTTCTACATGACTGTTTAAAATTAATAAATAATTCCCTTCGTTTCATGAAAGTATTTTGGGCACCTCGACTTGACGTTTGATTTTAAGCGTCTTTTTCAAGAACTGATTGTGAAGTATGAGACTTACAATCGCATTTTTACGGGAGAGAAACTTGTAAAACAAATATCGTTTCGTCCCGCTCTGACAGGTACTGTTCTGAGGCCTCCAAATTTTCAGTAAAATTTTCTGTCACATTAAAAGATTTACAACGACATGCTGTCTTTAAAAAGTACTGAAAATTTTCTACAATAACTTATTTTTGAGACGGCATTTATCAAATATCTCTCTCCATAATAATGAATGCGTGCTATTCAATTTCAGTTTCATGTGACAAAAATAGATTTTTAATTGCTTTCGTGGCTGTGTTGAACCGTTCATAAAAATGGCTGGTGATAGTTGGCAGAAGTTACACAATGAATACGTCTAATTTGTAAGAACTCTACCGTTGTCATGCTATTCAAATTTTTAGCCATCTTTAAACACAAGAGTCCCTTAAGTGCGTTTCGAGCCAGTCGAAGGTTTTAATAAAACGCCTGGCGATAATCAGATACTGATCGCACAACGCAAATGCCGTTTAGTTCTCAAAAATGCCCAATTGTTGTGATATTCTAATCTTTTCCAAAAAAAAGAGTGTTTTAATTTCTTTTCGAGAGTTTTTGAACCATAACATCGGCACGGTCGGCGATAGCTGGTAAAAATACATGTTTTAAATGCGAGTGTCGCGACCAAAGATCTGTGATGATGGTCGGAAGAATTATTCATATATCAGCTTGTCATATTTAGTGAGCCTGAGTCGAACGAAAAGCACCTGAATCTTATTTTGAATTCGAGTTGTTAGGGCAACAGTTTTACCTTAAAAGTTGTAATATGTCACCGACCTAGATGTCTGTTTCACCAAACGTTATTGTATCTCAAACTCACAGACGACTTTCTATATGTATTCAACTTAAGAAATTAGGAACCTTTTTAAGAGCGCAAAGTAAATTTGCTTTTCTTTCATTGCAGAAAGTTTGAAGTTAATGATCAAGTCGCTTATGTAACTTCGCTATGTTTGATACTGGTATTACGACAAAGGACAGCATTGTCTGGGACTCAGCTCAATTATTTACGTTACAGAAATAGCTTCAGAAAGCGATCTTCACCAGCAGAGTTGACCGCGCGAGTGCAGACTGTTCAGCAAGATTAAGCACAAGCGTTTGTCAATGTTACAGTAGGAAATATGGGAAGATTATACTAAAGATGAAGTCCACCATAAGGTCGATGAGATATATGAGAAAATCGTATTCTGGAGAAGGAATTTATTCAAACTCCCGGGAAGAGCTGTGCGAGGAGAGAAATTTATCTCTGAAACAACAAAGTGGATCGAGTTTTGGAACTAAGATGCCATCGAGTTTAAAGATACTGCATTAAAAGTCCTCATAGTGATGCCTACCTTACTTCTTACTTCTTACTTCTACATCCAGTTTTTTTTAAGGCATTTGACACCATGGGAACTTGGTATATGTTATGAATTCTTTCGTGAGGGTAGTGCGACTCAAGCCAAATTGCTAACAAACCTCAAGGGTTCAAACGAAGAGCAGTTAGCCAAAACCTTTGCTAAGCTTGTGCTTGAAGGAAAGATAAATACTGCTAAGAAACTCTTGGATCAACAGAGTAATAGAGGTGTATTCCCTCCATCCCAAAGCACCATAAATGAGCTAAAACGGAAACACCCAGACGCAAGGGAAGCCGATCCATCACTGTTAATGGATGACCATCCGCCGTTTGTCGACCCTGTTATGTTTCAAACAGAATCTATCATTGCAAATGCAGCCCTAAAGACAAGGGGGTCTAGTGGGCCCTCTGGCTTAGATGCATATGGGTAGAGGAGAATCTTGGTGCTTGCCAATACCAGAGAAGAACTAAATAACACCATCCTACAGAAGCTCTGTGAGAAGATGAACCCAGAAAAACTGAGGGAAAACGACCTGGGAATGATGAAGGGTGCCTCGAGTTATTTTGCAATGATTTCGGTTAAAGTCAGTGAAGTTGGACCTGAACAAAATGGGATTTTACGATGTGTTCAGCCTTAGTTACCGCTGCACACCGAACATCTGAACATCTCCCATCTACATGTCCTTGTGGCAAGAGATTCGACGTTGATCATGCAATGTCGCGTATGAAAGGCGGATTTGTCCATAAGAGGCATGACAAGGTGCGAGGTTTGTTTGCACCTCTTCTCAAAGATGTATATATGTCATGATGTTGAAGTCAAGCCACACCTTCAGACCCTGACAGGAGAAGTGTTAAGAGTAAATGTCAGTAAAAATCAAGGAAAATTAAAAAAATGTGGCCACGGTCAAAAAATCGATTTCGCTCATACTTTGTCAGTTTGAAGGTCTAGGTAAGTAACTGAAGGATATGAGGTTAGTTTTTTGAAATATTCCATATAACGGCAGTAAACCACGAAAAACGGTCACCCTACCAGAAGCTTGGATTTCACCTGGCGGAAACTCGAAATTTTACATTTTTCAGCTTCTCGCTACACAGACGTTTACATAGCTGTGAATCTTTCTTGAGTATAATTGAATACATTAATTCTTCCTTAGTCAAACCATGGGAATTATTTTTATCTCTGCTTATTTGTGAGCGAACTGAGACCCGATTAAGAAGACACACTTTTCTCATTTACGCGAAGGTGTAAAATAATCCAAACTCAGCGACGAAAAAAGCTGACCGGTAGTTCTTCAAATCCTCTGATATTATAACCAAAGACAGTTCAGTCATTGATTTTTAGGTCTAGGGTTTTAAATCTTTAGGATCTAGTAGCACTTTTGCATGAACGCCGATAAAAATTCGATAAAATTCCAATTGAGCGCCTTTGAAATCTACAACTCTACATAGCAAAGCACTATTGAATAAATTAACTCCTCGGCCAAAGTTTGTACATAAAACATAAAGGTTTTGCTTTCTTAGCGGTTCGAAGCGTTTTAAAAATATATATTAATGTTAAATATTGTCTATACAGGTAAAACAAACTATGAAACACCAAAATTACCACGAGCTGAAATTAAATCTCACAGGCTCGCTCCCTAATCTGCGTCACGCACGAGCGACTTAGCTACAATTAGTACAGTAACAAACAGATATTTACATCCGTTTATTTTAAATAAGTCGTATTTTTAAAATATCTTACTCAAAGATGTGCCAGGTTTCCCAGTTAACTTGCTGAAAAAAAAAGAAAACCTTAATAGTAATTCTAGCTCAATTAGAATTAATTTTATTTAGTATGAGAAGTTTTGTGCCGTCGAAAACCAATCGGAAGTAACTGTTTCCACGAAAAGCAAATATTGCATCGTTCTCTAAATAAACAAATCTACTTAACCATATAACCAGAGTATGTTGTTGGCGAAGTTAATAGACAAACATATATAACAACGACGTCTTGCTCGTTCTTGAATATTGTCGGTGGGATTTGCGGCGCAGACGAACGCACTTGCTAAGTAACTTCCAATGGCTAATTTCTACCCTTACTCAGCTTTCGTCACACTGCTCACGCTGTGTAACAAGGATATAAAACATCGCACGAAGTCCTAAAAAACTCTCCGGACTTGAACCAGAATTGATTTTAGCAAGATTGCGTGTTTTTAAAAGCCAACGAGTTATTGGAGATGACTACTCGTACCGTCTCATCGTGTCACTTAGGCATAACCTGACACGATGTCGATAGTTTCGACTCCTGATGGCCGAGAGCACTCGGATTTCTTTTTTTCCGAGTACGCCTGTGTCACTTACTGAATAATACATCATTCTCATTTATTCACCAGGCTTAAAAATATTCCATCACATTTATTCCATTGCGCGTATGCCACACATGACATTCCAATCCTAGCAGTATGCAGGATGTTTGTCCAATGAAGCACTCGGATTTTTTTTCCGATTATGCCTGTGTCACTTAGTAAGTAATACATCATGTTCAAAAGTATTAATTTTTGCACCATACAGGAAGTTGTTTCGGGTCACTCAGCAAGAGCTGTGAAAAGTAGCCACACTGGAATAGGAATATATTTTTTCCAATCCATGAAGATATTTGACCTTTCAAAATAGCTCGTCCCTATGGGCTCAGGTAAATAACAACTAAAAAATGTACTACCAAGCAGGAACTGTCTCCAATGAGTTTTGTATCCTCTTCATTCTGTTGTCCAATGCGACTATTAAAAACACTATGAGTTTTACGACTTGCATGTTTTATTGATTGCGCTTGTCAAACAACACTACAGTCTGTCATTGATAGAGAAAAGAAAGTTTAATTTTGACAATATTGGATGAAAAATACTAAGAATTTTCCAAAGAGGGCACCGAAGAATAAATAATGTGCACTGTCATTTTTACGACATTTAAAAAGGAGGGAAGGGGGTGGGGGAAAGGATTTAACAACCATACTACTCTCTCTCCCCAACCACCCACAAAGTGCACAGTTTGCACAGTATACTAGTGGAAACGTCACATCAACATTTATATGTTTACGTTTAATAGCACAATTACGGTCGTTGCACCACTCCAATATGGCCATTTCCCCACAAAACTATATTTAAGTAGATCTTTGATCAATCTTGTACGTCAAGCTTTGTTACTTTGAATTTTTCTTGGCTTCTTGCGGAGACAATTTCAAACTTTTTAGCCCTAAAACTTTGAATGGATATACACTTTTAATTAGCTTACATTACGTTACTGGTTGGCTGGTTTAATTCGGTGGCAGCCTTTAGGTGGTCGCCATACCATTAGTGTATCTACCTCTTCACTGAACACACTTTTAAAAAAAGATAACGATCAAATGAAACGATTTTTTCGAAAGAAAATAAATGATGTTATCTTGTATACAATTATGCGCAAGGCATAATTAGTTAACAGAAAACAGTTTATTAACCTGCTTATGAGGTACAGCCGCACTCGCCTACAAGCTTTGAAAGACGACTAATAAACGGATTCTTTCGTCTTTGTGTTATATCAGAGACGTCCACACAAGTTCATCGCAAATACTGCGCAGCATGTCCACACTCAGTGACATCAGCTTTTTCTTGCCCATGCGCATGAGCTCACAGTGTTGTAACCTGACGACGATACAATGGGGTGCTGAAGGGAAACCTCTCTCATCACTTGCGCACAGATTTCAGATTGGATTACCTGTTCTTGTGATGCTCTGTCATCTTCTCTAGTAGTCTCTTCGTCCGACTCTTCCCGGTTCACTGTACTGGGAGGAAGCCTTTTCTTTGCTGCCAGTCGTGAGAAGAATCCAGTGATTTGCTGTCCTGTTAGAACTTCTTCTGGTAGAAATCGACGAGCTCCTAACTCGTCCCTTGAAGATCTCATCATTTGTGAGACTTCATTCGGATCTGCTTTCCTTCCACTCTGCTCGCCAATTTCAAATTGTTGTTTCAAAAATTCATTTTGTTTTTGCGTAAAACGTGTCTTCTTTGTGATTGTCTTAAGTGCCCATCCCATTGTAAGGGGCGAAAAGCATTCCCGTCAAAACTCCGAAATTACCGAAAGGTGCGTATTTTTTAAACACAAAAGTCTGAAGTTTTGTCGACCTACAGAATGAAATAACAATCGAAAGTTGACTGCGCGATAAGAGGTGAGAAGAAGGGGGGGGGAGTAGCATTGTGATTAGACTATCCTTTTTTTTGTTTATTGTTTATATCTTTCTCAAGTGGCTTTTTGCGAAACGAAATTGAAATGTTTTAAACAAAGTAAATTAACCCCTACTAACCGAATTCCAGGTGCGTACTGTAAGTTACAGACCGTGAAATGAGGTTAGTAAGATATTCATTATGTCTCTGAGGTCAATCGGGCGCGCGGGAATGGAAACTAGTTAAAGTCTAGTGGGCCGCGCAAAATTGACCAATCACACCCCGCGTACGAACTACGAAAGAATAGGAACTCATTGTATACATGTGGGCAGTGCTGTGCACGCGCTGCGGACCTGTTTGTTTACGGACACCGGCACTCACTCACTCACTCACATACCTGGCGACAAAGTGGGTAGGGCACTATACAGTGCACACACTAATATAAGCGCAATCCATAAAAAAATGAGAGGCATGAAATAAAGGTTGTTATAAAAAAATTGGATTGGACAACTAAATGAAGAGATAAGTAACGAAATGTTCTTCATCAACCTTACTTATTTCTCTCCGTCGTTTAAACAAATGATTCTTTCATATAATCTCAAGTCATCAGAATGAATAGACTAAAAATAATTCATTGGAGACAGTTTCTGTTTGGTAGAACATCAAGCAGTTGGTTGCTTACCTGAGCAGGGACGAGCTGTTTTGAAAGCTCAAATATCTTCATGGATTGGAATAAATTTATTCCTTTTTCCAGTGCGGGTGCCTTCCTCAGCTCCCTGCAGTGACCAGAAACAACTTCCGGGATGGTGCAAAGATTACCCGTCCTTCGCCAACCTAAACCTAACTTGGCACGATGAACCGGACAGATAGTCATATCCGATAAATTCGCCGGCTTTTGAAAACATCCACATCTCGCCAAAATTAATTCTACCTCCGTTTCAATTCCGGAAAATTTCAACGACTTTTTGTGATTTTTGATATCCCTGTTACACCGCGTGAGAGGCGTGACGGAAGTTGAAGAACTTGTGCGTTCGTCTGCGCCGCAAATCCTACCAACAATATTCAAGAACGAGCAAGACATCGCTGTTCTATGAAGTTCCCCGACAATAAACTCTGGTTTTAGATGCAATGTTTCACGGATAAAGATAATTCGATTTATTTATTTAAAGAACGATGCAATTTTCGTGAGAACAGGTACTTCTGATTGGCTATCGACGGCAGAAAGCTTCTCATTCTTAATAAAATCAATTCTTATCGTTTCAGTTTGAATTGCTATTATGATATTTTCTTTTATTTTTACTTCAGCAAGTTAACTGGGGAACCTGGCACATCGTTGAGTAAGATATTTTAAAATAAGACTTATTGTAAATTAACAGATGTAAATATCTGTTTGTTACTGTACTAATTGTAGCTAAGTCGCTCGTGCGTGACACAGATTAGGGAGCGAGCCTGTGAGATTTAATTTCAGCTCGTGGTAATTTTGGTGTTTCATAGTTTGTTTTACCTGTGTAGACAATATTTAACATCAATATATATTTTTAAAAGGTTCAAACCGCTAAGAAAGTAAAACCCTCATGTTTTATGTACAAACTTTGGCCGAGGAGTTAATTTATTCAATAGTGCTTTGTTATGTAGAGTTGTAGATTTCAAAGGCGCTCAATTGGAATTTTATCGAATTTTGATCGGCGTTTTTGCAAAAGTGCTACTAGATCCTAAAGATTTAAAACCATAGACCTAAAAATCAATGACTGAACTGTCTTTGGTTATAATATCAGAGGATTTGAAGAACTACCGGTCAGCTTTTTTCGTCGCTAAGTTTGGATTATTTTACACCTTCGCGTAAATGAGAAAAGTGTGTCTTCTTAATCAGGTCTCAGTTCGCTCACAAATAAGCAGAGATAAAAATAATTCCCATGGTTTGACTAAGGAAGAATTAATGTATTCAATTATACTCAAGAAAGATTCACAGCTATGTAAACGTCTGTGTAGCGAGAAGCTGAAAAGTGTAAAATTTCGAGTTTCCGCCAGGTGAAATCCGAGCTTCCGGTAGGGTGACCGTTTTTCGTGGTTTTCTGCCGTTATATGGAATATTTCAAAAAACTAACCTCATATCCTTCAGTTACTTACCTAGGCCTTCAAACTGACAAAGTATGAGCGAAATCGATTTTTTGACCGTGGCCACGATTTCTTTGATTTTTACTGACTATCACTCTTAACCATTAGCGCCAACTCCTCTGACAAAGCTCGTTTGGATGTAAGTGCGCGCAATTTTTTGGCAAAGTGTCTTTTTTGAAGTCAGGGTTTTTAACCCTTTCACAAAGAGCCACTTAAACCAGAAACTTGACACCACTCTCTCGAGCAATGAGAACGATAACAAAAAATACTACAACCAGCGAATCATTGAAGTCGCGCATGACTACCTCAGTCCTCTCCTGCAGAGAAACCGAGCGAATTCTTTCCGAACTAGCCCTGAAGCTATCTGACAGGAAGCAGATTGATTATAGCATTGTAAATCAATGGCTGAGAAAAACTATCTTTTAACTTGTTAAGATCAGCAGTGTTATGTGTAAAGGTTCCAAAACAACCAAATTTTAGTTGAGCCCTGATTTTAGCAGGGAAGCAATCGCAAATGTGATTGGAAAGTAGACACGTGTTATTTGTAATTTTTTTTTCGTAAAGCACCGTGTAAAATATTTTTTATCCTTAGGGGCTCTGGACATCTTTTCACAATAGATTTTTATTAATAAGTGTGTGATAACTTTTATCACGCCTTGTACATTTTGATCTTTTATTGGATGATGTTTTTTCAATTAAGTTGACTTTCACGACGGCATTCAACAACAGACCAATGATGGCTTGCTTTCTCACTTACAATAGAACAGATTCCTCTAAAAGGTGTTGAAAAATTTGTACCAACACCAGCAAAATCAATTTGGGAGTAGAACGACCCAACTTTGTCATAGAATCAATCATCACTTACTATAAGCCTTATCGAGTCTCGTAGTATAATACATTGTAGCAATGGTACCGGCTAATCGCTTTGTAAGAAAGCCTTATTTGTGAGAACAAGGTGAGAAAACAATATAAACATATTATGTATTCAGCATATTATCGAGTTTTCAAACATGGATTAACTTCAAGGAATTATCATCTTAGCAGAAACTCCTTCAGCATAATTGCGGTTTTGATAGTTTTATCCCTTCAATCTCATCACTAAGTAACCCGCTGTTATCTTGTTTAAGTATTAGCGAGTTTAAAAATGATTTATCTCGGCACTATGAGGTATGCCGTCTGAACGGCAGATGCATAAAATGAAATCTAATCTCACTCTCTGCTTCAAAAAATCAAGCCTGGATAATTCTTTGCAATAAATCTCTTGCTCACGGCTTGGAAAAATATATTATTTTTAGCGTTCATAATATTGGAAGCAGAGGGAGAGACTAATGGCCAATTTTTGCGGCAAGCGTCATGCTAAAACCAAGTCTTTGTTATCAGTGTAACTATTGGAAAACATCAGATAGTGAAATACGTGTTACTCCGTTGGGGACAAAGAAAGTGTATGGTCAAATAAAATCCAACGCAAATAAAATCATATCTCTCAACACTTTTAGCGATGTTGAATTGCAGTATTTACGGTCGTTTTTGAAAAATATTTCGGGGAATTAAATTCCATAGCTTCTGTCGATTAAATCAATCTGCAAAAAACAGAAAAAGTTCATGACACGCGACTAATGCTTTCTTTGATTGTTTTTTTGTTGTAACTTAATTCGTCATTCAGTTCTGCAGCTGGTTTGTTATCATTCTCTCTCACGGGTAAAACTGTCACAATCTTTACACTGAGACTTTCTCACCAACTCCAGCGGGTGAAGTTATGTTTATCAGTTTCATGGCTTGGCGCCCAGAGTCAACGTCTTCAGTGCAGCAGCAAATTCCATCCATTGCCTTTCTATAGTTTGCGCTCTGTGCAGCGTACAACAGCGGATTTATGAAAGAATTAAAAAATATTAATAACCGGACAATTCTATGAGCGAGAAACAATTGTACGAAATCTTGCTTAATTTGAACGTCTGTGATCGCAGTAACATACATAAAGAAGCACGCAAACGGCAAACAGAGCGCGCAAAAAGCCGCTGCTAAAGAGACAAGAAGCTTTAAAAGTCTTTTCATACTGCTCTTTTCAGCTTCGTCTATCGCTGGGTCTGACAAATCCCACTTGAGCACTTTAAGAATCGAGAGATAGCAAAATGAAATCAAAATGGAGGGAAATACGATCATGACGAGACAGTGAGCAATAATGTAGGCCTTAACAGTCGACTCGTGTTCCAGTGTCCATGGACGAGTGCATGGATACCTCGAGCTGGGATCCTTCTTGTACATTGTCCACAAACTGTCGGGGAAACTCAAGATGAATGACAGTATCCAAATCCCGACTATGACCAACTTCGTGTTCTTAGACGAAATGTTCCAACTGCTACTTTTAAAAGGTTTGACAATTGCTACATATCGCTCCACGGCAATAACGCATAGAGTCAACACGGACGCGTCGAATGTGATGCAAACGACGGCATTTCCAGTAAAAAGTTTGCAGACGATGTCACCCAGTGTGGAGTTTATCCTCAAAGAGTTTAAAGCAAAGTCATAGATACCAGGACAAAGAAGTAATGTTAATAGATCGGCCACAGCTAAATTTAGCAGAAGATAATTTGTTGTCGTGCGCATCGAAGGCGTTTTGCGAACGATAGCGATCACCACGCCATTTCCTACTACGCCGAAAAACACCATGAACGAGTATAACGTGGCAAAAACGATGTCTTGTGAAGTTGTTTTTGAAGGTCCATGGGATCTATTTGAATAACTTTCATCCATCGTAAAAGAGACTGAAAAAGATCGGAAAATCACAAACCGCGTTCTTTGATGATCCACTGAGACTACACGCTCCGAAGAATCACTTAAAACTACGAGAAAAAGCGGTCATTTGAAGAAAATTTCTTCGCCCCCTGTTCCGTCCTAGCGATGAATGAATAAACAGTTTTGAGCGAAGTCCTAAAGGACTAAAATGTTAATAGATGGCCGCAGTCGATGAGCCGGTGATTTCCATGACAGGTGTCCATAAAAACAATTAAGTAGCAAGGCAACATTAAAAATCAATAGTTACGCTTTTGTTCGGTGTTTTTTTATCCTGATGAGAGTTCGTGCGGCCGAACGCCCCGTGGAAAAAACGCGAGAGCATGAATATTTCCATTGTTTGTATTACAAAATGAATCCCCTGATTAATTACAAGGCAATGAGCCAAAATCGTAGTCGTCGAAACCATCATTGTCAACCCAACAATTATTTTTTTGAGAGAGAAAGGAGTGTGAAAAGTCCATTAAAAAGTCAATTGGCCCTTTTTCATTCTTCCGACATCTTAGAACTAATTTCCGCCAAATAATCTGAAAAGTAATCAAAACTACAGGAAAGTATATTATCGAACCATTCAACGATTGCACTCTTCAGGGTGGCATTATTTAGTGCCACTGATAACACATGCGGACCTTGAGCCTTTGAGGTCCACTTTCAGGTATTTGAACAGCTTTTTGCCAGACAGAAAGGTGTTAAACAAACGTCGCTTAAAATAAGCATTTCCTTTCTGTAGCGGACCACCGGAAAACAAATTAGATAAATCCCTCAATTCCTGGTGAACATAGTTTGCCTTTTACTGAGTTGATTGGTTATGGAATTACAAACTCAAATGTTTTCTGTGCCAAACTACTTTAAAGAAATACAAATTATATAAGTTTACTCGCACCTTTTGAATGCAAATTAGAAGGGTAACACGGTTGACTGGTAAGATAGATTAGTAAATTCGTGGAATATATTTTAGCAGTTTTTGCATTTAATTCTGGATAACCTTGAGTTCTAATCTTAACCAAAGCATGCGGTACTGTGATTCCCTTTTCTTCCAAAAGATTAGAGGCCCCACTTTTTTCCTATAGTGCTATCACTTACCTATCTTGGATTTTGCAAAATGAATATGAAGATAAAATGATAGATCTTCTTTTTGATTACTAATGCGCGAAAATATCGCTATAACCTTCGTTAAATTGTTATTCCTGTCAGTACTACTTGTTTCCTTAATGCGTTATCGACCCGCTTCATCTAGATCCACAGGGAAAGTAGTTTCGAAATTTCGATGCGCATTGTATTGTAGTTTTATTTGAAGTTTTAAAATGAACGAAATGAAGCTGCTTTCTCTCGATGACGTCTTCAAGATTCCAGTGCACGCTTTAATCCACATAAATTCGCCCAAACTCAAGTAAAAAGAAAAGAAATCTTGGAAGAATATTTTTTAAAACGTCTTTATTTGGCCTTTTTTATATTCAATCTTGACCCAGTTAACCCTTTACACCCTTTACACATCAGTATGTATATTCTCCATACTGTTCTTTATACATTTCCTATGGTGCTGACAAGGAGAATTAGCCAAACGATTCAGAGCTTCTGCAGTTGTTGATCATTTCCATTTTTGTCATGACCTTAGTTTGCGATTCAGAGGTGATATTGTAAGAAGAAATTAGATGCCAGACACTTTTGGGGGTTAAGGGGTTAAGCCAGCGTTTGTACGACGCTAACGCGTTATTGAGGCACAGCGTGTATTAAAAGAGTTGTGCAAATTTTTGTCATTTTCTTCAGGTTCATCTTTTTACTACCTATCATCCGAGACCCACAGGTGGTTGGTCAAAACGGCACGATTTTTCCCGCTGGTCCAGGTCCCATCCTGTCAGATTGACTTCTAGGTTGGCCAGAGAAACTTCCTTAAGAGAAGCCTTTACGAGTAGGATTCCTCTAATATTTTATTATTTTCTCTCGAAGGGTCCACGTAAAGTCGTCAGCATTAACTAATTTCGTTAATGATCAGTCTTGCAGCTATAAAAACAAAATTTTCAGCTCCATGACAAAGGGAGTCTGTCAAGGAATATTTTCCACCCTCATTGAAAGGTAAAAATTTTTTTAAGGAGGAAGCTGCTGGTATAGAAGATTTCGGATAATCTGATTTTCTTTGAATGAAAAATTCAGCTTCAGTCAAAAATCACTGTAGAGATTTAAAAGCACATTCTCGGGTCCGAGTTGTTTATAATTACGCAGGCTTCAACATATTCAGACTGTGAGTAAAGAACTTTGCCAATGCGAGCCCTTGTGTGCACGCAGATATGAGTTCAGTATCTTTTCTGATGCATGCATCTACCAGTTTACTCAAAATTTCTCGTGGAGGAACTTAAGGCTGGTTCAGTCACACGTACGACGCAAATGTAAACGACGGATGCAGTGGAAGTATTATTGCAAGATGACGGGCGAGACTGTGACCTTTGTCACAGTTTGCATTTCATACTTTTCCCTTACAGACCGCTGAAGAGACGAAAAAATTGTCTCCAGAAGTCGAAGAGTAGCGCTAAGAGCGTGTGCGTTAGGCCAATCTTTCGATGAAGAGAACGTCAAGTAAATTTTCTTAGTTCGTGAGTCACAACTTAGCAACTGAGAGTTTTACTTTGGCAAAGCAAGCACGCTTCAGCTCTTATAGGCATCATATTCAACTATGTAAGTCAACCTAACACATATGTCTTGCTGTATTATTATTAATGTGATTTGTTCGTAAGCAACGCACCGCTAACATTTATTTTCGCATACTGCCTCTGATTCGTCATAATTCGACGCAGCCATGGTGACGTGTGATTTCAACTCTTGGCTAATTTACTTACTCTACTGTAAATTGAGGTGCGAAGCAGCCGGTGTGCCACTTCAGTAATTCATTAAGGTGTCGTTTTCTTTTTAAATTTAGAGACATAAAACTTCAAAAAGAGAGAAAACAATCGTAAAAAAAAAACAATCGGACAACAGTCCAAAAATTCGACTTGTGATCTCAACACGATTGTTTTTGAAGGCAGTGTCGTGGCGCACGAAAACCCATAACTTGAAAGGCAAAAGAAATGGAAAGCAACATCACAAAAGAACATTCTCATCATCATCCGGCGGAGGCTTCCACCACAACTCAGGACGTTATTTTTGCAGTGTTGTACTCAATTATTGCCGTTCTGGGTGTAATCGGTAACGCTATGGTAATTACTATAGTGCGAAAAACGCCATCAATGCACACAACGACGAACTACCTCCTCCTGAACTTAGCCGTGGCCGATTTATTGACATTGCTCCTCTGTCCTGGTTCGTACGATTTCGCTCTGGCGCACGTTGACTTAGAAGGATTCATTGGGGATTTCATCTGCAAACTGTTTGCGGGAAATGCAATTGTTCCGATCACTATCAACGTCGCCGTTCTTACGGTTTGTACGATCGCAGTTGAAAGGTATCTAGCGCTTCTCAAACCTTTCCGCTCTAATCTAAGGATAGACAAAGATAAAGTGAAATATGTGATAGCAGTGCTGTGGTTGTTTGCCTTAATCTCGTGCATACCAGATATTCAAGCCAACACGTACGACATCTCGTCCACCAAATATCCTTGCACGCGTCCCTGGAGTCTAGATAGTTATTTCCTTCACAAACCTTTCATCATATTTACTTGTGTTGGGTTTGGAATCATAAGCTCCTTGACACTCTTCTTCTGTTATTTTTCAATCATCCGTGGAATATATTTCACAAAAACAGTTTTCTCGGAATCAACGGTAACGGAGGCTGAACGACAAGCAAAGAAACAACTCGCTCGCCTTCTTATCTGTTTGACATTTGTATTCGCTACCTGCTCTCTACCATTTGCAGTTTACTTCATGTTTCTTAGCTTCGTTAATGTCAAAACTATAAAGGAAAAGTACGACATATTGTATTTATTTCACAGAATTTCCAGGTTTTTACTTTTCTCGAATTCGTTTTTAAATCCTTTATTGTATGCTTTACAAAGCTCAAATTTTCGAGATGGATTCAAATTAATTTTTAGTTTAAAACTCCTCCGCTGTAAGCTGTTAGCAAATAGGAGAAAGTCGGCAAAAAGCTCTAGCTCGACAGGCTTTGTCTTGAGTAAAGAAACAATTTTATTTAGGAATAAACCGGTGATTAAGACAGATGGTACAAAATGTTAAAATTGCTGTGTTCATTTGCGGTAAAACCGAGTCTCAAAAGATTTACAGCTTATTTGAAAACTGCGGAGGCCGGTAACAAGTGAAATAAATAAAAATGACAATTTTCGCGCGCTGTACAAATAGTTGTTAAATTAAATTTTACCCAAGTTATTACTAAACCTATGAAATATCAAGTAATTTGTATATCATTGACGACAACACTTCGTTACAGCTGAACTTTGAGGTAACTAAAATGAAGGGGTTTTAAAAAACCGCTCATCACAACCACATCACATCATTTCCTAATTTATTCCAAGGTGACATCTTGACAATTCAAACACGAAAAGCTGGCTCTTCAATCCGGCTTTGAAGGTAAAGATGTTTCCAAACTGGGCGAGCTGACAAAGAAAAATTCATGTTTTCTTTCGTACATAATAAAAATGCAACGCTAGGTTGACCAAGAACCACGTAATCAAGTTTACCATTAGAGTATAATAAAATTTATGTTGCTGTCGTTATTTGTGTTGCCATCTGCAACGTCAATCGGTAAGTTCTGAAAGGCGCAAAATAACATACTATATGTATGGATGGATTTTGGCCATGGAAGGCATTTCCAGAGAGATTCACAAACGGACAAAAAAGTTTTTGAAAAGTAGTAACTACGGAGAGAAATCGTTTAACTGGGCCCGAAGGGGCAAATATGATACAAGTTATGTTTACCCTACGATTCCTTTCGTAGAAGATATTGGTATTAAAAACAGCCAATATATTAGCTGGCGAAACTATGGTTGTCCTCTTGATTGGCATTAGCTACTTTTCCCTATTGATGGTTCACGTAAAAACGCCCTTCAATTTGTTTTTATGCCCATAACTTCAATAGGCTTGATGACATCCTTTTTATTACTTAAAAATGATGGGAGAATCAGAACTACTCTAAATCTCGCGAAAATTGATTTAGAAGGAGATCTGAAGCCTCTAATACAGCGTTCTTGGTATAGAAATAATGACAATATAATAAGAACTGATGGCAACATAATTTTTTCTACAATGTGGTATTTATTCGTGAAAACAGCTGGAATTACTACATTGGGCTTAGATCGTTTGCCTTCCTAATAGCAAACTAATTTGCCAAATAAAGTAAACAAAACATATTTAAGAACGCAACACATTCTGTCGCGAGTGAGAGAGGAGGAAAAACGTTTGAGTGCTTGATGAAGAACTGAGCCTTAAACCTATGAACGGCGCACTCCCACGTCCTTTCATTAAGCGATAGAGATCTCAGAGGTGTATTAAGGCCACTTGTTTAGTTCATATGTATAACAAACGTCCTTCATATTTTTTGTAGGAAGAAATGATCAAGCTAAGAAACCTATTCCTCATGTAAGCCTTATTCTTTGGGTAGTCTCAGTGAAGCTATTTCCGAATTCGCCGATAGATCAGTAGATGGCCAATCTTGTTCCGCGAATTTTTTTCAGGGGGACAACCCAAGGGACTTCTGCTCATTTTTTTTACAAAAACTTCGCCATGCACGAGGTATATGTATTACTATTAAAAAGATTAAGCCAGATGTTTAAAGTAAAAATTTAAATTTCTTGCCGTTGGAATAAAAGCCATGTTTAAACCTACTTCATGTATCATCAAGAGACTGGTTTGGGAAGAAGCTTCTTATGGGAGATGTTCAGAACCTTTTTAGATTCTCCTTTGTTTTTTTCTTTCGTCGTAAACTGTACTCAAAAAACTAAATACGGGTGGCCAAAACGTTTATAGGACACAGACCCCAAACTGAAAAAAGAAAATGTTCTGACGGTGCTAATGCCACTAACTAAACTGTTCGTTATTTTTAGTTTTATTTTAATTAAAAATGTTACTTCTCATACAAAACATTTTAGACTGTTAGTTCACCACGAAGCGTTAATTTACAACGATTAAGTATACAATTTTAAAGTCATTGCTTAAGTGAGGTTGAATCCCTGAAGGTTTTGTAAGCACGCGATGAGAGAGTTTCAGCTTTTGTATATCAGACAGGTAGAAATGGATTTCTGTTACTTCCGAGGCTGACCATGCTTTCTCTCCAAAGGCGCTTGTAATCTTCGGAAATACTTTCTTGGCTTTTGTTTTCGATATTTATTTCTTTGAGTCCAGCAGGGAAGGTCGTAGTTATTCGACATGATGAAGTCTTGAGAGAAGGAAGAAGGAACGATATACGTCACGGTTAAAAGTTTAACTCCCCAAAGTGATAATGTGACTTGAAACTAATTTGTGCTTTCAATATCATTACACTATTATGCAAAAGGGTGATAAGAAAAAGAAGAACATACCAGCTATGAAATATCATTTGATCTTTTAATTGACAAAGTAAGAAATGTGTAGCAGACATGCAGTAGGGAGAATTATTGTTGAGATCTCAGGAGTGGAAAGGTGAAAAAGTATGTGCTAAACAGAAATGCAAATACGACATTTGGTAAGCGGCTTATTTCTACATCGATCATCGATCGTCGATTTTTTTAGTTTTTTTTCCCGAACAAAAATCACTCACAACTTATTTTTCACTGGTAAAGACTAAAATTTGTACAAACTGCTCCGAAGCCGTTTTTTTGTTGCCAAGTCCTTTTTGCACAAATTTATCATGTCCCTTCATTCATATCATTAGGTTAGAAAAATACGTAATCACCAAGATAGAGCCACCATAAAAAAGTATAGTATTTGATACATTCTTCCCTCTAAGCAGGTTATGCACTATCTGCCGCATCAGCAAAAAAAAAAATACAAAAACAAAAACAGACTCATCGAAGAAGCAAACAATGGTCGATTAAAGGGGATTCTAGTCAATAAAAATTTCTTATGGGTACCTTTTTGTTTTCCTCTCGATTTTCCTCCTGAGTGGGTTTTCTGTCGTAACAAGGATCAAATGCTTTAAAATCGAGCGCCTTGGACAATGAACTACAGCCATAAATTACCACGAAAACAGCAACAGCCAAAAATCCCGCGAGCAAGCTTGTTGCTTCAAAAGCGCTTTTGTACTGAAGTTCAAAGGTGATGGTAACAGAACAGGACATATTTTTTCTCAGTTCTACGGCTGGCGAGTGAAAGTGAATTCTTTTCTTGAGTTTGATTAACTAAGTTTCCAACTTAAGTCTTTCATTCAAATGTATGCTTCTCTTTTTCAGAATTAAGATTCTGACAAAAAATACTGTTCTTATTTGGCATTATCAGTCAATTTCCTAAACTATCTTCAATATGATTGGCTGATTTGAAGACATCTGCGAGTTGGTTGTTTGACCTGAGAATAAAATCGCGTGTTTTATGAGCAAAATACGGTCAAAAGTGACTAAAACAATAATCAATGAATTTTCCACTTAACTAGGAAAAAAAGCGGTGTAAGAAATGAAAGTTATTCGAATGGAACTCGACACGATACAAGACTTCTCTCATTTCAAGCTCTTTTCCATTTAAAAAGTACCACCAACGCAAACTTGAATCAACACTCCACGCGCTATTACGGACTATTTTTAGTACACAAAGGTGTATTTTTAGGAAAATGTTTCTAAATTTAGAGCCAGTTTCTGAAAACCCTTACCGTGCGTTTTTTAGCGCCTTCTCTTTATTTATCCAAGTTATAACCTAATTGGCTGGGGAATTTTCAGTATTCAAAAAATGTAAATAATCTCGATTATTTCGGGAAGACATCTTATAAAATCGATATCGTGTTTTCTACTTTGGAAGGCGATGGGATAGTTGGAGATAATTTCCTGTATTTACAAAGATCAATAATAGGGATAATACAAAATGTTAAATTTGCCATAAATTGATCACTAATATCAACTTTTTACAAAGGCGAAATCGCTTGGTGCGATAATATTCTGTACAGCTCAAAAATAAAACATCAAACGAAAAGATGAAAAACAAACATTTGCATAAACCAGTCAGGAGAGCAGACCTAACATATATGACATGATTTGCTTAATTGTGCAACTATGCTTTTAATCTTTTCTGTTAAAGCCTGTTCCCATTTTTACTCCAATGGAGTAAAATAAATTATCATGTCAAACTATCATTTGCCGCTCAAAAATTTTGTAAAAAAACATCAATGTTTACAAACAGCAGTTGTTCTTCCATGCGACCTTGGCTTTGTCAAAAGCGATTAAAAATGCTCTGTTCATGTTGATAGCTTTCAGAGACGTGACGTTGCGTAGAAACACAGGTAAACAGTTAGTTGGCCGCAGAGGACTGGGGAAGACAGATGCGATAAGGCCTTTCTTACGAATATAGTTTTTATTTCTCGCGAACGACTGCCAGCGGAGGTTTTACCGCAAATTGGAGTGGATCAATTTCTCTCGTATTTTGCCTACTATTTTTTCTTAAATTCTACGTCGAACAAGAAAAGAGGAAACATTTATTCACAGAGGGATCGATCGTTTAACATCACACAATTCGTTGAAACAGCGATAGTCAATTTTTGTGAGTTGCCATTCATTTAAACCGCATCGAGCTTTTTCTAAAACATCAACGTCTCGGTAATTTCATCGTTATCCTGAAATAATTGCTTAGGCTTATTAGTTTAAAGCTAGATATGCTGGATATGTCAAGAGAGACTAATACTTTTTAGTCGATCGTTATCTGAAAGTTTGGCCAAACTAAACCCATGCACCTTATACATGATCAGCTTGTTCAGCTTTGGTAAAAAATTATTATTTCATGAAATTGACGTTCCATATGGTTCATGCGTGTTGCATGTTTTCGACTGTACAATTGATGTACGGTAGAAAGAGTGGTATCCAGCCGCAAGAAACGGAATGTATAGATGAATAATAATCTGTTGACAGATCACGAGAGCTGTGGTAAAAAAATGAAAAATAAAGTCCTCGCACAGGTAGAGTATCTTACGTTTGCACGTTTTCCTTCAAGGCTGGCTATAAGCCAATAATCAATTCAACAGTGTCTTTATTGCACATCTGATCGATCGGTTGCGAGAATAAAAAAGTACAATTTTGGATTTCTTTTCAGCATAATAATTACAGGGTTCATAACTTCTTAATTAAACGGCATACCTGTTATAGTTATTTTCGTTTCCAAAGCGGTTAGCTTGTTATTCCTCTTCCGAGATTTCAACTACCAAGAATTAAAACCACCCTACTATTGTACCAAATTTGAAATTTACGAGACATGTGGTAACAATTTTATACTTTCTATTTGCTGTTCGGTAAATTTAAAGATGCAAACATCGGCTAAATATCATCTGAATTACTCACGGACATTTTCCTCCTGTCTCGAAAAGAATTTATGAAATTCTAAGCCTGGTACCTCGACGGTAAATGGAAAAAAGAGCAGAATATTAATTTTTGGCTTCCATTTAATTTGTTATTACTTTCTGTGTGATTATTTTGAGATGTGATGCAACGTTAAAAAGCGTCACACCGTGTTCTCAAAGACTATCGACATCGAAAACAATGACAATCAACAACTTTTTTACGAAGCATGTTCGCGGCAGGAGAGTATCACCCACTCACAAGATAATGCGACTCAGTTTGCCTCTAAAGATAGGAAAGTGCGATGACATTCTTTGGGCCATTTAACAAGATCGTAAGATAAAATTAAACCACAAATCGCACTTTCGTTTCATTTTCTCTCGATAGTATCGTTGCACCTGTCAGCAGTGCGTAATTGAATTTGGGTCCTGATTCTTAAACACCACAGGAGTTTCAACTGACGTGAATACTTTTTCTGATACTTCTCCACCACGTCGTGTTCACGTGGATTATCTTACCCAAACAAACCACACGTCGGAAACTATAGATTATAAAATCTGACTACTATGCCTTCGATTCTTAAGTTATAAGGCCAATCTAATAATTGAAACTGACTACCATGCCTTCGAGTCTAAAGTTAAAAGACTAATCTAAAAATTGAATCAGTATTCGACTATGGTTTCCAGGATGCATCAGCAATAGAGAGGATTTACTGTTTGATAAAGTCCCCTCGACCTAATCTTCTGTCGGATCAAATCTTACATCAAATATTTTACAAATCTTTGATTAGTTTACAAGAAAGTTACTCTCACTTAGCTTAAGAAATCTAAAGAGTTCTGAATATCTGAAGTTTTTCACATGTTATTAAAGCAATTTGCTTAAAATACTGAACTTCTTTTTTTCGTAATAAGGCAGCACGGAAGACTTTTCCACAGGGAACTTCTTCCTTTCTTCTTGACTTTTTGGATGTTCATGATAGTGCTCAGCGAGTGCGTGTTCTTGGGAAATTCTCCTCTGTTGGTCATTAAAAATATTAATTTCCTGAAGTTCTGTATCGTCAGTTGTCATAATTCCAGACCATGGTGAATTCTTAAAAAGTAAAGAGAGAAAGTCAGCATTTAAAACTCAGAAAGATGGCCATATGGAAGCTAAGCAAAATGGTTTTTCTTTTGATGGAGCAGCGTCACGACTGTTTACTAAATTCCGCCACAAGGAAATTAGTGAAGCGTTGAGAAATTTACATTAGTCAGGTAACCTTTAAACAGCAACATGCCAAATAGGAAGGAAAGACTGGATAGATAAATTCAACAGGCTAAAATGAAGAAGCAGTCAAGCCGGAGTGCTGGTGAGCATGCGTGTTTGTTCAACCCCCGACTCAGGTACCGCACAGAAGGAGGAGCTGGGGGCCTTGCCCCCCCTCCCCCCTAATTTGTTTTGAAAAGAAAAAGTGTCCTGCTTAGCATCCCCCCATCCCCCTGCCTTGTTGGCTGTAGCTTATGCGTTCGTCTTTAGCCTCCCACTAAAAAGTCAAGTTTGTGGCGCGGACCCTGAGTCTATCGTACATTTTGAATAGGATTTACTTGGAAATGACCAGTTTTGTAACTTTCATATTACAGGTATCATTCGTCCATAGAAAACGGACCAAAACTTAAAATAGAATTAAGATATCCTTACATTAAACTAAACTTGATCCGAGGGAGATTCATCCGCGTAATTCTTTCACTGGAAGTTTCTAGAGCCGCCTGTGGCCTAATTATCCCTCGCAATTGAGTTATCAGTTACTTCGCCGCTCAAAATCAATACATTAACCCGCAAACAAGTGATAAGAACAGACAGTGGGTTTACTCTCGATATAATACTAAAATCTCGTAGTTTTTATACCTGGAAATGTGTGGTTCCAAGAACAGTGTATTATTGCACAGATTTTGGAAGTTTCTTGATGGACGCTTCACAAGACTCTTGTAAGCTCTTAGTAAGAATGTGAACTTTCTCAGAAGAAGAAAAAAACGAGCTGCGTAACTTTTCAAGTTAACACTTACGTTCCCACTTTTTTCCTCATTCTCCACAGGAATCGGTTTTGAGCAACAAGCACTTGTATTAAGGCGTTTATCCATGAACAGCCTAGTACGCCTACGATTTCGCTGCTTTATCGCAAAGATGACCACAAACACTAAAATAGCGATCAACGCTGGTGTTTCCGAAGCGTCTTTGAGGTTGATCTCAAAGTTGAAAACGAAAGAAAACATTTTGGTTTAAATTGTAACACTTTCCTTGTAAAAATGGACACTAATCTTGAACTGTTATGTTTGATTCAAGCGTTCTTGTTTCAGGCCGGCCTAGATTGTCCCTTTGTCACGAATTATCACTCTGACAAAGGACAACTGCTTATCTGACCGTGTCGTTTATTTTCTCCCAAAATACGACAATACGATTGGCTGATTTGAAGACACCTGAAAGATAGTTGTTTGCCAAGCGGGACAAATAATTAAGTATTAGTCGTGGAGTGCATTGTGAAAAAAAACACCTTTCTACAGGCTGGAAACGTTTTACATTTGTTAGAAAATGTGTTTATGCCAGTGTTTGGTGAAAAAAAGTCACGGTACTGGCTTAGATCTCGTTAGATTCCCCTAGTTCACGCTTAATTTTCCAGCATTATCATTAGAACTGTTTTCTACATCCCACGCATTTCACCAGCTAAGTTTAGAGCTGTCAAGCGTGATATTTTTAGCACAATATTACCGAATTTAGACCAAATTTGACAGTTCTTGGTCAGCACTTTTTATTTTGGGCCCAATTGTTTCAGTTTAGGCGCTGATTGGTTAAAATTGGGGAAAATGTCTTTAAAATAGCAGTTTCAGATTCGAATGGCTAAGAACGAGTTATTTTGATAAGACTTAAGAAAATTCACTTCAGGCGCAACAAGAAATCGGACAAAATGAACAGAGCACGCATTCAATTCACAGAGACGCATTGAACAATGTATTCCAAAGGTAGAGAGAAAGCCCGGTCGTGAAAAAGAATCAACCTGAACGTGATGGGAAAAAACAATGAGATAAATGGATTCGATTTTATAAGAACCACGCAATCGTTATTTAAATTCAAATGAAGTAAACAAGCCATGATGAGGACACGTGGTCGATGCCTATTCAAGCAAATCCGATTTACTCTCATTTCCTCTTTCATTAAAAATTAAATACGCAACCATAAAATGTAGGCATATCGAGGCTTTAGGGTTTAATAAAGTGTGGTATTTCGTAAGTTGCTTCGCCGCGTTCGCTTGCAAGCATTTTAATAGGGTAGAGTTTCATCACAGAATGGAAAGTTAGTAAAGTGATGTTGTGATGGTCAAAAAGCAATTTTACGTGAACGGCGAATGAACAGAAGTGGACAGATTATTTATAACTCAAATTACAATAGCACAAACAATGATTAAAAAATAAAACCCAGGGATCTCACGGGAATAGAGACCGTAAATGTTACAGTTTGTTTTGTAAATCTATCGAACACTACTTTGGCTGTTTGACCTGTGACAGTTCAAAATGTTGTATTCCATAGCCTCCAAATTTTTACATTTCAGGTTTAAATACTGTTTCCACTTCAATATGCTTTGCCGTTAATAATTCGCACCTCAAAGAGAAATAAGTATAACCCTTCTACCTAAACATAGAAATCATTCACAACACTTAACAAACCGCGGAAGGAAGTAAAACCCAATATAATTAATTATCAAAACATTTTGGAATTTCTCAGATTGTCAGATCTATTTTTTATATCGATATTGTGCGTCTCGCAAAACTTCATTTGGCACAGCGGTAAAATAAATTACCAATTCAAATATCACATTGTCATGGAATTACGTGTTCAAAGCAGACAAGAGGGTCTAACACAAATTAAACACCCTTTGTTTATGTAATAAACGCTTATTAGCTATAGCCGTTTGGTTTTTTATTCGTCTGATACACAAAGTTTAGATCAACCATTTTTTAAAAGAGCGCTGGTTTTTATCGAGAACAATGTACTGTGTGTTTGTTAAAGAAGGGAAATAGTCCGTGGTACTTGACCTTCATTAGGAAACTGTGAGTAGCGTGGGTAGAGAGCATTTAGTGAACCCTTAAAGGATTCTCCAGAAGTCCACTTAGTCGTCTATTTTGAGAGGAGTACCAAAGGGATGTATAAATTCAGCAATTGAGTTTATTTGGTGCAGATCAATGATGACCATAATACGATGTACACTTTCAAATTATCACTAAATTGCTTTCATTTAGTAATAAATGTTTCTGAGAAACAAAACCTCAGGTAAAAAACTTAACACTGATAGGCACAAAACAAGTACTTGCCAGTACTCTGAAAGTGTATGCAGCACCTTTGTTGATTGCAACTGTGATAATTTTAAAAGACTGCATGTGGCTACTGATATAACATAATTTTTGTAGCGTTGAAGAGGATTAGAAAAACACTTTCAGGAGCTTAGTGACCAAAGGTTGAGTGAATAAGGAGGAAGCAATCGGTTTATGCTGGATTACCCGATGAAAATCATCACAATGTGACATTTTCACAGATAGACTATTTTTAGCATGGTTTTTTTTCCCTTCCGCCTTGTTCATATTAGTATCAAGCGAGGAACTGGTTGGGAAATGTTTAAACATACGGCCTTGCTGCAAAAAGATAAAATAAATTCTGGTTGCGATAATTATCATTCGCCTTTCCTTGAGGTCATTCTGGCTATGAGAATTTTATTTATTTATTTCACCCCATTTTCTCTCCCCCTCCCTCTTGTAACCCCCCTTCCCTCCCCTCCAACTTATCTTTAGTACTACGACTTTAATAATTCTGGTGCTTTCGAAGAAAAGTGTTTGATATGGCTGCTTGTCTCGCAGTCTATTTTTGTGGCTTTCGTCAGCATATTTACTTACCTCGGCCTACTTATAAACAAATCGCGTAACGGTGTGTTCCATCATTTTGTTCATAAGCTGTATTAACCAATCACAGAACAAAATGTAGCTTAACGCAAACGGGTTTCCTGCGCTTGGTTTGACCATGTGCATAATCACATATTCAAGGTCTTGGATTTAAAACCCACTTCACTACGAAAAATATATAATACTGTCAAGATTACACACATAAACACAATAAGACTGTTTATAAAACCAATACTCGGAAAACAGTCGAGTTGTTTGTGTTGAGGTAAGAATTTCAGGGATCCTTATCAGCCAGGATTCTCATACGTTGTGTTCCAGGTTTGTTCTAAAAGAAAAAAGAAAGTTCTAAAATAAATATTTTTGTTCTTCCTACAGATTAACTTAATAACTTAACTTGTATAACTTAATGAAATTCAAGCAATTAATTTAGAAACTCGGTGTACTCGTCGGGGGGAGGTTATTAAGAAGTAAAATGCCACTCAGTATCTCGCTTCTAATAATTTAGAGTTTTTTTCTTAACAGGGAAGGTTCTACTGTATTTAGTTTACTTACCAAATGAAAACTCAGAGGTGTTACGAGGATGTGCGTTCTTGTATTTCTCTAAGAGCTCATGCTTTAAGAGTCCATTGAGATCCGGGTTTTCCTGCATGATATTCATTATTTGATAACTTCAAAATATTTCTTTTACGTTCGCTGAATTTATCTCATAGATATCACTAAAAAAACTGTTACACGTATTACTCTTGTTCAGGGAAATTTTGTTTTCGGTTCAAGCTCTTGTAATTTTTTCTGAAGTTGTCCATATCATCATTAAATATGTTGTAAAAAGATAAGCAGGACGTTACTCATCCGCTTGTAGGTGGAAATTGATTTATCGACCCGTGTTGCTGATGTTGCGAGTTATTCACTTTACTTGCTCGTGAGTGTTAATATCAACAAAAAGATAGAATTCGTACCCAAGCAAAGCCATGTAATAATCTCTCTATATCACAAAACGTTTCATCATCTTTACTTATAGTCATCTAAAATAAATGTCTGTCATTCCCGTAAAGAAAACCAAGTATTTTTCATCGACTACCTCGCATGCAGACCCAAATGTCTCTCGCCTGTGGGCCCCTTTTAAGGATGTGGAGGAGGAAATAGACTTACAAAACAAGTTTACTTTGATTTAAATGTATTTCACAAACCTTATCCTGATCCCTATCATTTTCTTTCATATATTTGGCACTTCCCGATGCATGTGGGGGTTTCAGCGCCCTCTGAGCCTGATTCAACGCCTTCACATCGATTCCCACCAAGGGCTTACGATTAACAGGCTCCAGGACTTGACGAGGCGGAAGCTCCATCTGAGAATTCACCGGAACCGAGGGTCGGGGTGCGGCAGATGACAGGCTCACCTTTTTACCAGTGAGCAGCTGTTTGTAGAAAGTCTAAACAACGTAATAAAGTTCTCTGTGAGTGTAACTCGAAAAAGAAAAAAGTTTTGTCGTTGGCAAAAAGGGAAAGGAGATTATGATATGATATGATGTGGTTTCATTTACTCTGGAAACGAGCACAAATAGTGAAAGAGCGGAGATCAATAAGGTGATTGAAATCCTCACATCTCCAGCCTAAAATAATTAGCGTCCTGTAAAGGGATAGAAAATAACTGCTTTCGATTTTCTTCGTGGAAGTGTTCGATTCTTTTAGTATCTTTGCTAGTTCGTGTCTTGAATTACATGTTGACTTAATCTTACCTTACTAAGAGCCCGCACCGAGCGGGGAGAGTTGACATCAGCCTTTGCGAACTCCATCAGGACGTGAAACATTTTGTCTTCATCCTCAATTTCCACCGGGGGATCTGATGGTAAAGACAGCGATGCCTCATTCGAATGATTTCGAATTGAGCTGTTTAGCAATTACCCTATGTGCCTTTTGGCGCCAAGCGCCAACAACTCAGCTTGACCGTGTACGAATACCTCGATAAAAGGCAGGCTGTATACACTTCTTTGAGCAATGAACTTTTTTTATGCCGATAACTTGCTTGCGTTCTGTAACTAACAATTTGGATACGTCTATTTTCTGCGAACGATTGCCTGAATTTTGCCGATGTACTCTCTTGACAAACAATTTACCTTACAGCAACGCTGAGGCACTCACCATGTGATGGAGGATTTATGTAAGAGTGAGCCAACAACTGAGGGATGGTATAGCGCTCCTTGGGATTCCGGAGGAGACAGCCCTAAAAATACAAGGAAAAACAAGCAGTCATACAGGAGACGGCTGAGCAGGTGTTTTTTTGTTTTTTTCCATTCCTAAGCCCTCGCCTCGCGCGTCACTCGTTCTAGCTTCAGCTCGTTGGGAAACGCTAAAAAGTGGTCTTTCTTTTGACATCCATAGACGAGGGAATTATTTTGGGGTTGTAAATATTGACATATGCACGTTTGATTTTTCATATCATAACAAATGAGTCAACAAACCTTCATGACATCAAGCAAGTTCTTGTCCTTGATTTCCGGAAACTCGATGACGTGTGAAGGATCCATGATACATTGCAACTTGATGATATGATTAGTTATGTGTTGGAAAGGAGTCCTGCCATACACCATCATGTGGAGGATACAGCCTAAAGACCAAACATCGCTTGCTCGGCCGATCTAAGAGGAACGTGAATTCAGGTCATTATAAAAAGGTTATGACAACGTCGAAGGTTGAAGCCATGTACTGGATATCAGATCACGACAAGAGCTAAAGCCCTCAGTAACTAACAGTACATAATAAAAGGTAAGAGGTCCAGCTTGGATACGAGGCTTGAGAGGTCACTTATGACGTTTACAGCAAGCGGTTACCTGCAAAATTTGAACCTCTTACCGTTTTCTTTCAACTACATGCATTTGTGTACCAAAGCGAAAGTATTTGCATCAACCGTAAATAGACATTTTAATACTTGTACACAGCTGATTTGAGAATTAAAGCAAAAGTGAGGGATTTCTAATTTCATTTCTGCCGTTTGCCACGCTAAACACCTTTGTCGACTCACATAGCCACCCAAGCTTATCCGGGTTGGTTTTACAAGAAGTGACTGGGACTAGTTACTAGTCTTCCTCATGAATTGGGTGTTAGTCTGTTGCAGATCACCTTTCCCCCTGGTATTTTGTCTGGTCTCCCTGACAGTTTTCCGGCTCTCATACTCTTGGCCCCAGTTTTTCAAAGGGTGGATAAGGATATTCACTAGATAAATCTCTAATCAGTGGATTGCACTGTATGTTTTGTAAACACTTATCCGCTGGATGGCGATTTATCCGTGGGAAGGGGTTATTCGCCCTTTGAACAACCGGGCCCTGGGTGGAGAAAAGCGGTGTGTAAATACAATCTCTTGCCAACGAACACGACAAAATGACTCTAGCGGCTAGCCATTTGACTACGGCGTCTCCCACCAGTAACATATACGTACACGCTGCGCGCAAAAGATGCAAATTGCAGGTGCGTCATGGCTGTAACAGGGGTCGGGGCGAGGGGACTGATATCCAGCAATCTTTACCAAACTAAGTTTGGCCAATAAAGGATTCATCATTTGCGTGAACGAAGAAGCGGGTAAGATAGGTGTACCTTTTCCTTTCGAATTCCCTTTAAGTCACCCGCTGGCGTACCAACAATTTATATCCTTACCTTCATTCTGGGTTTTGCATTTCCCGCACTGTCAAACCGAGGCGCGTGAGAGATATCTTGAAAAGCTTCTGGAGACATAAAGTTTAATGTCCCAACCTGTGTTTCAAGTTCAACACTTGTTTTATCTCCCTGAAAGAAACAAGTGAAGGCTAGGTTGGATATGAAAAGCACGTAGACTCAGGCTTTTTTGACTCAGGCATAAAACTAGGAACGTCTGTCAAGAAGTCTACTTTTCGATTTCCGACAAAAACAAAGATCACGGGAAATTGTGAGTTATCTGGTCTTTTCCATTTCCTAATTTCAGAAATTTAATAGCGAGTTCTCAACCCGGGCACGCAGAAGAGCTAGGAGCTGAGAGCTTTCATTAAACTAACACCTTTAAAAACTGACGCTTCAGGAATAATATTATGAGTCTTTCTGAAAAGGACTGAGGTAAAACTCCATGATTTTCCACGAGCTTTTCACGGACCTTTCTGTATTTTTCATGACCTAAAAATTAGAAGTATTTCTCTTTGTTGTTCTCAAAAATGTAATATCAAGTGATTTTCCATGACTTGACAGGCTTATAAAATGAGATGGTAGACTTCATTGACTTTTCAGGTTTGCCATGACCCTGAGAACATAACGGATGTTTTTAGACAGCAGGCTTTCAAATAATCAGAGACAGGACGTGGCCATTCAACTTACTTGAAGAGAATTGGCAATCCCGAAATCGATAAGTTTTAGGCGTCCTTCGACCAACAAGAAGTTGGCAGGCTTTAGGTCTCTGTGAATGATGCGTGCCTCGTGAATCACGTGAACAGCTTCCAACATCTGTCGCCAAAATACCTGAAGCTCACTCTCGGTAATCTTTGTGCGATTCTTTCTCAAGAAGCCCGCCAAGTCAATACTTCCGCATTCCATCACCAAAATAAGGGAACTCCTTTCTTGGCTCAGTTCCCTTAAAGAAGAAGTAAAGAAAAGTAATCCTAGGATACTCTGTTCTCCTAAGATTGAGTAATTTTTGGATAGTCTGCATTTTGTGACTAATGCTCATCCCTTGAGGACCGCACAGTAAGAGTAGGGACTGATGCGGTTGTTTGGGACTAAATGACCCTAAGCGTAAAAAGAGTACATGTATTAGCAGAAGAATATCATACTCACCAGTCAAATAACTTAATTATGTTATCATTGCCTTGCAATCTTTCCAACAATTGCACCTCGTTGATATAGCTGCGAACAATGAAATCATCGGCCTCTTCTAAATTCACGTACTTTATAGCACATATTCTTTTCCCGTCGAAAGCTTGGAAGACCTGGAAGCGTATCAATGAAAAAATGACAGATTAAAAAAGTTAAATAGTTTGAACTCAGGAGTAACAGTTGATCGAGTAATGCGATTGCCCAGATGAAAGTAAACTTGAACTTGGTGGTAGTAACTGAAGATTCAAAAACCTGAGCAGAAGTCATCATTAAGGAATTCGAAAGGTTGTCATTCGTAATTCCTAACCTAAACTTCAAAAAATCGTGGCAGTTGTCCACAATTCGCACACTCCTGCCGATCTAAAATGCTAACATTATACACAAAAAAATCGACGATCCATTTTAAGAACAGTGGAAAAAAGTGAATTACAAGCTTGATCCAAGTTGGAAATGAAGGCAAAAATCGGTCTCAAGGCGGCGCTTAAAGCTGCAATAAACATGTCGGAGAAAAAAAAATTATGACAAAAACCAGAAAACTTACCTTACTGGAGCCGCCTTTGCCAATAGTTCCTAGTCTCTGGTACACTTTGCCTTTCACCATGATTGTTTCCTGCGAAGACTGGACAGGGACGGCTGCTGGCCTTGAGAACTGCATTTCTTGGGGGTAGCCTGAGGCATGACTAGCACCTAAGAGCTGACCAGGCATCGAGCGTAATGGGCCACTGTGATTAACTCGTGCAGTACTGTGTTGCGACAGAGAGCCACTTGTTACAGTGGATTGTGCAACTGAATTAGTACTTTGGTGACGAATGGTGACTGAGCTATTAATACCTTGGTTTGACTCAGATGACAAACCTTGCAGCGTTGGTATTTGATGAAGAAGCACGGGCTGGTGACCTGAGTTGGACACATCTCCTTGCCGCTGACTGCTACTGTTATTCAGCATCGCTGGCTGAGGGTTTGTAGTAAATGAATAAGATCCTGCTGGCTGCTTGTTATACGGTAGGTTTTCTAGTGCTTGCGGCGCAAAAATCCCCTGTGTTTCCACTGTGTTATTCCTGAAACAATCTTCAGATAGTTCACCCGATGTTTCTTTCTGAGATCCACAAGCAGATGGAAGGTTCTGTTCCCCACCCGTGTCTTTCTGTGAACTTGAGGACGCAGAATGAACACTGCTCCTCGCCAGATGAAATCCATGTATCTGGTTACTGGGAGCTGCCTCAAGTTCACAATTCTGTTGAGGCACCTCCACAGTACAGTCCAGTTCAGTTATACCGTTCAACTCATCACCAGGTTCACTCAATGCTGGTAGGGGTCTCTTCACTCTCATTGGAAGACCAAAGTTTATTCCTAAACCTCCTCCACCGCGTCTTGCCTTAGGGCGGCGAACTGATAGATTCATACATCCTGCAAGACTGTCTGTACCTAGAATGCAAGTAAACCCTCAATTACATGAGTGAGATTTCCCCAACAAATTTTCTATTGATAAGCTTTCCTTTGTACAATAAATTAAAGATACAAGTATTTGAAAAATTTGAAAAGGAGGGAAAGGTTGCGGAATGGTTTAAATGACTTGACAAGGAGACATGTTGAGAGAAGCATAAAGGATTTAAGGCAAAATCTACTCCAAAAACTGAAGACCTGTAAATGCTGCTTACACGGGAAATCCGAGGAAATGCAAGACATTTTTATCTGTTAATCACATGCATCTTGAAACAAGATATAAATGTAACTGACAAAATTAATACATAAGTAAATATATCAGTTTTTGTCTCACGATCATTAACTATTCATTGTGAATTCTATCAATCCCAAGGTCTTAGGATCAATTCTCCACATGGTCTTCTGCACATTTCTAATAATTGTAGTCCTGAGAATTTGGTTTTGCCTCAAATATTATCCTCTACTTGATATTTTTCTTTCTTCTCAACACCTCGTTGTGTGAAAATGTATTGATCTTGCTGGAAGAAATTCCTTTATAGGTCAATTGTGGGAGTGAAAAAGTTAAGAAGGATTAGCTGCATGCAGTGTTGTATATCTTGTTTATTGACCTGATTTGAAGTCAGGAGTAGATTTCACAGACGGTTTCTGGGTGGACATGCTCCCACGCTGCCTGTAGGTGGATGACTGAAAAGGGATGCTGTCGGCCTCATCGCTGCTACTGCTGCTGTTACTTTTTCTGAAACTGAGAGGTTTCTTGCCACAACTCTCCAGAACACTTGGTAATTTGAATGAAATCACAGCACTGGTATTGTCAGAAACTTTTGCTGTGCCAGCATCTGTGAGCTGTGTGGAACTGCATGTTGAACTTTCATCTCCTTATAAGACAAAACGATTAGTTTGACTACCAAACCAAACAAGATCAATTTTAGCCATATAAACACCTGGTCAATAAAACTACTTCAATATGACATGCCCAGCTCTTGTAACATTCATAACATTGAAAGTTCCTGTGGTTGCTGATCCCAATATTTATTTCTTGTTTGCTGTATTAAATGGTGTTTGAGATGTGAATAATTGCAAAATTAAGGAAAAAAAAATGGATGAGTAAACTAACAAGCCAGCAGCCAGTACATTTCAAGAGCTATTCCAAATGCTGGTGGCCCATTTTCAGCATGGAAGAATGACATTGTGTTACTGGTACCTTTTTTTTAGAAACTAGTTACTCAAAATCTTTTTTTTAAACCATGAACCAGGAGTCAAGAATCAGGAATCAGATTTCTAAGCCGAGACCTGCTGTGCTATGATTCCTGAAATTTAGCTTTTAAAATATGGTTTAAACCCTTACTGTTACTTGGAACTGAGCATATTGAACAAACTTGTTTAATCTGACAACCCAACATTAGGAACAAACTTTCATGGCCTATTGGTAATTGTCAGTAGTAAATTTTTACATCAAGGCAACTAGTAGCATCAGAATCACTAAGAAAAATTGGCAGTGAAAGGAACTTATCATTTATCTACACCGACAATTGAGAACACAGAGGAGCATTGCAATCTACTAAATGAAGGTTTTGACACAAAATTTTATACTTCATATTCTTTTTAAACCTGATATAAAATTAAACATATTTCACACTACAGTGATCATTAGTAATATCAATATTAGGATAGAGTGATTTATTAAAACTCTGCAAACATTAAGAACCCTTTCATTCCCAGAGTCTAAATTCAATACTTCATGCTGTCTATGTATACTTGTTTCATATAAATACCTTCAATAACACTCTTCTCTAAAAGCTACAACATAGTAATTAAACTTTACCTGTACTCAAAGGTGACATATCTACTGATGATTCACTACTCTTCTGATTGGCTCTGTAATGTGTAAAACCTGTCAGTTCCTCAGACTCCTCAAGCAGCACCTTCCTCCCTGCTACAAAGTTATCATAAGCTTTTAAAAGCAACTCCTTAGGTTCTGCACCAGAATCTTTTCCTTTCCGTAGCAGGCTTCTGCATTTGCTTCTGTTTCCTACAAAAATTGCACAAATCATCAGGATCAGGTCTGTCCTCTAAGAAGAATCACAGAGTTGCAGAGGGTTGTTGTTACAGATAGCCATTGTCAGCAGCTCTTTGAGGCTTTCATGAAGCAAAGTTTTTCAAGTTGCATAGAGAAAAACAAGTTAGACACCTCTGTCACCCAGGCTCAGCTAGAACACAATGGGGATTACAGTGATTGCTATGTGTGAGTATTTCTGACTCCTTTGAGAGTTTCCTGTGTTTCAAAGGGAAAGGGGGTGCACCATGGTGCACAGTGTGCTCTTCATATATTCTTGAGATTGAAAAAGATAAATTTGAAATTACATATGTAGTTGGATTCAAACCTGTTAAAAGCTCAAACTGTGCCCATGCAACAAAAACAATAGCAAAGTGTTTTGCATTGTTTCGTGCCAACTGGAACGAGCTTCGAGCATCATCTTCTGATATTTTCCTGTAAGTAACATAAGAACATAACTACAGTCACAACTCTAAAAATGTGTCTGCTTTAACCTTCTGTAACCCTTTCCATTCTGACATCAATATACATATTCTCCATACTGTTCTCTGTACATTCTTTTGGTTCTAAGATGGAGAATTTGTAGAACCATTAAGAGCTTTGTTAGTTGCTGATCATTTCCTGTATTCTCATGACTTAAACCTTTATTTCAGGGGTGATATCCTAAGGAGAATTTAGAACCTTGTCACTCTTAGGGATTAAAGGGTAAAACAGCTTATAACACATGTTTTTAAGATACCAGCATTTTCTTAGGGAAGTGATGCAATGTAGTTGAATTCCTAGAAAAAAAACAATCGACTGTTCCTGAGGTGGTATTAGCAGCCAATTTTTTTCCTTGAAATTGGGAAATGTTCAGCTGGTTCTTTGAAGAAATAATCATGCGATCTCTTTCCAACACTTACATTTGCAGTTTTGCAAAATTCACAAGAATACGAGCATAGGAGATGTTTTTCTTATTTTCTTCTGCTGGGATTTGACTAACAGCTCTTTCGTAGAGGTACAACAAGTGCCTACAGTTCTCATCTGTAAGATCTGCTGCCAGTCTTGATTGTCTTGGAGCCAAAAACTCTAGCCAGTCCTCAGGTCTGTTACCATTACTTTTTATTTTCTGAATAGCTGTGGTCTCAGCATCCATCATGATTGTAAATAGCTCTTGATTTCAGTAATGAACAGGTTAACAACAGACTGCAGCCACATCAAGACAGTTGCCAACAACAAGCTGACAAAGTAAAATAATTGATGTTACTCATCATAAGCCATAGAGTATAGGTAGTTCAATGTAAAATTTGTCATTAATTATTATTAATTATATCAATTCATGGTTAGGCTATGTGAGAGCAACTCATTGTGTTAAAAAAAGGTACAGAGTGCAATTTTCAAGCGATACTGCTAATTTCAAACCATTTGATCTGTTCCTTAAATTTGGAAGAAATACTATCACAAACTCTTAAGAAGCACATACAATGTGGGAAAAAGGTGTGAGATAAAGTGACCTATTTGACTAAGTGTGCTGAACTATGGCTGAGCAGATCTGGGATTAAGTCCTGCCTGGGTCTTTCTGTTTGTCTTCTTAGATAAAAACACTCTCTTGGTGCCTCTCTCCGCCAAGGAGTACAAATGCATACCTGCACTCTGTTGGGGAAACTTGAAAAAACAATGGGAGATAACTCTGCACTGGACTGGCACACTACTCGGCAAGAAGCGGTGATACTTTGAGTTGCTTCATGCTACTTAAAAATTGCGATAGGTTCCTTCTGGATGAGCCTTCTAGCAATTTGTAAATCTTTCAAGTTTTCAAATTGCACAGAATGTAAATAATTTGATCATAGAATTCAAAAGAATTACAGTTTCATTCTCTCCATATAAGTAGTAAGCTCACATGAATTCAGAAACATACGTGCATACATCATGCAGTTTCTCCTGGTGTACATGCACGATGTTAGCGTTCATGTCCATTCGAGGAAAAGTTAGGAGAAAACCTGCCTTCCTTTTCGTTTCATAATAGAAGTATCAACGATTTTTCGAGTTGGTCATTTGTGTATGCTGGAAATATTTCACGGAGCTGTTATCCTAACGGTGAGTCAACAAACCGATACAATATTTTGCTCCTCCATAATTTTCAACAATTATTCGTCAACTTAACTTAATTCCTTCCATCTTTTTCGTTATTATTTGTATAAAATCTAAAACTGGACATATTTAGATATAAAAAGCCCTTTTTAATGAAGTTTTAACCCATAAACCGTATTTATTTCGAGAAACTTACCTCTACTATGCAGTCATGACCGAACCTTCACCATGTTAGTTGATGTTATTGAGGTGATTCACGTGAAGCCGTCTTCGAAAAATTCTGTCATTTGATTGGTTTGCTTAATATAAACTCGCTAGCGATTGGCCGCTATGAATTTGAAAGCCAAGGCGCGAGTACAGCGCAGAATTGATTGTCAGCGGTCCTGATATGTAATTAACAACATGGCGGACGAGATGAGGTTGGATGCGACTTAATTGTAGCTCAAATATGCTTCGTATTTGATGGGATTTCTGTGTCACAACGTCTTTTATGTAACATGGTAACATCGAATGAATTCAGAACTAGAACTGCGGGATTTTATTTTGCCTTAAAGAGAAGGGATCTCAATGTCTCGCAGCTTAGTCGACAAGGTCATAAGGTTGTGCGAGAGTCGTGGATTTTCAGTGGAGTCGCGCATTGAAAGTTCGCCCACTGGTCATTACAGATACCAGTTTGGACCACTTGGTACAGAGCTGAGGCGTAACTTGAGAAATGCTTGGTGGTATGATGTAGTTAGATCAAAGGGAAATGTTTATGGTTTTGAATCAGCGTGTGAACTAGGAACTGGTGGGTTAGGGGACAAAACTCATGTTACTAATAAGGAAGAATCAACAGCTACGACTGAAGGAGAAAAGCCAAAGGGAGATGATTTTGATCCATTAAATAACAATTTTCTTCAATATATGGCTCATTTACTCGGAATCATTCCTGGAATTGAAGTACCTTTTGGCACGGCGTGGAACAGAAAATACTGTGAAAGTCCAAACAATGATCATTATATTTTCAGGTATTTGGGTCTTAAATACTTAGAATGACTATTCTGTTTTGAGAGTCTGATTGATCTATAGTTAGATTTATCAAACTTTAAACCAAGTTTCTCTTTAAATTTGCCAAAATGCAGCTGAAACCAGCCACATGAATCTGATACACGAAGACAATAACTAACTGACTAACCTGTCAGTTTCAATGGTTTAGAGTTACAACATTTGACAGAAAAACGAAACATTTTATCCAAAATCCTGTAATTGGCTAGTTTGAAAGTGATGAGCAGGTTCAAATTTGTGTGCTGAGAGTTTAATTTTGGACAATATCTGGTATATTCTTCAAATATAAACTAATTTACTGGTTTCTTTGTGGTGTATGCTAAAACAATTATTCACCTCAGTGTCGGTGAAAGTGGTGAGTATTTGCCTCCACTTTGGTGTTTCATTGTTAATTAAAATGGCTGTTATATTTATACTGGTGTTTAACCCCCAAAAGATCCAGCATTTTTTTTTTTGTTTTTTTTTTTCAGCACTTGTCATTACAAAGTTTGCTAATTAATAAATTTATGTAAATGTGTATATTTGTATACTCTTAACAAAAGATTTTCACCATAGATCACTAAACAGAAATTGTCTCTTTATTTACAGTTCTGATTTTAAAAATTTCTGTGATGTATTGATCTTTGAGAACAAAAAATAAAAACAGTTCACATGTCTTGTAAAGTATACTAGTAGCCCTTGTTGTTATGAGAATTTGGCTTACTGTGGCTCCCTACAGGGGAGTCCATCTATCCCTGATTTATTAAATACTTAACTATTGAGTACCAAGGTAATAGGAGTAGGAGAGATGAGGAATGAGTCATGGTTGTTTGAATATTCTTGAGAAAAGAGATCATTAATACTATTAATATTATTCTTTATCAATACAGGTAATACCTCTCTCCTTCTAAATAAAAGAACAGAATATCATTTTTTCTTGGCACAGAATTACCTCTCCACACCCATAATGGAACAATTTGTAATGATGTTTCTTTCTATTGGTCTTTGTGCAGGTCTTTTGAGAGGGAGATCATGTCCCTTGAATTCTTTTGTGCTGAAAATAGAGTAAAAGATTGGACAAATCATTGGAAAAGACAGAGACTTGTCTGGTGGAGAAAATTTGCAAACATTCGGTCTAATTACAGTCTTTATGAAGAACAGATAGAACTAGAATCTGGCTCATACAGTAAAACCTTTATAAAGGTATCCAATCATGCTCATTTGAGGTCACATTACCCTTTAAAACTGTGAAGTTCACATTTTGCACTAATGTCTTGGACTAACGGTTCTGTTTGTGACAGAAACTTATGGAATGTTTTCTTGTCCTGTTCCAATGTAGGGAAAAGGGTGTGATAAAGATAATGATTTTGACTTTTAACTTTTATTGATAAAATTTATGTTTTAATTTTGTTGTAATAATTATGTGCAACATGGTCACGGAAAGCGAAAAGTTATTGATAAGGATGTCTGTCAAGTAGAATCAAAATATGCACAAGGAAATGAAATGGTCATGATTGCATAAAATGATTTAAGGCACAGTCAGGTGATGTTTTAAAGTTTTTGTTGTTGCATGAGCTACAAGCAAGTGAAATTTGAAAAATTTAGGAAGTTTTTTGGGAGGCTGTATGTTACAAAGTGCACAAGCAGCTCACCAACCTACCTATCTTACACTGCCTTGGACATCCTGTAAGGCCAAATTTATCAGAAAATTTGCAGATTATATGGCTTATATAAAGGTTGAATGGTTGAAGTGCAAATGGTTGTATATTTTTATTATTTCACGAGTGTCACTTACTACTCTCTTTTCTTCCAGTATATGTTTCCATGGGGCCAAGAATCAGTTGACTCTATTACTGTAAGATCAGACCTACACAAGTACATAGGAACAGATGAGTTCAGAGGACTACCATTCAACAAGAAATCAATACCTCATGTCATCCAGGTCAAAACTGATCTTAATAGAGGTAAATTTTGTTTGTAAAGTCCTTGGTTTGCAATACTTCTGTTACCCTTTTCTTGTTTTTGGCTTCTGTTAGTCTCTCTTGAGTTCTTTTGCATTCCCACCCTTCCCCCAAAAAAGAAAAAAGAAATATATATATTATTATATAATAATAATGATGATGATGTGTGTAGACCGAGGGCTGTCCCTCCACCAAAATTGCCTTTGTGGATCCTAGATGGTAACCCTAAAACTTGCATATCATTTTTATCCAGGAGGGAAGATTCACTCTGCAAGCAAGATCAAACACAAGTAGTGTTCTTGCTAATTGTATCTGTTGTTTGTCATGTATGTGTATCAAACATTTCTATTCAGGAGAATGGATTTCATAATTTCATATTGTTGCACCATAATTTTTTCAATTTTAAGGATTTCTCGCTTCTCTGATGGACGCATATTCAGAAAAGGAAAGATCTGATTCCAGTGGCAAAGTTAGTCTCTGCACAGTTCTTCATTTGCATCCTCAGTTGGCCCCTATCAAAGTTGCTGTTCTTTCCCAATACCCTCAACATAATGAGCTCTGTGAAATAGCTCAGCAGTTGTCATCAGAGCTTCGAGAGGCGGGTGAGTTAAAAATTGTACCACAGTCGAACCTGTATTAAGCTGTCAGTTGTCAAAGTCCCGAATTTGTTTCCGCTTAGTCACTGTAGTTTTCACGTCTATTAAACAGTTACCTCTATTAAGCGGTCTTGGTCCCTTTTATCGTCCTCCACCTGTATTGAATGGTCACTGAAAGCGGGACCACTCTAATAAAATAGCCTATCCTGGACCAATTGAATCACGACTGGTGTCGGTGGAATCTGAAGTTAAACAAACAGTTTATTTCGGATTAGTTACGTCACAAATAGACGCGCAAAGAAGTTAATTTCCTAGTCGAGAATTTGTTTGACTTGCATTGCGACTGGATTTCGTAAAACCAAGAGTGAATTCATCTCCAGACAATCAGACTTCCCAAGGCGCGGAATAACTCGTGACCAAGTATCTATTGATTTTAGTTCAACATCTGTGTAAGAAGGAAGAACATTTCTAGACCACTTACAAAGCGAATTGGAGCAAAGCCAATACGATCCCCGATAACTTTCGAGCCTGTTTCAACTCCAACTCGAAAAGTGCTGTATAAATGACATTGCGAAATAGGAGAATAGTAACCCAATGGTTTTTCTTCATTTAAAGGTATTACCACACAGTGTTCCCTTCACTCCAATGCAGATGAGTGTTATGCATATCAGGATGAGATTGGGACCCCATACTGTATAACAATACTTGATACCATACTCACAAATGGCGTTGTGGCGTTCAGAAGTAGAAACACCACTCTTCAGGAGTACGTACACATATCGGAGGCATTACTCACTGTTAAATCACACCTTGGATTGAATGAATAAATAAATAGAACCATCACGCGTTACTTTGTCAATTTGCTTGACTTAGTCGTAATTAACTCTGTTGCCTTTTTTGAGGTTACCTCAATGTTCCTAAATTTAGCGGGTGCTTGATATTCCGAAACTGTCATAAATCCCGGTGAACGTGGAATTCTTGAATGACGGAAATGTAGTATGGAAATGGACTTATTGTCGACAGAAGAAAAAATTAGAGGCGCCGATCTGCATGGCCTGTAAAGCCGAATTATACCGTAAAGCCTTCTTACACTTGAAAAAGAAAGAAAAAAAGAAAACAAAAGAGACAACGAACTGTTTGTTTGCGTTTACACGAACCGTTTAACTGTGGAGTTAAGATTTCTGAATATGATTTTCTTCATCAATGGTTAGGAGGTAGGGCTGACTTTCCCTTCAGAAGGATGGGTTGTCCGGCGGAGTGTGTAAATTCCGCATTGCTTACTTGTGTGGTTCGGTGTATTTTCCACACACCCTTAATTTTTACGTAAATGGTTGATAAAAGACTGGTTGTTTTTTCTTCTCGGATGGGTGTGCTGTAGAAGGTTTTCCTGCAGAATGGGGGTCATTTTTGTGCAATCATGTGCATGGGGAGGCATCCCATTTGGTCCCATTTGACACAGACGTAACATTTATACGGCAATTATTTTTCCGATCGCAAAATCTCGCAAAGGCGCGTTCTAGAATAAACCCAGGCGAAGCGGGCGTCACGCGCGATGGGGTAATGACTGATGCGTGCCTTTCTCGCGCTTGAATCGCTTTCCTCAAACGCGCCTCGATCCTCGAAAACGCAAAAAACGATGGCTATTCTGCAGAAATGGTGGTCATTGATTTCTTGTCTGAGGCTAGTGTCTCAGTTTTTTCTTTGCCTTATTTTGTAGCTTTTCTTTAATAACTCGCGAGCGCGCGACGCATTCTTTAGCGAATTCAAGGTATATGCTGCATGGTAGAACAACGAATAGTCACTTTGTAAAATTTCTTCAGGTAGGCCATATTGTTGTGTCAATTTGTGAAACTGTTATGTAAGACATATCACTGTCAACTGGTACAATAGGTACATCCATCTACACTGTCTACAGTAGATACAACTATCTACACTGTCTACAGAAGGTACAACTATCTACACTGTCTACAGAAGGTATAACTATCTACACTGTCTACAGTAGGTACAACTATCTACACTGTCTACAGTAGGTACAACTATCTACACTGTCTACAGAAAGGTACAGTTTTCTACACTGTACAATAGGTACAACTAGCTACACTGTCTACAGTAGGTACAACTATCTACACTGTCTACAGTAGGTACAATTATCTACACTGTCTACAGCTGGTACAACTATTTACACTGTTTACAGTAGGTACAACTATCTACGCTGTCAACAGTAGGTAAATCTATATACACTGTCAACAATAAGTACAGCCATCTTAACTGTGTACAATAGCTACAACTATCTACACTGCCTACAGTAGGTGCAGGTGTCTACACTGTCTAAAGTAGGTACAGCTATCTACACTGTCTACAATAGGTACAACTATCTTCATTGTCTTCAGCGGGTACAGCTATCTATACTGTCTACAGTAGGTACAACTATCTACACTGTTTACAGCAGATACAACTATCTACACTGTCCACAATAGGAACAACTATCTTCACTGTCAATAGTAGGTACAACTATCTACACTGTCAACAATAGGTACAAATATCTACACTATCTACAGTAGGTACAGCTTTCTACACTGTCTACAGTAGGTACAGCTATCTACACTGTCTACAATAGGTAAAGCTTTAATAAATACGTTCACAGAAAAATGCGTTTTTCCTGACTTTTTTATTTTTACCTCTTCTTATCATCATTGTTATCTTTCCTTTTTCTTTTTTGTTTCTGAGCATTTATCTTCTACGGTTTTGGTATTTGTCACAATAGGAAAGGCCTCTCGATTTGCACATTTTGTTTGCATCGAGTCTTCCGTTACGCAACAAAAGGGAATTTATGGCACATTTTGCATAGGGTTTAATAGTTTAACTTTAACTTTATTGAAATTTGTTACACGTACAGAATAGTATCGGCAACTGGAGAAGAAAATAGGACGATGTCCCAATTGATATTCAATCCCAATAAATGTTAACAAAATAGTTGTAATAATTGTAATCGTGAAAGTAGTAATAAAACTAGCAATAATTATCATATGATATTATTTACAACCAAGTCAATTTAAGAATAGGTTCATTAACTTACACCCTCACGACTTGGAAGATTATAAGAAACGGTTTTTTCATCGTAAAAATCTAAAAGCCTCCTTTTAAAAGTATGAAATGAGTCCACGCTTTTAATGTCCTTTGGTAATTTGTTCCAAAGATTGATAGACCTGTAATAAAACGAATGTTTTAAGCAATTTTGTTTTGTGTGTGGTATTTGATAATTAAATTCACTCGAATTACGCGTTTTCTGCCGAACTACAGTTTGACGGAAAAAGACGTGGTGACCCAGATCAATGTAGCCTGCTCTAGCGTTATAGATAAGTACCAAGTCTTTCATTTCCCTTCTATATTCTAGTGGTAATAGAGAAAGTTTAAGCAACCGATCCCTGTAGGACATATCCCTTAGATAATTCAAGATAAACTTTGTGGCCCTGCGCTGAACGTTTTCTAACAATAGTTTGTCCTTTGACGTGTAAGGTGACCATAGTTCACAAGCGCACTCTAGTTGTGGTCGAACAATTGAGTAGTATAAAAGTTTCTTGATGTCAGGATCATTGATATCTCTACAGACCTTACGAATAAGGCCAAGCGTTCTGTTTGCTTTAGAGGAAATCAGCTTTATATGATGACACCATTGGAGAGTATTGGTGACAGTTATGCCCAAATCTTTAATTTCGGTGACTGTTGCCAGTGGGGACCCGTTAAGGTGGTATTCCCGTTTTGTGGGAGTTTTCTTCCTAGAGATATTCAAGGCCTTACATTTGGGTATGCTGAGACACATTTCCCAGGTATCACTCCAGATTGAGAGCTGCATTAGGTCTTGTTGAATTGAAAATTTATCCGATGGTTTTTCAATTATCTTAAACAGCTTAGAATCGTCTGCAAATATGGCAACTTTAGAGTCATGTTTAATACATTGAGGAATGTCGTCTATATAGACAAGGAAAAGCAGAGGGCCCAATATTGAGCCTTGCGGAACACCGGAAAAGACTTGTAACGAGTCGGAATAGGTGCCTTGTGGTGCTACTTGTTGATATCTATCAGAAAGATAGCTCTGAAACCAGTTTATTTGCTGCTAAGATATTCCGAATCGAGATAGCTTATTCAGCAAGGCACAATGAGGGACTTTGCGAATGCTTTAGCGAAGTCCACATAAGCTATGTCAATCTCCTTGCCTTTGGCTAGGGCTTGAATCACTTCGTGATAGACCTGGAGGAGCTGAGTAACAATGGACCTTCCTCTAAGAAAACCATGCTGCAGATGGTAGAGTTGTGGCGAGATGAGGGTATAAAAGTGGTTAAAGACACATCTTTCTAGGCATTTGGATATAATGCACGGTAATAAAATTGGGCGGTAGTTTTTGGGTAATGTGGGATCATCGGATTTGTAGACAGGACATACATTAGCTAATTTCCACTGATCGGGAAACTTGCCGAGAGACAACGATAGGTTAAACAAAAGGCAGACGGGAGAGACAATTTTAGGTGCAGTTTCCTTCAGCAATCTACCAGGAATGTTGTCGGGGCCATGTGCTTTGTTTACATCAATGTCTGCCAGAACTTTAATTACCTCTGAAATTGTAAGGCGGATTTCACTTAAATGATGAACCGGTATAGTAGATGGCCCTTGATAAGATTCAGAAGTATCATCGTTAGGACTGAATACTGATTGAAAAAAGTTGTTAAGTAAGTCTGCTTTCTCTATGTTGTTCGTGACAAAGCGTTAACCATCCCTCAAGAAACCAGGTGACCGGTTTTGTTTGGTCATAGATTTAACTAAAGACCAGAAGCGTCTGGTATTGGTGAGAAGCGAATCCTTTCAGTTTAGCTGTTTAATACGTAAAGTATTCATCAAACAGCCGAATAGTCGTGAGAGAGCCCGGGCCGAAGAAATCGAAGCTAAGTTTTTCTTTTTCCCTAGCTTGCTTTGCCCAATTTTCTTTCTTTTTTTTCCCATAAATTTTTGGATTTCCTTTACTGCATTGTAAATTCGGAATGACCTTTCCCGCCAAATTGAGAGGAACTCTTTGTCACGAGACCTCCAAGGGAATTCGATGATGCGTTTCATCGGTCGATCGGCAGCATGTACGCATCGACAAACGCTTATAAGGTGCGGAAACTGTGAATTTCTTTGGAGGCCAGTTTACGATCGGACAACGACATCCCAGTGTCAGAGTTCAGCAAGTAGACATACTGAGAAAACATTTACCTCCTTCTAACTTTCATTGCTTATCGAAGGATGACGAGCTTGAAATGGATAATACATAAGAAACGTCAAAGGAAGAAAAGAGGTAAAAATAATATATAAAACGGTTAAAGCAAAACAAAACCATTTCTATTTCAAGGAAAAAGAGTCTTTGCCGGCGACTTCTGAGTAACAGAAAACTCTACAGGATTTAAAATATAACTAACAATTAACAACGTGACCTGAGAAAGAAAACTGCTCTGAAACAGAAGGAGGGAAAAGGAAAAAAGAAGATAAAAATGATGATAATAAGGAGAAAAAGTAGAAGAAAAACAGCAAAAACAAAAACGCAATTCCGCGGGGAGGAGTTCCTCGGCCCCCAAGCCAGTTTGAGAGTTACTCCTTGTCTGCCAGCTCCAAATCATACTCGGGGAGAAGTTATTCGGCCCCCAAGCCAGATTGAGAATAACTCCTATAGCGTGATTCGAACCCGCGACCTTGATGACCTCTCTTGCACTCGTTGCGCGCCTACGATTGCCGCTCGACCATCTCGAAACTACATATTTATTATGTATGAATTGTCGGTGTAGTGAGTTTTGAAATACCAGGTTGGGGGGGAGGGTGAGGAACTTTGTCTTACTGAGAGTGCAATCAAGCGTTTCCGGTCAAGAATAAAGGAAACAAGTCTAACAAAGAACTGACAAAAGCGATCTACACTAGGTATATTAGCATATGTTGAAATGGCGGACGGCTTCGTTTGCTAAAGCTCTTGAATATGACTCCTCAGAATTGTATTGCACATCTTTTACTGCGCATAAAATCACGTAATCATAAAGGCGAATAAGCGGGCTTAATGTATTTTAATCCATGGACCAGGTTAAAAGGTACGATGGTCTTCAGCTCTTGATTGAGAACACTGACCTATATTTTCTATTGCATAATTTTGGTGTACAAATTATCCCTTTTAGATTGGGGAATCTTATCTGGCCTTTTTTTTTCTACTATGGATCCCTCAATTAAGAAGATAGTATAATCCTTATATGATAATAAAATTTGCATTATCATTAAAAAGCTTCTTCAGTTCATGCAAGAATGAAGAGGCGTTCGAGATTTTAACTGAATAAATCTGCAATTTACTGAACTGATGGCTTAAGAGTACCATCATTTATAAAGAAAACATCTCGATTCGTATCAGAGAGTTATGCCGTACAGAAGCAGAGAGAGGAAGTGGTCGGTAGACTTCACATTTTTCTCGCAGATTATTTATGGCCAAAAATTCAAATTTCCTTTGTAAAAGTAACCGAGATACTTATGTATTTAACCATCTTCCATTTTAAGAAAAACATAAAAAGTTTTTTTTTACCGGAAAAGATACTCCAATAAATATTGAGAGAAAATGGCAAAATAGAAAATAGCGGTATTGTTGTGTGATCTTTGCTAGACAGTGTAGATAGTTGTACCCACCGTAGAGAGTGTAGATAGTTGTACCCACCGTAGAGAGTGTAGATAGTTGTACCTATTGTAGACAGTGAAGATAGTTATACCTACTGTAGACAGTGTAGACAGCTGTATCCACTGTAGACAGTTGTACCCACCATAGACAGCGTATATAGTTATACCTACTGTACACGGTGTAAACAGTTGCACCTACTGTAGACAGTGTAGATAGTTATACCTATTGTACCTATACCTACTGTACTTACTCTAGTTGTACTTATTGTTGACGGTGTAGACAGCTGTACCTACTGTAGACAATGTAGATAGCTGTACCAACTGAAGACAATGTAGATAGCTGTACCTACTGTAGAGAATGTAGACAGCTGTACCTACTGTAGACAATGTAGATAGTTGTACCAACTGAAGACAATGTAGATAGCTGTACCTATTGTAGACAGTGTAGATAGTTGTGCCTATTATTTGACGGTGTAGATAGTAGTACCTGTTGTGACAGTGTTGGTAATTGTACCTACCGTAGACAGTGTAGGTAGTTGTAGGTACAGCTATCTACACTGTCTACAGTAGGTACTATAGACAGTGTAGATAGCTGTACCTACTGCAGACAATGCAGATAAAAGTACCTACTGTAGTTAGTCTAGACAGTTGTACTTACTGCAGGTAGTGCAGATATTAGTACCTACTGTAGACGCTGTAGACAGTGTGGATAGGTGTACTTACTGTAGACAGTGTAGATAGTTGTACCTACTGTAGACAGTGTAGATAGTTGTATCTACTGTAGACAGTGTAGATAGTTTTACCTACTGTAGACGGTGTAGATGGATGTACCTACTGTTCTAGTTAACACAGTGATATGTCTTGCATAACAGTTCCACAAAGTGACACAGCAATATAGCCTACATTGTGTTCTTAAATGACCTTGATATTAAGCTAGGTTCCACTCCCGCATGCCACTCTTAAGTTATAAGGTCTGACCTTCCAGAATGACTGTCAATTTTTTGCACACATAAAAGCTAAACTGTACAAGGCCAACAATTGTCTACACGTGCTGAGAGCATTTAAAAAAGAGCGCTACAGCCAGATAGAAATTGATTATCTCTTCTATAGACAGATGCTATAAGTTGCACTTTACATCTACACCGTTAAATATTAGATCATTTCTGAAAAAACAAGATAAAGCGATTCTTAAAATAGTTAAGCAGCGTGATAACCACCCTCTGAAGGTTTGCTTACCGCAAGAAAAGAACAATTCAACTCACAACCTCAGACGTAAAAGCTACCATGGCCTAAGATAAACCCTGAACGTTATAAGGACACGTTTGTAAATAGATTAATTTTTAAATGCAACCTTTTATGATATTTTATGCCAGATATATTGTATCTAGTTTGATGTTTTTATTCTTTTATTCTATTGTAATTTTTGGCTCAACCTTGAATCTTTTTATCCTGTAACATCAAATATGTATTTTTATCTAATGTTCAATAAAGACACTTAGAAACCTAGACCTATAGAAAATATAGGTCAGTGTTCTCAATCAAGAGCTGAAGACCATCGTACTTTTAACCTGGTCCATGGATTAAAACACATTAAACCCGCTTATTCGCCTAAATGATTACGTGATTTTTATGCGCAGTAAAAGATGTGCAATACAATACTGAGGAGTCATATTCAAGAGCTTCAGCAAACGAAGCCGTCCGCCATTACAACATATGCTAATATTCCTCGTGTAGATCGCTTTGCACACCAAAATTATGCAATAGAAAATATAGGTCAGTGTTATAAATCAAGAGCTGAAGACCATCGTACCTTTTAACCTGGTCCATGGATTAAAATACATTAAGCCCGCTTATTCGCCTTTATGATTACGTGATTTTATGCGCAGTAAAAGATGTGCAATACAATTCTGAGGAGTCATATTCAAGAGCTTTAGCAAACGAAGCCGTCCGCCATTACAACATATGCTAATATTCCTCGTGTATTCTTGACCGGAAACGCTTGATTGCACTCTCAGTAAGACAAAGTTCCTCACCCTTCCCCCCCAACCTGGTATTTCAAAACTCACTACACCGACAATTCATACATAATAAATATGTAGTTTCGAGATGGTCGAGCGGCAATCGTAGGCGCGCAACGAGTGCAAGAGAGGTCATCGAGGTCGCGGGTTCGAATCACGCTATAGGAGTTATTCTCAATCTGGCTTGGGGGCCGAATAACTTCTCCCCGAGTATGATTTGGAGCTTGCAGACAAGGAGTAACTCTCAAACTGGCTTGGGGGCCGAGGAACTCCTCCCCGCGAAATTGCGTTTTTGTTTTTGCTGCTTTTCTTCTACTTTTTCTCCTTATTATCATCATTTTTATCTTTTTTTTTTCCTTTTCCCTTCTTCTGTTTCAGAGCAGTTTTCTTTCTCGGGCCACTTTGTTAATTGTTAGTTGTATTTGAAATCTTGTAGAGTTTTCTGTTACTCAGAAGTCGCCGGCAAAGACTCTTTTTCCTTGAAATAGAAGTGGTTTTGTTTTTCTTTAACCGTTTTATGTATTATTTTTACCTCTTTTCTTCCTTTGACGTTTCTTATGTATTATCCATTTCAAGCTAGGCAATGTACGTTAGAAGGAGGTAAATGTTTTCTCAGTATGTCTACCTGCTGAACTCTGACGTTGGGATGTCGTTGTCTGATCGTAAACTGGCCCTAAAACGCATCATCGAATTCCCGTGGAGGTCTCGTGGCAAAGAGTTCCTCTCAATTTGGCGGGAAAGGTCATTCCGAATTTACAATGCAGTAAAGGAAATCCAAAAATTTATGAGAAAAAGAAGAAAGAAAATTGGGCAAAGCAAGCTAAGGAAAAAGAAAACCTTAGCTTCGATTTCTTCGGCCCGGGCTCTCTGACGACTATTCGGCTGTTTGATGAATACTTTACGTATTAAACCCTATGCAAAAATGTGCCATAAATTCCCTTTTGTTATATAATGGAAGACTCGATGCAAACAAAATGTGCAAATCGAGAGGCCTTTCCTATTGTGACAAGTACCAAAACCGTAGAAGATAAATGCTCAGAAACAAAAAAAGAAAAAGGAAAGATAACAATGATGATAAGAAGAGGTAAAAATAGAAAAGTCAGCAAAAACGCATTTTTCTGTGAACGTATTTTATTAAAGCTTTACCTATTGTAGACAGTGTAGATAGTTTTACCTATTGTAGACAGTGCAGATAGCTGTAGCTACTGTAGACAGTGTAGACAGCTGCATCCACTGTAGACAGTGTGGATAGTTATACCTATTGTACACAGTGTAGAAAGCTGTACCTACTGTAGACAGTGTAGATATTTGTACCTACTTTTGACAGTGTAGATAGTTGTACCTACTATTGACAGTGAAGATAGTTGTACCTATTGTAGACAGTGTAGATAGCTGTACCCATTGAAGACAGTGAAGATAGTTGTACCTACTGTAGACAGTGTAGATAGCTGTACCCACTGAAGACAATGAAGATAGTTGTACCTATTGTAGACAGCGTAGATAGCTGTACCTACTTTAGACAGTGTAGACACCTGTACCTACTGTAGGCAGTGTAGATAGTTGTAGCTATTGTACACAGTGAAGAGGGCTGTACTTATTGTTGACAGTGTAGATAGATTTACCTACTGTTGACAGTGTAGAAACTTGTACCTACTGTAGGCAGTGTAGATAGTTTTAGCTATTGTACACAGTGAAGAGGGCTGTACTTATTGCAGACGGTGTAGATAGTTGTACCTACTGTAGACAGTGTAGATAGTTGTGTCTACTGTAGACAGTGTAGATAGTTGTGTCTACTGTAGACAGTGTAGATAGTTTTACCTACTGTAGACAGTGTAGATGGACGTACCTACTGTTCTAGTTAACACAGTGATATGTCTTACATAACAGTTCCACAAAGTGACACAACAATATAACCTACATGAAGAAATTTTACTAAGTGACCATATGTTGTTCTACCATGCAGTATGTGTCGAATTCAATGATAATTCATTGATGTTGCATGAAGCAATTTCCATTTCATACCTTCGCAGATGCTCGCGGGCGCGACATCGAACCAAGATGGCTGCCGAGAAGTGTGCGGAGATTGTGCAGAGACTCTCAAATACGTCGGGCGAAGAGTTAATGATAACTTTACAAGATCTTAGTGCCCTTCTTAACAGCTCATCTTTTGGTACTCGTGAGATAGCGCCTCATATCCCAGCTCGTTCGTTGTTTGGCTGTTTCAGTACAACCAACGAAGAGCAAATTTCTCTGTGCAAAGGGATATTGAACAAATTGCTATCTGTAGAGAAGGCAGACGCAATTATAACTCAGTACCACGATTTCGTCATCGAAGGTTTGAATCATCCACAGTTTGAGGTCCGCGAGTTTTGCTTGGGTGAGCTGGAAAGATGCTCTGCAACTGTTAACGGCCTTCTCGCTATTTTGGACAATGTGGATATCCTGGTTTACACCACTCGTGCGCTGAGCAACGAGAGCCTTGCTTGCGTCAAGTTGGCCTCAAATACGCTTATCAACACTGCAAAACATGAATCCGGTCTGGAGATTCTGTTTGAACATCAGATTCAGAGTGAAATCGAGGAGCTTCTAACGAAAAAAGATGTTATCCGGTTCAGAGTGTATGAGCTTTTTGTGGCTATCCAACGTCTCTCCAAAAAAGCGTTTGAATTATGCAGAAAATCAGGTGTTTTGGAGAAATTGGCAAAAGAGCTTGATGGAGATGATATTTTGCTCAGGTTGAACAGCATTGAGCTTTTGACGCAACTTGCAGATTCAGGAACAAATGGGCTCATGTTTGTTGAAGAAAGTGGCATAGCAAATAAGCTGAATAATTTATTGATTACTGCTGAAGTAGATCCACTGATCTCTCTGATGTTACCAAGTAAGGTTTTAGTTTTAGTATAGACAGTTCAAACACAGAAAGTCAATTAAAATGATTTAAATGTTCAGATTTTATAGAAGGGTAAGCTTCTAAAGAAACTGTAGTGTAGTGTCAGTAGAGGGTAGTACAGGATAATCTGGTTTTATCAAATGAGTTCATAATGTAAACACTTGAACCGTCAGCTTTAGAATCTCTTCACAGTGGTCAATATTCAATAAACACAATTTGAACTAAGTTAATAAAACCAAAATATCTTCTTCATAGTTTTTGAAATAATGATGCAGAAATTCCAACCCTTCTGATTTGATTGGTAGTCTCCCAATTTGATGTGTTGCCCCTCTCCTGATTTATCATAAAATTCTTATAACAAAGAAAAAATTGCTTCTCTTATAAGTATCTTTTGCAATCTGAGAGTAAAATGTTATGTAACATACTTTCCTATACAATTTTTTGTTTGCAGATGACTTAGGCATAAATTAAATAAAATATACTCCCTATTTCCCCTCAAAAGGGATTGGAATGTCTGTGAATAATAATGATACCAACAACAATAATGATACTTTCTGTTCTTATATAGTGCTGCCTCCAATATAATTGCCCAAATAGTACTTAACAAATATTCAATAACATTAAAAATGATGGTAAGAATGCTAGGAAAGGGCAATGTTGAATCTTCAAAGTGATCAGCTAAAAAACTGGAAGTCACATTTAGAAAATAAAATGTCTAAACAAGCATTTTCACAGCTCGGTATAGGCTGCCCCTTTTGCTGTCTGAGCTTACAGGCAAATTGTCATCAGGTAAAGGTCCTAAGATCTCATTGGTGATTCTCCTTATTGTCAGCCATACAATTCTTATGATATCATTTCTGAGAATTTGCTGTTGGATCAACTATCAATCCAGTATCAATCCCCTAATTTACATTTTTCTTTCTTCATATCACTTGCCTGCTTGATATTGCCATATATTGTAGGAAGAAATTCTGTCTTGGTCACTCGTGTAATACATTTTCTTGATCTTGAAATCTTACAGGTATTATCAGATTCTTTGGTTATCTGGCTCAGTCCAGACCAGCAGAAGTGATTCAGCAGTATCCAGCTTTTTTGGAAAATGTCATCTCCTTCCTAACAGCTGCAGATCCATCTCTTAAACTGATTGCCATAGAAACAGTTGGTGCTGTGTCACATGCAGAAGCAGGTCTGCAAGTAGTATTTGATGACAAGAGCCGCATTCATGAGATCATGAAAGTCTTGTGCACAAACATCACTTCCTCCCAAGCTGATGTGAAGGCTCGTTCCTTGGAAGCTCTGGCCTTGATTTTTCACTCCACTCAAGTTCCTTCTGAGGATTTGTCAGTTTTGACAAGATTGCTCTTTATTGCTATGACATCTAATCCACTTCAGGAACTGATGGAAATTTCCAAACAACCTTTTCAAGATGTTCACTATGCTGTGTTGAAAGTGTTTAGAAGTCTTGCCAAATACCGATGGGCACAAGAAAACATGACCACTTGCCCAGGTAAAAACAAAGAAGACTAAGATTATTAAATAAATAGTATCTTGTAATCATAAAGCTGGAAACCTATTCTGGACACAAACTTTGGTCTAGAACAGAAATAGATGATGAGATGAATGTGCTTATCCTGCTACATATGCTCACACAAGGTGAGACTCTTTGCATGTCCCTACTTGTGAAGCGTGGATGTGCATCATCTGAAATGTGAATCCTAATGAAAATATCACAAAGCATATGATGGACTGCAGACAGTTTGTGGTGTCTTGCAAAAAAAAAAAAAAAAAACCTCTTTGAAGACATTCTTCCACCAAACCACAGAAATCACAGCTCCACTGAGGCCTATTGTTCCAAGGACAGTGTTCAGAGTACCCTCTTGGAGATGGTAACTTAAATAAGTTAAGATAGTTTAGGTTAACAATTTCCATCTCACCTTGAGAGAGCTTGCACCCAAACCTACCTATTGGTGGTACATTGTGGGTAAATAACAAGGACTGAATGACTATTTGTCCCCCCCCAAAGTGGCCTAAAACTTTAGGGCTTATAATATCTTTTTTTTCTTGCAGGTTTCCTTGAATACCTTTTAGACAGGAAGACAGAAACAGACAAGACTGGCAAGGAACTTAAGTATGAGTTTATAGCAGAACTTGTTCATTCTCCATTCTCTAAGGAAGTGTTTGACAAGCCCATTCATTTACGACTGCGGGAATATGAACGCGAGGGGCCATTCTATGTTCGAGCCGAGGCAGCTGTAGCATTTGAAGGAGCAGACTGAAACTACTTTGCTGTTGTTGTAGTTCATGTTTGGTCACCGTAATTGTACTGTAATCTGCAAAAATTAGTTCCATTTTGATCAAGTTAGGTTAAATTATTCCAACCATAACACTAAGGGTTTTTCTTAAAGAGTGTTAGAAGGTGTTTTAGATTGTGTCAGTCATAAAGTAATGCTAGCAATTCGAGTTCTCCTGTCTTTTCCATTCTGATGTATGGAAGGAAGTTTGGCAAAGAAAACTTTGACCTCTCATGTATTTTAAACCCAAAAAAGGCTATTGCCTAGATTATTTGGGTAAAGGATGCGAAGGAATTCTTTTAAATGAATAAAAACGAATTGTAGCCCAAACAAAGTAGCCTGTGTACATCTAAGTCCTTTATTGGACGAGGAGAGTAAATTTGCACATGGTATAGTGTCTGCATCAAAGTGGAGAAAAGCTTACCAAGCGTTTCACAGTAGAAATTAGAGATCTTTATTAGTTTTGATAAAAATACACTTTTACTATTTCAACTTAATGTTGGTTAAAAGGGAACTTTATAATTTCTGATTTCATTTATTGAAAAATGTTTCATGGCTTTCTAACAACCGATGAAGATTTTCCCGTTAACTTGAAGAATGTAGAATTTTTATTGCAGCTCATAGCATTAAGAACACACTTTTAAAACTTTCCCATGCTTTGCCTATATATTAATTGTTTTGTGTGATTATATTACATTGATAGTTTTCGCTTATTTCTCAATTAATAAAATTAGAACAACCAGCTTAACCGTGTAGCTAGTGTTTCCCTTTTGTTTCTCCAAGGAGAGAAGGAGTGAAGCTACGAAAAGAAACTCGAGATAGCCTACCCTTATTCTAATCTTTTTGGAGCTTGGTGTACACGAGTATACAAAAATATATAATATCGTATATTTGAACTTGTCCCAGCGAGTTATAGTTCACCTGTGCCCTCTAATCAGCTAGTCCTAGTCATAAATTGTTTACAAGGAGCTATCATTAAATTGTATCGGCGCTTAAGGGCTCTCGATTATTGCTCCTCTAAAAGGGTTTACGGTTTTGAGGTCGAAAAACATAAAAGAATCTTTGGTTGAATTTGCACGGTTTACCTAGTAGGGCGAGTTACATTCAAGTTTCAGTTCTTGTGCAGAAATGTCCAGTTCTTCTGTTCTTGACCACAAAATGGACCAATTGGGTTATCACACACTTTGTTTACGAATCATGGGATGCATTCTTAACATGTAGAAGACGACTTAAACACAGGTTCTGGTGTAATAAGAGCTGTAGAAAGGTGTGAAAAGTTTTGTCTTAAATTATATTTCTTACAGCTTAGCTGCAATTGAACTGATCGCAGAAAATAAATTTTGAAAATATTAATTTAGGATTGAAAGGGCTTTGAAATTGTGCCTCCGAGTCCTACCACTACGTTCTGGACGCTATTACCAACTGAGCTATAAAGCCACAATTTTAGGATAGGACTTTACTTTCTGTAATTACCTTCACTGCAGGTTTTCGGTAACATTCACTTCGACATTCATAATCGAAATTCACAAGTTAAACATAAGTTATTTCATACATTGTTTATCATGATGTAGTTGACTTGATTAATCGTTGTCTCACGGCATGATGTTTAAGACTTTGGTGTCTTTTCTGGACTTGCTGTGCTTTTCACATACCCAGATGACGCCCTGCTCTCCGCGAGGTTCCTGTCGCAACCCGCCGAAGTTGTCTTTGGTTCCTAGCTTTGACAAAACTTCTCGCAAGCATTCATAATGTTCACCACCCAGTTGATAGCCGCGGAATTCGCCTGATACGCCAGTTAGCCCTTTAGGTTGCGAAATGGAACCCGATGTTTCCTCAACAGTCTTGAGGAAACCGTCCATCTGTGTGTAAGATAAGTAACGTAGGCTTTTGGATTTTGGACTATTGGAACACATTTCATCAAACGTCGTAAAAATACAACAAAACAAAACATCACAAGGAAACAATAATCACACCAACTGAAGCGCAGAAAACGCGAGTATTGAGTAACGTTTGCTTAACGAGGTATATATGTGATGAAGAAGTTTCATAGATGTCGTTGATTTTAAAAGTCAATGCATATCACTAACCTCTTTGAAGACATTCTTCCATCGAACTCCAGAAAGCACAGCTCCATCAAGGCCTATTGTGCCCAGGACAGTGTTCAGAGTTTCTTCCGCATCAAAGAGGGTTGCAGCGATGCTCGCCACAGAGGAAATGTTGATGAGAAGCTGAAAAGAGGAAAATATTGGCGAACTATGGTTAACGTTGAAAAAGAGACAAGAGTGAATTTAGAATTCCACGAATTAACGCTATAACACTCCGAATCAATTCGTGTCGATGTTGCCCACAAACGATCTGCAAGAAACTTACCTGCAAAGAAAAGCGCAAAAAATTAACGCTTTTCTTGATGAGATTAGCAGCTAACATACTCTGTAGTCTGTATCCTTCATGCTTGCTGGAGTCCAGAAAGTGTACCCCACTACCGTCTCCGTTTCCTTCACAAAGCAGGAACAACCGATATTTTGGCTGGCCAAAGGTTAGAAGCCTTTTTATCGCGTTCAATTTCAAAACAGAGGAGCGATTCTGGAATTCTGGCAGAAGGCAAATGGTTCGTGGAACATCGTACTACGGAAAGTGATAGAGACATGTCAGAAAACGAGAAAGAGAAAAGTGTTCATATGTCAAGTTCGTGCCACATTCAAATTAAACAAACCACCACAGAAACTGTCGAGGCCGAGAGTCGACAGCAATATGGTGATTTCATATTTTGGGCGCAAACGAAATCAAGTGTGGAGAAAACAGCAGCTCTGTTTTCAAAACATGCAGATTAACATCACAATTCAAAATCTGATACACCTCCACGACACCAGCAAGCTCTAATAGAGAGCATGAATTACAGAGAGATAAGATTGGAATTCCCTAGCCTGGGAACACAGTCAAATTGTCTATAAAAAATATACTTAAATGAAAGTACCACGTCTTTTGTCTATCAACCCTGCTAAAATGGTTATGATTCTTTGATTACTCGGTTCCCTCCCACTTGTTTTCCTCCTTAGTTCTAATGGGCAAAAGCCTTATGTTCGTACTTTTCTCTTCGGCAATCCAAGACGAAGACTTAGCAAAATCTTTCATATCGATCACCTGTACTAAACGCTATTCTTACATTTTTCATGCCCACGAAGACTTCTATCAAGTTGTCAATCCTTTCTCTGATCTCTCTCAACAGTTTTGCTTCATGTTTGTCGATGCGATCACCAAAGTACTTCATCAGGGAACGCGTCAGAGTGTTAGGATCATCAAGCTTACGGTACGGGTCACCTGCTTTGTTAAAGACAAGGCAAAGTTGATAAGTAAAAAACTCAGTACGAGTTCGAGTGTTTAATAATTTCGTTTTGGCGTCTTTCTTCTCTATCCGTTATGAACTTTGCAAGTTAAACCGAGTGTTATTTCTTTTTAACACAACAATGATCCATAATTCGATTTTGCTCCCTTTTCGCCCTTAAAACATGCACAAAATCAAGGTCCAAGGCCATCCTCAACAGGCCAACAGTATTCTTTAAACGTTTTTTTCTTTAAATCTACAGGAAAAAGACCCCTATACTTTAAGTTGTGGACGTGCTTATGATTCAAATTTCAGCTCTGAAGGTCACGCAAGACTAGCAAACTCATACAGGTCAGGGTACGCGAGTATTGGTCTCTAAGTTTCTACCAACCTGGACTTAGAGGTCCATTAAAAGGATGCCATTCCAACACTGGAATCGATTGCGTTTCTTTGAATCCATTTAACATGTCACTGATGGTAGATTTTTTGTCATGACATCTTTCACAATGACACCTGTCCACGCCACGTGCCGCTTCCTCTTGTAGAAGGGACAAATCAAAATAATGTTGCTGACAGGCACTACAAGACACCTTGATCTCACAAAAACCAAGTAAGTTCGCAAGGCATGTTTTCAGGAAACGTACTGTTGCTTCTGCACCTGCCCTGCAGACATCTTGGCTGTGTGCCCGCACTGTCACTCTTACCTCCATCTTAGTTTTGTTGACAAAACAAGGCCCGCAGTCAATACGACAGTCGTACTGATCGTCCCCGTAGATAACCAGAGAATATTTCCCCACAATATACTTGACTATATTCTTGCAGAATGTTTGCAACGAGGTCATGGAAATTGGAATAGACAAGATAAGGCGGCACCTTAAACACCAAATGTCTGTAGATGGTGTATTTAGACTCCTCTACCGGAGGCCAATTCTTTTCTGTGATAGATTTTGAAGTCAGGTGCGGAATAATGTAAACTGCACCTCCATCTCTTGTCTCAATAGCCACTCGCTTTTCAATTAAAAAGTTGACAATGTGTTGTTTTGTCGAGTCTGGGGAATTAAAACGGATGAAAAAGACGTTCATGAGAACCCCAAGGAGTTACAAGAACACTTAAAATATCTCTAGAGACAACTTTGTACTATAGAAATACTAATTCTGGGAGTGTCGAAAAAGGCTTTATGCTTATTAACATAAATAGTTAATTCCTCCTCCCACGCCCATATTGCAAAGTGCGACTTGTGAAGTTAAAATAGAAAGTATTCCTTGGGAACGGAGATCAAGAAAAGTGGTAAAGATTTTAGATAAGTTTCGTGGAAAAGAGGCCTGGGTCTAGTCCAGCAAATGAAGTAGTCATGCATAAGGGCGATTTTGAATTGTCGCGGGATTCATGCTTTGATCTTCACATTCCTCCATGGTGTAAATTGAGCACTCCCAAAAACCCATTATTTAGGGGTCTATATAAAGTGATCTCACTGATAACGGAAAATTGTCGATACTTTAACAGTACCTAAGGCTTTCCTGCTTAGGCTCCCGAAGTGACTGGGCCTTACTAGTTCGGTGAGCTGCCCTTCAAGCCAATGGGGTCGGAGAACTAAGAAAACCGAATCTGCTCCAATTAAGATACCCAATCCTGTGCACTCAAGGTAGTTGGCAGCTTTTCTGCATAGATGATCCCCCTGGATGCCACACTCACTGGCTAGACTCTTAAAAGTAGAATAATCAAGATGCTCAATTCCTTTCCTCTTCAGCTCAAGGACTTTTGAAGCCAAACTTTCTAATCTGTACCAGACGGGACTTTGGTGGCAGTTTGATTCACTTAGTACCAACAGTAATTCCTCTAACAGCTCGCTTGGTTCTGAAGCAAAGGTGGTCCCAAAGAGAATGGATCCCTTTATCTTTGGATTAACTTTCTGGAATGGCGTTAAGTCGATGTCATTGGCATGTGTAGTACTGATATTTATAGCCAAAAGGATTACATCGGCGGAAGATGCATGTTCTGACAGTAAGTGCAACCAGAAGTTGAGGTTCTCCTCAGGCAGGTTTCCGTTGCAGGCGTCCCATACGTAGACGTAAATTCCACTGTCAGTCATCGAAGTCATCATAAATACTTCCCGTGTCAATAAATCTGTGTTGATGGCTGGAACCCCCGTCAATTGAATCCATGATTCATATGGGCCAATGGCTTTCTGAAGGACCCCACCAACTTCTCTCATACACTCAGTGTCTGAACTAATCAGCGACAGTTTAATTCTCTCCGACGAAACGCTTTTTTCTGTTGTGACTTTAAACGGACTCCCAAGGAGATTCTTTCCATTTCTTGTTATAGAGACCTTGAAAGATCCTTCAGAATAGAAAACCATGGAAGCAACGTACACCCCATCCGCACTAAGTGACTGTTTTATCTTTCCCTTGGAATGAACACGTCTTAGGGGGTCTTGGCAGTTAATTATCTCGGCTCGAAATTCCTGTGCAAGGAGAGGAGAAAAATTGCAAAGATGAGAATAATGAACAAGCAGTTGTTGGCAGCTTTTTGCATTAACGCATATTACCATGCAAGTACTGCCGTGTGAGCTTTTATATCTTTGGAAATTTCCACTTCAAACAATCTGCCAACCACAGCAAGGTGATTGTCTGCAATTCCAACGTCGCCAATGATTTCCAATTTGTACCCGGCAGGAGAAGATCTGCACTGCGTCTCCTTCAGCAGCTTTGGAATGTCCACGGCTTGCGCTGAGGCAGTGATGCTCGAGAGCTTTTTCCTTGTTTTTTCCCCCTTTGGTAAATCTAACTGACCCCAGAAATAAACCTGAAAGAAAGATTCAACATTGTAAATGATGCAAGCATTTATTAAATTTGATGCAAAGGTCGTGTAAGTAATTTGCCACATTATTGGAGGTTCTGCCGGATATCCTTTGATCCGTCAACAACGGTAAGAATACTAGTATTAATAATGAAAATTTGTACACCAGTTTAATAGCTAAAACATGCAACCGTCAATAAACTATTTGTCACGCAACCTACGCCAGCTAGGTGAAATCTATGCGAACTCGTCCGGGGTCTATCTTTGCCACGAGATGACCATAACGTACACAGAAAAGGCAACTGAAAATACAGGTTATTCGTAGCCTGTAAAAAGTGGGAAATATAAAGTTTGGAATAAAAAACAGGGACAAACCTTGCCATTTTCTGTGAGAACAGATGTGCTCGCCCATCCACAACATACAGCTTGAATCCTGTCAAACTCTGCTATTGGAACAAACTGAAAAATCCGGGAGGATTGGAATGTACCACTTCCCAGCTGGCCTGAGTTATTCTCTCCAGACGTGAAGAGAGTTCCTCTGTCGGATAAGGCAACTAGGTGGTCCGCACCACAAGCGATTTGTACAATTATTTCACAGTTCAATTCCTTATGCCGCACAACACCTCTGCCTGCCATCGGCGACCAACTGTACAAATCTCCAATGGTAGTGCAAAATAGAAATGTGTTGAGACTTGCTTCCACTGCTTTTATAGTGTCACCATGAAAAGGGACGGCAGTGAAATCAACTTCCGGTGATCTATCAGCTTCTGACTCTTTCAACTGGGAGAAAAGGGAACGTATGAGGTCTTCAGGAACTGTATTCTCTTGAGCTTCAAGAGAAAAATGTTGCAACAACCACCTCCAGAAGTCGACATAATACACTTTTCCTTGCCTATCAATGCTGACCAGAACTGAGCCCACCGCGCTAAGAGTGGCCAAGTCGATCGTGTTGCATTGAATCTGTAGTATGCAATCATGCATGACCTGGCAATCAAACTTGGAAGAGATTCCTGCGCAAAATATCAGACTACCGGTGCCAGTCAGCGCTACTACAAGCTCGATAAAGGATTTTTCACATGGCACATAACACGTGGTGACATCTCTGATGCTTACGGCCTCATCAGCGGCAGCAGGGTCAGAGGCGGCTTCATTATTCACATCAAAAGGTATTGGATCTTTCAACTTAGCCCCATAGTGGCATTTTCCCCATATCATTACATCTCCACCAGTGGTTCGAACCATGGTGTAGTCTTCACTACAGCACAGTTCTTCCGCTCTAAGGAGAGAAACCAACAGTTGTCAGTAAATCAATAGAAATGAGGGTGGATTAGTGTGAAAGAAGATGTTTCCTAAGCAATGATAGTTAAAGAAGGGTAATTTGGTATTATCAACTGAGTTGATAACGTAAACTGGCCACAGACCGTAAAGAGTTACGAAGCTGACGTTTCGAGAGTTAGCCCTTCATTAGATGAACGACGAAGGGCTAACACTCGAAACGTCATCTTTATAACTCTTTACAGTGGCCAATTTACGTTATCAACTCAGTTGGTAATACTAAATTACCCTGTTGTACTCCCCCACTGCAGCAGCATCACAGTTTCTTTAGAAACTTACCCTCTTATTCGATAGTTAAAGCAGCCCACCAAGGCATATCTCATAGCGAAATATACAGTGTGGGTTCTATATATTTGCTTTAGCTTCTATTTAACGGCAAAAGTAAGTGATACCGAACGTATCAAGAAAAGCTGATCAAATTCAAAGACAATGCCCTTTGTTTAGTATCTCAAATATCCATAAAAGGATATCTTGAAACAAACTTTAGAGCCAAACAATGGCTTATTAATTCAAGAGGGAAATTCAAACTCGCTGCCATTACAATAGCGAAATTCACGAGATAAATTCAAAATAGCCGATTACTGCACGAGCGAGAAATTTGAATATTTACCGATTTTGACGTTTATGTCAAATCTTACCCTGAAGGAGAGGGAGTTACTTTTTGTTCAAGGTCACTTTTTAGGGATCGGTCAAGAACACAAAAATGTTTGCAATGATGAGAGACTGACAGTCTGTCCTCCGATGAAAGGAATAACTGAGCCTCATCTAAAAATTTTGAAGTAGAATATTTGCTCCAAACATATAAAACCTAAAGTAATCTGGAACTTTTCATCGGATTGAAATTTCTTGTATTTGACTACTTTCTTAGCGGCTAAGGATTTTACGTGGGGAGTGAAAATAATAGAGATTTGTACAGTTTCAAGTTGATGTTATTAAAAAATTATTTTCATCTCTCGTCTTTTATATCTGACAGTTCTGCTATCTATCTAGGTAATGAAGCCTAACATCACGCAACAAAGAGTCGCAGTTAACAAAAACCATGTGCTTGACTGTTACAGCAAACTGTGAATCTTTTTCATCATATTTGAGTGAAACGCAAAGTACTTATCAACAACGCTTGAGCCAACTATTACAAACCTCATTTCGTCTCCTGACACATTCTTTCCAAGGGACACCTTTCGTGGGACATCGCTACATTCAGAGACAGTAAAGTAACCCAGCTGTCCAAAGGCATTGTTTCCACAAGTGTACACTTCTCCGTCAACGGTTAAAAACCCAGAGTGTTTCCTCCCAGCTGATACTTGCTTTACAAATTTACTATTGTCATAAAGTTCACCAATCAATTTAGGAGCAGAAAGGCATCGGCGATGACCCAGGCCTAGCTGACCATCGGAACCTAGTCCCCATGCATACCCGATACCGGTGTAGTATATTCCGTTCGCCAAGCAGACAGTGTGAAAAGTGCCACACACCACCGACTTCACAGCCACGTTGAAGAGGTTGCTTACTTTTTTGGGTTTTGAAAAGAACTCTCCTCTTTCTACATCAGCACAATCCAGTCCCCATTGGTAAATAGCGCCTCTTTTGTTTAATGCAACCGCGTGGTCACCTCCTGCAGCAATAGCCTGGATATCCTTTAACGATTCAATCTATCAATTTGTAGTAAAAGGAGTCTTTTGTAAGTGCTGTCCCCCACCTCATCGAGGTGGGGAACTTAAAAGAGTAAATGGAAAATTTTGGTATTGGAGACCTTCTCAACGGGATATGCTGTGAGAAATTTTGTAGATATTTTGAGTATCTTCAGGTTTCTACTGTAGGGTTGCAGCTTTACAAACTCTTCACCGAAAAGTTGCTTAAATACCACCTGAGCGGATTGAATTTCCATGAAGGAATATTAGCATGCGACTGAAGGAAAGATGGAAAAGAGGAGCAGAATGCGAGAACAAAACATTGTTTACTTCACCAGTTCTGCGTAACTTATGCGATTTAAGTACATTGCATTTTCCTTGTTATGGAAAAATGTTTGGAAGAAAGAAAACTTGCATAACGGATACCTACCAATGTGGGCAATGATTTGTCCATTTCGTCTCCATGTCCTAACTTTCCTAAAGCACCCGATCCACAAGAGAAGACTTTTCCTTCTGAGCTCAACATCAAAGTGAAAGCTGAACCACAAGTAACTTGTTTCACTTGGCAGTCTATTGATAATACTGATGATGGAACATATACATCAAGATGATATAGTGGGTCTTCCTTATCAAGACCGAGTGCAGCAGTATCTACATGGCCCCAGTTGGTAACTGTTGTTGCGCCTTCCTCAATGGCGGCCGCATGAGTAATGGACATGTCTATGCAAGCCACCCTTTCAGAGAGTGGTATTGGCTTGAAGTAGAATTTTTTCAGGATAACTTCTTTCTCGGATGAAATTCCCTTGGTCAATCTGGTAAAGACAGAGTTGAGGCCAACCTCTGATATTCTACCGTCTTCTGACTGAAGTAACATGTAAAAAAGGCCGTGTTCCCTTTCGCAGTTCATCTGGTCACCTGTGGAAGAGGGTTAAAGGAACTGTGAGAGAGTATACTTGAATTTCAGCCGTCTTTAGGTTGATATTGGTTTAGTCTGGAGAATTACAGGATGGTTTCTCCTGTCGGAGGTTATTCCAATTGGTGAAGCATTAAACAATATACACTTGATGTATGGTCCCGTGGAAAACGGTAACTCTTGTATTCTTCGTCACCTCGGGAAACATCAGGACTCGAGGGAAAACAAAACTAACTAGTTTCCCGAGGGACCGTACATTAAGTGCTTTATTATTTAGTTAGACTTTCCCTTAGACAATCACATGGCAAAACCAATCAACCTTCTGTTGTATTCGGCGCGCGGGCAACAACTGTGCAATTGTATCCCGGTCGGGATACATTTGAATTTGATCACGGGTATGTGACCAAGAATCTACCATTCACAGTGCTCATTTTGTTGAATGAAAGTCCAGGTATATAACAACAAGAATTATTGCTACTCCTCCTGAGGAGAATGCTAGTTTACCGCAATTTACCCCTGTAATAAACCCTTCGTCCGGTTTCCCCGACACTTATCTTGCATTCGTTTACCTTATCATTACCATGTAAAGAATGAAAAGTGGGATGAAAGAGATCTATTGCACGGTTATCAAATCACAAATTTTCCTCACAGAGTGCAAAGCATTCCTTCGGCAGACTTTTAGTTTGTCATGGGAAATCATTAAAAAGCAACGAGAAGCCATCTTTTCCATGCGCTAAAAATACATTTGGCGCGTGTTGAAGGCACCCACAGTGAGAATATCAAATAAAATAGGAAAGTGAGGAAATTTTAAGCTCAGCCTTTGAATTAAAAATGGTGTTATTCGTTTTGTCGTGAGCGTGGGACAAAGAAAAATCTATGCTAATCGAGAAAATAATTCCCACTTGTTAGCAGGATACTCTTCATTTTGCGCACGTGCAGAGCCATCCACATGACACAAGCACTCATCACACGGAACCAGTTTGTTCGGAAATACATTGAGAATATCTTGTGTATGTCTCAAATTCAGTATACATTATTATCAAATTCACCATCTAGAAACTTACGTGAAGTGAAGAGAAGCTTTTTTATGTTCTTGAACTCTGTCTTTGTGGGTTGTCTTCTAACATTTGTTCCGTAATGTATCACGCCCTCTAAGTTTTCGTACTGCCAAGTGCTAGGTGTTGCGTTAGCCATTACACAGGCCCAAAGCTTGTTCGATGCCCTGTCTGGATGCCGCGACATCTCCTGCTTTAACACAGCCTCCTTTGCGCTAGAAATAGTTTTAAAAAATTTGAAAGGATTTCCTTACTCTTACATTTTTACATTGCCTTTTCATAAAATATCAACACGAAATAGCGAGATTGCCATCTGTCCTTTTAGCTCAAGTTTGCTTAACGATGAGTCAACACTGTTCCAAGGTAGGTTGTTTAAATTTTGCCTCGCTAATTGATTTCTCGGATTCTCCATTGTTCAAAGAGATAACTTGTCAGGTGCAATGAACTGCTCAGAGGTCGACATCGGCTATGCCATCAATCAAATCCCATTTTCCTGGGAATATTTTGCAGTTAATGACATTTACAGAAATAGGTATTTCTGAAAGATTTTTAAGTAACCTTAACGTTAGGTTGAGAAGTAGTTTTTGGCTTTAATAACTCCTTTTCAACTCGTCATCACATGCAATAATAGAGAGGTTTTTACCATTCCTCTGACCAAGTCCCCCAGGTGAATTTCCTTCTCTTCCCCGTCATAGTTACACACTGATGACACAACTGAAGATCTGTAATCTCTTCTTCAGTTTCTAAAAGGACTGGATCAGGGTACCTCACAAGGGCTCCTTCACCAAGGAACATGTCGTCCAGAAGGTGGTCACCGAAACTTGATGAGCAATCTTGGACATCAACCGGATTTATCCCACCTGTAACCAAGGTGCTTGCCTTCTCCGCGACTCGGTTAAACAATTCGTAAGTGTTGAATAATGTGAGTGCTGAGGTGATCCAAATCTCTGCTCCAATTTCTTCAGAAAAAGATGTTGCTTCTGTTTGTAGTGTGAAGCTATGCGGTGCTACATCAGTCTTGGTGCCGACGACAAACTTTGATACTTGTGAAGCGTCACCTTTGAAGCTGTGAATAAACTCTCGATACCAGTAATTCTTGAGTCGCGCGAAGCTCGAGGGCTCATCAAGAGCAAACACCAAAACAATACAATGCAGATGTCTTAAGTATAAATTGACAAGAGAGGCATATTCCCGCTTTCCAGAAGTGTCAGTAACAAGAAGCCTGCGTGTATTTGCCATGTCAACGTATGTTACCCAGGCTCCTGCGGTTGCTCTGTACTCTCTGGGTAGTTCCCATTGTTCTTGTTCATTTTTAAGGGCTCTTATCAGCGAAGTCTTACCAACGCTTACATCTCCAAGAAGAACCACTTTGAAGCACTTTAAGCTGTCCCCTGTGGAAATAATTCAACGTTGAGCTTTTGTGATCACCCATAAGATTACGATTCGTACGCTTAAGTCAGTCTTTCACAAGAGTATGTGTAAGTATATTCCGGAAGATAATTTTCATGATTGTTTGGATAGGAAAGCAAGTGACAACAGATAAAGAGTCAGGTGGATTTAAGACAGCAGTGTTAAAGCTAGTTCTATGTCATTTTTTGTCATGCCCTGAATTAATGCCGTCCTTAGCTTAAAGTCTGTAATGAAAAAATTGTTTTTAACTTTTAGGGAAAAGGTGTTGAATGGTATGTTACAAAGTATGGTCTTAATTGAGGTTCGGGTTTTAGTGAGGAGAACAAGGCACCCTGTACGGATCATTTTCCTGTCAAATTTTTCCTGCCACCCAATAATGGTACAACAAATATTCTAGGTTCACCCCCTTTCTGGGGTGCAGGATGCAAACCTTTTCAGACCTGATCTGAACCTGCTACATAAAACAATTAGATCACCGGAATTGTGCTGGATTTCATCGAAATTCTCATTTCAGCTTGTCAAGCTGAGGGAATTCGTCTGAGTCACTATAAGCTATATGCATTCAATTCTAGTGGTCGGCGAGTCCTACAGCAATGATCGCGAGGAAGACAGTGGCGGATCCTTGAGCTGACGGGGGGGGGGCGGGGGTTGGTTTTTTTGTCGCTTGCCCTGCCGGCTTTTCTTCCTTCTGCGATTCTTTTTTTTTTTACCCAAAATAAGGGGGAGGCTCGGGCCCCCCGGGGCCCCTCACCTAGATCCACCTTGTGCAGGATTTCAGTGGTAATTTTATCTGAAAATATTAGAGGCGATGAAGCATTATCTTGTTGATTAGCAGCTTTCGTCACCTATTTGAGATTTTGGCTTTGATTCCAGTTAGATATAAGCCATGCTTTCTCCTTCTTACAAATAAGAAGCCAACTGTTAGGAGTGTTTTATAGTAAAAATACGTTCTAAACTGCACGAAGGCAAGAAACGCATAATGCCGAATTGAGATGTTCAGGGCACAATGCATCAATATCATTTTTATACAGGTCTTTATTTGCGACCACCATACAGTTTGCTCATATTTCAATGGTATGTATGACATGTCAACCCACTTGATTCGCCTGATCCGCTAAGGCTTCATGATCTCCCACAGAATGTGTCGAAGTAGAATCTCTTTTTATGCGACCAGAATTTCAAACTGCCAGGTTTCTATAGACTGCCGAAAGTTATAGGTAACAGCAAAATTACGGAGCTACCGTGTCATAAAGCCATCGAAACTTTATTTAGTTACAAAAGAAAACAGACAGACACTTCAATGATTTCAATATATTATAGAATCAAGTTGTTTACGCTATTCCAGAAGCGTAATTCAGTTTCTTTTATGCACCATCGATGCTTCGATGAATGCACATTGTCACACAACAGAAACTCTTGATCAATAAAGAATTTGAAAAGGCCAAACTAACTTCAGGTAACAGACGTTGAAAATGCTGCAGTTTATGAACACTTACCCCAATTTCCTGCTTGACCGTGTGCAGACATCATTGGCACCGCCGTCATTGAATCAAATTATACTGAGACCATAATCGTCAAATACCACAGAGGATACACGCATTTAACGAAGGGAATTTTTCTAAAGCAGAAGTTTATCTTTCCCCTAGTAAGCCGTCCGTAACACTGAGCAATTCGCGACAACCTTCAGTCAGCTTTGTAATGATGATTTGCTGCTTATGGGAGTGTGGTTCTTCTTCGCTCAGGCCGTCGGTAGACTGGGCACTAACTTACTTTGTGTTGCTAACAAACAAACGCTTAGCCAAAATGGCGGATTATGCGAAAAGGTGAACCTCTACTACATTTTCGACAAGCATTTGTTTTTGATATGGCCCAGACTGAAGTAACGCCACGCCGAATAATTCCAGAGGAAGAGGTGTATCGGCAGGTGTTTGATGCTGAGGTAAGAATCTTCCTTGTCAACCCTAGTTTAATTTTTTGCTACCATTGGTCATCTCTTTTGAGACTGCTACATGTATCAGGGCTCAGCCTCTTTCTTACATGCTGTTCTCGTGGATTATAAGCTTATTTAAACCTATGATGGTTAAACGATACTTCACTATTCAATGTATTGCTGGCTTTAAAAGCACGGAGCGAAAAGGTAAGCTTGCATGCTTTCATTCAAGATGGTTACGTTGCAGCAGTACTTTGCAGCATGTACATGTATTAGTACAAATGATTTGTGACACTATCCTGGCCGTTTTAGGGTCTGTGGTTGTTTATTCACCTTAAAATCTATTAATATTTATGTTCTAGTGTATAAAAGAATTATTCTGTAGTTAAAAATCATGGTATTTTCCAATGTTTACGTATCGGTAGATTAGCTATATATATATATGGTCGATGTTCGATGTTCATCCTTTTCGACTGCTTCTATAAGTATATAAAAGATAGGGACTTGAAAGGGAAATCCGGCAAAAAATGTCAATAAGTATCTAGTAAGGCCAAGTGACACTCAAAACTTTAAGTTTGGTTCTCATTGACTGACCAGACTGATCAGAGCACACCAATGATCTTAAACTCATGATTTCCTTGTGTTAATGAACTCACACCCTTAAGTTTAAATATGAAATTGTATTTTTATTTTGACAAAAAAATAATTTTTTACTGTGTCGCTTGACTGCATCTGCTGTTTTACTTTAAAACTTTCCGCTACAGCTGTATATGAGTTAATTTTATAAAAAATTTCGGATGTAAGGCGCTAGAGTATCATTGGTTGAAAGAGCGTGCTCTATCAGAGTACATAACGCGGAGCTATAAAGCTAAAGCTGTCACAATTTTTGCCAATTTGAACTATGTCAACCATTTCTCGGACTTCTATCTAGCTTTCTTTCATCAATTGAAAGTAAAATTTCAGAACAAGGCAGCCGGCAAGTAGCAACAGTCAAGAACCAAACAAAGGTTTGTAAACATACCAAGCACTGTATTTGATGTTATTATAATGTGAGCAGAGATGAAAATCCTCAAAGAGAAAACAAAATGAACAGTTAAATTTTTAAATGGTTTTCATGCTTAGTCAGGTTTTAAGCTTACGTATAATAATGAAAATCAAACATAGCTAACACCTGTGTAATATATACAGTTTGGTGTTCAAAAATGAAAGAGAAAAAAACAGGAATGGGCGACTGAGATCATACTGAGGTCCTTCATGGTAATTTCCAGTCATCCACAGTCATCCAGTCATCACTGTCCTTCAAGTGAACAACTAAGAGCTAATGCTCTAATATCCTTTCCATTGCCTTAAGTGGAAGGCCACCTCAGTCACAGCAGCCAGGTTTTTTTATACTGCCATTTTGAACAATCTTCATGTTCCTGTGAATTTGACTGTTGTTCATTCATAAAACACATACCATAAGCAGTTTGTTTTCTAATTGTCATGTGAAAAAACATGCATGTTTTTAAGAGCTGTAATTCGGTCGCATTTCATTATACATTTCATTTTCAGCTGTATTAAGACCAAAAACTCAGGCAATAGTGTTAAACTCCACCTGCCAAACTTTTTCAGTTTGTTGACTATTGCAGATTGTGAACTTTGATGATTTGACATTTTTGACAGCCCTACTCTTGTTCAACCAATCAGATTATTTGAACCATTCTAACCATGCTGACAACTCTGTTGTTCGCTTTGGAAATAAAGTTTGTTTTGAAATTTAAAGTAATATGTGGGTAGTTTTATGGATTTTTCATGTTAAAACAAATAGAGAAGCCTTGCCTGTGCTCTGTTCTGTTATAAAGCACTTGGAAAGCAGCTAGAGCACTCAAGAAGTGGAGAGAAACACTTGACTACATCTTGTGTTTGTTCTTATACTTCTTTCACACTCTACCCACTTCCTGTGTGCCTTACAGCAGAACAGAGCACATTCAAGGCTTCTCCATTTGTTAAACAGAACACACAATGCCATGTGAAAAGAGTTTACAACTTCTTGTTTTGTGATTAACAACAAGAAACAATGGCACATGCTGAGAGAAGACATAATTCTTAATGCAACCCTACATTGTTGAAACCTAACAATATACTAAGTGGAGCAGTCTTTGAATATCTGCTGTGCTCTATAGCCAACCAATACTTTATTATCAGTTTAATTTAGATTGCTCACATAAATGTAGTTTCCAGCCAATGGTTAATTTCCCTGAAGCTATTAACATTTTGGTTAGCAAATATATTTGTAATTTTTTTTGGAGCAAGAGAGAGACTTCATAACTCCATTTAGTAAGTTTCACCCTTGAATGCTGTTAACTTTCTGGCTAGGTAAGCCTTGTGAAAGCACTGGAAAACGAAAAGTTACCATCCAAACCCAGGTCTGCACCTCTGTTACCTCTGGTCAGGGAATCTAGAGCTGTTACTGGTCATGGTATTCTAACAAACCGGCAAAAGAGATGGATGCAGGGCCGGCCAAATGAGAGTAGCATAGAGAATCCTGTGCATTTCAAGTAAGTCATAAAAAATACCTACAATGAGAAAGGAGAATAAACTTAATAAAAATAAAGGATGTTTACAAGGCTGCAATTTTGAATATAGTGGTTTGAATAACCTTGAAAACCCTTTTAATTTCAGGTAGACTCTGTCTACCTATCATAAACAGTTTTTTTTTAACCTGTATGACCTGTTGTGCTACAAGTAAGTATCCACTCAATGTCTGGGTAATTGATTGACAGTGATTGTCACTCCCAGACCATCTATGCCTAATGTTTAATTGCTGTCGATCAAGTCAAACAAGCAGTTTATTTAGACCTTCATGACAGCACATAGGTTCTACCACCAAGGTAAAGATGATGCATGCACATAAAAACTTGGTTTCAGTTAACAGAAGTGTTCAGTAGTTCATTATTAATAATGTATTATTTAAATAAATGTAATTGATTTTAGATATGCAGCTCTTGATGCCATACAGAATACTTCCAAACCAGATAGCTATTTTGATGCTCTTGAAGTCAGAGGGCTTCCAGATACACCAAGTACGTAATTATTGTGGATGGTACCGTCAATGTAAATACATCGTAAATGTTTTCAGTAATTTCAGATTGTTTCAGCTTCTTTATACTATGCAAGAAATGATCGGAAGTAATTTCTGATTGATAACTGTTGCCATAAATTTATTCAACTTTTATTCCCCCTTTTTTGCCTTTAGAAACAACTTACAAGAAGACAAATATCATTGAGAGACTAGAGGCAAGCAGAAAGGAAAGGTGAGATGAATTTTGATGCAGCAGTTGTGCTGTTCTGATTATTTCATATATATTTACCCTAGCCAGTGATTACCTTTGAAAGCAATATCATGTAATGTTCAATGGTTTCACATTTTTATGTTTCTTCCATTTGGCGCTAAAATTTACTCAATGACAGATATTTTTGTGCAGACAGTCTCTGCTCTGAGACAGGAAGGTGAACTGAAGGCAAAGTTAGAAGAAGCAGTACGAGCTCTCAGAAACAGATTATGGTCAAGAAAAAATGTACAAATTCTAAGCCACTTGAAGGCTTTTGTGTCTATTCTTTGCATATTATTTAGCACTTGGATATTCCCCATTTAAGCTAGGGAATAATTATTTAGTCATGTTTCACAATAAAAGATCAATCTCATTCAAGTAAAAATCATTGATGGATTATAAATCACTATTTTTTAAAAAAAACTTTCCTCTATATTTAAGACATGAGTCATATTTGGAAGATATGTATCAAGAGTTTGGAGTCATCAATGCTGTAAGTAGATACATGTACATGAACATGTAAACACCACTTGTTAATCATAGTCTTTGTAAAAAATGATTGATTGTTTTTTGTGCACAGAGACAGTGGGTGGTTAACCATTGTTGTTGGGAGCAAATTATAATAATAACACTGATGAGATTAATGTAGAGGGATCAATGATTGTGTATATTTCATGAAACATGCTAGTATAACAGTTACAAAGTTTCTACAGTGATGAGTTGGAGGTGGATTTGTTTTGCAATTTTATGTTGGTGATCAGCATGTATGTAATAGGTCTGCTTGAATTTAATAGAAGTCAAGCTGAGAGTTAGCAGCTTCAATACTTTTTCACTGCTGCAGAAAATACCAGTACTGTAAATCACGCAAACTTTAGATCTTCTAAGCCTAGGCACTGTAACAGCATGGCAGAAACACTTACTTACTTACTGCCCATCACCCCTCTTGGCATGTAAAGGGTAGCCAGGAAATCTTTCCATTTGTTCCTATCCTGAGCCCACTTCTGGATTTTCCCCCATGTTTTATGTATGTACTTTATCTCTACCTCAACTGTCCACCACAAAGTTGTTCAAGGTCGGACTCTCTTTCTCTATCCCTCTGGTGTCAGGTAGATGGCCACACTTGCAATGCTGTCGGGTACTCTCTGAAGGACATGCCTGAACCATCTCCATCTTTGTTTTTAAAGGATGGTTTTCATATATCTTTAAGTTGGCAGTTCCCTAGTAGCTCTTGACTGGAGATGGAATACTGACAACCTTCTAAGATCGGCTTCCCTCGTATGACATAACAGAAACAGCAGTGGAAGTAACTCTATGGGCTTATTAGACCTCATATTATTTCGTTAAATTTCTTTTCAGGAACTGGAACCACGCATTCTTGAATCATGTGAGAATTTAAAAGAGCATTTGCTTGAAAATGATACAGGTAACAGACTTGTTTTGAGTGATTTAAGGCCAAATGTTTGGTTATTACCTTTCAAGGCGCTAAAAAGAATCAAGGAAGTTTTTGCATCTTACTTTTTTTCCCATGATTCTGTGCCAAAATAGTGATAAATAACCGTTTTGCTGTATTTAGTTCTAAGAAAGATTTTTTTTTTTATTTGCTGGTACTGTTAAGTGTTAGGAATTTTAAAAGACCTCGAAATAGGTTGTTAACTGTGACTTTTCGTTCTGTCACAGAAATAGAGCAGCTGCTACAAACAATCAAAAGTGATGATGTAAGTACAACGGTCAATTTGTACAAAATGAATGACTTTTTTTCTCATTCGTAACCTCACAGCGATGGTATAATTTTTATGTCTATGTCTACAGATAATTCCCAATGTACAGAAAACTGTCTCTTATCTTAGAAAAAATTTCTGGTTCATTGCAGGACCTGTTGCTTCACAACCTGTCTGACTTGGAGGAACTGTGGGATTCCATTTCCGGACATTCCGTTTGTCGTCAAACATGGATTAGAGAGTTGGATGCTATTCTGGAACAGGTGGAGAACGACAGGGGTAATTTGGTGAGTATCTAATTCAAACAGACAATATGATACGTAGTATGAGTAAGCTCGGGTCTTTCCAGGTGAGAAAATATTTGGCTGAAGGCGTAATGGTCCTCTGTAAATCAGCATGTTATCATATGACCGCCGTCTGTCCTCTTTCTTCCTTTCTGCTGGCGGGGCCGCACGTTTCCATACCTTAAAATCAGCATCTACTGCGCACTCTAAGAATATGCCAAGGGAAACTCTGAACTGTTTTTACACTGGAATCAAAGTCAGTTCCAATAATTTATTAGTTTTATTGATATGTAGTGTTTCTCCCTCTCTGATAGATTCGCGAGACTCTTAAAAGTTACAACAAAGTTCTTGAGCGAGTAGCGCACCTGATGCCACCTGATGTACACAGGTTACTTGAGAGAGAAGCTCAACGCGTTAACTCTACTATTCTGATGAACAGGAGAGCATATGCTGACCTCACTTCTCATTTACTGAGTGGTAATTTCTACGAGTGATATTTAGGGGAGCGTTAGCTCAATTAACTCTCCTGTGTGCGTATATCTACCCGTATAAAGACCACAGAAATTACTCTATTCAGTTTCCTCTTGCAAAAAGATCTCAGCAGACGCGTTACGCCTGTCGCATGTATTGGCGGTCAATTTTAATACAAAATTCAGATCGAATCACGCTGTAATTGTACTTGAATTTAGTTAGGAATACTCAAATAAACAACTGATCTTCTCCCGGTAGCTAAGTTTTTTTTTTTCCCAATGAAAAATTCTTGATTTGGGTGTATTAAAAGTAGATCTGTTGAAGTAGAGCTGTCATTTTAAGTAAAACCTTTCTATGATTGTTAATTTTTAAGCTGATGTTGAACGTGAGAGGCAGTGTTACATCTCCTGGCAGAGAAGGGTGGAAGACTGGAGGCAACTGAAATGTGAAGTGGCCATACAGACATTTGAGTAAGTCAGCATGACTAGCGACTCATCTCTAGTCGCAAGAGAAGATGGTGACTAATTTTTTTTTTATTTTTTATTTATTTTTTCATCAGTTTTTATCGTGGGCCATGCCAGACCCTGAAGTGTAGACCATCAGTTTCCTTAAAACAAAAATGCACGCTTACCACAAAGAAAAGTAGAAAGTTACTTTTTTGAAAAGAAAAAGACAAAAAGAGATCTTTTACCTCTGACATGACTCTGTTAGTTGTTTTTCCGTTTGGTTAAATATTTTAACTGTGAGGTTGAGCTGTGGCTATAAGATACGTTCGGTACATTAGTTCATTAGCGGCAGAATCATGGCAAACCCTAAAGGGCGAGTTACCATTGCATTTCCTTGAAAAACTTGAACAACTTATCTTTTCAGCGAGTTCATGCAGAGCCCAGCGATTAAAGATCCGCCAGACCTTAAAAGGAAGATGCAGTTTTTCACTACAGAACAACAGACATTAAACAAGAAGCGATTGGATCTCCTGGAATCGCTAAGGTTTGTCAAGTGACTAAGTGACTCGGTGGAATTATTGATTTACTTTTTCCACGCACTTGCTCCTCAATGTCGTGTTTTGAAATTTACTTTTATAATTAATGAAGAACTTGATTAATACTCAACCGCTCACTTGAATCCTTGCCACATTTACTGTTTCAAACGCTCTTTATTCTTGATTCTTTCCGTGCAACTCTCAGTTGCGAAACAGGCTTGCTAACGGAGCACAAATGTCATTTAAAATGTTCACTGTTCATGCCCCGTGCGTTTTTTGTAGCACCTGTTTTCATTGTTTCATTCTGATTTGGCCACTTTTTTCATACAGGAATATGAGGCCTCCTAACTCCACTAAATCTGCTGTTTATCAGTGGAACACTGGACTGACAGACATATGCCGTCAACTTGGTATGTTCATTCTATAGTCTATTTTTGATTGGATGTTATAAAGCCAAAATGAAAGGAATTCAAAACGACCAATCAGAACAAAGAAAAATGACTTAAGGAGCCAATGAGAAGTCAAAGTGAAAACAAGAAAACTGCCTCAGGCACAGGAGAACGTGAGAGAACAATTCTTATTAGGTTGTTGTTTGCTTCTGGTTGGTTGATCTAGTTGAGGAAAAAGCAGTGCAATAGCGGATTACGTTCGACACTCAATAGAAAATTTCTCTTCCTGCATTAATTGAATGTTACCTCTATGGAACTTACATTAATAAGTAGATTTATCTTTGTGGTTTTTACTTTCTTCGTTTCTTGTCAAGATCATTGTCACTAAAGATTCCATGGAACATGGCAGCTTAAATTCGATATCCTTTTTTATCCAATTTTTTTTACTATTGCAAGCGTTGTGTTTCTTTCAAACTCTTCGGGATTAAGAAGTTTGGCGATTGGTTTCTTCGTTTACTTGATGCAAAAGCGTTTCCAGTAAACCAGCTCAGAATATTAGGTTTTGCACCTTTCACGTCTCACACCTCCTCTTTTTTTTTTGTTCTGTGCTTACAGAGGAAGTCCATGCCAGATACAAAGACATTATACAAAGCGAGTATGATCGGGTTATCGACCAATGCATGGAGGAAGTCAACCGTGTCAAGGTTTGCTAATTATTCAAAGCAACGTCATGGTTTGTCCGTCTAAAGAAATCTTTCCTCATTTATCAATAAGTTTGCCATCAATAATCTGCAGTTATTCCCTCTATCTTCACCAACCTCGTTCCCTTCGAGTCAATTCTTATTCCACGGGTGTTGACACCATCCAACGCCCCGCTACCAGCGTCTTCGCTTTTTTATCCACAGTTGGTCAGTTCGTTATGTCCCCAACCTGGTGGGTCTGTACAGCGCACCTCTGGGGGATGAGCTCCTCCGAGATCCTTAGCCGCTTAGCTTGGAGGTGATGAGCTAGGGTCACGGGGATAAGGTCACGGTGATAGGGTCGTGGTGATGGAAAGGCCAGGAAAGGACTTGAGCAGTCAGCCTCTTTTCACCCATAGGTTTAGGCAACGGAAATAGTGGTACTACCACAATAGACGTATCACACCACCCTGTGTTTAAAGATACCACCACACTGGAAAATTGCACAAGCAAGTTATTGTTTTAAGGTTCTATTCTGTTTGTGTCTAAAATGTGGCATACAGTGTCTGACGTAGCCCTTGAACTACTGAAACAATTAAATGAAAAATTAGAATTTTTAAAGAAATGCTATTGTGTTGTTTACTGTTTTCAGGAACAGTTCCTGTCAGGAGGAATTCTTAATGCAGTGAGAACAGAAGAGGTGACCAACACATCCTAATATTTTTATAAATCAAATTTCCTTATAGCAGCTTCTTAATGAAAAGCTGTCTAAGCATGTCGATATTCCATGTAATATTTAGTTTCAGTATCAACGTTTCAATATTTCCCCCCTCGCCCATTTGATTTAAAAAAGCGCTAGAAAGACAACAGTAAAAATGAAGGAACTAGAAAGGAGGAAACCAAGGGGTATGGAGCCGAGAGGTCATGGGGAAAAGTGGGGGCGTCCAAAAAAGGAGGGGTTTTGAACAGGAAGGGCCAAAGAAGGGGATAAGAGGGAGGAGAGCTTTAAAGGACCAAGGGACCAAAGGAAGGAACCAATGGAAAGGGGTAAGGTGTGAGGGAACGTCGGGGTTTTGCTTGAAGAGGAATTTAGAATCCCACTGAGTTTGAGCCGCGAGGAGAGGGTTATAGTTTTGTATTATCTTTGTTTTGGTTCGTGTTTGGTTTCCTCCTTTCCCACCCCCCGGGTCAGTTGATCGCTCAAGCATGAAACAGTTCGAAACATGAAAGTGTCGCAAGGTTTTAACCAACTGACATGTAGAGCGATCTTCTCCACCACGGATGAGTGACACATTGCAAGTCATTGAACTGAACTTCGTTTACCTATTTCAGTTAGAATGATTGTTTAAGGATTCGTGTTCACTATTGGCTTCTTAGTTCTTAACTCTTGTTCAACTTTTCATCAGGTGATGAATGAATCATTTCTGCCACTCGTCGGTGAAAAGCAAACCAAATTTGAACACGAGATCGACAAAATGGAGGTAACTTGTTTTGTCTTAGAGAGTTCTGAAATTACAAAGTATGTTATTCGTCTTTCTTATCTACTGAAAGATAGTTTATTAAAAAAAAACCTGTTTCCATTTGCAGCGCTCTTTGGAAAACTTGTGCAATTTTCACGTCATGATGATCAAATCTCTGTTCAAGTTTGTACAAGGAGCCGCACATTTATGGGACTTACACGAGATCGGGTTGGCTCGACAAGAAAGAAACCTTCAGGTAAAACAATATTGTGACTAGTTATCATTCAACTACTGTTATAAGTGTTCTTTTCAGTCGACTGCATCTAAAACGCGATCCATAAAAGCGACAGGCTTCGAAAGATGTCCTTTGCCATATTAGAAAGTTAACCCAATATTTTTTGAGGTCGTCATGTGCAAAATAAATAAGACTTCACTTCACAATCCTCGATCGTTTTTGGTTTCCTCGTACCGCCTGAGTCTCCTAATATCCCGTGTTGGTTATTACGCCGGTAAATCGATAGAAATTGCCATCTCTACTTAATACAACTGTTTAACCCTTTAACTCCCATGAGTGACCAAGACAGAATTTCTTCTTATAATATCAGTACAATATCAAGCAGACAAGTGATGAGAATAAAGAAAAATATAATTAGGAGATTATAAGTTGATCCAATCCCAAATTTTTCAAACTAAAATCACAAGGATTGTATGGCAACAGTAAGGAGGATTACTAATGAGATCCTGGGTGTTTAAGGGTTAATAAGTTAAAATATGTGCTCACATCTTTTGGGAAGGGTTTTTACGCTCTGTGAATTTAATATCTAGACATGTCCTTTTCAGGAACTGTTGGAGAAGAATCGTAGAGACCATGATGGTGCGAATCAAGTGAGTGAAGATTTGAAATAAAGCGGCGTAGCAGTATTTTAGAACGCTGGCTTTGACATCTGGAGGTCCTATGTGCAAATCCTCTTGTATGTCACTTAGCTGGATTTGTTTCTAGATATATCCCATCTCAACTACTACACTGCACCTTCAGAGCATGCCTCCAAACAGCTTGAATTTTTATTATTTTACGTTATCTTTTATCTACTTGGATATTTTCTTATTGAGACTTTGATTGGCAATGCTAATTAGTTTACCTGAGTCGGAGTAACTTCTGAAGAAACATGGAATTTTCAGTTGACTTGAAACCTTCCTATCCGATAGTACAGTTATATGTAGTACAGTGAGGGGGGGGGGGGGTAGTTAGTTACAAAACGGACCTTTGCTACCCCGGTGGGACCATCGTTACGCAGACGGGACGTTTGGTACCCCCACCGGGACCCTTCTTTCCCCGGCAGAGCTGTTCGAATGCGTAAGATCCCAAGCTGCAGTGAATTCACGGAGAGCTAGAGGATCGTAGAGATCCAAATGTACATGACACCTGTGGTACAGGAAATATCGCTTGGATAAGAAACGCTGAAAGTTGTCTACTGATTTCGATAATATACCAAGTCTGAGGGTCAGAACTAAATTTGTTGTTTCGTTTCGTGCTGCCATAAATCATTTTCTCGGCAGAAGCAAACAAATAACAGATGATGAATTGAAATCCAAAATTATTAGTTTATGAGCATGGCCATTTCCGTATAATCTGCCATATGGTTTTCACCGCAGCTTTTACATTTCCACGGGTCGCTTGTTATCGAGAAGTGCCTTAGTTTATAATATGTAGGTTAACCATTTGTTTTTACGTTCTGTCATTACCGTCATTAGGTGAAAGAAGCCAATTTGGATATCATTATGGACAAAATGAGACAAGATTCAAGTGAACAGGTAGAAGTCTCCAAATCGAATAATTTGTTCTAGTACGAAAGGAGACGTCCTTACATTAATGACCAGACGAGAAAACAGGGGTACATCTGTTCTACTTTTGTGCTAATCTCGTTTTTTCATTTGCCTTCCACCGTTAGGCATTAACAGATAGTCTGAAAAAAGCGCTTTCAGCTCTGGATGAAATAAAACAGTTGTAAGTATGAAAAAAACAAAACAAAACGAAAAATCAAAAAGTCACCGCTTCTTTTAGCCCTGGTTCTCGAATGTAAAAAATTAATTCTTATTTGCAGGTACAACGATTTCCACGCCCTTGAAATGCGGACGTCAGGGTCTTATCCCGATTTAGTCGAAGAAGAACTGAAGAAATATGACGGTGAAGTGTGCAAGTATTTCCAAGTGGACAGGAGATCATCAATGGTCAGTTTGTCGGAAAAAATCTGTTGAAGATTTTTTAAATTATTGCAACTTTTTCGGTAATTGCAAAAGCAATTCCTTCTTGGTGTGCCTGATGTGGTTTCCGATTCCGGGAACCATGGAACCTCAAAGACCATTTTACCATCTTACAGAAATGCAAGAATAAACTTTACTGTCTGTTATATGAAATGTTATATATCAGAGATCTTGAGCCAGTACTCAACACTTAATCAGACTCAACTAGACCAAAACTGTTTGTTTGATTAACATAGTTTCCTAAGAGTCACATGTTTTCTTATCACTTAATGTATTGCCACCTTATGCCTATAATTATAGATCCTTTAATAATGCAAAAAGTAAGCAGCACATTAACTTGAAAAAGAAATTCAACGATATCAAAAAGTATTTTTCTTTTGCTAACATTTCAGTATTACTGAACTAATCTGAGTGGTCTAAGCTTTAGTTATACGTTTCGGTTACTTACTCTGATTTCGTTGTAGTCTGAAACTAAACCAAAGAGGAAAGATTTCAAGTCTGGGAAACCAGAGCAGAGCAAAGCAAAGAAGGTACTCTACGAATTTATCTTTGATGGTTAGTCTTCTCGTCCAGGACAGGGTAGTTATAAAAAGTAGTTATGAAGAATTAGAATTGTCTCGTCTTCAATCGTGTGCTAGGGACGCAACGTTTCGTGCGGTCCTTTATTTCTTCTCATCTCTTTCAGACTGGTGACCATATGAAAACAGTGGTTCGAGTGAGAGTTAGGCGTCAACTTTCTTTCCCGTCAAATTCATTTCGTATTTTAGGTCATTTGCTATTTTTTCTGAAGCGGACTTTTTACAAATCCCACAACCCCCCCCCCCCCCCTTTCCCTTCCCTGGGCAGAAGATTTCCTTCTCTCATACTTTGTATACTTTCTGTTACTGTTAGAAAACGTCTCCTGCGCAGACCATCGAAGATGTACTCACAACTTCGAACGGCACCACGTTCTATATTCTGGTGGAGCCAGGTGAACACGGCCTGCTTGGGAGCCCGGAGAGTATTAAGAGTATGAAGACGTGTATAACCTTTATTACGGATACACAAGGTACCAGTTGCTAAGTGAAAGCTATTGCTGAGTGTGTCATATGCTTTATCGTTATTTGCGTAGGGTTGGTTACAATTTCATTTAATTTTGATGTGTTGTAAAGTGTCAAATAAAAAGCGAGTATTTCCCCATATGAAGGAGGAAAGTGTTCTGGTGAGACATGAAGATTTCCCAATAAAATGCACTTCTAGATGTTTGGCGTGACGACTTCCTGATTATCTTAAGCAGTCCTGTTCTCGTAGATTGCAGGGTCTACAACCAACACCTGCCTGCTTTTTTTTTCTGCCAAAGCTAAAATCTGACAACCGCTTCATAGATTCTTGGTTTTACGACCCTTGTCCCTCCATGTGTGAAATGAAAAAGAGCATAACTATACCGATAATTTTGTTGTCTTTTGTAGAAGAGGACGAAGAAGAAGACATTGTACCGCCTTATATTGAGGCCATCGTGATCAAGGAAGAACTTTTCTTGGATCTCAGAAGACAGTAAGAGATTGACTATGCACTTTTCTCTACCAAAATTTTCAAAAAATGGAAAAAGAGAGGAGAAAAAAATTCGTTCTTAATTTAAACGAAAAGCGTGGGCGAAAACTTTATGGAAGAATTTAGAAATGCGAGAGGAAATCTGCTGAAGTTCTATGTGAAATTTATTCGGAAAACGCATTTAATGAATGACTGCCTCTTTTTGTCGTTGTTGAAGGAGGCATTCAAAATGTTAGGTTGGGGTTCATGAGTTGAATGTATTATTCTGATTGGCTGTCATTTTCCCAAGTTACTATCAATTTTCCGATCACTCGTAACTAGTACAATTCATTTTGGGCGATATGGGGTCTTAAGCGTTTCGAAAAGAGAGAAATGAATGAATAAACGAATGTTACTGGAGACATTAGAAGGGTTTGTGTCCAATTTTTTCCCTTTTCGTAACGATCAGAAATCTCAAAAACATAGATGGAGCACTAAGTTGAATTGAATAAACGGCACGTTGTAGTTTGCTGTTTTATTGCATCACAGCATAAGAATGGAGTTCTTGGAACATCTCGAGGAATGGAAATTCAAGCCAAGGACAGAGCGAACAGTGTTGTAGCGGCTAAGGTGAGTTGAATAAAGGAATATTTAGTGTGTTAATTTTCGGTATTCCCGTCGTTAGGGTTTGAAATCTGCACTGAAGTTCTTGTTATGTCCTTGGAACATCACTCAGTGATGCGTGTTGAATGGAACGTGTTTAGTTTAAGCCAAACTCAGGACAGAGCGAAGTCTTACGGACATCAAAGGCACTTTAAGGAGCAGTTGAATTTTTTTCCTTTCATGAGATACTCGTTTTAGTGTTTGTGAATTTGCATAATTTTGTGATCCTCCTTCGTAGAACTCTTTCTGATTTCGGATATGTGTTACCAAATGCAAGATTTTATCTCCAAGACCCGACATGACTGCCGAACGATCTTGATAACAGAGAAGAATGTAAATGTTACCGGTCCGCTTTTAGGGCACATTTCGATTAAGTGTCCTAATACTAAAAAGAAAAGCCATGTTATCGGCGAAGATGAAAAAAGGTTGATATCCCAGGGAACTAATCAGAGATCAGAGTACCTACATCAGTAAGGCCTGAGTCGCGGCAAAAATAAATGCGATTGTTACGTCGCGATTGACTGGTGTGTTCTGATTTCTATCTGATAGACCAATTACAAAGCACGGTGAAACAAAACCAATACGCGCAAGCCTGAAGCAGGCGACATTCAGTTGCTCTAGTTAGAAAAGGTTCCTGATGTAAATTTTTACAATCTCTTTGCAGGTTGAGGAGTTGAACAGCGAGTTAGATCTACGACTTCATCTACATGAGCCAAGGGCATCCAGAGCTGAGCAGGATGTGCATAATGTTAGAGCAGGTTCGTCCAGCGTAATCCCTTTTATACCTAATCCTTTATATTATAGACAAAGTAACCCTGCCAGGGTTTGGACACGGATAATTTGATTGGGTGTCCAGCACCTAACCACTATGCCCCTCAGAGTGCTTCTACTTAGATAATTACATAAAATAGTCGACTCTCACTGGCTGACACTGCGTTATAGCCGTAAAATACCTCTCAGGAATGTATGGGCATTGTGGCCTTAAAATGTACCGAAGGTGTTCCCTGTATCTAGGGCTGAATGTAGTGGAAACGTTAGCGAGCATCTTTAGTTCTTTCGGGGTTCATCGGGTAGGGTTTGGCATTTTGCAGATTCTTGAGGGAAGTACGCGAGCTTCACTTCACCAACTGTTCCTTCGCGCATCTTCGCACATCTTTAACTAAACGCGTAAGCTTACTGTGTGATCTTGTTTTTTGCAGCGGAATTGGTGATGCATCGAGAGCGGGTTGAACGCCACTGTAGAGGAGTTACTACGTCGTTGAACGAGTTCAAAACCAGGTTCCAACAGATGGTCGAAGAACATGATAAAGAGGTAAGATCGACTCTTAACCGTCAGCTAGCCTATGAGTACGTCACTAGACGTACTTTGACGTCACTAGACGTACTTTGACGTCACCAGACGTACTTTGACGTCACTAGACGTACCTTGCCGTCACTGGACGTACTTTGCCGTCACTGGACGTACTTTGCCGTCACTAGACGTACTTTGCCGTCACTAGACGTACTTTGACGTCACTGGACGTACTTTGCCGTCACTAGACGTACTTTGCCGTCACTGGACGTACTTTGCCGTCACCAGATGAATTTAGCGGTAACTAGACATACTTAACCGTCAATCCATTAACTTCAAGAAATGATAACCGTGAAAATTCTCCTTACGAATTAAATTCATCACCCTTTTAGAGGGTCACCGGACCTGTTAATCGACAATGGAACAACTTGATGAAAATCATGAACTAACTCCAATTCATATCTTTTTTCTTTTCAGACGGACATTTTTAAACATTCTGTTCAAGAACTCGAAGCAACATTTACATCTGCGACTAAAACTCACGAGTACGTACATTTGCATTTATTTCAAAGTATTAATGTATGTCCTAAGGTGTTTCTGATTACATTGTGTTGTGTAGTAATTATTGCTGTCCTGCAGCTGTAGTTATCTCTTTGGTTTATCCTTTTCCTTTTTCTTCTTCGATATTGATTTTTTTATGTCGTAAAGTACCTGTTAAAGTCTATGGATTCATGAGGCATCTATATATCTAAGCCCATCGCTCCTCTTGGGGCATAGGCCGTCAACAGCAGTCCGCCAGAGACCATCCTTTCTAATTGGCTCCATGAGTGGCCGGTTTTTTTGATGTTAACTTCGAGGTCACGACACCATATGTTCTTTGGTCGCCCTCTCTTTCTCTTACCCTGGGGATTCCAGCGGAGGGCCTGTCTTGTGACGCTTGATGTTGATTTGCGATGGTTGTGCTCTGAGGGATGGGGCCCACCCTTCATGAGGCATGGCTTGACTAAAAACAACCACAGCGACTTCAAACATAACAAAAATACACCCTATACGTAGGTCGGGAGTTTCAGTGCCGATTTCAAAGATTTGAAAGAATGTTTTATCGTTTTTCTATCAGACTCTTGGTGATTCAAGATCAAGTAACTGGGCGAGTTGAGCAAGTAAGGTCTTCTTTTTTATCGCTAATGTAGATGACTCAACAAGGACATCTGTAAAAGTTCAATTGAAATTCTACACTACGAGATTTTCTTGGCAGGTGTTGCTGACAAGTTGTCCTTGCTTGTAAAAAGTTATCTTCGTCAGGCTCTCAGATCTCGCTAGGGTAAATTCGCCTTCGCACAAAACAAGGACTCACATACTGTTTTCGGTAGATCTGGGCTTTGAGCAAGTCTTATCCAAACGCTGGTTTTTTTTTGTAATACATATGGCTCAAGATTTAAACAACACACAATAACACCAGAAAAAACAGAGATATTAATCTTCTCCACCCGTACTCTGTTGGTCATACCAGGGGTCTGTATCCAAAAAATCATCCATCAAATTTACCAGGTACTGATTCTGTTTGAATTGTGTTCGTAGTATATGGATGTGATCAGAACGTCCCTCAGAAAGTTCCGTCACGATCTGGACGATATGTTGAGCACTCTACGGAATTCAAATGCAAGATTCAGGAAGACGTTCAAGTAAGCTTTCCATGATCCATGTAGTAAAGTTTAGCAAGAGATTAAGTACCATGCAATGTAGTTCTTGCATTGAGCCCAAGTTGAGACTTAAGTGTAGAGAGACACAGTTAAAGTGAGTGCGCTTTACTTTATCATGGAGAGTCATTTGTTTTAAGTGTGAGTCTGGAATCCGTGTTAATCTTCTCTGTCTTCGTTTCTTACTCGCTAATTTGTACCTTTAGTGCTTTTCTATTCGGCTTTGTTCATTTTTTGTGGTTTCTACCAATTTGACGAGTAATAAACAGCAAAAACAGTTAGCGTGACATCGTGAATGAGCTAACTTGTGTTTCATTGTTTTTGTTTTTGTTTCTTTTTTGTAGGGTATTCTCTGATGGTGGAAATTTTTCGACGGATGAAGTAGATGAGTACAGAAAGAAACTAGTAAGTACTTTTGCTGGCATCAGTCTTCTTTCTAACGGGCTCTCTCTTTCTTTGGTAGTATTGAATCTTCACTGTCATTGCATGACTCTTTCAGGAGCGTATGGCGAACAAGATCGACTCGTCTGAAGGATCTTTCATGGCTGAATTAGAAGGAATGGAGTCCAAAAGATTAGAAGCAGCATATGACTATGCTGGCAAGCTGGAGGACAGGTAGAAAATGGATAGTAAATTTATAAATTGAATTATGAGGGTCCTACTCGGAAACTCTTCTTCACGGTCATATAAATCTCCACTGTCGTACTTGAGTGTTTTTGGCCGAGTATTATCTCTGAATATCACCGTTAGAATTTTAAGTAGTTGGAGCTGGGACTCAAGGTATTGTGAACTCATATCTCGCCACACGTGATCTATAGGTCGTTTCCTTTCAAATATACTCTGCACTGAGGTTATTGCAAAATCTTCCCACTAGATATCTATCTTATAGGTACGTAATTTGGTAAGAGAAACGGCGGAGGTAGAGAGGCGTCTATATGTTTTTTTCGTAGCAGCAACACCTTTGAAAGTCATCATGACGTCTGCTTGCACCTTTTTGTGGATTTTACTACGTATTCTTCCGTGGAAATTGGTCCTTGATATTTTACGGGGAAAAAAAGGTTGATCTCTGTACTTGGTTACGGTAAAGTGACGAATTATCCCTTTAGGGAGGTTCCTCTATTTTAAGAAAGGGAATCCGCGATTTTTTTATTTGAATGCTATAATTAAGTGGAAATGATGCGCAGTGAGAATGTGTAGTGAATTATTACAGAGAGATCTCAATTCAGTCTATAAGGACTGCCAATCTGAGATTTGGCCGCGTTTCTTTGTGCTTCGTGCTGTATAGAACTTTTGTTCTGGAACAGTGGTTTTAAGTCCCTAATCTGTTCGTTTATCAATGGTGTTTGCTCTGATTTTTAGATTTAAAAATCATTTGTTTGACTTAACATTCATGGAAAAAGTAACGAGGTGGCTCACAAACACGCAAGTCAAAGTCAAAAGTGAGGTAAGCTATTGACTAAAAGTACACTTGTTGTCATGAGAACTCGCTTGTTTAATAATTTTTCACTCCCCATAGACACAAACCTCGCCCTGCAGTCAAATGTCTAGCTTTGAAGTACCTGTCTTGTATTTCAGGTCGCATTTAGCAATTCTCAAGCGAAAAAGCTCGCCATTTATTTGTCCACCTTTGAACGTCACATTGATGCAGTTGAAAAACCAAATCTTGACAAAGAGGTGAGTTCTTTGACGACAGTTTATTGGTTATAGAACCGTTCAGTGTCATTTGCGTTACTTGCACGATATTGGCGATGCAAAGAGAAAGCGTCAGTTCAAACGGAAGAATGTAACGTAGAAGCCTCAAAGTTCCCCTCTATTGTCTGAAAACAAGCTGGGGGTTTATTGGCCGACCAATCAGAAGCAAGCAAGTATCACTAATTATGGAACTAGAGGTTTGAGCATTGCTGTCCTTCACCAACAACCACAACCGATTTCAATGAGGCATTGGAAAGGTTAAATGAATGAAAGTAAAAGTCATAATCGTTATCGGAAAGCACTGAATAAGTTGTGGTAAAATTTATTTCTCTACTGCCACTTTTTTGTGGCGGTCGTTAAAAGTGGAATACCTATGAAACCAGAGCATTACTTTGACGCTGTTAGCTGAAAATGACTTACACTTGTAAAATCAACAGTCGAGAAAAAGCCTCTGAGTTTTCAAAGAGTGTAAACGATACTAAAACGTTTAAATCGATGTGCTTTCAAAAGAGCAAGAAGGTCAAAAATGTGAACGGCGTTCCTCCAATTTACTCAGTATTCTGTGGAGTTGTAAAAGTTATGAAAGGAAGTTAGCTAAACTGGGGTAAATAAAATTTTCAAAAAATAATTTACTTCCTGACTCAACCGATTTTAGATTTTTGGCACGTGTCCGATATGCGATTTTAAAAGCTAGTGTCCGATTTTTAGATATTTGAAAGTATTTGAATTAAATTATGCCCAACAAGATTACCTAGGTAGGCGCCATTGACATATTTACTTTGCCAATATGAATAGTGCACCAATTATGTTAGACTATTTTAATGGTGATTGCAACTGAAACTTAAAGAGAACATTGAACGTGATATTCTACACGGACTGTTTTTGTTAATCGTCTTCCTCTGCAGCAAGTGACAGCTCGTGATGTACAAAGCAGTTTAATCCCGATCCTCCAAACATTCCATGAAAGGTCATTGTACTTGAATTGTCTACTAAATCCTGCCACGCCCAGTCTGGCGATTCTGCAGGCCGGCCTCAAGAGAAAGGAGGATAAGAAAGATGAAGAAAAGAAGGAAGACAAAGGATCGAAGGGAACGCTCAAGTTAGTTGGCATCTGTTCAAAATATTTTCTCCTTATAATGTGTTTTTTTCCAAATCTCTGCTTAAGAGGTCCATAGATTACTTCTCTGGGATGTCCAAAATAAAGAGACTTTTTTGACATCACGAAATTGAGCCCCAATTTATCAATTAATCTAATCAGCAATAGCGAAGGTATATATTATTTAAGTGGCTCGAGAATAATACAAGTGTCGTACGTGTGCTTGATAGGAGAGATTTCTTGGTATACGTGGATTCCGTTATCCTTTTTTTTTGTAATATGCGTTTTTTCATGCCAAAACATTGTCAATTTTATGGAAATCTTCCTTACTTTGTATGCACTTTAGTTCTGTTAAGTCTTCCTTACTTTATCAATATTTATAGTGTTGATCTCTGCTCTTTCTTTGTGTCCGGTGTGTGGTTCTTGCGCTGATTGTGGTTTTCGTTCTAAGTTTTAAGCGCAGGATCTTTAGCCCTCATGTCATTGGTGACCTTGCTTTAATTCCCTGGCTTTAGGAAGAAGATTTCTTTTCATGGAACATTATTTCCCTCCTTTACCGCCTTCTTTCCCTCATTTTTCACCGGATGCTCACTCCATCTCTTTCTTTTGCATTACATAAAGTTGAAGGTTGAATATCTTACTCCAGAGTCGTCGGGGTTTTGATACACTATCTCAGTTGTGCAGCGTGTGTAACCATTTTCAAGTGCTCTCAGTAACAGAAATCTCTGTATCTCCTTTTGTGTTTTGCCTTCTCTTATTCTTTCTCTCTGTTTCATGTTCTTTCAATCCTTTAACGTTCTCTACAGTGCTTCTCTCTGTACTATCGTGGAGGAAGAACTTGAAGATCTGTATTCAGACTCCAGTGAGGATGAATTGTTAACCACGGCCCAGAGCGCGGTTGTAGGAAAGACGATCTTGTCGTGGCGTCGTGTGTACAACTTTCCTTCTCCTGAAAATTATCGTCAATTTGTTGAGAGTCCTTTGTCACCTACTCTGTCTGAAGGGAAGGTTTCTCCAAAGTATGTCTCTGAAATCCCTACTAACAATCTCTTCCGAACTTCTTTAATCATATTTCTTTCTTTTTGTTGAAGGTAGTCACTATCTACCTAAATTGTGTAACTGTTAAGAGTTGCAATTGTAACCTTCTTTAAGCTAAAATGATTGTCTCCTATTACTTTTGTTTTTGTTCTCGTTCTTTCTCTGTGTCTTCTCTGAAGTATTATTTGAACTTATTTTGTATCATTAATGAGATTATTTTCAGAGAAACTGTATTTTGTTGCATATTGAGTTTTCACAATGTAGAGAGGGGGGCGTCCGTGGTATTATAACATGGCGCGGGACGACTATTGTAGAAAGATAGGACATAATCCTAGATTTGTCAGAGCGTGCGCATCTTCTTAATCACTTGTACTGTGATGCCATACCAACGTTCAATTCACTGAAAACGGTCATTTGTTTACGCAAGATATTCTGAATGAAATAATCCACGTTTGGGTGTTTATCTGTATATAATACTGTTCAAAAAACGCTTGAGTTATTTTTGCCCTCAACAGGCCAAAGAAAAGCAAAAAAAAGATTTCCCAGAAAACGGTAACAGAGAACACGGAGACTACAGAATCCACTGAGACACAGAATGGAGACGGAGTCAAACCCAAGAGTACTCGTAAGTAGCACTGAATACGAACATTCAGTGATTTTGATAACATTATAACGTAACAAGGTTCTCTAACTGAGGTTTTAATTACATTATTTCGTTATTTTTAGCATCACTCTCAAGGGTAGCGAGGGCCACAGATGGTGATGGAAGACCAAAAACAGTCCCAGGAGAGGTATTTTAATTCACTTTTTGTACTAAAACTATGCTATTTTGACTTGTGATTGATCAATGGGTATAACTATTTGAGTTTTGGTCATTTGCTTTCATTTCTGTTTTAGTTTTTTTAATCCTCAGTAAACGTTCTTAGCTGTACTGGCATGACTAGGTTGTTAAGTTGTAACAAAACCAACTCTAACCTTTCTTTTTACATGCTTTTTCGATGATGGATAGTGAAAAGATAATAACTATCACAATGTGTGGCGTGGCGTGGCACGGCACATTCTATGAGGGTTGTGTCAAGAACTGACCATAAACGTTTTTATTGAAAAGAGTAAGCCAGTTGTAGAGTGCATTAATGCTAATTGTTGATCGATGATTGTCTTTAGCTTAGCCACAAGCTTTCAGATCAGGATCTTAAGTCAAGACAAAGGAGCGCTGGGTGAGAAAAATCAAATTGTGTTATTTCTTCAGATTCTGTATCTTACTTTCTGGTATATTGATATGATTTCTCAAAGAAAATAAAATGTGGCTTTGAAGAAGCTTAGTTCAACGGTCTTCTGCTGCTTCAGTTAGTCTACATTTACGTATACCGACAGGATGGATGATAGAAAAAAAATGCTGTTTCACGCTAAGAGCAAAAAAGAAGCTCTGCAGAACGAATGAGCAATGATGCCAATGATTTTGGTTAACGCAGATGACAACTTTCTTCCTATGAAATGCGAATTAACATTGCGGTTAAAGATGAACCAATAACACAAAGAAACGCGAAACGTCTTTCGAAGTTTTTATTGCTTGTGTCAAGTAAAAAAGCGAACGATTCCTTCCTACCGGTATTAATGATTTAATGATTCGAACAAAAATTTAAACGGGATGTCTCCATTTAGGCACTAGCTGGTTTAAATTGAGTGCCATCACTACCGCACCGTGATATGTTACATTACAGTTATGTATGTACGGTAGAAAAAATTGAAATGATTGTCTGGTTCTGAAGGGATTTCCAGGAGCAGTTTCAAAAAGGTACGTAAGGGTACTTGATCAGGGAGAACACTCTTTTCTCTACAAAAAAGAGCCCCACTATTTTTTGGATCTTTGCAGTAGGGGTTCATCACATCAGACTCCTACTTCTAAAGTTACATTTGTGTGTCATATTTCAGATTATCTAACAGATTTATTGTCCATTTGTTTATTTCTGAACAGTCGAAAAGTAAGTGCGTCTAGACGGGATCCTTCGGGACCTAGATACGACAAGAAATACCTGGTGTTTGGTGAAAAGGTGGAAGAGGGAAGGTATGAATATTATTACCTGTAAAGTTTGTTCAGTCAGCCCGAAATTCTTCAACAAATAAGCTGATGTTTATATCATTTGCGTTTTATTCGGGCTTTTCTCTCGTCTTTTTTGACATAATTTATTCAATGCTCTATTTGGTGTCTGTAATAAGGCACTAGTTTAGTAAATTGTGTAACGTAAAAAGTATAACGACACGAACCAAATAGCCCCAAGTTGCCCATGCCTCAAGAGCTCATTACGGTTTCCGAAACAGTATTGCTGCTGAGGTGTATTTACAAGTGTGATTTTGTCTCGTCCTAGGCACTTTATGGCGCGTATCAAAAACACATTGAGGGAAGGCCTGGAGGGTTTATTGGCTACTTCTGAGGTATTTATGAATTTTACTCTGGCATATTTACTCGAATCTTTAACATTAACTAACATTTTCCACTTTTGTATTCAATAAGATGTATTATCGCCAGAAAGGCCAACGGACTCCAACGCGGCCCCAGGCTATTCATGAAAATTTTGATCTGTGCGCGGAAGCATTGGTTCAGCGGTTGACTTCTTATAAGACTCAGGCCGAGGAATATCACAACTCGTGTATTCAAGGTGAGGAAGAATGGGAGTAAAAATAGAGGTTGAGAGTGTTTTCAGCCACGTATTGGGTTACGGTCAAGGGTTTCTTCGACGTAAGTTACTGATCGAAAATCCTTTCCTAAACCATGGTTAATTTTCAAGTTATACCTTGCTGTCAAGCTTCACAGATGGAATGGACTGCAGAAGTCTCATTTTGCTCCGGGCTTGTTGCTTGTCTACCCGGCGGAAGAAGTATGGGTCACCGATAATCATCTGTTAAGCCATTTCTAAATTTCACTAGTCATTTCTAAACTAAACAGGCAACGCAGAAGAATTTAGAACTAGTTGTCGATGTTTTTTTTCGGAGATACGTCTATGGTTGTTGTTGATGTTCTTTTTTTCATGTTATTAATTTTTTAACAGAACTTCGCGCGCAGATGCAGAAGTTTTCAGTAATTTTAGTTCACCTCCCGCCACTTGTGGTGCAGATAATAGTCGCTGATCAGCTCAGGGACTTGGCCAAAGAGAGGAAAGAATTAGAGGAAGACTATGAAGTCAGAGTTCAAGAACTAGAGAAAAGAAAGGTAAAGTAACATAAAAACTGCTCGCGGCTATCATAAGAAATTTACTTGATCGCTGACAGCGTACCGTACTTCACAGTAGTTGCTAGCTTTCATTGTCTTGCTTTTGGCAGGTCTGCCCTCTTTCCTTATCCAAGAAATCTCCTAAGAACCATACGAAAAGGAAAATTTAAGCTCGCTACACGAGCTGTGAACATGTAGAACTAGAGTTAAATGTATCATTTAGCCATTCCCCCTCCTCCCCTGTTTGCTGTTGTTATTGATCTCTTTTTTCCTTGGGAGAAATGTTTGTGTGACGAGTGATATTCATTTGCTCGCATGTTTTGCAGAATTTACATCAATCTCAACTGCGACCATCTCTGGGCCATCCACACAACAGAACCGAGATGGACACTCTGTGTAGCAGCGAGGAGAGAAGAAGACAAGAAGCCTTGGATGGAGCTAAACAACATGCAGAAGCATTAGCGGTCAGTCATCAGCAATCCCTTTGATGCTCAGTCGTGATTAGAGCGTGCACAGTTTATGATAAAATCAGAGAAGGTTGCTCATTTTTAAGCCACTAGCGTGTAATTTTGTAACTGAGCAAAGAGGATAGGTAACGAGAGAGGATCAAGTTTAGAAGAATAACTTCCCAATTAAAGACCTCAGGGGTTATTTCTAAGGTAAGGCTTCACACGGAAGATCACTTCCGGTTTCTTCGACCTTAGTGGGATCTGGAAATAACCAAGCGTGTGCCATTAATTTTGCTCACACGAGCATCCTCTGTGTTGTCTATTTTTGTTCCACTGAAGTATTTGCGCAACAAAATTTTGCTTTTCAGAAACTTGAAGCTCAGTTCGCAAGCTCGTTTATTGAGAAGCTAGCACAGACATGTGAGACCATGTTACTACAGTTTGATGCTGTTCTCTCTCTTGAAGATGTCGAAGTGGGAAGTAAGTTGGATCAAATTTTAAAATCTAACTATTAAAGAAGCCGGAAGAAAAACAAAACAAGGCTGGTTACTGATTTATTTATTCTCCAACTTACATGAACTGCTTTGGTTTTTACAGAGGTCGAACCCAAACCGAAGAGCACCAAGAGATTGCTCAGAGAAAAATTAGCCGGTGATGAGGACGGAAAAGGTATAAAAATATATATATATATATATTTCTTAAGCGTATATGCGTAAATATGAATATGCTTAAAATAAACCTATCGTGAATCAAAGTTTAGTTGTTGGATAGAAAAATCAGAACCTCAGATTTTGCTTTTGATGATGGAGTATGTTGTTGCAGATAAGTTGGCGCCTTTCCCGTCTGGTGGTACATCTTGGGAAGGACTGCCAACGAACGAACTTGTGCTGGAAGAACCGATTGACAAGAAGAATAATATCCTTTATTTATCTTAAACTAGACTGGTCAAGTTATTATTTTTTTCTTTTTTATAGTCAGGCTCTTGGAGCATGCATGAGCTTTGTATTTTTGATTGGAGGTTACTTTTTAATTACGGAAATATAAGTGGTCAGGAAGGACTTACTGTTAATACCTCAAAAAGTACCTCACTGTTTTAGTAGTACGAGAAACGCACAGAAAACGGAGGAGGTTTTTGTTTGCTCGTTTTAAATTCTTCACCGAGTAAGGGGGGGAAACCAAGTAAATCATTAATTATGCATTATGTTAGCTTTTTCGCGCTGTTAGTTTTAACACTTAGCACTGTTCTGTACAGAAATGTAGTGTGATTGATTGAAATACGACTGTAAGTGGTGAGCGTCATGAAAAGCGGTTATGTATTTTCTCTTTCATCTGTTTGAAACTTGGAAGAATAAACAGAAATTTTTCTTTAACTCTTAATCACGAACCCCTACTGTAAAGACTGTTAAGACAACGCAAGGACACCTAGCTGTGATAAAATCGCGCAACAAAGCATATGAGGTAAGACTTGATATGATATTGCAGGGGATCACAAAAGTATAAGTCAACAATATTGTTATAGCATCTACGATTATTAATTGCTCAGTTCGGCGTTAGAGTGTTCAGTTTTGATTGGAACATAGCCTTGTAAAACTGGTTGAGGCTATTTCCAACCACGACAGTCCCTGTTCTCTGTCACAAAGGCTGTTATTTGGACAGTTTGACGGTTTCAGCGGAGGTCATTATCAGGTTGTCAAGACGTATGTTACCGTCATCGACTAAATCTTTCTTCGAGACCGTTCCTGTCGATCCTTTCAAAGTGAATATGTTACTAACTCGTTGGTATTGGTTGGTATCGTTCAAATGAGTCATGTTTTAACGTTTGTATTATTTACGTCCTGCAGGGTTACAAAGAAAAGTTTGATGCTCGACTGACAGCCATACGAGAAGAAATGAATGCACAGATACAAAACGAAGAACGATGGACGCGAAGTTGGCAACGGTCAATCACCAAAATAAAAGAACTCTATTAAGATGGTTTCCTCCAGGAATGGTCGATTTGAGTTTGTATTTTAGAACAGTTTGTTTGTAAAAGGTTTTGTTTGACACTGCCCAAAAGATGAGTGAGCAATTAAAGTGAAAAAAAATACGCAATCAAAAGGAGAAACGTCATGGAGGATGTAAAAAAAGTTAACCAGAAGTTTTCGAGCTTGTCATTCATTATTGCTGTCTATTTTCATCATCCTTATCCATGTACGGTCCTCCTTGTTTTCCTCTTACATCTCTGACGTTTATCTCCAAACTAAACTTTTTATTCCAAGATCTACTCCTTTCGCTCAAATTATCAAGGCCACTTTCAGTACTTTTCTTTCAGAATAAGCTTTATTTGTAAATTGAGCTCCTTTACTGGTATTTATTCGATTTGAACGTTTATCTTGACTGTAAAAATGTAAATAAACTTTTCGTTTGATAGATGTCTGCCTCGAAGGTTTTATTTTTGAGGGAAAGAAATTTTTTATATATCTTAATTTCTCGGAAAATAGCCATGATCGTCTACAACACCCCAGGTGAGACAAAACACAGGAGAGAACGAATGAACGGCAAGTCTATTATGATTGGTTTTTCGCACTAAGATATGAACCTACTCACTACCTGACAGGCTCATCTCTAGAGACGTCACCGCGTATATTTTGCTTCAGAAGTAAGTTTACGCATGACAATTCAAAACGACGACAAACGACAAAAATGAACTGTAATATCATTCTCTCTTTATGTAATCCTTACATAAACCCCGTGGGAAAACAGAGCGAAGATCTTTGTTCACAGCTAATGGAAATATCTGCAAGTTAGTGAACAAATAAGTGAATTTGCACAAAAAAGAAGACGGTACGAAGTTCCTTCTCAGCCGTCTGCCGTTAATGCCGCTATTCTTTGTCTCTCTTTTAGCATTCATCGAAAAAGGCCAGAGACAAATGTGAGACAGTACTTCGATAAAGTCGCTCACAAAATATAGAACTGGATCCTGAAACTTGGACATCAATTTTGAATTCATACCATTCGCTCATCAGCGTAGTCTCGGGAAAAAACACTATATTGCTAGCTACTTACAGGAGCAGTAAAGCTGAATCTATGGTCACCTCCACCTCAAAACAAAGGTTTTAATGTCAATTGATAAGATAGTTGTTACATGAGCATTTTTTGAAAACTTTTAGCACGATAGCATCCTTCCTGGAATTACGGTCGAATTGCAGCGTTTGAACTATTTGCAATGTACTTGCTGGTTTGAAAATAATTTTTTTGTATTGTCTTTCACAGAGAATTCCAATGTGCTTTTCACATGGGCCTCTATGCATATATTTAGTAAACGTGATGACTATCAGCGGTTCGCGAAAAGACGTGTGCTGCTCATTGCCGTAACAAGTTCCAAAGAAATGAAGAATGAATATTTTTTGATTATTCCTCGAAGAGAGTTGCTCGTTACACATGGCTATTTGTAACACTTTTTGACGTCTGGTTGTACAGTGTCGTGTACAGTTTCAGGCGAATATCGTTCCCCAAAAGACAGTCGCTCTCACAACATGTGAGGTTGGCCTTGATGTCTCAACTCTTTAGCTTCCACTTCTACTTGCAAGGAATACTGCCACCGGCTCCATGATATCTAATTATGGACGTAAAAGAGATGAACAAGAGATAAAAACAGTCATGAGTATTTTTCAAAGTGACGATTTTGTATTGTATAATCCTTAATGGAAAATGTTGTTGAAGGAGTACAACTTCAAATTATGAACAGAAGATTGACTGACATGTTGCACCATTGGTAATGGAAATCAAACATCACACGTTCCCTGTAAGTATCAATTTTAGGGTTCAAAAAGAGGGAAATCAGCTATATACAGGTCTGAATTTGGAAGTCGTACATAATTATCTTGAACTTATTTGACTGACACAAATCTTTGGTCCTGGAGGGTGGAAGGTGAAGACTTTATGCTGGTGTGAACCATAGAAAATGTAACTAAAATTGGGCTGAAAATGCATTATGTGCAAATCAACAAGCTCCTGCTAATTGTAGAGGTTACATTGTACATCAAAAATGTTAATAACTGGGATTCTGTGGAATCAAAGGGAGCTGTCAAAATGTGATTTTCGCTGCTTGTGCTCTTGATAGCAGAGGCTCTTGCACAATAATCACACTAAAAATTTCTAAACTTATGTTCAAATTTACAAAAGCAAAGCAAAATGAAACAAGAGCATGTGAAGTAAAGATAAAAATTCTTAGTAAGAAGTACATATACACACCCAGCAATCAATACTCTGTTTTGAATATGTCTCCACCACTCCTATTAAGTAACAGTATCTAACCTCTTATCTTGTAATCATTCCTGTCCTGTGTGGATGTCCATTCCCTGACCGCCTTGTACACAATTTCCATTGGTGCTGTGTATGTTATTCTCCCCAAAATGTCAATTTTGTCATGATATCTTCATTCTCAAGTCAAGAAAACTGACAACTTTAACCCTTTATGCTCCTAACATCAGTATGCAAATTCTCCATAATTTGTTTAACAATCAAGAACTTCTTTAGTTGGTGATCATTTCCTATTTTCTCATGACCTTAGCTTGATTCAGGTATGACATTGTGGGGAGAAATTAGAAGCTAGTCACTCTTAAGGGTACAAGTGTTAAAACTGACTGACCACATTACTTTTATTAGAATATCATATAGATTATTACATCCAACATATTTACTTTTTCTTACTTACTGATTTCTTACTTTAGCTTAATGAACAATTTAGTTGCAACTTACATCATTATAAAGTTATCAATTTCCAAACATCATGACAGTGTGCATGATAAACTTAAAAAATATTCAATTTCCTAGAAAATGCTTTGTGTCTTGAATAACTTTTCATCATTTTAAGATGGATGTAACTTTTGGTAACTTTTCTTATGATTACACAAGCATTTCTCTGGCTTTTTTCAGTTGCAGTGTTGGTCTGAGCAATCACATTTTGAGGTTCAGTATCAACCTGAATGGTAGTGAATGAATGCTAATCCTAATTCTTTGAGACAAAAATGCTTATTTCTACGTGAATCACAGGGTTTACACACACTTAAAAATAACAAGTCCTCTTCAACATAGCTGATCAAAGTTGGTGCCAATCACCAAAGGTTGCTTTGTGCAACCAGGAAATAACACATGATGTCATAATAAAATGTTAAAAGGATACAATCCACTGTGTATTCTGTTCAAGTCACAGAGCCCCTCAAGTAGGTCTGCAATTGAAGGCTGAGTACCAGTCCCTTCACAAACCACAGACATGGAAAGATAACCTACAAAACATATTAGAGTTTGTGCAAGTTACTCATAATTTTTCAACAACACTGCAGGGGCAGTTTGGTTTTAAAAATTATACTGTGTAATCAAGCTGGGAAAAATGGGAAAACAAATTTACTAAGCAAGCAGTAATCTTACCTGAAATAGTGACTAGATACATGTGTCATTTTCAACAGTGCTTTGGATTAAAATTTGGTTATTGGAATTTAATAACTAATGATACACTACCCTGATATCCTCTCATGCTACCACATACAAGGGCTCAAAATCAAAGAGATTCCAAAAGACACATGTTTTTCAATAACCTAGTACACAATGATGAGCAGAAATGGTCTTTACAACTTATCCACAATTTAAGGAATCATTTGAGAAGGGTTTAAACCTAAACTTCCTGATACTCATGTCACCAATGGATTGTTGGAACAGATGAGGACCACTGAACTGAAGCATACTGCTAGTAACCCACCATTCATGTACGTACACTGTAAATGCAAACTTGTCAGAAGAGTTTGTCAAATATCTACCAAAAGTTGCAAGATGTGGCTACCCTTCTGTGTGACACTTACTGGAATGAGCTTCGTAAACTTCCAAACTGCTTGAACAAAGTTTTGCAACCTTGTCTGACACACCCTTGAATATGTTCCTACAAGAAATTCAGAGAGTTGAAACAGAAAATCTTTAAAGCATGTAGGATTTAAATGCTTGTGGAAAACAAATTTTCAAACAAGTGATGTTGGAGTACATTTAAACATAATAGATGGAGGAAAAGGTCTTTCAAAATGTGTTTAGTTCTGTTTAAAAGTTCATCCGCTTTCCTAACATAAATTGATTGCACAAATTGAATGGAGCAGCTATCGGTGAAAGTATCAAGGACTGACTGGTAATATTCTCAATGAAACCACGTTGAGAGTAACTGATAAGAGCCCAGTTGGTTAATTTGGCTTTAATTGACTTGCTGAAAGCTTTTTATCCTGAATTACAATATAATTAACGATAAATCTGACAAAAGTAACTCCAAAATATACTCATTAAGTCTTATGTAACTGGGCAATTCGTCCAGAGATTAAGGGCGAATTTTCTCAGGATTGGGGCGAAAAGTCTAACGACAGGGAGCGAGAAGTCCAGGATAAGTTTTCTCACAACAAACTGTAGATTCAACGATCACAAGGGGCACCAGACAGTGCTATCAATTTAGAATTAAATCTGCATAAAAACAGCTTACAGATCATCTTGAATCTTTTCCATGATGCCCTCCATTTGCTTCAAAAGCTTGTATTCAAGTTTTTCCTTTAACCCCTCAAAATCGCACAGAGGAGAACGTTCGAAAGAAGTTTTCACACAAGAGCGAAGTTGCTCCATTGGACTTGTCAACGACTGAATCAGTTCATTAGAGTGACGCTGGGTATCCTTCCATAAATTAAGTTGCTTCTCAACTTCCCTGTATGATTTTTCAAGCTTATCGAGGCAGAGAGTTTCTCCCTTTTCCATTTCATAAAAATAAAGGTGGAAATCTGGCCAAGCGCGTTTCACTTTACGAAGTTAAGCTAACCTCAAGCTGTCCGCCATGTTGAAATCGCGCGCCTGGGGTTCTTCATATCTTACAGTCAGCAGCTTTAATTTCAAGATGATATGTGGTGTAACAGTACCACCGACGCAGCACCACAGTTTCTTTGGAAACTTACCCCTTTATTCATGTGTTATCGCTTAGTTGATAACAATTGTTCCCATAAACATATCAGTTAAACTATTAGAATTGTGCGCATATATAACCGATCGTAGAAAATTGAATTTAAAATTTTTTTTTAGCCTAAAAGCTAATTAGCAGCCTTAAATCTTTGTGTTGGCTTAGTCAATAGGACCCGTAAAAGTTACTGTCGCGGTGATGCTTGCAATAACACGTCACTGGTGTTGTTTTATCGTAATTGAGTTATTTCTCCTCGTAAACGTTTCACTTCTCTCTACTAAGGTACAAGTTTTCGCTTTAAATCTTTTACGAGAGATAGTTACAGCGGCTAATTGCTAGCTTTTATTCATTACTAGCCACAGGAAAAATATCAGCAAATTCTCTAATCGCAATAGTTCATCAGAATAACCAGTAGCTAAGATATTTACTCAGGCTTCCGTGGGAGAGCCCGAGTCTTGAAATGCAGGCAGTTCTTAGGCGCCAAAAGGGGGGTCATAGTCCCAGGCGTTCCTTGCGTAAACCGTGGAAACTGGCGATGAGAGTCCAGCAACTTGTGTTATAATGTGCTCGCTCTTCGTAAACATTATAAATTTACGGATTGCTGTGTTTATGAAGTCCGCTTTGCAAAGATTCCTGTCCTATGCGCTCATCTCACATACAAATGCACACACTGTTCGTGGTAGGCCCACACGAAATGATGTCGAGCGTTTTCGGAATGGGCTGGTCCACGAACTCTCTAGCTTGAAAGCTAGCCAAATGTGCAAAGTTTACACTAGTTCTCACGAGATAACAAATGAGGCATATGTGAGTTCAAACTTCGAAAATACTGGCAAAACTGTGACAGCCGATTTAACAACAAACTATGATGCTGAGATGAACACCTCACTTGCTGAAAAAATCAAGAATGTTCTTGAACACAACTTCGAAGGTGGCGCTAACGACAGCGAATTGGATAAGGATACTGCCATATGTAAGCAACTTGAATAGTAAGGTTTAATATCTAAGCTTAGCTCTTCCGTTAAAAATCCTGTTTCTGTTATTGGTTTTTATCGGGTTCAATACTTGTAAAGTACGATTTGGTATTTCTTACACAATCACTATTATTATTGTAAAAGCGATAGTGAATGTTGGTTTGCTCTCCGCATGGAGTTGTATGTTCTTCGTATCAGATATGATGAATACTCTTGATGACTGTGATCTACTGGAAAAAGTTGTCAATATGACTAATGTACACGAACATAATGATATTACAGTGTCAATAAAAGTACAACAATTCAGATCTCGTCGTGCAAAGTCTGTATAGTATAATCGTACTCGTGTTGTGTGTGAATGCCATGGCTATACACGTGATCGTGAACCAAGCAGAGTACCAGTAAGGATGTTAAAACGTCTCTCTCAGAAAATCAGAATACTGCTGAGTTATGTACGGAGCCGTTTAAGTAAAAACGTACCAAAGTCAACGAAATTCCATGATCTTATTAAAAATAATGCAACATGAAAAAAAAGTACACATAAAACAAGAATCAGGTTTGTACAAAAAATGAGAAGGAAACCAATTTTTAGAACAAGAAACGTTACCTCTTCAATGAGATATGTCTACAATTCAAGTAGAGATAAACATGGAAAGAAATATCTCAAATACTTAAGGTTCTTTTTGTGTAATTTCCCATATAGTGAGTACAAGGGTATAATTCACAGAGGCAATTGTACAAAGAACAAGCTCTATAATTAATGATATAGAGAAAACCCTGTTCCTTGTATGCACCTTGTGGATCCCAGGAAAATAATAAAAGCACCATATAGTCAAGGGGATGTTGTTGTATTTGGAAAAAATGCTGGGCAACAATGTGTTGCAATGAGTTTATGTGCATTAATATACCACAATATGAAAGGAATAGGCAATCTTGATGAATTGAAACAAATAATGCATATTGGAAGTTAAAACTGTATAGCAGTTTGTCACAATTATCAAGACCATCATTTTTTACTGCTAGCAGATTTACCATCAATGCTTACAGTACTAGAGGAAGATTACCAGCTAGAATACAGTGAAAGTTACCTCAGTAATGTATATGGTGAGCCTACCACTGAGGGATATCAATACTGTATGGGCCTGAAAAGAGCTTTTGAGTCATTGATATCAGAACAATATAGGTCATATATTTTAACAGTTGGGTGTATTTCTGTGGGTATTAGTTGCTGTGTTGATGATGGCCATTTTTAAGCATTTGACTCACATGCTAGAGATGTTTCTTGTAAAAGTCACTCTCGAGGGACATGTGGTCTATTAGTTATATCATTTACAGACAACTTGGTGCATCACTTTCAAAGTTTATAGGGAGCAACTGATCTTTATGAACTAAAAGGTTAACAAATTACAAAATATGATGTGGCAATAAGCAACAATGTAAGAGAGGTATTAAAGAGATATCAGGTCAACACAAGTGTTACAAAGACCACTGTTTTGTTGTAGTTCTTTATTCTGTTACTCAATCATTTCACCTTGTAGTTACTGGAACTCAAATACCTTAGATGCAATTGTTGAAAATGGATCTTAGCTTAATAATACAATGCAGAGTAAGCACTGCTTAACATCTGTTACCCTGCCAGACAGTGTTACAATTTTTAGCACTAACATAAATGTACACGTTAATGAAGTAAGTCACAGAGAATTAAGTAATTTAACTGAAAGCAGAACATCTTTAGAGACCTTAATTTTAAGGAACCACAGTGGGAAAACAGGATATTTAATGTGGATTTTAAGTTACTGTATAACTTGTATTATCAACAAAATACAAAGGTGAAGCAATTGTTTTCTCTTCTGACATATGAAGACAGTCATTCACCTGCAATTAAACAGACAATACACATTCATGGTGTGGATAATCTAGTAGAGGAAATTAATATTATTCAAAATAAACAGGAATGTCAGACTATGGAATATGATATACAATTTATTTGCTGTTCATGTAAAATTACTGAAATTGAAAGGAAACACATCATGAGAAAACACAGAAAAAAACATACTTATGACAGTATGGAACCCATTGCCAATTGGTATATTCAGTATTGTTTTCTGTATTGCCAGCTATTCAATCTTTTTTAGCCCAGTTGCTTGGCATAGCAGTGGTCCTAACAATAATCATTGGAGATTTTATCTTAACTTGAGCATCCCATGAACAAAATAATAGAGAAACATGTTTCATACATTTGTACAAGGCTGTACAGATCAATGAGTGGGATAACATCATGATTATTAATGACTGAAAAAAATAAACAAGTTTCTGGCTGAAATAAATTTTGGCAGTTGTGTTAATATGTATGTACTGATGTCTTCAATGTTAATTATTTTGTAAATAAAGCAAGGTACCTAAAGCATCAAACTTAAACAAAGTATTCTTTTGGTAGAGAGGCCTGTGGTTCTGGACAGAGGTTTTATGTAAGTATTTACTCTTTGTGGATAATCTAGTAGAGGAAATTACTAATATTATTCAAAATAAACTGGAATGTCAGACTATGGAATATGATATACAATTTATCTGCTGTTCATGTAAAATTACTGAAATTGAAAGGAAACACATCATGGAAACTGTTGCCAAAAAAAGGTTTCTCGAAGACATTAAAAGAAAATATTCAACTATAGATGCTATGATTACTTTCCCAACCCAATGAGAAATTAGTGAAAGCCAGATGGGTTGAATTGTGTATTAACCAGTTTAACAGGAAAATAATAGAAGGCCCTTATTTCATATGTACCGGCTGTCTGTAATCAAATACTTTATAAGAAATCAACAATAACATGCATAAACAAGAAGTACCCTTGCCAAACATATTTCAATATTTAACAGTCATTTGATAGAAAACAGTGTATATGCAACACATGTCATTCAAAGGTCATAAAAGGAAAATTACCATGTCAGGCTGTAGTGAATTAAATATGTATGTGGATGAAATACCCTCAGAACTATCCTCGTTAGAAAAACTAGAACAAATACGAATAGCTCAACGAATAGTTTGAGAAGATTGTGGCCATGCATAAAGGACAGCAGAGAAAAATTAAAGGTGCAGTATGCAATGTACCTAATGTATAGAATGTGATCAGACATAGAATCAACTCCCTCATCCACCTAATAGATCTTGTATAATAATGCTTAAGCTTAAAAGAAAGTTACAATCTAGAAGACATGTTTATTTTCAAGCATCACGACCAGAGTTAATACAGCAAGTTCTTAACTGGCTCAAAGTAAATAATCCATTGTACAAAGATATACTAGTTGATATTAACAATATTGATAGCAACCTCACAACTTTACAAAATGATGCAGATGATAATGATACACATCAACAAGCTACATCAAACAATGTAACAACAGATAGTGCTCCTGCTTTGAAGTTTGATGCAAAGAAAATGATTCATTAAATAGTGATGAAGAAGAAACTGATGACCCCTTAAATGAGTCTAGAGCCCAAGTATGCGAGACATGCTGCGACGCTTAACGGACTGATCATATGCGTGTTTTGAAAAAATACTCGCAAGCGTTTTTATTTATTTGTTTAATTATTTTTGTGTGTGTGTAGGTGTGGGATACAAGCTTGTTTGGAGCAAATTCAGACACATCAAGTGTTTGCACTATTTGGTATCTTAAAAGCGCTCAAGCAAACATTTATGGAAATAAATAAGAACGTTTAGATATTCAAGTTTTTGATTGATTAAGAAAGCAAAAAACCGCAAACATACGTCAGTAGCAGCAGTACGCTATTCAGTAATAATTAAACTAAACGCTCGAGGAGCGTTCACTCGGGCTTCGTATCGAGCGTTTTTTACTTGGGCATTCACCACTGGATAGTTTGGTATAATTGATTCTAATAATTAATTTTAATGTATTCAAGCGCATTCGACTCACTCGTTTGTTATCTTTTGGCAAGGAGTGATTGCATGTGATCAGCGACCCTTACCTCACTACAAGAGAAACTCTGAGATTCAATGTTCAACTGAGGTAAAAGTGCATATTTTCTACACATTTTGCAAAGCTTTAGTTTTCTTTCTGGGTGATATTTGAGACGAAATTTAATCATAAATACAAGGACGTGTGTTACCTCTGAATTAACCAAGTTAATTGCCAAGCTCACCGAAGAGTCTCTGTGGCTCAGTAGTAGAGCGTCAGACAACGGAATCCGAAGGTCTGAAGTTCAATTCCTCACGGGGATTCACTTCGTCCTACGTTCGTATCGTGTCGTGTCTTACTTCATTAACATATGATACCACGCGATTCTAAAGAGACAACGGAGTTAAGTGTTTATTGACAGAGTTGCTTTCGTGTAGTCAGAACTTAGACTGAAATTGCGGTCGAGGATAAAAATGTTTTGCTTCATAAAAGCTAGTTTGAATTCAATAACGTCTCTTCAGCGCTAACCTCTCTGTGACGGTCGAGAGAAGAACCTTTATTAATCAAGTCAAGTTTGCAGTCCGCTAGGTCAGTTATTAGCGCAGTCGGAAGAAAATGAAGCCAGATCAAACATATTCTAAGAATTTTTTTTTCTTTTTGAGAATATGAGGAAAAGTAGCCTTGAATCTCGATCTCGGAAAAAACCTTCGTGATCTCACCATACCGGCACATTAATTATTGTGAACGTACAATCCATTGTCGTGCAATGTCATCGTTACATAAAGACAACCGCATGTTTACAGGCTTAACATATCTGAAAACAGATCCAGGATACTAAATCTCTCCCACACACTCCATTTTAACCGCCAGGAATGTTTTTTTCAAAGGCAGCTGGACTTTTGTCAACCCATACATCATTAGCATGCAGTTCTTAGGTTTAAAAAAAAAAAAAAAAACAACGACAGCAAATAGATTAAACACGATCGATAGATTATCTTTGGGAGTACGGCTTTGTTCTACAATAGTACGTGTACGGGATTATACAGAAATCTTCACCAGTTTTCCTTCAAAAAGCTAGTTTAAATTCAAGAAAGTTTTAGTCTTGTGCTTGCCTTGAGGTGAATATCGAGCGAGGTTTGATTTTCCTTGCTGAACGCCGACTATTTTTATTTTGTTTGAAAGGGATTTTCACGGTTCGTTTGCCATCGCTGGAACCTTTGTTTGTACAAGCTTGAGTTTATGGTAATTCGTGAGACCATTGAATGCACTAACTCATGGATATGTCATTCAGAACTATAGAAGTTTGTTTTCAGTCTTAAAATACCTTTCGTGACCCTCTGGTTTTCGTTGGTTTCGTTGGTTTTCGTGACCCTCTGACCGAAGTCACGATTTTCGACTTTTTCCAGATGTCCATATAAGCAGTTTTGATTATTTTGATTACTATTACATCCTCGGAGACGCAACAGATCGAAAAAAGATACGATGAATGTGTAGTTTACACCAGTTTTGAACAAAACACGGAAATTAAGGAAAGCACAGCATACGTTTCTCAAGGCGGAAACCACAAACGGGCGTATTCGGTGTCTTAAAGACAGAATGCTTTGTATGATTTAAGTCAAGCGAATATCAACTTGCTAAAGAATAAAGACCAAGACGAGGTGACTTTCATCTTTCAATAGGTATTCATTCAGCATCAGTCACAACTATGGCGCAGACGGTCCCTGCAGATGATGAGCAAATGGAACAGAGAAAAAGTGGCTTGTACAATTGCCTTAGTAAAATCAAAAAAGAAGAAAACGACAGGAAAGACCCTGAAAGGATTGACCTAGACATAGAAAAGGAAAGAAATACGGAGGATAAACTTGCAGATGAATTGCTCGAAGCCCTCGAGAGAAATGATGCAGCTGAAGTTTGGGATCTGGTTGAAAATAATCATCCCATCGAAGCGCTAAAAATCATGCAACGAGTCAACAAAGACATCGCCAAGAAGGCGAGGAACAAAGAAAAGAGCTGCAATTTCCATTGTAAACCACAGGCAATATTATCTTGCGTCGGAGATACTTATTCTCCTAGTAGTCGTCACAACGCAAAAGAGACGCAACACATAGAGGAAGAACGAAAAGATGAGGCGAGAAAAAGAAAGTGGATCAAAATACTCTCCAACCCTCTATTCATCGGAGTGGAATGGCTCTGGAGAAGAAATACCAACCGCCACTCTGATGATTGCCATGAAAATAACGACAGGGATGCCATAGGAAAGGCTTTATATGATGCATACCTACTGGATAAGATTACCTCGCACGAACACTACTATAGTTTGGAGGATTACAAGAGTTCCGTAGAAGCTTACGAGTCGTTCGCTGCTGATGTCTTGGAGGAAAGCACCGTGACTGAGCTGTACGAGATCATGGACATCGAGGGAGACGGCTTCTTACTTCGGGGGAGCCCCCACCGGCTTAGGAAGTTAGATCAAAGTCTGAGCCTTCTAAAGATTGCTGCTGATTATGGAAGAAAGAAGGTTTGTGTGGATATTGATTCTTAAATAATTCTACTTAATTCTCAAAAGCTCAATCAATTCATCATGTTAATTAAAACGATTTGCACAGCTCTATAAATTTGAATTACTAATCAAATCGTTCTATAATGAAATGTGCAATTTCAGAGACGAGAAAATTATTGTCCAAAGCTTATTTATCCGATGAGGTTAACGTGAAAACTATGCTCAGTTGAATAAATTAATTATCAATTTTGACCCTAGATTTTGCATGAGTCAAGTGGGAAGTTTATAAATGATCACGCTTGGCGCAGTCCTGTTTATAACGCCCACTCCTTCTCTTTTAAAAAAGGGTCGAGATCATCTTCCACTCCGTTGGTGGAGTGTGGTTCGATTGCGACTGTGATGTGCTGCATGTCGACCCCAAGAAACGATTACGTATGGGATTGGACAAACATGACTATTCGGAGAAGGGATACTTGATGTGATAAGCACCACGCTTGAATGCATTTGGTGGAACTCTTAATGTGTTCTCTGCCCTGCTCAAAGTTACGAGATTCTATGATTATCCTGGCAATAAACACCTTTGTAAGGGGGGGGTAGGCAGAAGAGAACACTGGGCTCCGAGAAAACATCAGAATAAGCCAGGTTGTTCACAAGGCAATCAAGCTGACGCAGGTTCAATGCAATTTTCTTACGTAGCCGTACAGCTTTTCGAATATATTTTTTTCAAGTTTATTGCTTCTATTTTATTTTTGCCGTGTACAAAGATAAAGCCCCCTCCAAAAAAAAAAAAAAAAAAAAGTAGATTCGATTCTGTTATCTTGCAGTTCAGTAGAACTAGTGGCACAAAGTCCAATGAAAGGTCTGAAAAAGCTGTGATATCACTGTAATTAATGCTCTAGTCAATCTTACTGCAGCTATAGTGAATGCTGAATAATGTAATCTGCCTGTTAAAGCCTTATTAATCTTTTAATTTGCAGTTTGTGGCGAGTGCAAGATGCCAGTCTGTTCTTGACCAAATCATTTTCTACAAATGTCCAGAATGGAAAGACGAAGGCATCATGAGAAAGTTTGTGTGGGTCGTTGTTCAGTTGATTCTCACGACAATCCTCACTCCATTCTACATTTCTTTACGGATGTTTGAAAAAGTATTCCCAAAGAAGTCTTCCAACATGTGTTCTAATGGAATCGCGAAAAAATGCATCGAAAGGATTAGGAGCTTATACGAACATCCCTACTCGAAGTTTGTCAACCACTCAATGTCTTACTTTTTGTTCCTCGCTCTCCTGTTGTTGTCAACGTTTGATTTTGAGAATGAGTACAAATCAACTTCAGTAGGACTCACCAGGATTGGTAAGTCCACGCTGCTGTTGTAATTGTGTATCCGTGTGAAAAAAATTTTTTGGCGTACAAGCAGGCCTTCATCATAAGCGCCATATTAGTAAGAACCGATGAAAATGTAGTATAATTAAGGTTATCCTATAATCTCCTTCTATTGCAAAGTTACAAGTTGGGTGAAGGGTACTCGGAGATTGAGTGCCGTTTCGATTACGTGTTGTAAATGTAAAATAAAAGTTATCAAAAAGTCCAATCAATGCAAAGAAGAATATCTTAAAGAGCCTAATGGGAACTTGAAGGCGGAACAAGCAATCTGTATGAGACGCGGGCGAACGTGAGTGACTGAGAAAGTCACGACTAGCTTTAGTTCTGTATCTAAGTGGTTCATTGGATGGCGCGAGTTTTCTAAAATAATCACAATGCGTACAAAAACGATTAAAATGCAATGACACAGGTTGCTTGCCACACTGAACACAAAAAAAAACCCATGAGCATGACGAAGCTACTCCATGATCTAAGATTAAGTAAGGCAAACTAAATCGTGCTACTGTTAAACTGGAGGGCACAAAGTTAACTGTTAATTCACCCACCATTCAATTCCAAACGATCATAGCTGAGCAAATTAATAGTTTTTGTTTAACATTCATCCACAGACTATGCAGCAATTGTATTCCTCATTGGTCTCATCTTGCAAGAACTTCTGAAAGCTCAAAAGCAAGGAATCCATTTTTATTTCTCAAAATGGTGGAATAAAATGAATATACTAACCCTGGTTACTTTCGCGGTGTCCTACATTGTATGGCTTGCCGCGTGGGTCCACTTTGGAGAATGGCAACCGAGAAGAAACCCATTTATCGTGGCTGATGTCCTGTATGCAACTGGAACTGTTATGGCATTTCTCCACTTCACCTACATATTCCAAGTCAGTTCAACTCTTGGCCCCTTGCAACTTTCCTTGTACAGAATGCTGAAGGATATATACAGATTTCTTATTATCTATTTCATGCTTTTCCTTGCATTTGGAACTGGATTAGTCAAGATATACTCATACTATGTTTCCTCGCTGCATAAAATAGAAGATGCTATTAACCCGAGTTCTCATCATGTTGCCAGGTATGTGAACAACAGCTCGCTACACATACGCGTGCACGAACGTTTTAGCATAAAAATACTAACGTTTTTGCTTAAAATTACGAAAGTTTTCACGTAAATTCACGGACGTTACGATTAAAGGGCGTGGTGGGTATACTGGTAAGTATTCTATTGTCGATTGCAATGTATTGTGCTCTCTTACTTTGGATAATAACGATAATAAATTGCGCGCGTTAAATGATAAAAGATATCCATTGGGAAGCTTTCACAAAAGAGAAGAAATTATTTTAAGGAATAAGAACATGAAACATGTCAATTTAACAATCTGCAAACACTGCCCGAAAGACCCTGCAGCTTAAGCGTGTATGGTTTATGCTTTCTAGGAGACAACGTTTTTGCAATCAAATGCATGTAACTGGATAAACAGACATAGTTGTAATAGACGGTAACATGAAAATAAATAAGCTATAAATAACAATCTTATTTCGTGATACATTTGTTTATTGATGAAAATGCTAAGCTGAAAACAGCATTTTTGCCTCATATAACCTCGCCAAAAACCAAAAACTAAAACCAATATACGTATGAATTTGTCGACGTTCGGAACAATTTTGAATTCAAGTTCTTAAAAGTTCTCTTACCTTGTAATGATTCAGCTAAAATTTATCTCGTGCGTCACATGTGAGAAAAAAGCATGAAAAGAGTTTATGAGAGGAGAAGAGTAAATTGTACCTCGAAACGTTTATCATTAAAAGTCAAGAATATTTAAAAGAAAGCCGATGTTTTACCTTCCATATATTTTTTTCAGACACGACTTAGCTGCTAAACTGTTAGTTTCGATATTTCTGGGTAAAGTGGATGACGACAAAGTAACGGTGCAGGATCCAGCGTTTCACCTCACCGCTGTCATTGGCCGTATATTTTTGTTCGCCTATGGAATCTGCACCACCCTCGTAGCAATAAATATGCTGATTGCTATGATGAACAACTCCTATGAGAGAATCATGGTAAGATCTCGAAAGCATCTTGTAGTTAATTTTGGTCGAGGTAAAATCAGTCTTATGATGGATCGCCCTCCTTTCTCAACACGCGGACTAGGTCACTATCCTGCGTCAAGTGTCGCAGGTGCAATAGAGGGGCGAGATTTCAATCCAAAAGACAAAAAAAATAAACATCTTGGCCCGCGGCTCCATCATTAGGTAACGTAATTTTTGTCTTTCTGAGGACAAAAATTGCCCGGAATCGAATCTTAATTCAAAGGAACGACCGTGGTCTATTTCCAACAACGAAGTGTCCAAGGATAAATATTGGGGTACTAAGAATCCGTGCTCTATGGCACTCCTGGCCTTTCAGGTATCTTTCCTCGCACGCTGATCGACGAACAGCTCGGAAAAAAAAAAACGAAAACTAACAAGATTTTGACAACACAAACCAGCGTGTCTTATTACACGCGTTATATGCGGTTAATACCTAGTTTGACCCGGGCCTTGTTCATTCATACGACATCTTTAGACTGCCAATTGCGTGCGAGTTTAGAGAATCGACGGAATATAAAAGGTTGAATGAATGTAATTTTTTAGAGCACCCTTCGGTATTCTCATCGAGCACACATTTAATGTAATGGCTTCATTAGTTATACTTACACGAAGGTCTCTCGTATTGGGTATTCGCCTTTAGGAAGATGCAGACCAGGAGTGGAAATTCTCAAGATCCCGGTTGTGGCTGGATTATATCAACGATGGAAACTTCGTACCAGTTCCTTTCAACATCGCCTACTATTCCCTTTATCTCTTTTTCATCCCCAACTACATTTTCCGTGTATGCTGCAAGAAGGAACAATGGTCTCGTTCTCGGAAAGTAAGTGTTTGCTGCATCAGACCTCTCCCTTCGGCTTTCAACTAGGTTTTTTTTTTCACATTACTGGCCAGGAAGCTGGGAAACTGGGATGAAGTAAGCTAAATACATTTAATTTTCACTTTAATTGCAAGATATGTGATAAGTTTTCTTCATAACAAAATTACTTGGATTTCTGTCTCTGTGCATATTTTCCGAGCAGGCTTCGGTATCGTCAATATCGAATATTTGAAATCGGTATCGGCCCATCCTTAATGAATACTTCAGATTTTCCTTTTTGTAATGTACTCCTTTTAAAATAGAAATTGTATCATTAAAAAGTTTTACGATAATGGTTCAGAAACTGTCAAACTGTTAGCATACAGGGAATCAAACAACGGCGTTCTTCAAGTAAAGTTTGATTTTTCCAAAGTTTCTGTCAAATGGAACCAGGACGAGATTCTTATTGAACGTTATAGTGGACAAGGAACTCAAGACGTCTTTCGTTATTGCTCCGACATTGCTCAGACATCTCTTACTTCAAAATTAAATTTGTAAATAGAAGTGGCCAAATCCCTAACTATATCCGAACTGAAAATGTACTTGTGCTATTATTGTTAGCAGCCATCAAACGAAACTGACATGGAATTGGAACGAATGAATTCGAACCTCGAGCGATGCACAACAGACAAGGTATTGAGACTTTCCTACAAACAGCTATGTTCTTTTGGCTTTTTAAGCATGATACTTCTTGAGACATTATTTTAATATAATCCAAAAACATTTTTAGACAATACTCAGTACCAGCAGATATACCAGAAAGGGGTTCACTGAATTCGAAATGGTTCTTTTTTGTTGCTGTGTCAACTATGGGCACAATGTAAAGATACTCAGCATCCATAAGAAAATGTGTTTTCTGAACCCGAGGATTGAGGTGCTTCGGAGCTCTTTTAATGAAATAACCTAGGAATAAGTGCTATGCAATTTTTTCACAAAGCGCCAGAGAATCAGCTTTAAAATGTCTCGTTTTGATCTTCACTTATGCAACGTCAGTTGGCCAAGTGATACTTTAAGCGACCTCTCAGTGTTAGGGAATTTTAAGATTTATTTAAAGATTGTTGTTCCCGCTTAAGATCTTTCGACGTTATTTCATTGAAATCGAAACATAGAAATTATATTTACTGCCCTTTCTAACATTATAGAGGTGAAAGAGAGGGAGGTTCAAAACTTCTGTCACTAAGTACGGAAGTCTGCCTCACTAGATATTCTATGTACAAATGTGTGAGAAAGCTTGTGCTGCTTGATCTAAGTAGTTGCGGCTGTTGTACACAAAATTATTACTAAATACTTCAGCCCACGGCAGTAGCCGCATCTGCTCTTGGTGCCAATTCGGGCCAAAGAAATCGGGCTCGGACATTTATGTACACAATGTTATTTCAGATCACGTTTCCTCCTCACTTCGAAGAACAAAACCGTTGATTCACAATTTTCTTCTGACACTAACATTATAAATTTTCTTGAGGACGGTGGCTGAAATTGAAAGCAATTTCTCTCGCTCACCCAATACAATGATGAAGTCAAATGCACCCAAATCCATGTAGTTTAAGGATAGAATACGTTACAGAAATATATGATTATTGGTTGATGACTTCAATGAGCAGTTTGCTAATGTCTTGTTTTCCAGACTCTTACACATTGCTTCTCCTGCATTTGCCCTGGATGTTCATGTTTTTGTAAGCCGACCCAAGCAAAAGTTGTTAGAGAGGTTTGTAATATATATAATAGCTAACCTGTTATTACGTCCGCTAAGACTTTGACAGGTGGGAAATCTTGAGTGAAGCTTTTGGGTGTGGTCTGAATGTCTGCGAGGTTTATGACTCATCTCCTTATTTCCGAAATTAAGGAGGTCTTGCTCGTCAACTGACTGAATTGACGCTTAATAACGTGGTTAAGTCTTCACTTACCTCTCAAGACAAGCATGAGCTCCGAATGAACCGTGTATGTGCTTATTTCAAACTTTACATATACAATTTGTAACGTGACTGTTTCGCCTTTCAGGAACGCTTACAAGCGATTAGATTCTCCGTCGCAAGGTATCTTAACAATCACTACCCAAACGAGGAAATAGAACGCGAAATGGGCACACTGGTAAGTTCACCGGCACCAAAAGCAGATGAAAGTCTCCAGGAGTGAAAGCTATGTGGACAATTCAGCTAAATTAGTCTGAAGCAAAGGTCCGAAACGTTACATTCAGTGATGTTTCACTTTTAAATTCCATTTCTGTCGTTATTATACATGCTTAATAAGTAGAAATCAGTTCCGGAGGAACCTGGAAACTGCTTATCTTTGCTTTACTATAGATAGGTAAAGTCTTTGCTTAACAGAACGAGAGGCGTTGATAGGAACCTTAATGATAATGATACTAACTTTTTGTGACCGGGCAACACAGGCGAAAACAAATAACGCTAGTGATCATTAATTTCTTGAGCCGCATGTGTTATTAGCTACAGTCCCAGATCAATTGCATAAAGTAAAGCTAAACTCTACACATAGAGAATAACATCCAACTTGTTTTTATATTCGTATGAAAGAGGCAAGTAAGTGGCCATTTTCGGCATTGTATTGCATAACTGAATAAATATGACAGCAATTTATTCCACAATTCTATTTCTTGAAAAACTTTTCAGTGAAGTGAAGTGAGACGGAAATAGAGGCGGAAGAAATGATTTTATAGGAAACTACTAACTCAGACCAATCAGAAGTTTTACCGCGAACTTATAAAAAGGGACAAAGACAACAATATCATCCCCCTTGCATGCGTTCCCTCTCAGATTCCAACGACCACGCTCCGGGCTTGAATTCATTTCTCTCCCCCCTTCTCCATTTCCCTTTGTGCATTCCTCTCAGTCTGCAAATTTCGAATTTCAGTTTCCTTCAATAATCCCTCATGGCAGCCAGACACGCATGGCCCAATGATTTATCCAAGCCTTTGTTTATCATTTGTCAATGTGCTTTATAAAAAACAAAGGAAAAAACCAAGAAACAACAATCAAACAGCGCAAAGCTGTCTATTAATTTTCGTTTTTTAAAGGATACATCTAATCATTCAGGTGAACCGCAGTCTTCATTTTTCAAAAAAAAAAAAAAAATAAATACAAATAAAAATACAACGATGATCCACACTCTTGCGAATTTTTTTCGCAAGTCTGAAAAATTTGCAAAGGATAGTTGGATATATAAACAAAGGAAGGATTGGAATACTGGAATACAGCAAAAGAAAGGCGAAATTTGCGTAGTTTTGATATGAAGACGTCCCCACCATTTTTTTCCTTCGCGTTTCATGGATCGTATTACCCAAGTGAACTCGAGTAGCCTATTTCCCGCGACAAGATAGTCTAAAAATAAACCGTTCTTTGAAAACGCCGTGACATAGGGTCAGTATGGGAGTTGAAGGCTCCAAGTGATGGGCTCCCGAAATAACTCGATAAAGACTAACGGATGTTGACAAAGGTGATAACGAGAGTCTAACTTCCGCTGAGTAGACAACAAGCAGTCTCTCCTTTTTGGCGGCGTCCGTAGGACGGGTAAACAAAATCAGTGAAGAAAAATTTGCGTCAGCACGCGGCGGGTAGCTCTTTAAGTGAGGCGCTCGATAAGAAGGGACTACAGACGAAGCTCAAGAGTTTGACTTCTTCTCACAATGCAAAAATATGATGAGCCCAGCGTAAATCGAGTGTTAGACTTGGGATTTGCAAATCACTTCGGGATCACTGAAGGCAAATTACATGCACGCATACGGCAAAATTCGTTCTGCGATAGTACTTCTACCGGCTTGCCCTTCCTAATTAGCTCCATTTCACAGATTTCCCGTTTATTGTCCGCTTCGAATTTTAAAATAGTTTTCATGTTATTCTTTCCGCGCTTTGCAAATACATGAAGATTGACTGGCAACTAAGACAGGGAATGCCGTTGGCTACAACTTATTGAGATTAAAGATCACTTAGCCGAGCAAGGTCGATCGCTTGGGCTTAGTCTGTAGTTCCTTCTTGTCATAGAGAAATAGCATATTATTCACAGCCAACCGCGCTCAAGGGCAATATTTAAAAGCCATCCCGATTATGATATCGAAAAGGACAGTCATTAAAAGATATCCTGGTCATGGCTAAACTTTGGAGGCAGAAGATTCAAAATCGCTTGCGAATGACGGGAGTCACGCCGACGCGTCAACACGTTCAAGAAAAATCAATCTATTTTCTTCAGCGTTTCTTTACTTCAGGGTGGTTGTCCTCTCAATTCGGGATGATATGAAGAGCGAACCATCTTTTAGGGAAGCTGTATCCTGCTTTATGCTTCCGAGCATAAATCTATAGCTCTTTCCTAGGCTTAAGAGCGACTGCTTTCTAACTGAATACTATGAGTAATGTTGAATCGAGTCCCAGGATAATGTCACGAGCCAACCCGCCCCAGAAAAATAACCAAAAGAGATGCGACATAACCTTTTTGGACTTGGTTATAAGTTTGAGCTCTTTTCGGCCACGTAAGCTTCTAAACTATTTTGATTGATGTGTTTTCTTTAAAGCAACAGCTGTTAAAATGCCAAGTAACATAATTAATGCACAATGCAAATGACACGAAACAAACCCAAACTACCGATGAAAATGCGATTTTGTCACGTGAACACCCTGATAATCAGGACTGCCGCCTTCAATTCCGGGAATTTGAGGAACTGACTAGTTCTGTTGTCTGAAATATTCACTCTATATTCAAGTTGTCTTGCTGTGGCGCAAGACCTGTCAAGTAACATACATTATAAAAGCACAAATGACCCGAAACAAACCCAACTACCAATGAAAATACGATTTTGTCACGTTAACACCCTGATAATTAGAACTGTCGTCTTCAATTCTGGGAATTTGAGGAACAAGCTAGTTCTGTTGTCTGAAAAATTCAAAATTCAAGTTGTTTTGCTATGGCGCAACACGTTCCCACCAAAAATGTGCATTTACAGCAGGAAGGAGGTGCCGAAGAAGTTTACAGTCGTCTGCTAGATATTTTGAAGAGTGAAGACGAAAATGATAGCAAAGATATTGTGAAAAGAATAGACAAGAATGATGAAATGCCAAAAAACAAACTTGCAAATGAACTACTTCATGCCCTCGGGAAGAAGGAGGCTTTTAAATTCTTCAAACTTCTAGAAGGTTACCATCATACGGTCAGGTCGGAATACGAAAACTTCCAAAATGACTGCTTGGAAGCCAACAAGAAAGAGCAGCAGAGGGAAGGGAGATTTCACTGCGACTGTCGGAATTGCTGCACAAAAATGTTCGATTTTTGTCGCAACAAGTGCAAATGTAGTTGTTGTTCGAACTCCGAACCGCAAGAATCAGAAAAAAAAGCATAAATGATGAAACAAAACTGAACTGGATCAAAATTCTTTCTAACCCTCTGTTCATTAGTTTGGAATGGCTATGGAGAACAAAATATAACTGTCCGTGTGAATTTTGCGAGAAAGATAGGAAGTTGGTTGAAAAAGGAAAGAAAAAGAAGGAGGATGTCATAGAAAGTTCTCTACATGATGCATATCTACTCGATGAAACGTCGTCTCTCAAGCACTACAATAGCCGAGATGTTTACAGGGAATCGGCGGAGGCTTACGAAACGTTTGCTGTTGGCGTGCTGGAGAAAGCCTCCCTGAATGAACTTTACCAGATCATGGATATAAAAGGAGAGGGCCGCCTGCTGAAAAATAATTCGAATCAACACAGAAGTTTTATTCAAAGTCTGAGCCTTCTCAAGAGTGCAGTCAATAAGGGAAGGAAGAAGGTATGCTCTCGGGATTAAACGACGATGTTGTTTAGCGCCGCAGGAATGTGAATATTGATTTCTGCACTCAACCATTTCTTAGAAATATCAGAAATGACCCCTCATTACTCTGCCAACAATTTCCAAATCTTGTGTGATGGAGACCGATCTTTAAATCTCTTGGTAACATAAATCAGTGACAACACGTAGTAATTGATACTGTAGGCCTCCTTTATTCTCCACAAGTTTAATCAGATGATTAAAGATTCGGCTTTGTTTTACTAATGGAGTTTGAACGAGATAACATCAGGCAAATTATTTTTAACCCATCATATCTAGTACAATTTGCATTTCATTAAGGGTGTGAGCAACAAAACACCCAAGCTGAAATGTTTAAGTTTGGAGCTCGCCGACCAAACGTTAGATCCGTGAGTTAAGTGTTATTCTACATAAGGTGAAATGGTGATTCATATGAAATGTAGTTAAATTATACACTTTCAGCGCCTATCAACTTCGATGGTGGTCTTAATACATACTGCTTGTTTTCGTAAAGGAATGATCGTTGCAGCAAAAGTCTTTCAACGATTTCCTCTTACAGAGATTTTATTACATCAAAGCATTCTTTCAAAGTTTCCTTTGTCTGTTACTAAAATACTTGATATTCCGGCCGAACAAGTTGAGTTTTTCTGTCTCAAGGCTGAACGCGTATCCATCAGGGCCCGGTTGTTCAAAAGGTGGTTTGCGATTATCCAGGATGAAACTTTTAACTTGTAATTAGTTGCCCTTGAAATAAAGTTTGTATTAGGGTCTAAGTATTAAGGGTTTTACCTTAGTGTGACACAAAACTGATGGAAAAAATATATCCAATTAAAATTGTCTGCAAAGCTACACAAATTAAACTAAAAACTGGTGGCTAACCCTCGGTTAGCTTAATCGTACTATGTACAATCCGGCCCGGGTTAATAAACTTTTCTCCTTAAACCTTAGAAACCTCCCACTGATTGAAAAAAATTCATCTCTTTGAATGCTCTGAGGCGTAAAAGCCCAATCAGCATCATTTCTTGTTCTGATAAACTAATACGTCTATCTGTATATTTACTTGTAGTTTGTTTCAAGTCCAAGATGTCAAGCTATCCTCGATGCGATTATTTTTTACAAGATGCGGGATTGGCAGGACAAGAGCATGGCAAAAAAAATTTTTTGGTCCCTTTTGCAGTTTGTCGTCATCTTACTTCTTACTCCTTTGTTTTACGTTTTCGCTCGACCACCCATGAAGATATGGCGCAGTCTGAGTGATATCGAATGGCTTGCGTGCGTAGAGAAGTTATATGAGCATCCCTACAATAAGTTTGCAAACCACATCAGTTTTTACATTGTATTCCTGTGCCTGCTTTTCGCCTCAACTTTCGGCTTTGAACACGAGTACAGAACAAGCACAACAGGGCTTTCATCCATTGGTAAGTTGTGTAAATTGATTCTTCAGTGCCTATTTCACCACTAACAGTGTATTAGCTAAGAGCAACAGCTAATTCTGCTGATACCGTTCAAGCTCAAATTAGTGCCCGGGACTATTTCTTTATTTCGCAATGCATAATCCTGACTTGTAGTAATCTCGAACTGCAAGTTTCTGAAAAGTGAACTTCTGCGACATTAAAGGAATTTAATCAACATCTTGTTAGCATGAAGCACTTACCAAATATTAAATTTTTCAACAAATAATGAAACAGCGTCTCCAATTAATTTTTGCAGAGTCATTTGCGTTCCGTTCTGATTCGTCCACAGATTATGTTGTCCTCGTCTTTTTGGGCGGTTTCCTTCTACAAGAAATTTGGGAAGTTTCTAAACAAGGATTCCGAATCTACATCTCGAAATGGTGGAATGTCGTGGACACAATAACATTTCTTACACTCCTGGCAGCTTATATAGTATGGCTTGTCACATGGCTAAGCGTTTATAAAGAATGGCAACCGAGGAAGAATGCCTTCATCGTGACAGATGTCTTGTATGCAAGCGCCACAGTGTTAGCGTTCTTTCACCTAGCTCACGCGTTTCAAGTCAGCTCAACTCTTGGCCCTTTGCAGCTTTCATTGTACAGAATGCTGAAAGATGTGGCCAAGTTTCTTTTCATTTTTCTGATGCTTTTCATTGCATTTGCAACTGGCCTCATAAAAATTTATTCATACTATGTGGCCTCCCAAGCGAAACTTCGTGAAGAGGGCGAGAGCAAATTCCAGGACTTCCATCCATATGCTGAGTAGGGGGATGCTATTGCGATATTTATATAAGAGAGTGGGCGCCCATAAGCAAACATACAATATTTCATCTATAATTTTATAGAAAAATATTGCTGAAAGAAATTTAAAGTGCTTTAATTGATTTGATGAGTGGACGGACGAAGAAAGACTTATGCCCATGTAATCGGACAGATAGACAAACATCAGGGCCCAGTTGTTTAAAGGTCGGATAACGCTATCCAACGGATAAATTACTATCCAGTGGATAAGTAATAGCAAAATGTATAGCGTCAACCACCGTATAGAGTTTTATCCAGTGGATAGCGTTATCCCATCTTCAAACAATCGGGGCCAGACGTATAGATTAGCTGACCAGTGAAAAAGATATCTCATCTTTTCATCATTCGAAACTTTTCAGGCACGAGAACACTTTTATTAGCTTGGTCTGGTTACTGGTTGGCTACGTGGAAGAAGACAAAATAAGGGTTGATGATCCTGCCTTTTACCTTACACAACTGTTTGGTCGCTTGGGTTTCCTCATCTACCTGGTTTGTACCGTTATCGTTGCTTTGAACATGCTGATCGCCATGATGAATAACTCCTTCGACAGAGTTATGGTAGGTCCCAAGTTGTGGTTTGTGACAGATTTTGACTTGATATAATAGTTCCGAGAATGATGTTTGCTAGTTGGCTTTTTACTCAGTGACATAAACCACGTTGATTACCACACTATCATCATGATTGATCCGTAGCATGACGACTCATATGAATTCGAGGGAATTCAGTCAACCTTCGCATAAAATCACTAAATCCTCTTATTACTTAGTATACCTACCTAGTCAGTCGATCACGGATAAGCTTAAACTCTTTCCAAACCTTGGGGGAAATTTATGTGAGTTATCACATGTGATAGATTTTAACTTAGAAAATGAACTTTGGTTTTTAGGGTGATGAGGACAAAGAGTGGAAGTTTTCAAGGGCTCAAATGTGGTTAGAATATATCGACAAAGGAAATGCAATACCAGTACCTTTTAACCTTCTGTATTATATCTTTTATTTTTGCTCTTTCCCTATATTCCTCGTTTACTGGATGGTAAGGGGAGACCGCAGATGCAATTGTAATAAGAAGGTAAATGTTGGCAATTGCTATTTTGTCTTTGGAATACTTGCAAAATCCTTTTAGTGAGATCTTGGTTGTACTTTCATCATGATTCTGAGGAAAAAGGGCTCGAAGAAATCAATTCCGTTTGCTTCATTCTCCCCCAGGATGAAACATTTTTCGCTATGACCTGGTCTCTTAATAAATCCCGCGAGCACACAGAAACAGATAAAATTAACTAGTAATTCTGGGAAATGCAACATGTAAATGCAAATACAAATTCCAACAGATCTTATATTATCAAGTGTAGATTTCAATTCCAACAGGTCTTAACAAGTTTACTACAGAAGCATTGCATGTCTCTTGAGTGACAACTCACGTTGGTGCTAAAATATGTTTTGTTTCATTTTGCTGCTTACTTTGACGGAAACAGCGAGAAGAGAGAAAAGGAACTGTTGAGGTACGCAAAATGAAAAAAACGATTTCGATTTAAACCTTACTCGTTGTTTCGTTACGTCATCTCGGGCGCCCAGTACGCTGGCCGATTCCTATTGCAAGAAGCCTGGTGATGAGGAGTTTTGAAAGTGGGCTGGCGTTTGCCTCCTTTGTTTGCGTTTTAAGCATTCAAGATCATGGGAGTAATCTTAAGATAGGTTGTCTAGATCTGCATAACTCATTAACTGGCAGATTTCCTAATTCTTTACTTTTAGTTGCAAGCCAGTCCTAAACCCACTAGAGCAGAAGAGAATGTTGAAGAAGGCAATCCACAACAAGTAGAGCAAAATGTAGAGCAAGGAACTAAAGATCAGGTAGGATTAAGATCCCATTACTTACTTTCACCTCACAATTCACGATTGCGCTCCGCAGTCAATAGTTTACCAAATATGGCAAAGGAAAAAGTCACCAACACATTGAGATCCTCATTAGAAAAAGGGAAAAATAAGAGACAAATCACGAAACTCTTGTTTTCATTTTATGCAAATGATTTAATGTAAAAATAAGGAAGCTGTTTTGAACCTTCTCGGTTACAGCACCAATTAATATTTTTAAGTCATTTTCTCTTTACTTTTTCATCAGACTTCAGGCGATAGTATCGCCTGCTGTATTTGTCATGGATGTTTTTGTTGTTGTAAATCCGAAACCGAAAACAAACGAAAAGAGGTCAGTAAATGGATCATTTTGTTGTACCACAAATGCGTATAAGTGACAACACTTAGCTGATGAACTAAGGGCAACAGATCCAGGCTGTAAGAGAAATAGATCATGTATCTTTTTTGTATAAATAAACGTCTCAAATTAGCCTCGCAACTCCCAATTGCCCTACGCAATCCAAACTGAGTTTGCCAAACCGACTGCTGTGAAAAAGGAATAGAAAAAAACTGATTAAAGGTAGATACCACTACATTACAATTCACGGTAGAAAAAGGGGAAAACTAGAGACAAATCACAAAACTCGTGTTTTAATTTTAGGCAAACGATTTAATGTAAAAATAAGGAAGCTGTTTTGAACCTTCTCGGTTACAGCACCAATTAATATTTTTAAGTCATTTCCTCTTTACTTTTTCATCAGACTTCAGGTGATAGTATCGCCTGCTGTATTTTTCATGGATGTTTTTGTTATTGTAAACCCGAAACCGAAAACAAACGAAAAGAGGTCAGTAAATGGATCATTTTGTCGTACCACATATGCGTATAAGTGACAACACTTAGCTGATGAACTAAGGGCAACAGATCCAGGCTGTAAGAGAAATAGATCATGTATCTTTTTTGTATAAATAAACGTTTCAAATTAGCCTCACAACTCCCAATTGCCCTACGCAATCCAAACTGAGTTTGCCAAACCGACTGCTGTGAAAAAGGAATAGAAAAAAACTGAGTAAAGGTAGACACCACTACATTGCAATTCACGGTAGAAAAAGGGGAAAACTAGAGACAAATCACAAAACTCGTGTTTTAACTTTAGGCAAACGATTTAATGAAAAAAAAAAGAAAGCTGTTTTGAACCTTCTCGGTTATAGCACCAACTAATATTTTAAAGTTATTTCTTCTTTATTTTTTCGTCAGACCTCGGGCTATAGTTTTGCCTCCTGTATTTGTGATGGATGTTCCTGTTATTGTAAACCTGAAATCGAATACAACCGAGGAGAGGTTTGTTAGTGTTGATAAATTACTTCAGTAAATGGATCATTTTGTCGTACCACATATGCGTATAAGTGACAACACTTACCTGATAAACTAAGGCCAATAGATCCAGGCTGCAAGAAAAATAGATCATGCGTCTTATGTGTATAGATACACGTCTCAAATTAGCCTTACAATTCACGATTGCGCTCCGCAATCCAAATTGAATTTGCCAAACCGGCTGCTGTAAAAAGGGAAAAGAGAAAGGTGAAGACAAATTTTGAGGCAAATTTGCTTTTTCCGTCGCTTTATCTACGATAAGTACCACCCAGAAGTGTAATTCTTTACTTTTAGATGCAAGCCATTTGATCCAGCGAGCCTTGCCAAACGCAAACCTTGCCTTACGCAATCCAAACTGAGTTTGCCAAACCGACTGCTGTAAAAAGGGAAAAGAGAAAGGTGAAGACAAACACCTTTTCAGCGATTTGGGATCATTTACAATTTAAATATCACAGATGCAGATATTCCAATCGTTGTTGGAAGCAGTTCATTGCTAAGTTTAGTTTTTACTATAATACTAAATTGGTACTGTTTCTTCTTTATAAGGGACGCGGGAAAGTTATAGCATCATGTGTTAAAAAGTATGTGAACCAGATGAGGAACACTTAGCACGGAGGACTTTAAAGGAGTCACTTGTTGATGAAAGAGATGACCGAAATCGAAAGAGGGTTGCGTAAACCCATTTACAGGAACTGTAGGCCGTTTTGATGATGTATAAGATTTTTGTTTTTATTACAAGAAAATTTAAGACCGGCCCACAATTTAAAGTGCGGGTAGGAAACGGAATTTATCGTAGTTAGTTTAATGTAATTTTTGGGGGGATCTAACGAACTCGTATTTTGTGTTAAGAAAGGACGAATTCTTCAGATTTCTGGTCTATGTTTGCTAATATATATATCCATTATAACCGCTTTGGCTGCTGTTTTCCCCATATTCACCCGTCTTTATATCAATTGCTTCATTTGTGCTGTCATGCAGCGGTAATGTATGATTATTCTTTCTATCTTTGACTTCTGAATAGTAGTAGTTACTCAGTATGATAAAGTGGCGTTTTCTTGATTTGGTTTCCTTTGTCCCCTGTCCTCCGCCCCCCTAGTGCAGGGTTTCAGATCGGCACGCCCCCTCCCCCTCTCCTTTCAGTCCGAACTACCAACTTTCAGGAATGTTAATAGCCAGAGGAAGAGAGCACGTTTTTGTAACAAGATTTGTTTGGGTGTGGTTAATGTTGACGTAGTCTTAGTTTGTGTTTGTATAAATCACATCGAGCAGTCACACAACTTGCCGATCCGAAACCTCGCTTCTTTTGAGGCAGATGAGTTCTACTTAGTTCACTTGGGTTTTGGTGTGAAAAATCATCTTTTCTTTTTCTTTGTTATTTTTACTTTCTTTTTCTTAGAGTTTCTTTTATTTTGCCCTCGTTCCTTTTTCCAGTTGTAGGTACCCATACCTCCCCTTCTCCATTAAAAAATCACTGGAGGACCTTCCGCGTTATGGGGCTCCCTTAAATAATAAGCTTATCAAGTACTTTAGTGGAGTCTTAATTATGTAAGATAAACTTGATTTGACTTATTTTTATTATTTAACTTTGTATATTTATCCTTTTACAAGTGTGTTTATCCCTATAGCTTACCCATTGTATCTTTGTATTCTATATTTTTGACGCTCAGTTGTGTATTAAATTACACCCAAAGTGTTCCTGAACATGGGGTGAAATCACTAGACTCTCGAATACGTTGTCTCTACCACAATCTTTGAAAGTGAGAACTAACAGACGGTTCGTTCCGAGCACAATTAGTGGTGATGTTAATCTAGCAAATCAATAATGATTTTTTAAATTGGCAGAGGGGTAGTAAATAGCCACACAAACGCGCAAGGAAATACAACTCATTAACTCTTGGGAAACCAGTCCCGGAAAATCTCAGTAAATAGTTATCTTGAAAGAATAATTGTTATTATACAGGTGTAGTTTATGAAGTCTCAGTTATTTGTTCTACTCTATCTTCATTTATATTCTGTTCCCTTCTCTGTAATCGTGAATTAAAGATAAACGTGAAAGAGTGAATGCCTCTAATCCTTGCTCCATAGATTCTGGTTGACAGTACATGAGAAGAAACAATTGGAAAGATGTGACAAAATGTTCAGTAAAGCAACAGTCAGTGCCATTATCTCTTCACTAATGTGTCCATCACCATATTAAGTTTGGCAAGCTCCATCGTATGACGATCAACCAATCATTTAAGTAACTTAATGTTTTCCTCAATGAATTGGGAACTCTTTTCTTTTCCCGCTTTCCCCCTTTTGTCATCCGTTGTGTCATCTCTACTTAAGTTGTCTTCCTCACCTTTTTTTAAAGTAGCGGCCCCATAAATATTTCATCACCAATTTCTTCATCGTTTCTTTTCGTCTCTAGGATGACGTAATAAGATTAAAGACTTAATTCATCATTATTTCCCCCCGCTCTAGATCTCTATATCATGATACTCTATCGATTTAATTTAGGAGCATTTGTTGTTTTTCGCATGCTTCAAGGCTCGCTGGATCAATTCTCTTGGTGTTACATCAAAAACATTACTTTAAGCGGTAATCTCGTCCGAAAACAAAATTAAGAGTCAAATTTCATTACCTGAAATAATGAGACAAATAGGATTGCATCTCTAAGGAGAAAAATAGGATTGTATATCAAGGAAGTTAGACCTTGATTTGTTTGGGTTTTAACAGAATTTCTCACTTATCAGTCCTGCTTACCTCTCTTTGCGCTTACACTTCGTCTGGTTCCTGTAACACAGAGATGAAATTTAAGAAATGAGAATAAATTAACGCCTCGATTTGACAGTCTAATTGTAAATGCCAGGTCAGCGATCGGTGTCTTACTTCAATAATCTACGCTCCCTTCTAAAATGAAACGTACGGTTTTGTGTGCTTCCAGAGACGCATATTTCCCGATTAATATTGAACGACTTGGAAACAATAGTTGATCAGAACAATAAATATCCTCTTAGTGATCTACAAAAGATAAAACTTCTTCTCTTCCTTAAGATAAAACGATAAAACTTCTTCTCTTCCTTAAGATAAAAAGATAAAACTTCTTCTCTTCCTTCCTTTCCTTCCTCCTTCCTTTACCCTATTACCATGACAACTACAGCATAACGCTGGTGATCACCAATTTCTTGAGCCACGCGCGTTATCAGCTACAGTCCCCGATCAATTGCATAAAGTAAAGCCACAACTCCAAACACGGAGGATAACATCCAACTTATATTAATATCCGTATCAAAAAGAGGCAGAAGTAAGTGGCTATTTTCGGCATTGTATTACTTAATAAATATGACAGCAATTTATTCGACAACTGTGTTTCTTGAAAAAGTTATGTGAAGTGAAACGGAAATAGACGCGGAACAAATGATTTTTGGGGAAACTACTAACTCAGACCAATCAGAAGTTTTACCGTGAACTTATAAAAAGGGACAAAGACAACAATATCATCCCCCTTGCATGCGTTCTCTCTCAGATTCCAACGACCACGCTCCGGGCTTGAATTCATTTCTCTTCCCCCCCCTCCCCTCCATTTCCCTTTGTGCATACCTCTCAGTCTGCAAATTTAGAACTTTAGTTTTCTTCAATAATCCCTCACGGCAGCCAGACACACATGGCCCAATGATTGATCTAAGCCTTTGTTTATCATTTGTCAATCTGCTTTTTTAAAAAACAAAGAAACAAACGAAAGCTGTCTGTTAAGTTTCGTTATATAAAGGAGACATCTAATTATTGAGGTGAACTGCAGTATTCATTTGTCAAAGATTTTTGGTTTTCGTGGTGGTCATCAATATTCAACAAGCATCTCTTTTAATTTTCTGAATACAAGAGAAGCCTCAACTTAAAAATGATAAAAAGTTGAATGCAAACCTTTCATATCCCGATAAATCTCGATCTTGATCGGCGAAGGCCACAAACCATAACACCTATCACATGAGCCCAAAATTTCTGATTTAGGTCATCCGACAGCACCTGATTTCATGACATCATTTGCAAGACTGAAAAAAAATACCCAAATGCTGTAATTGGTACAAGATATCCAAACGCTGTGATATGACTGGTACGAGATAAATACCCTAATGCGGCGATCTGATTGGTGCGAGCAACGTACCACTATACTCGCTAACATAGAGTATTTTTTTTATTAAGAAAAAAATAACTCGATAAAGAGAACGGATGTTGACAAAGGTGATAACGAGAGACTAACTTCCGCTGAATAGACAACAAGCAGTCTCTCCTTTTCGGCGGCGTCCGTAGGACGGGTAAACAAAATCAGTGAAGAAAAATTTGCGTCAGCACGCGGCGGGTAGCTCTTTAAGTGAAGCGCTCGAAAAGAAGGGACTATAGACGAAGCTCAAGAGTTTGACTTCTTCTCACAATGCAAAAATATGATGAGCCCAGCGTAAATCGAGTGTTAGACTTGGGATTTGTAAATCACTTCGGGATTACTAAAGGCAAATTACAAGCACGCACACGGCAAAATTCGTTCTGCGATGGTCCGGCTTGCCCTTCGTAATTATCTCCATTTGACAGGTTTCCAGTTTATTGTGCGCCTCGAATGTTGATACAGTTTTCATGTTATTCTCCCCGCGCTTTGCAACTACATGAAGATTGACTGGCAACTAAGACAGGGAATGCCATTGGTTACACCTAATTGAGATTAAAGATTACTTAGCCGAGCAAGGTCGATCTCTTGGGCTTCGTCTGTAGTTCTTTCTTGTCATGGAGAAATGGCATTCTATTTAAAGCCAACCGCGCTCAAGGGCAATATTTAATAGCTATCCCGATTATGATATCGAAAAGGAGAGTCATTAAAAGATATCCTGGTCATGGCTAAACTTTGGAGGCAGAAGATTCAAAATCGCTTGCGATTGGCGGGATTCACGCCTACCCGTCAACACGTTCAAGAAAAAATCAATCTATTTTCTTCAACATTTCTTTACTTCAGGGCGATTGTCCTCTGAATTCGGGATGATATGAAGAGAGATAACCATCTTTTAGAGAAGCTGAATTGCTGTAACCTCCAACAACACACCTTCCGAGCATAATTCTATAGCTGTTTCCTAGGCTTTAGAGCGACTGCTTTCTAACTAAATAATGTGAGTAATGTTGAATCGAGTCCCAGGATGATGTCATGAGCCAACCCGCCCCAAAAAATAACCAAAAGAGATGCGACTTGGTAATCAGTTTGAGCTCTTTTTTGGCCCTGTAAGTTTCCAAACATTTTTGATTGATGTGTTTTCTTTAAAGCAACAACTTTTGACATGCCAAGTAACATTACAAATGCACAAATGACACGAAACAAACCCAAACTACCAATGAAAATACGATTTTGTCACGCAAACACCCTTATAGCGTCGGTGCCTGATAATCAGGAGTGTCGTTTACAATTCCGGGAATTTGAGGAACGGACTAGATCTGTTGTCTGAAACAATTCACCCTGTTTTCAAGTTGTCTTGCTATGGCGCAAGACGTTTCCACCGAAAATGTGCATTTACAGCAGGAAGAAGGTGCCGAAGACGTTTACAGTCCTCTGCAAGATATTTTGAAGAGAGAAGACGAAAATGATAGAAAACCAGAGAACAATCTTGCAAACCAACTACTCCATGCCCTCGGGAAAAATGATGCTTTCAAATGTTGGAAACTTCTGGAAAGGAACCATGCTATGGTCCGGCTGGAATACGAATACTTCCAAAGTGACTGCAAGGAAGCCAACAAGAAAGAGCAGCAGAGGGAATGGAGATTTCAGTGCGACTGTCGGAATTGCTGCACAAAAATGTTCAATTTTTGTCGGGATTGCTGCACGAGAATGTTCAATTTTTGTCGCAACAAGTGCAAATGTAGTTGTTGTTCGAACTCCGAACTGCAAGGATCAGAAAAAAAAGGCATAAATGATGAAACAAAACTGAACTGGATCAAAATTATTTCTAACCCTCTGTTGATTGGTTTGGAATGGCTATGGAGAACAAAATCTAACTGTCAGTGTAAATTTTGCGAGGAAGATAGGAAGTTGGTTGGAAAAGAAAAGAAAAAGAAGGAGGATGTCATAGAAAGTTCTCTACATGATGCATATCTACTCGATGAAACGTCGTCTCTCAAGCACTACAATAGTCGAGATGTTTACAGAGAATCGGCGGAGGCTTACGAAACGTTTGCTGCTGGCGTGCTGGAGAAAGCCTCCCAGAATGAACTTTACCAGATCATGGATATAAAAGGAGAGGGCTGCCTTCAGCAAAATAACCCTCATCAACACAGGAATTTTATTCAAAGTCTGAGCCTTCTCAAGAGTGCAGTCAATAAGAGAAGAAAGAAGGTACGTGCGCTTTAGTGATATTTTGTGGTTAATAAAGCGCTGTACTGGTAGTAAATATTAATGATAGAGATTGATAAAAAGAGATATGCGATGGTTTTTTCTGTCCACACATCTAATATTCTTTCTGGCGTCGGTTGAAATACTTGTTCTTCACCACCTTAATTTTTTTTTCATTTGTAATGAAATTACAAAAACAATCACTCGAAAAGTCCTGCGTAACCAAGCATGATATAGTTCTGCAACTGAATGATTCCACTAGTTGCCTAGCTTTCCTAAACTTTAATAAAAATTTGAGCAATTGTTATCCTTATTTTGACCACCAATGAGAAAAAAAGAGAGTACGCATGTACATGTCACTAAACTTGCACTATACAACGGGATTGAACGGCGATGTTATTTAGCGTCGCAGGAATGTGAATGTTGATTTCTGCACACAGCCATTTCCTAGAAATAATAGAAATGGCCTCTTATTACTCTGTCAACAATGTCCAAACCATAAAGGCCTCTAACTTGTGAGACTTGTGAGATGGAGACTGATCTTTCAATCTCTTGATATCATAAATCAGTGACAGCACTTTGCAATTGATGTGATACTGTAGGCCTCTTTTATTCTCCGCAAGTTTACTCAGATGATTACCGATTCGGTTTTTTTTTCTCATGGAGTTTGAACGAAATAACATCAGACATATTATTTTTAATTCATCATACCTAGTACAGTTCGCATTTCATCAAGGGTGTGACCAACAAAACACCCGAGCTGAAATGTTTAAGTTTGGAGCTCGCCGACCGATTGAACGTTAAATCCGTGATCTAAAATGTTATCCTACATAAGGTGAAATGGTGATTCATATTCCATGCCGAAAATATTGAGATGCAATTAAATCATTTTTAAATATAAACCTCGCCGGTTGTTTAATCCATACTGCTTGTTTTCACAAAGGGATGATCGTTGAACAAACGATGAACGTTGATCTTTCAAAGATCTCCTCCTGTTAAGCAGGTGATATTTAAAGTTTTCTGACATATCTTCTGATTCCGTTCAGCATCAGCGGGTTGGAAGTTGTGAAAGAGAAAGCTCTATCTTTCAGTGTTTGACCGCAAACTTAACTCCCTTGTTAAGACATTTTATTACATCAAAGCATTCTTACAAAGCTTCGATGAGTGGGAACCTTAGTCTGTTACTGAAATACTCGATCTTCCGGTAGTACAAGTTGAGTTTTTCCTGTCTCAGGAGTGAACGCGTATCCATCAGGGCCCAGTTGTTCAAAGGCGATTAGCAATTATCCAGGATTAAACTTTGAATCTATTATTAGTTGCCCTTAAAATATAGTTTTCATTAGAGCCTTAGGTCTGAGGGGTTTTACCTTAGTGTGACCCAAAACTGAAGAAAAATTATATCCAATTAAAACTGTCTGCAAAGCTACAAAAACTAAGCCAAAAATTGTTGGCTAACCCTCGGTTAGTTTAATCGTACTTAGAACAATCCGGCCCAGGTTAATAAACTTTTCAGCTTAAAAAGGGCATTTTCCCCGAGATATTTCCCACTGATAGAAAAAAAATCATCTCTGTAAATGCTCTGAGACCTTAAAAAGCCCCATCATTATTATTTATTGATCTAATAAACTAATATGTTTATCTTTATACGTATTTGTAGTTTGTTTCAAGTCCAAGATGTCAAGCTATGCTCCATGAGATTATCTTTTACGAGATACGGGATTGGCAGGACAAGAGCATAGTAACGAAATTTTTTTGGTACCTTTGGCAGTTTCTTGTCATCCTACTTGTTACTCCTTTGTTTTACGTTTTCATTCGACCACCCATGAAGATATGGCGCTGTTGGAGTGATATCAGATGCCTTGCGTTCATAGAGAAACTATATGAGCATCCCCACAATAAGTTTGCAAACCACACCATGTTTTACATGGCATTCCTGTGCCTGCTTTTTGCCTCAACTTTCGGCTTTGAACATGATTACAGAACAAGTACAACAGGGGTTTCAATCGTTGGTAAGTTCTGTAGATTCACTCTTCTGTGCCCATTTCACCACTTACAGTGTATTAGCTAGAAACAACGGCTGATTCCGCCGATACCGTTCAAATTAGCGCCTGGGACTATTTCCTTATTTCTTAATGCATAATCCTGAATTGGATGGTTAAACTAATGGGAGGTGTGTGTGTGTGTAGGGGAGGGGGGGGGGGGGGGAAGTAGAGGTTGAACGCATACGCTCAATTACTCTTTGGGTTAAAAATTTTGTTGTCTTTATCAATAGAAACCTCAAACTGCAATGTTCTGAAAAGTAAACTTTTGCGATATTAAAGGAATTTAATCAACATCTCGCTAGCGTGAAGCATTTACCAAATATTAAATTTTTCAAAAAATAATGAAACGGTGTCTCCAATTCACTTTGGCAGTCATTTGTTTCCCCCAGGAGTAGATATTGGTTTCCTGGCAAAAGAAGTTTAATAAAAGTTAAACTGAACTGCAGTTCTGATTTGTCCACAGATGTCTTTGTCATTTTTTTTGTGGTTGGTCTCCTCCTACAAGAAATTTGGGAAGTTCCTAAACAAGGATTTCGTATCTATTTTTCGAAATGGTGGAATATCGTGGACGCAATAACACTTTCTTTATTCCTGGCAGCTTATATAGTGTGGCTCCTCACATGGTTAAGCGTTCATGGAGAATGGCAACCGAGGAAGAATGCCTTCATTGTGGCAGATGTCTTGTATGCCAGCGCCACAGTGTTAGCGTTCTTTCACCTGTCTCACGCATTTCAAGTCAGCTCAACTCTTGGCCCTTTGCAGCTTTCATTGTACAGAATGCTGAAAGATGTGGTCAAGTTTATTTTCATTTTTCTTATGCTTTTTATGGCGTTTGGAACCGGCCTCGTAAAAGTTTATTCATACTATGTGGTCTCTCAAGTGAAACTTCATGAGGAGGGCGAGAGTCAATTCCGGGCGTTCCATCCATATGCTCAGTAGGTGGTTGCTATATTATATAGGAGAGTGGGCGCCCGTAAGCAAACAGACAATATTTCATCCATCATTTTATATATAAATATTGCTAAAAGAAATGTAAGGTGCTTTATTTGATTTGTTGAGTGGACAGACGAAAAAACACTTACCCATGTAATACGTGACAGATAGATAAACATCAGACGCCAAGTTCACATGTTGACAATACTGACCAGTAAAAAAGACACCTCATTTTTTCATAATTCACAACTTTTCAGGCACGAGATCACTTTTATTGGCTTGGCCTGGTTACTTGTTGGCTACGTAGAAGAAGACAAAGTAACAGTTGATGATCCTGCCTTTTACCTTACACAACTGTTTGGTCGCTTGGGTTTCCTCATCTACCTGGTTTGTACCACTATCGTTGCTTTAAACATGCTGATCGCCATGATGAATAACTCCTTCGAAAGAGTTATGGTAGGTCTCAAATTGTGGTTTGTGACAGATTTTGACTTGAAATAATAGGTCCACGAATGATGTTTGCCAGTTGGCTTTGTACTTAGTGACGTAAACCACGTCGATCACTTCCCTATCATTGGTCCGCACCATGACTAATGTGGATTCGAGTAAATAGAGTCAACTTTTGTATAAATCATCAAATTCCTTTTATTACTGAGTATACCTAACTAATTCGATCACGAAGAAGCTTAAAATCTTACCAAACTTGGGGGAAATTTATGTGAGTTATTACATGTGATAGATTTTAACTTAAAAACTGAACTTTCGTTTTTAGGGTGATGAGGACAAAGAGTGGAAGTTTTCAAGGGCTCAAATGTGGCTAGAATATATCGACAAAGGAAATGCAATACCAGTACCTTTTAACCTTCTGTATTATACCTCTTTTGTCCTAATATTCATTATTGGAAACCTCGTTTGCAGGATTACAACGGTATGCTGCGGATGCAAATGTAATGAGAAGGTAAATGTTAGCAATTGCCATTTTGATTTTGGAATACTTGCAAAATCCTTTTAGTGAGATCTTGGTTGCACTTTCATCATGATTCTGAGGAAAAGGGCTCGGAGAAATCAATTCCGTTTGCTTCATTTAACCCCCCCCCTCCAGGAGGAAACATTTTTCGATATGACCTGGTCTCTTATTAAATCCCGCAAGCACACAGAAACAGATAAAATCAACTAGTAATTCTGAGAAATGTAACATGTGAATCTAAATATAAATTCCAACAGATCGTATAATATCAAGTGTAGATGTCAATTCCAACAGATCTTATCAAGCGTACTTCAGAAACATTGGATGTCTCTTGAGTAATAACTTACTTTGGCGCTAAAATAGGTTTTGTGTCATTTTGCTGCTTACTTTGACAGAAACAGCGAGAGGAGAGAAGAGGAGCTGCTGAGGTACACAAAATGAAAGAGCCAATTTAGATGTAAACCTTACTCGTTGTTTCGTTACGTCATCTCAGGCGCCCAGTCCCATGGCTGATTGCTATTGCAAGAAGCCTGGTGATGAGGGCTGTCGTTTGTCTCCTTTTTTTGCGTTTTAAACATTCCAGATCATGGTGGTAAATGCTACGATGGGTTGCCTAGATCTAAATAATTCACTTACGGGCATTATTCCCAATTCTTTACTTTCAGATGCAAGCCAGTCATAAAGCCAATGGAGTAGAAATGAATGTTGAAGAAGGCGATCCACACCAGGTACTGTGGGGCCAATTCGCTTTTTTCGTCGCACTATCTACGATCATTACCATTAAAAGAAGCGCTTGATTGTAAACTTCACGTTTCACAAGATTTTAAAAGTCGTTATCGTTATTGGCCAGTATTTTAGAGACATAGTTTATACATCGGTAGGTTTAACATTTTCAGAACAATTCTGCCTTAGATTATAGGATACATACACAAACATGGAAAATTAATATTTCGGGAGTTTTTATGATTTCTACACGTGTAATATATTGTCCTTTTGAACAAGGTTTCTTTTATCTCTCTTAGATAAATGAAGAGCGAGACAGCAAAGATCAGGTAGCCTACCAAAGTCTCACATTCACCTCACAATTCAAGATTGCGCTGTACGATCAATAGTTTGCCAAACACGGCAAAGAAAAAGTAAAGGTAGACAGCACTACACTGAGATCCACATTAGAAAAAGAGGAAAAAAAGAAACAAATCCCCAAACTCGTGTTTTAATTTTAGGCGAACGATTTCATGTAAAAAAAAGAAAGCTGTTTTGAACCTTGTCAGTTATGGCACCAATTAAGATTTTAAAGTAATCTTCTCTTTACCGTCTTTTTCATCAGACTTCAGGCGATAGTATCGCCTCCTGTATTTGTCATGGATGTTTTTGTTGTTGTAAACCCGAAACCGAAAACAAACGAGGAGAGGTTTGTTAGAGTTGATTAATTACTTCAGTAAATGGATCATTTTGTCCTACCACATATGCGTATAAGTGACAACACTTATTAAGGGCAACAGATCCAGGCTGCAAGAAAAATAGATCATGTATCTTTTAAGTATAGATAAACGTCTCAGGTTAGCCTTACAATTCACGATTGCGCTCCACAACCAAACTGAGTTTGCCAAACCGGCTGCTGTGAAAAGGGTTGAGAAAAAGAGTAAAGGTAGACACCTGGCGCAGAATGGCTTTTGTTTGAAGGACATATTACTTACTTAATGGCATAAATTACCTAGGTCGCACTGGAGCTCCCGTGTGGGTCCTCGATGGACTCTAATTGGTTGCAGTTTGCCCTTACTTAAAATTGCCTGCAGTTGCGAATACCCGGTGGAACTGAACTGTCCATCAAATGTACAAGCAGAGAGCAGACAATAGAGTTTCGAGCAATCCCGTTAATACGTAATAATAGCTCGTTCATCAATGTACGAATGAACGTGTTAGCTGTTTGTTGACAGCGACAGTTATTTAGGCGTTTATGCCGCGTCACCTTTTAGACCCTTCCATTGTGTCATCTGGTTTTCATAAAATCTGAAATTAAACAGTTGGGTTCGCTCGAGTTGGGTTCGAACTGAACTCTCAGCGCACTCTCTCGCTCATGTTTGAGAGTTTCTGCAAATCATAATTACTTAATAACAGCTCGCCTATCAATGCATGAGACAACAAGTCAGCATAAAGTTTGTTTTCAGAGGCAATTGTTCAGGCGTTTTAAGCTGTTCTTAAACACATTCATAAATGAGAAAAAAGTAAAGGTAGACACCACTACATTGATATTCACGTTGGAAAAAGGGGAAAACAAGAAACAAATCAAAAAACTCCTGTTTTAATTTTAGGCAAACGATTTAATGTAAAAAAAAGAAAGCTGTTTTGAACCTTCTCAGTTACAGCACCAATTAAGATTTTTAAGTCATTTCCTCTTTACTTTTTCATCAGACCTCGGGCTATAGTTTCTCCTCCTGTATTTTTCATGGATGTTCTTGTTATTGGAAACCTGAAATCGAATACAGCCGAGGAGAGGTTTGTTATTGTTGATTAATTACTTCAGTAAATTGTTAATTTTGTCGTACCACATATGCGTATAAATGATAACAATTACCTGATGAACTAAGGGCAACAGATCCAGGCTGCAAGAAAAATAGATCATGCGTCTTATGTGTATAGATAAACGTCTCAAATTAGCCTTATAATTCACAATTGCGCTCCGCAATCCAAATTGAGTCTGCCAAACCGGCCGCTGTGAAAAGGGAAAAGAGAAAGGTGAAGACAGACACCTTTTCAGCGATTTGGGATCATTTACAATTGAAATATTATAGATGCCGATATTCGAATCATTGTTGGAAGCAGTTCATTGCTAAGTTTAGTATTAAATGTAAACTAAATTGATACTGTTTCTTTACAAGGAACGCGGGAAAGCTATAGCATCATCTGTTGAGAAATATCTGAAACAGATGATGACCACTCAGTACGGAGAACTTGACTGAAAGGAGTCGCTTGTTGATGAAAGAGATAACGAAAATCGAAAGTGGATTGCGTAAATCCATTTACATGAACTGTAAGCCGTTTTGATGATGTGTAAGATTTTTGGGTTTTTTGCAAGAAAATTTAAGACCAGCCCACAATTTGCGGGCAGAAAACGGGATTTATTTTTAGGGGGATCTAACTAACTCGAATCTTCTGTTAAGAAAGGACGAATTATCTTTCTAGTCTATGTTTGCTAATGAATATGCCTGTCATAACCGCTTTGGCCGCTGTTTTCCCCATATTCACCCGTAGTAAGATCAATTGCTGTCATGAAGCGGTAATGTATGATTTTTCTTTGTATCTTTGGCTTATGAATAGTAGTAGTTACTCAGCTTGATCAAAGTGACGTTCTCCTGATTTGGTTTCCTTTGTCCCCAGTCCTCCGCCTCTCTAGAACAGGTTTTCTGTGTTTATCTTCCCTCCCCCCCTCCTTCTTTCAGTCCGAACTAACAATGTTCAAGAAGGTCAATAGCCAGAGCAAGAGTTCACGTTTATGTGGCAAGATTTGTTTGGGCTTGGTTAATGTTAACGTAGTCTTAATATGTGTTTACATAAATAATCACACTGATCGAGTAGTCACATAGCTCGCCGATCCGAGACCTCGCATCTTTTGAAGCAGATGAGTTTTACTTAGTTTCCTTGGGTTTTGGTGTGAAAAATCATCTTTTATTTTTCTTTGTTATTGTTACTTTCTTGTTTCTTAGAGTCTCTTTTCTTTTCTTTTGTCCTCGTTCCTCTTTCCAGTTGTAGGTACCCATACCTCCCCTTCTCCCTTAAAAAATCACTGGAGGACCCTCCGCGTTATGGGGCTCACTTAAATAATAAGTTTATCAAGTACTTTAGCGGAGTCTTAATTATGTAAGATAAACTTGATTTTACTTATTTTTATTATTTAACTTTGTATATTTATCCTTTTACAAGTGTGTTTATCCCTATAGCTTACCCATTGTATCATTGTATTCTATATTTTTGACACTAAGTTGTGTATTAAACTGTACCCAAAGTGTTCCTGAACATGGGGGGAAAGCTGTGAAAATTATGTGTCCATCATCTCATTAAGTTTGGCAAGCTCCTTCGTCTAACGATCAACCAATCGTTTAAGTAACTTAATGTTTTCCTCAATGAACTGGGAACTCTCTTTTTTTCCTGCTTTCCCTTTTTTGTCATCCGTTGTCTCATCTCCACTTAGGTTGTCTTCCTCACATTTTTCAAAGTGGCGGCCCCTTAACTGATACTTAATCACCGATTTCTTCCTCGTTTCTTTTCGTCTCTAGGATGACAAAATAAGATTAAAGACATTATTCATCATCATTTTCCCTAACTCTAAGAATCATGATACTATATCGATTTAATTTAAAAGCATTTGTTGTTTTCGCATGCTAAAGGCTCGCTGGATCAATTATCTTGGTGTTACATGAAAAAAATGTTAAAGTTTCTTGATTTCTTTAGGCTTACATGTACCTCTTTCCTGGTGGTAATCCCGTTTCTCTGAAAACAAAATTAAGAGTCTCATTTCACTACCTGAAATAATATTTCTAATGAGACAAACAGTATTGCACATCAAGGAAGTTAGACCTTGATTTGTTTGGGTTTTAACATAATTTCTCATTTATCAGTCCTACTTACCTCTCTTTGCACCTGCACTTCGTCTGGTTCCTTTAACAAAGAGATGGAATTTAAGAGATGAGAATAAACTAACGCCTTAATTTGACAGTCTAATTGAAAATGCCAGGTTAGCGATCAGTGCATTACTTCAATAATCTACATTCCCATCAAAAATGAAACGTACGGTTGTGGTGGAGTTCGAGAGACGCATTTTTCGCGAGTAATATTGAACGACTTAGAAACAATAGGTGATCGGAAGAGTTAATATCCACTTAGTTATCCACCTTTGAAAGATAAAACTTCTTCTCTTCCTTACCCTATTACCACGACAACAACAGCATAACGCCGGTGCGATCACCAATTTCTTGAGCCGCGTGCGTTATCAGCTACGGTCCCCAATCAATTGCATAAAGTAAAGCCACAACTCTAAACACGGAGGATAACATCCAACCTATATTTATATCCGTATCAAAAAGAGGCAGAAGTAAGTGGCTATTTTCGGCATTGTATTACTAAAATGTGACAGCAATTCATTCGACAACTGTATTTCTTGAAAAACTTTTACGTGACGTGAAGTGAGACGGAAATAGAGGCGGAAGAAATGATTTTATAGGAAACTACTAACTCAGACCAATCAGAAGTTTTACCGTGAACTTATAAAAAGAGATAAAGACAACAATATCATCCCCCTTGCATGCGTTCCCTCTCAGATTCCAAAGACCACGCTCCGGGCTTGAATTCATTTCTCGCCCCCCCACCCCCTCCGCTCCTCCATTTCCCTTTGTGCATTCCTCTCAGTCTGCAAATTTCGAATTTCAGTTTTCTTCAATAATCACTAACGGCAGCCAGACACACATGGCCCAATGACTTATCCAAGCCTTTGTTTATCATTTGTCAATGTGCTCTATAGAAAACAAAGAAACAAACGAAGAAACAAGGACAATAAACAGCGCAAAGCTTTCTGCTAAGTTTCGTTTTTTAAAGAACACATTCAATCATTGAGGAGAACCGCAGTATTCATTTGTCAAAAGTGTTTGGTTTTCGTTGCGATCATCAATATCGAACAAGCGTCTATTTTAATTTTCAGAATACAAGGGAAACTTAAATACTTTGATCGAAACGGACAACTCTCGAGTTGCTCGAGCCTGTCCTTGTACGACCCTATGTTCATTTTTGTAACAGAAAGAGAGCATAACTTTCAAAAGGGCGAAAATATAGCATTTACACTTCACCTTGAGAGAAAGAAAAAAATTTATCGGAACTCACACAGGTATTTTGTGGTCTGTTGTCTCTCTTGTCTGAATACTTCTAGGCAAAAATAAATATATCGGTGCCTTGCTTACTGTTTTCTCCTTCGCAGCCATTGTTTGGTCTCGTCACACAACGCCATCTATTCCCCATTGGGGAGAGAGCGCGATGCATGAGGACACCAAATAACGGTTGCTATGCTTTTCCAAAGGGACAATATATCAAGACTATCAAGATATATATATATATATATATATTTATAAGTCAGGTTTCATTCATCAGTTTCAAGATTTAAACACCAAGTTTCATAGAACAATGTCAAAATTAGTATAAACATGTGAAGATAGATTTGCACAAGTCTGCAACAAGATCTAAAAACGCATATCAAGATTTAGTGCACGTATCAAGATTCGCATACGAATACACCAAGTTTAATAAATACTAAGCAAATTCGAACATACACACAAAATTCGCATATTCGTATCAAGTTTCGCATACCCACATCAAGATTCATTTTACATGACGACATTCCCATGTCAAAATTCCTCAAACATATGAGGATCCAGATTCACACGTTCATCGAGATTATGACTGGCTTGTATGAATGACCTGGTAATATATGAGCGGACCGCTGCATGTTAACACTGCTGCATGTTTTGTCGCGTTGCATCATCGTCGATCGTTGTGTTGGGAACTTTGTGTGCATCTATTTGCAGCTGTGTGCAGAGGGTAAACTGGAAGGCTCCAACACCACTGAATTTAACGAGGACAGATTGGCGTCTATAGTTAGAAGTGTTTACCAACTCTGCGAGGAGATTCTACAGCGACAGCATTGTGGAAGACCCTAAGTCTAGATTTCAAACACCTCGTGGTCATGTAACCATTGGATAATTGATGGATTTCCTTTTCAATTCGTCTCTTGTATCTTCTTCTAGTTAGTAGGGGACGTTAAAGAACCCACACACTTATTGCAAAGAGTAGGTGTTGTGGTCTGCCCCAGAAGAACCTTTTCGAACCTGACCAAATCCGAGCACATAAGCCTTGTAGAGAGTGAATGCTCGTAGTATGGTAAATAAATTAATAAAACTTGGGATGAGGCAGCTTCAAAGGATGGTACCTAATTCCTCATAACAGTCCGCTTTGTTTTGTAAATGTCAGCCAATAATATTGGAGTAAGTTTGCATGTATCCTTGAAGGGGGGGGGGGGTAAATTTCAAGAATTTTTTTTCTTTTAGCTGTGGCCTTTTCAAAATGGTTAGGAAAATTAGGAAAATGATCTAACACAGTGTCTGCCAGGGCTGCACAGGCTTTCCATACTTGGTACCATTAATGTGCTATTATGTTGCTACTGCTGACATCAACCAAGCAGCTGCCTATATGCATCAGTTTATGATGTCTATGATGAGAGGAAGCTATCGTATGTTAAGAAGGTGAATGTTTCAATGTCTTTACTATATTAGTTATAGATTTTTGTTTGTTCATGGTTGAGGTAATTATGGTCATACCTTTAAATTGCAGTTGTTGTATGGACCTTTTTAAGTACTTTTCAATTGGTGTGTTGTACTTTTAATAGACTTGTTGATCTGTGGTAGAAAGAACTCTCCCTGGAGACCAAAAAAGTAAAAATAGGTTATTTTCAATTTGCAGTCCAGAATTTGCTCAGCAAAAGCATTTAGTCTGTTTTCTTTTCCCAATATTTGAATTGTGTGGATTATTTTTTTCCTCAATAACACAAACTATCTGTGGCTGCTATATTTCCTATTCTCTTCTTGATACTTTATTTTATTTCCAACCAACACAGGTGATTGATGATGAAAATGTGACTAATTTAGATGAAGATAAGTACTTTGTTAAGCTTATGAGACAGTGGAATGACAGTTTCTACAAGTGATGGTAAGTTCAGACACATAATTACAATGACTGCGATAAAAAAATTAAAAAATAAAGAGAGTGAACAAGGTCAGTTAAAGGTTCAAACAAAACAGATTTCACTTCATCAGTGTGTCCACGTAGAAACAATAATGAAATTGTTGTTGTATCGTGTCAACCCTTGTGCCTCTTTTATCTTTATTTCTCTGATTAATAATTAATCTTTGCTCAAGATTTGTTTAATTTATTTCTAATACCGGTTTCAAGTCATTCTTTATCCTCCTCGGTCATTGAAAAGAACACTTTTTTAAACAACAGTATTGGCCTGGTTAATGAATTGCTTAAATTTAATATTTTTATGGCAATATCATAATTATATTATATCTGATGACATAATATTATTATACACCATTAGGCAAAAAGTCCTTGATTGTAGAAATCCTGATCCTAGAAATAATTATTATGGTATGAAAGCTTAGAAACTTTTCTCAGTAACTTTGACCTTTAACTCATAGGAAACAACAGAAACATGGCTGCCTAGTGTTTGATAACACATCTCACAGAGGGCTGCAGAATTGCAATGCTTGATCAGTTTTCCAATGGTCTTCAGACCCTGGGTTTCTTACCTGCAGTTTGCAATAAGTTCGCTTTATTTGAGGAACTGTTTGTGTCACCATCATCAAAGATCACTCTACTCATGCTGTTAAAAGCTTGTTTACATTAAAACCTGGCGCAGGTGGTTCATCAAAATTGTTGCAATGACTGTGTTTGCTTACATTCAGATGATTGTAGAGGAGGGTGATGAAGAAGGCAAGTACAGTGCATTTAGCAAGTTTCTTCTTGATAATGTATTTGTTAAATGCCTGTATCTAGTTTGGACAAGACACCTCTGGGTGTTTAAGCAGGTTTCAGGGTGCAAGCATGAACCATGCCCCAAAATCAACTTGAGCACCCCAAAAGCACCCTTTGTACTTTAGCCCCTCCACATTTTTAAGAAGGGTGTAAAACTATTGCTGCATGTTCAGTTGGTTGAAAGATGTTGCCAAGAAGAAAGGTCTGCTACTTTATTGTTTCTTGTGTTGAAATTGTGGAAGAATGAATTAGGCAGAATAATGGCAACACTTGTCCATAGAATAACCATAACCTTTAGATGTGTTGTGGGGAAGCCGATTTGCTCTCCAATTTCTAAGGACAGGGAAATATTCGTGGACCAGCTAACATTACCTTACAAATTTTTCCTTCTGCAGAACTGAAGAGGTTGCTAAGGTTCACTACTGGTAGGGAAATGTTAAATCCCTGTGGAATTAAAGCTGATGTAAGTCCTGACAGTAATAGCATCTATGCCTGTAATTTCTTGTGTGAACTGGTTATTCCACGGTTAATGATAACCTGGGAGTACAATTCTTTCAAAGTTGCACTGTGGGCAGTTGTGGCTGGAAATGCTTTCAACTGTGTCTAGAACAAATTTCTTATTTCCACTTTTATTCCTGGTTTGTTTACTGTTAACAAACTCCAAGGAATTGTTTATCTAGTTGACTTACAGATGCAGAGGATAATGAAGGGTTTATGTGCATAATTTTTAGTGGCAAATTTCTATTGAGATAAAAAACCTTTGCAAATGATTTGATCCATTCAATGAACAGTAGTTTGAAATTACTGGATAAGTTTATTCTAGGTTTGTTCCTGCTAAAAACAATGTCGTTGATATACCAATTTATTTATTACTGTATATACCTTTTATGGAGGGCAAGGTTATTATGGCTGTCCTAACCAACTTTTCAAAGGCATTTGACACAGTCTCATATGAGACGGTTCTCACAGAGCTCCACAATCTTGGATTCTCCAAGTCCTACTTAAGATGGATAACCGGCTATTTGACTGATACGAAACAGTTTGTTTCGATCAACCATAAAGCCTCTGAAACCATTGAAGCAGCACTCAGCATCCCACAGGTTGCATTTTGGTTGAGGTTTTGGTTTAGTTTACTGACTTATAGTAATTTTACAGCATGCAGGTATTTCCAGTACAGTAGGATTACTGCAAGTAGTACATTTAATGAGTTAGAACTCATACTAAGCTTGTTGTCAATAATTACAAGATAGGTGCATGTGTAATCAATACCCTACTCACATTTATGCCTCTGTGAATCAAAATTCTGTAGGGCTCAGTTAATTTATGATCACTGTCTATGTGCCACAAGGCATTAGGGCAAGGCACAGAATGTGGTTGCTGTACAATTTTAAAACTGTGTCCTCTTACAGCTGACATCATAGGATTAACACGTGAAATAGAATCAAGGACATGTCTTCTTTGGATCTTGAAACCCTTAGCTCTAACCCTCCTTCTACTAAGTGCAACCCTGCAATTTAAATTAACATGTACCAAACTGAAAGACATAACATAAAGGGGTGGCTGTCAGTAATTGCATTCATTGGGATGTAACTTGATGTAAGAACTTCAAATGGTATCATCTGAAAAGTCTACCACAGGTCAAATTCCACTAGTCAAAGGTACAGAAATTTGAACAGTGTCAGCTGTGTTAAAAGGACCGTTCTAGGTTATAGTTCATTTAGGGTTGGGTGGAGAAAGGCATTGTAAGAAAAAAGAGTATTTTGAAAAAATAACTTTGATATGTAATAGCATTTTACTTTGCTTCACACTGAAAAAATGTTTTCCTTCCAGGGATGTGTTGCTCGAAACCTGATTAACACCAATCCTTGGCTAACTTCATACAACAACGTTGTGCCCTGACAGTTAGATCCGAATTAGTGTTAATCATGCTTTAAACAACTTCAAAATTGAAAATTCCAAGCAAAACGAAGAGAAGTAACCATAAACTTTACTCCTATTCAATGACATGATTTATAATTAGCCAAACATAATTCAGAAGTTAAGCAAGTCAATTACCTGCTTCGGGATTTGACGTAAACTTTCGCGGACATGCTCATGTAAGTCACCATCTTCAATACTTGAATATGCGTCTGGACTGATTGGCATTTCAAACTAGTTACATCGTCGAATCAATGTCTTCGAAGAAACTCAAAAAATTTTTGCGATATCCACCCATTTGAAGGACTCTGCGCAGGCGTTCAACAAGATCCTCCTCCACCACTGTACCGTGGTCGGCCTGTCTGCCCTGTGTATTCTACAGGACAGTCTTGTTCAAATAGGGGCTCATTACGCGCTTCAGTGGCATTTTGATAACTGTACCTGGATAAATAGAACGTAGGACCCCTGTAAGTTCGTCATTGTCTTTATGAACCTGATCTGAGGAACCAATGGACACAAGTCGGCTTGAGATTAAACCAAGAGAGTTAGTTCGTAGTCAAGAAGGCGACAGAGGAGGGTATCTACTATATTTGGATCAAACTGACCGTTCAGTCCTTCAATTGCTTCGTGTAGAGTTCCCAGAAAAAACTCGTAAATCTGCTAAAGGTTTAATATCACATACACATGCGACATCTTGTTATTGATCTAAGTAACCAGGCAAACTTTGTAAAATGGTATCTGCGACTTAAATACAAATATTTGAGGGATTTTGACAAGGGAATATAGTCATGTAGAAATGAATCACGATGTAGGTATGCGAACCATGATACGAATATGCGAATTTAGTGTGTTTGTTCGAAACGTGCTGAATATCTATTAAATTTGATGTATTCGTATGCAAATCTTGATAGGTATATTTAGATTTTGTTGCAAACTTATGCAAATCTTAACGTATGTACGCTAATCGGGATCGCTGAAGGCATATCACAAGCACACATACGGCAAAATTCGTTCCCCGACGGTTCTTCTACCGGCTTGCCCTTCCTAATTCATTTTACAGATTTCCAGTTTACTGTACGCCTCGAAATTTGAGATGGTTTAGTTTTCGTGATTCCTCCCGCGCGTTGCGACGTCAAGAAGTTTGACTGGTAATTAAGACAGGGAATGCCATTGATTACTACTAATTAATATTAAAGATCGCTCAACCGAGCAAGGTCGAACTCTTGGGCTTAGTCTGTAGTGCCTTCTTCTCATGGAGAAATGGCATCTTATTTACAGCCAACCGCGCTCAAGGGCATTATTTAAAAGTCATCCCGATTATGATATCGAAAAGTAGAGTCATTAAAAGATGCCCTGGTCCGAGCTAAACTTCGAAGGCAGAAGATTTAAAGTCGTTTGCGAATGGCTGGAGTCACGCCGGCCCGTCAACACGTTCAAGAGAAATCAAACTTGATTTTCTCCCGCGTCTAATACTTCAGGGCGGTTGTCCATCGAATTCGGGATGATATGAAGAGCTAACCATCTTTTAGGGAAGCTGTATTCCTGTAGCCTCCAACAACACATCCTCTGGGCATAATTTCATAGCGCTTTCCTAGGTTTTAGAGCGTCTGCTTTCTAACTAAATGATATGAGTAATGTCGAATTAGGTTCCACGATGATGTCATGAGCCAACCCGACCCAATTCTGGGACCTTTGAAAATTCTTAAAAAAAGGAACTGAAAGAGATGCGACATTAACTTTTTCGACTTAGTAATCAGTTAGAGCTCTTTTCGGCCCAGTAAGTTTCCAAACTATTTGATTGATGCGTTTTCTTCAAACAACAGCTTTTGAAATGCCTAGTAACATGCTTTATTAATGCACAAATGACCCGAAACAAACCCAACTACCAATGAAAATACGATTTTGTCACGTTAACACTCTTATAATAACACTCTTATAATCAGGACTGCCGTCTTCAATTCTGGGAATTAAAGGAACGGATTAGTTCTGTTGTCTAAAACAAGTCTTTCTGTTTTCAAGTTTTCTTGCTATGGCGCAAGACGTCGCCGCCGAAAATGTACATTTACAGCAGGAAGGAGGTGTCGAAGACGTTAACAGTCCTCTGCGAGATATTTTGGAGAGAGAAGACGAGAATGATAGAAAACCAGAGAACAATCTTGCAAACCAATTACTCCGTGCCCTCGGGGAAAACGATGCTTTCGAATGTTGGAAACTTCTGGAAAGGAACCATGCTATGGTCAGGCTGGAACACGAAAACTTCCGAAATGACTGCAAGGAAGCCAACAAGAAAGAGCGGCAGAGGGAAGGGAGATTTCGGTGCGACTGTCGGGATTGCTGCACGAAAATGTTTAACTTTTGTCCCAACAAGTGCAAACCTCGTTGTTGTTCGAACTCTTCGAAAGAGTCTAACGACGAGCAACAAAGCTCCGAACCGCAAGGATCAGAAATTGAGAGCATAAACGATGAAACGAAACTTAACTGGATCAAAATTCATTCTAACCCTCTGTTCATTGGTTTAGAATGGCTATGGAGAACAAAATCTAACTGTAAGTGTAGATTTTGCAAGGAAGATGGGAAATTGGTTGGAAAAGAAAAGGAAAACAAGGAGGATGTCATAGAAAGTTCTCTACATGATGCATATCTACTCGATGAAGCGTCGTCTCTGAAGCACTACAATAGCCGAGATGTTTACAGAAAATCGGCGGAGGCTTACGAAACGTTTGCTGCTGGCGTGCTGAAGAAAGCCTCCCAGAAAGAACTTTACCAGATCATGGATATAGAGGGAGTGGGTTGCCTACTGCAAAGTAATCCTAATCAACACAAGAATTTTATTCAAAGTCTGAGTCTTCTCAAGAGTGCAGTTAATAAGAGAAGGAAGAAGGTACGTGCGCTTTAGTGATAGTTTGTGGTATGAAGCGCTTTACTGGTAGTAAATATTAATTATAAAGACTGATGGAGGAGATATACGATAGGTTTTTCTGTTCACATATCTAATATTCTTTCTGGCGTCGGATGAAGCAATTGTTTTTCACCACTTGAATTTTTTCAATTTGTAACGAGAAACTCTCGAAAATTCCTGCCTAACATGATAGCTTTGCTTAAGAAAAAGATTCTCACCAGTGAAGCGGAAAATGATCTATAAGCTTGTCAATGTAAAGCGAGAGGACTCAATTAGCAAGTGAAGGAGAGATGTTTGGCTTCGAACGTGAAATTAATTAAGTTGACAATTTAAATGTAAACAAGAGCGAGGATCCGCGCAGCTTGCGCGTTGACGGTTGCTACGTAAATTTATGACTCTTCCGAACAATTTTCTCTTTGGAAATAACTACGCAATCATAGCATGAATGAAAATTTTCGCAATTGCAGAATGATTCGGCGAAAAGAACGGCTTAGCTAACAATGACAATCGAGTAACAGTTGTTGTACTCGGCATCTGCGGATTTATTGGGTTACGTTGTGACACAAAGAGCGATTATCTGTTCTGCCACGACAATACAATCGTTAAATTCTGCCAGCTAACTGATAATTTATTCTGATCAGACCTTTGACTCTGTGTCAGCATGGAGGCCGGTGAGCTGCTCGGCAGGGACCTTGTTTTCGAGGGAGATTTCAACTGCATTATGTTCTGAAGAGACAGGAGTATCATTTAACGCTTGAAAAAATTGAGATTTTTTGATAATACATTTCCGGCGTCTATGTCATAACTAAGGAGCTCTTTCAGTTTGAAATATCATTTTTAATAAGTCATCAGGTAAGCGCGGGAACTTTCCGTGCGAAGGTACGAGTGTGTTCTGCGGTATCTAGGACTTAACTGTATTATCTGGCGAGAAAGAAATTCTACTCGCTGGCCTGACCAATTTGACGTTAAGTTTAGGTTGTATGGGTTTACTGTAATTTGCGAAACAAAACGAAACGAAATGAAAATCTGTAATTTGGGAAATGGAAATATGCTAATGATTTGCAAAATAGAAATTTATATTTTGCAAATCATTAGCATATTTCCATTTCGCAATATTACAGACTTTCATTTCGTTTCGTTTCTCAAATTACAGTAAGCCGTTGTATGCTTGATGATTTCTGTCTTGAGCTATGTAATGACGCTCGGAGAATCTCCCTGCTAAATAACGTGAGCTGAAAATGATGATGCCTGAACCGTTTTATCAGCAAAGCAAGGTTTACCTTTGCTTCTGTGCCTTCGAAGCAGGAAAACGAATTATTCCTGTAGTAGTTTGATGGCAGATGCTTGAAATCACATGGTGTTTCCTTCAACTGTTGGAACCTAACATGAGCAAGATGAACTAATTATGGAATGAATCCTTACATCACAGCTCGATTAATCCTTCCCTGTAACATGACGGGCTCTTGGTTGGTTAGTGTGTTTTCTAACTAATTGTACTGCACTGTTTCGTAGTGTCAAAGGCACCATTTATTCGCAAAACACACATAATCTACCACAAAATACCTGTGGGTGAGGTAATTCGACATTTTCGTTCTTTCCCACATTAATATTCTTCTCTCCTTTTGTAAGAATGTAGAGATCACTCACAATGTTTCAAGTAATCCACCCACCCTACCTATGTTTTGAAATAGTCCTATTTGGGCTGTTGTCATCTAAAGGCAGAACCTTTCCCTTTTTTTTCACCTGGTTCTGTCTCTCTTGGGCAGTCAGTCTTGTTAGGGCCTTTGTTATCTGAAGGCAGAATCTTTCCTGTTTCTTTTGACTTGGCTCTGTCTCTCTTGGGTAGTCAGCCCTATTTGGGCAGTAGTTATCTGAAGGAAGAACCTTGTCTTTTCTACTGGTTCTGTCACTCTTGGGTAGTCAGTCCTATTTGGGCGGTTGTTATCTGAAGGCTGAACCTGTCCTTTTTTATCAGTTTCTGTCTCTCTTGGGGAGCTGGTTCATTTGAGACTGTGCGTTTTTGTCTCATAACAAACTAATTTTGAGTATGAATCTCGACAAAATTAAATTTACTTGTCTTGACTGTACAATTTTTTTCCTTTATAGATTTAATTTAACGTTAACCATGAAAAACCGTGATGAAAAGTCCACCTTTTTTAAACTAAAAATTAGTTATCCTGTTGCGATAAGCAACCAACTCGAACTGAATCAACACCATATACTAAGTGCACGTTCCGTTGACTGACTTTCTGGTGCCTCCCCCAAAATCTCGTTGATGTTTTATTTAAAGAACAAAATTACCAACGAGTAAAATATACTTCTTCTCGTAACGTATTCCATTGCATTTACATTTCCAACTCTACTCTCAAATGTGATAACTTCCCTTGTTTAAAAAAACAACTTCAGATACCTGATGTAAAATTGGTCATAGATTATTAAAGAGTTTTGTGAGTGAAGAACTTTTTCTACTAGCTTTCGTTTGTTTTCTCGCAGCCTAATACATGAAGTTAGCTGTGTTCGCTGCGGAGCGCCAGGAAACCCCGGCGGGAAAAAAAAACTTCTAAGATTTTACTCCTTTAACGATCGCTTTAAATTACATTACTTCCTTAGCATTTGCCAATTAAGTGCTGCCGGCGAAAGGCGCAAAAAACTCCGTTATCTATTTCTTTGCAGGCCAATACTATCGGGAAAAAAAAACTTGAGTTTAGCTGCGCTGTGTGATCCATGAGTGTTCTCATCGCGGTTAGAGTTTACTGTTGTTTACGGTGTTATCTTCCGGAGTGGATATACCGTTACTACGTTGAAAACTACGTGGTTTTGGCGAAAAACTTCATCCTTTTCAAATCTTAACCACTATCCAGTTGCTTGTACCAATAGAGTGGGTCAGCAAACTTCCACTGTATGTTTCACGAGATGCAAGAACGCGAGTGACGCTGACATTAACGCGTGTACCCTATCTGGAAAACATACATTCGTATTATGACAAGAAAGGTCCGCTTAAAGATTTTGGGTTACTCTTGCCATGCAATTTGGACAGCGGAAAGTGCCAAAAAAATAAGTACCGAAAATTCATCCGCAATACCTCGATCGTAGTGTGGGTGCGAACTTAGTTCTTCTCTTACAGTTAACACTTGCCCAGCGGATCTTAGATCCGCCTCAGCCTAGTTTGCATGTATTTTTTTTCTTGGGAAAAGCTCGTCGTGAAGCACGATATAGTTCTGAAACTGAAATGTTTAACGGTCCCACGAGTTGCTTAGCTTTCCTAAACTTTAATAAATGATTTAAGAAATTGGTATCGTTATTTACACCACCAATGAGAAAAAAAGACTCCAGTTGGAGTTGGCGTGTACTCCTGGATTACGAAAGTCACTCTCGGAAAATGTAACTAAGCTTGCATTACAACGGGATTATTGTTATTTGCGCCTCAGGAATGTGATTTCTGCATCATGGTCGTAAAATGAAAAGCGCGTCATTGGACCCTGTCGCGGTCGAGTGAACATCTCTGGTGGCAGCAAGACAGCGTGAATAAACGTGGAATGTAATGGGGATTCACTGTCTGTTGCCGTTCCTTCGAAAGTGTTTGCGGTCCTGCGCGACTCCTGTTATTCGTCCGTGACAAATTTATTGTTAGGAGGCAACTGAAGAGATTCAGAGAGAATCGAAACTGCAGCCTTGCCCAAGAATCTATTCATTTGGCAGCAGTTACACTTACAGCCGATGGCCGTGTGAATGATATCAAATTCGCTAGTTATTTAACGGGTAATCGACCCTTGACATGCAAACGCATTACAGAGAGACAGCGACCTTCTAATACACGAACTATTTTTCATGTCATACACTTAAAGGCGTAAATACGGGATTCGCGAAAGAAAAAGCCTTACGCCTCCAAGACCAATTCGTCACGCTCAACGTTAAATAAAAAACGTACAGAGTTTCAGATATGCTTAAAGAATAAGGCTTTGAGAAACGTATCTCTGGAGTTGTTTTCTGCGGAAGAGACAGAATACTTGAAAACAACAAAAACAGCGCGTGCACATGAAAATATTACTTTTTGTAACACAATCTCGTCCGCCTTTGCCAAACCTCAAGAACATAAAGATGGGGAAATGACACCTTAAACCTTATCATCACATCGCAAACGAAAGTTACAAAGAGATACCCTAAAAGCAGCTAAGCTTTTAGGGGTGTCCACAAAACGAAGACCGAAGACCGAAGACCGAAGACCGAAGACCGAGGACCGAGGACCGAGGACCGAGGTCGGGACCGAGGACCGTGGACCGAGGACCGAAGACCCTAATTTTTTTGCCCGAATAAGGCACGGACAGTTAAAAAACTAACCCAAAGCGTTCCTCAGCACAAACCGATGTGAAATTAAAAGGGGTCTTCGTTTTGTAGAAAAGCCCCCCTAAATCTTCAAAACGAAGACCCTTGCTAAAACGCTTTGCCAGACCCCTGGGAAGGAAGAATCTATTATACGTTGCCGATTTCAACCCCACTACTAGGAAAGTTACTAGAGATAGTAGCATTCACAATTTGTAGTGGCAGCAGCAACATTGGCTATTAGCCTGGCAATTTTACTTATTCTCAAAAAGGCAAAGGGAGTGAAATAAATATTTGAACTAACGTCATGGTTGATAATTTCGCGTCAATTGGCGTCTGACAAAGCGTTTAAGTAAGGGTCTTCGTTTTGTAGATTCAGGGGGGCTTTTCTGAAAAACGAAGACCCCCTTGATTTCGCGTCAATTGGCGTCTGACAAAGTGTTTTTGTCAAAAAGTTGGTGATCCATCACAACCGAAGCTGCTTTCTGACACAATCGGGCTATTTTTTGACTGATACACTGAAAAGTTTGAACTGTTTTAGCCGCCCCCACAAAAAAAAAACAAAAAAACAATATGTGCTTTCTATCACCTATCCTAAGACTAAATCATTTTGCTACAGTATTAGGTCACAGCCAAGTCTTTAAAATTGTCGCGTCAGTCTTCACGCTATGCTACTGAACGGCATAAATTATCAACCATGACATTAGTTCAAATATTTATTTCACTCCCTTTGTCTTTTTCCTCCCTGGGTTTACAGAGACTTTTTTGTCGCGCGCGGTTGAAATCGGCAATGTATAATAGATTCTTCCTTCCCAGGGGTCTGACAAAGCGTTTTAGCAAGGGTCTTTGTTTTGTAGATTTAGGGGGAGTTTTCTACAAAACGAAGACCCCCTTGATTTCGCGTCAATTGGCGTCTGACAAAGCGTTTAACTAAGGGTCTTCGTTTTGTAGATTTAGGGGGTCTTTTCTACAAAACGAAGACCCCCTTGATTTCGCGTCAATTGGCGTCTGACAAAGTGTTTTTGTCACTAAGTTGGCGATCCATCACAACCGAAGCTGCTTTCTGACACAATCAGGCCTATTTTTTGACTGATACACTGAAACGTTTGAACTGTTTTAGCCGCCCCCACAAAAAAAAAAAAAAAAAAACAATATGTGCTTTCTATCACCTATCCTAAGACTAAATCATTTTGCTATTAGGTCAGAGCCAAGTCTTTAAAATTGTCGCATCATCACGCTATGCTACTGAACGGCATAAATTATCAACCATGACGTTAGTTCAAATATTTATTTCACTCCCTTTGCCTTTTTGAGAATAAGTAAAATTGCCAGGCTAATAGCCAATGTTGCTGCTGCCACTACAAATTGTGAATGCTACTATCTCTAGTAACTTTCCTAGTATTAAGCAGAGTACTGAATATTTCCTACATGCTGTAAAATTACTACATAATGGGAAGCTTAAAATCAGCTAGAAATTGTGAAATACCTCGTGTTACAAAAATACTTTAATGCTGTACAAGTCCTGCATCCCCTAAGCTGGCCTCCTTTGCGATTTAAAACCGCATCAGTCTAGACAACTGATGCACCCCTTTTTGTCGCGCGCGGTTGAAATCGGCAACGTATAATAGATTCTTCCTTCCCAGGGGTCTGGCAAAGCGTTTTAGCAAGGGTCTTCGTTTTGAAGATTTAGGGGGGCTTTTCTACAAAACGAAGACCCCTGTTAATTTCACATCGGTTTGTGCTGAGGAACGCTTTGGGTTAGTTTTTTAACTGTCCGTGCCTTATTCGGGCAAAAAAATTAGAGTCTTCAGTCTTCGGTCTTCGGTCTTCGGTCTTCGGTCTTCGGTCTTCGGTCTTCGGTCTTCGGTCTTCGGTCTTCGGTCTTCGGTCTTCGGTCTTCGGTCTTCGTTTTTTAGACACCCAAGCTTTTAGGTCAGAATTATTAACGATCGACTGCCTTTTGCTTTCCGGCTTACCGGCTTACCAAGCGTGTCGCCGTGTGCGTTGTAGAGTTATTCATTGGTCAAGTGACTCTTTTCATTGCCATAATTCAATTTTCCTTCATTCATTGATCAAGATAGTAGATTTACCATACAACACTGACTATCAGTTAATTTGCCTTTACTTAGGAAAGTAGATTTACAACACAATTGAGTATACGATTGTAACGCTGTGTAACGCAACAATAGACCTCTTCTCATCCATAATCGGTCTCAAGCACAAGCACTTAAAAAGCGCGAAACACATGTATCGTTGGAGAGCGTTGGGTCAGAGCTGTTGAAGAAGGATCATGGCGGCCATCCAAATCTTTGAAATATTCCAAACTAAGACGTACATCAAATTTGACCTTCTCGAAAACCAGTCTCAAATTACATACTAAAAAATCAGTTATTTCAAGTGTTCTCAAGGGCAAAACTACAAAAACTAAACTACAAATTGTTGGCTAACCCTCGGTTAGCTTAATCGTACTAAGAACAATCCGGCCCGGGTTAATAAACTTTTCTCCTTACAAAGAGAATTTTCTCTTAGAAATCTCCCGCTGATAGAAAAAAATTAATCTCTCTAAATGCTCTGAGATGTAAAAGCCCAATCAGCATCATTCTTGTTCTGATAAACTAATACGTCTATCTGTATGTGTACTTGTAGTTTGTTTCAAGTCCGAGGTGTCAAGCTATCCTCGATGAGATTATCTTTTACAAGATGCGGGATTGGCAGGACAAGAGCAAGACAAAGAAATTTTTTTGGTCCCTTTGGCATTTTCTCGTCATCTTACTTGTAACTCCTTTGTTTTACGTTTTCATTCGACCACCCATGAAGATATGGCGCTGTCTGAGTGATATCGAATGGCTTGCGCGCATAGAGAAATTATATGAGCATCCCTACAATAAGTTTGCAAACCACACCATGTTTTACATTGTATTCCTGTGCCTGCTTTTCGCCTCAACTTTCGGCTTTGAACACGAGTACAGAACAAGCACAACAGGGCTTTCATCCATTGGTAAGTTGTGTAGATTGATTCTTGAGTAACCATTTCACCACATTGAGTGTAGTGAGTGTATTAGCTAAGAGCAACAGCTGATTCTGTTGATACCGTTTAAGCTCAAATTAGCGCCCAGGACTATTTCTTTATGCATAATCCTGAATTGGGTGGTTAAACTAATGGGAGAGGGGGTGGAGTAGAGAGGGGGTTCTTACTTTCAACTACTCTTTGGGTTAAAAATGTTGTCTTTATCAGTAGTAACCTCAAACTGCAAGGTTCTGAAAAGTAAATTAGTGTGACATTAAAAGAATTTAATCAACATCTCGTTAGCGTGAGGCATTAACCAAGTATTACATTTTTCAACAAATAATGAAACAGCATCTCTAATTCATTTTGGCAGAGTCATTTGCAGTTCTGATTTGTCCACAGATTATGCTGTCCTCTTTTTTTTGGTCGGTTTCCTTCTACAAGAAATCTGGGAAGTTGCTAAACAAGGATTCCGTATCTATATCTCGAAATGGTGGAATGTTGTGGACACAATGACACTTTTTACACTCCTGGCAGCTTATATAGTATGGCTTGTCACATGGCTAAGCGTTTATAAAGAATGGCAACCGAGGAAGAATGCCTTCATTGTGGCAGATGTCTTGTATGCAAGCGCCACAGTGTTAGCGTTCTTTCACCTGGCTCACGCATTTCAAGTCAGCTCAACTCTTGGCCCTTTGCAGCTTTCATTGTACAGAATGCTGAAAGATGTGGCCAAGTTTCTTTTCATTTTTCTGATGCTTTTCATTGCATTTGCAACCGGCCTCATAAAAATTTATTCATACTATGTGGTCTCTCAAGTGAAACTTCGTGAAGAGGGCGAGAGTCAATTCCAGGACTTCCATCCATATGCTGAGTAGGTGGATGTTGTTGCGATATCTATATAGAAGAGTAGGCGCCCATAAGCAAACATACAATAATTCATCTGTAATTGATAGATAAATGATGCTAAAAGAAATGTAAGGTGCCTTTTTTGACTTATTGAGTGGACAGACGAAAAAGACTTATGCCCATGTAATCGGACCGACAGATCAACATCAGACGCCTAGTTTACATATTGGCATGAGCTGACAAGTGAAAAAGACATCTGATTTTTCATCCTTCGCTACTTTTCAGGCACGGGATCACTTTCATTGGCTTGTTCTGGTTACTACTTGGCAACGTGGAAGAAGACAAAATAAGGGTTGATGATCCTGCCTTTTCCCTTACACAACTGTTTGGTCGCTTATGTATCCTCATCTACGTCGTTTGTACCGCTATTGTTGCTTTAAACATGCTGATTGCTATGATGAATAACTCCTTCGACAGAGTTATGGTAGGTCTCAAATTGTGGCATGTGACAGATTTTGATTTGAAATAATAAGTCCATGATGTTTGCTAGCTGGGTTTTCACTCAGTGACGTAAACCACTTCGATCACCACACCATGATTGGTCCGTACTATGACTCATGTGGATTCGAGTAAATGGAGTCAACCTTCGCAGAAATCACCAAATTCCTCTCATCACTGAGTATACCTACCTAATTCGATCTCGGATAACCTTAAACTCTTGCCAAACTTGGGGGATTTTATGTGAGTTATCACATGTGATAGATTTTAACTTAGAAACTGAACTTTCGTTTTTAGAGTGATGAGGACAAAGAGTGGAAGTTTTCAAGGGCTCAAATGTGGTTAGAATATATCGACAAAGGAAATGCAATACCAGTACCTTTTAACCTTGTGTATTACACCTCTTTTGTCCTAATATTCATAATTGGAAACCTCGTTTGCTGGATTGCAACGGCATGCTGCGGATGCAAATGTAATAAGAAGGTAAATGTTAGCAATTGCCAACTTGCAAAATCCTTTTGGTGAGGTCTTGGTTTAGTGGGGTCATCTTGTCTTTGGAATAATTGCAAAATTCTTTAAGGGAGGTCCTGGTTATACTTTCATCATGCTTCTAAGGAAAAAGGCTCAGAGAAATAAATTCCGTTCGCTATATTTTAGCCCCCAGGATGAAACATTTTTCGATATGAGCTGGTCTCTTATTTAATCCCACAAGCACACAGAAACAGCCAAAATCAAGTAGTACAATTCCGGGAAATGTGACATGTAAGTGTAGATATGAATTCCAACAGATCTTGTCAAGTTTAGATGTAAATTTCAACGGATCTTATCAAGTGTAGATATAGATTTCGACAGATCTCAAGTGTACTACAAAAGCTATGGATGTCTCTCGAATGATAACTCACGTTGGCGCTAAGATATGTTTTGTTTCATTTTGCTGCTTGCTTTGACAGAAACGGCAAGAAGATAGAAGAGGAACTGTTGAGGTACGCAAAATGAAAGAACCAATTTTGATATAAACCTTACTCGTTGGCGTTTGCCTCCTTTAATTTGTTTGCGTTATAAACATTCCAGATCATGGTGGTAAATCTTAAGATGGGTTGCCTAGATGTGCATAATTCATTTACGAACATTTTTCCCCAATGCTTTACTTTTAGATGCGAGCTATGGGAGTAGAAATGAATGTTGAAGGAGGCAATCCACAGGCGATCCAGGTATTGTGGGGCAAATTTGCTTTTTTTCGTCGCTTTATCTGCGACAATTACCACTCAAAGAAGCGCTTGATTGCAAAATTTATGTTTCACAACATTTTTAAAGTCGTTATCATTATTGGCCAATATTCTAGAGACATAGTTTATACAAGTTTCACTAGGTTTAACATTTTCAAAACAATTCTGCCTTAGATTATAGCATACATACGCAAACATGGAAAATTATTATTTCGGGAGTTTTCATGATTTTGACACGTGTCAGATATTGTCTTTTTGAACAAGGTTTCTTTCATCTCTCCAAGATAAATGAGGAGCAAGGCAGCGAAGATCAGGTAGCCTACCAATTTCTCACATTCACCTCACAATTCAAGATTGCGCTCCGCGATCAATAGTTTGCCGAACGTGGCAAAGAAAAGAGTAAAGGTAGACACCAATACATTGAGATCCTCATTAGAAAAAGGGGAAAACAAGAGACAAATCCCAAAACTCGTGTTTTCATTTTAGGCAAACGATTTAATGTAAAAATAAGGAATCTGTTTTGAACCGTCTCAGTTATGGCACCAATTAAGATTTTGAAGTCATTTCCTCTTTACTTTTTCATGAGACCTTGTGCTTTAGTTTCGCCCATGTTCTTATTATTGTAAACCTAAAATCGAATACAACCGAGGAGTGGTTTGTTAGAGCTGATTGATTACTTCCGTAAATTGATCATTTTGTCGTACCACACATGCGTGTAAGTGACAACAATTAACTGAGGAACTAAGGGCAACATGCAGATCCAGGCTGCAAGAAAAATAGATCATGTATCTTTTGTGTATAGATAAACGTCTCAAATTAGCCTCACAATTCACGATTGCGCTCCGCAATCCAAATTAAGTTTGCCAAACCGGCTGCTGTGAAAAGGGCAAAGAGAAAGGTGAAGACACACCTTTTCGGCGATTTGGGATCATTTACAATCGAAATATCATAGATTCAGATATTCGAATCATTGTGGGAAGCAATTTATTGCTACGTTTAGTATTTATTATAATACTGAATTGGTACCATTCCCTCTTTACAAGGAACGCGGTAAAGCTATAGCATCATCTGTTGAGAAATATCTGAAACAGATGATGACCACTCAGCACGGAGGACTTTAAAGGAGTCATTTTTTGATGAAAGAGATGAAGAAAATCCAAAGTGGATTGCGTAAATTCATTTACATGAACTGTAAGCCGTTTTGATGATGTGTAAGATTTTTGGTTTTTTTGCAAGAAAATTTAAGACCAGCCCACAATTTGTGGGCAGAAAACGAGATTTATTTTAGTTAGTTTTATGTAATTTTTAGGGGGGTCTCACTAACTTGAATTTTGTGTTAAGAAAGGAAGAGTTCTTTAGATTTGTGGTCTATGTTTGCTTATGTATATGCCTGTTATAACCGCTTTGGCTGCTGTTTTCCCCATATTCATGATCACCCGTCTTTAGATCAATTGCTATATTTGTGCTGTTTTGCAGCGGTAATGTATGATTATTCTTTTTATCTTTGACTTCTGAATAGTAATAGTTTCTCAGCTTGATTAAGTTACGTTCTCCTGATTTGGTTTCCTTTGTCCCCTCTCCTCCGCCTCCTTAGAGCAGGGTTTCAGATCGGCACGCCCTCCGTCCCCCCTCCTTTCGGTCCGAACTACCAACTTCCAGGTAGGTTAATAGCCAGAGCAAGAGTTCACGTTTATGTAACAAGATTTGTTTGGGCTTGGTTAATGTTAACGTAGTCTTAATATGTGTTTATATAAATCACATCGAGTAGTCACACAGTTCGCCGATCCGAGACCTCGCATCTTTTGAAGCAGATGAGTTTTACTTAGTTTCCTTGGGTTTTGGTGCGAAAAATCATCTTTTATTTTTCTCTATTATTGTTACTTTCTTGTTTCATAGAGTTTCTTTTTTTTCTTTTGTCTTCGTTCCTCCTACCAGTTGTAGGTACCCATACCTCCTCTTTCCCCTTAAAAAATCAATTGAGGACCCTACGCATTATGGGGCTCACTTAAAGTGTAAGGTAAACTTGGTTTGACTTGTTTTTAATTTTCAACTTTGTATATTTATCTTTTTACAACTGTGTTTATCCCTATAGCTTACCCATTGTATCATTGTATTCTATATTTTTGACACTCAGTTGTGTATTAAACTATACCCAAAGTGTTCTTGAACATGGGGTGAAATCACTAAAGACTCCCGAATACGTTGTGTCTACTACAATCTTTGAAAGTGAGAACTGACAGATAGTTCATTCCGAGGACGATGTGGGTTGATGTCAATCTAGCAAATTAATAATGATTTTTAAATTGGCAGAGGGGTAATAAATAGCCACACAAACGCGTTATGCAATATAACTCATTAATTATTGGGAGACCAGTCCCAGAAAATCTCAGTAAATAGTTATCTTGAAAGAATAATTTTTATTATTCAGTTGTAATTTATTAAGTCTGAGTTATTTGTTATACTCTATCTTCATTTATATTCTATTCCCTTCTCCGTAATCGTGAATTTAAGATGAACGTGAAAGAGTGAAGGCCTCTAATCCTTGCTCCATAGATTCTGGTTGACATTATATGAGACGAAACAATTGGAAAGACAAATATGACAAAATAAGATTAAAGACATTATTCATCATCATTTTCCCTAACTCTAGGTATCATGATACTATATCGATTTAATTTAAAAGCATTTGTTGTTTTCGCATGCTAAAAGGCTCGCTGGATCAATTTTCTTGTTGTTACATGAAAAAAATGTCAGAGTTTCACTTCTTTAAGCTTACATGTACCTCTTTCCTGGCGGTAATCTCGTCTCTCTGAAAACAAAATTAAGAGTCGAAATTAATTACCTGAAATAATATTATAATATTTATAATGAGACAAATAGTATTACACTTCAAGGAAGTTAGACCTTGATTTGTTTGGGTTTTTACAGAATTTCTCATTTATCAGTCCTGCTTACCTCTCTTATAAAAAGGGACAAAGACAACAATATCGTCCCCCTTGCATGCGTTCCCTCTCAGATTCCAACGACCACGCTCTGGGCTTGAATTCATTTCTCTTCCCCCCCCCCTCCTCTATTTCCCTTTGTGCATTCCTCTCAGTCTGCAAATTCCGAATTTCAGTTTCCTTCAATAATCACTAACGCCAGCCAGACACATGGCCCAATGATTTATTCAAGCCTTTGTTTATCATTTGTCAATGTGCGTTATAAAAAAACAAAGAAACAAACGAAGAAACAAGAACAATCAAGCAGGGAAAAGCTTTCTGTTAAGTTTCGTTTTTTAACGATCATATTTAATAATTGAGGTGAACCGCAGTATTCGTTTGTCAAGTGTTTGGTTTTCGTGGCGATCATCAGTATTCAACAAGCGTCTCTTTTAATTTTCGGAATACAAGGGAAGCTTAAATACTTTGATTTAAAATGGACAACTCTTCTCGAGTTCCGATGTGGCTCTGGATTCTACCCCTGAAAGCAATCTTGTTAATTTTGAGGACGACGACTTGTACGACCCTGTGTTCATTTTTGTAACAGAAAGAGAGCATAACTTTCAAAAGAGCGAAAATATCGCATTTACACTTCACCATGAGAGAAAGAAAAAAAATTTATCTGAACTCAAACAGGTATTTTTTGGTTTATGTCTCTCTTGTCTGAATACTTCTAAGCAAAAATAAATACATCGGTGCCATGCTTACTGTTTTCTCCTTCGCAGCCATTGTTTGGCCTCGTCATACAACGCCATCTATTCCCCGTTGGGGAGAGAGCGCGTTGCGTGACGACACCAAATAACGGTTACTATGCTTGTCTAAAAGGGACAATATATCAAGACTATCAAGATATACATATATTTAATTCAAGTTTCATGTATCAGTTTCAAGATTTAAACATCAAGATTCATAGAACAATGTCAAAATTAGTATACACATGTGAAGTTAGATTTGCACATATCAAGTCTCATTTGGACATCTTTCAATGTGCTGTGTTGTTTACGAGTTAAAGATCACATTGAAAGACAAATATTCTTAGAGGTGAAGTCAAGTGACATTTGCAAAATAAAGCTTTCAAAGATTTTGTCTTGTATGGCCATTGCCTAGTAATTCAAATGTTAGAATTGAAATGCGTCTTGGAAAAACTGGGATCACTTTTGAAAAATACTGGTATTGTAACATGGAAATTACAGTTTACTGGAGTGAAATACCATTGTCATTGGTCAGAATAACAGGTTTCCATCATCACAGGCGAATGCCATTGGTCACCTAATCGATTTGGGGAATGATAATTTTATATTTGTTATATTTTTAGATATATATATCTTGATATATTGTCCCTTTTGGACAAGCATAGGTTGCGAAAGGTACCACGCTTACTGCAGTTCCTCTAACAGAGAGAAAGTCAATATTGTTTGTGTTCAGTTAGTTGCCTCAAATATACTATTTCACGCAATTTCACTACAAAAAGCAAACTGAAATTCTGTTGTGTCTCCAGTAGACACCGACCAAAGATATATATTGCGATCTCGAATGAGTGAAGATACCTTGAACAAAAGAGAAGGCTAATATTTCAAACGTCTCCCTGATTGGTTGTTGCCTATCTGGACTTTGCCATCTGTGTGTGAAATACGTGATAAACGCAGGTTGCCTACAAGGAATTAACATGCGATGGGGTTAAGTCCAAGGTAGCTAAAAGCGAATTCTATTCGTAGAGAAAGTCAAAACGGGAGAGAATTGTGTGGAAAATTCACTATCAGTAGCATTTAGTTCCAGGTGAATATTTTTCAGCAAGGTTAGATAATAGGGTTAGAATACGTGATAAAATGCAGGTTGTTTACAAGGAAATGTTAATGTTCATGTAGTGCAATGATTGGGTATTTCCTTATTGCACTTTGAACGTTGTTGTCATAGTACATGATGGAATATAGACAAACATTATGTCTAGACATAATGTTTTTTATGTCGGGGCATGTTTATATGATAACCCGTTGGGAGGTTTGTACCAGGTACGAACAGTAACCAACCAGTAGTAAGGGCGGAGTTTGCTATGTTAAAACCAGGAGAAATTCCTTGATTCGCCCTTCTATCCCTCGCCATTCGAACGTCAAGTGCTCAAGAAATCTTTTCCCTCTCTTCGATAACACAGTCCAAAGTTTCAGGCAAGTTGAAAATTTCTGTATTCTCTATCTTGCTATTATTTTGTTGGTGTCCAATTTAATTGAATATTTCAAACCTCGCATTTAACATATCCCGAGCATGGCACCAACACGTGTACTTATCCTCGGTCACTCCTTTATCCATCGTTTGTTTAGTTTTCTTGTTGCTCATTTCGGTCGCGATTTCCTTGAGAATTTTAACTTGGGCGACGACCTTATTTTCAAATGGCACGGGATAGGGGGAAGGACAGTTGCAAAAACTAGGCAACTTGACCTCAGAGTCGTAAGATCATTTGCTCCCGATCTTGTCATTTTGCAGCTTGGCACGAATTCTAGCATTTTCTTCACGTTGGGACATCTTTTTCGGGCAGAGCTCACGTAAAGAGACGTTTTTCTTCGAAACATGCATCGATATAAAAGCTATTTACCGTGTGCGTTGTCAGTAAACGTGTTAACTTAAAAATGATAAGTTGAATGCAAACCTTTCACATCCCGATAAATCTGAGGCGCATGAAGCTCTTATTACTGTTGATTTTTGTCACTGGTTGTGAAAAGAGCCTTGTCTACCATGGTTTTGTTAAATTATTCGAAAAACTTCCGACTGCCGGTCATTTGATGGCCGCCCATCGCACGCAAAAAGTGTCAACATCCATGGCTCCGTATTCTGAGATTTGTAAATCAGTTCGGGATTGCTAAAGGCAAATCACAAGCACACATACGGCAAATTCGTTCCCCGATGGTTCTTCTACCGACTTGCCTTTCTAATTCATTACACAGATTTCCAGTTTATTGTGCGTCTCGAAATTTGAGATGGTTTAGTTCTCGTGATTCCTTCCGCGCGTTGCGACGACAACGACAGGAGCCAACCCTCCCCAATTTTGGGATCTTCGAAAATTCATTAAAGAAAGTAACTGAAAGAGATGCAAAATTAACTTTTTCGACTTGGTCATCAGTTAGAGCTCTTTTCGGCCCCGTAAGTTTCCAAACTATTTTGAATGGTGCATTTTCTTTAAAGCAACAGCTTTTGACATGCCAAGTAACAGTATTAATGCGCAAATGACCCGAAACAAACCCAGTTATCAATGAAAATACGATGTTGTCACCATAATACCCTTATAGCATCGATGCAGCAATCAGCAGTGTTGTCATTAATTCCGGGAATTTAAGGTACCGACTAGTTCTGTTGTCTGAAACAATTCACTTGGTATTCTAGTTGTCTTGCCATGGCAGAAGACGTTTCTACCGAAAATGTGCATTTACAGCAGGAAGGAGGTGCTGAAGACGTTTACAGTCCTCTGCTAGATATTTTGGAGAGAGAAGACGAGAATGATAGAAAACCAGAGAACAATCTGGCAAACCAATTATTCCGTGCCCTCGGGGAAAACGATGCTTTCGGATGCTGGAAACTTCTGAAAGAAAACCATCATGCGATCAGGTTGGAATACGAAAACTTCCAAAATAACTGCAAGGAAGCTAGTAAGAAAGAGCAGCAGAGGGAAGAGAGATTTCATTGTTCTTCGAAGTGTTCGGAAGAGCCTAAAGAGGAGCAGCAAAGCTCCGAACCGCAAGGATCACAAAAAGAGTGCATTAACGGTGAAACGAAACTTAACTGGATCAAAGTTCTTTCTAACCCTCTGTTCATTGGTTTAGAATGGCTATGGAGAACAAAATCTAACTGTCCGTGTACATTTTGCGAGAAAGATAGGAAATTGGTTGGAAAAGAAAAGAAAAAAAAGGAGATGCATATCTCCTAGATGAAACGTCATCTCTCAAGCACTACAATAGCCGAGATGTTTACCGAGAATCGGCGGAAGCTTACGAAACGTTTGCTGCTGGCATATTGGAGAAAGCCTCCCAGAAAGAACTTCACGAGATCATGGATATAAAAGGAGAGGGTTGTCTACTGCAAAATGACTCTCATCAACAAAAGAATTTTATTGAAAGTCTGAGCCTTCTCAAGAGTGCAGTCAATAAGAGAAGAAAGAAGGTATGTGCGCTTTAGTGATATTTTGTGGTTAAGAAAGCGCTTTACTGGTACTAAATACTAATGATAAAGACTGACGGAAGAAATATGCAGTGGTTTTTCTATCCACACATCTAATATTCTTTCTGGCGTCGGTTGAAACACTTTTTTTTCACCACCTGGAATTTTTTTACATTTGTATTGAGAAACCCTCGAAAGTTCCTGCGTAACATGACTAGCTTTGCTCAAGAAAAGAAATCTCACCGGTGAAGCGGAAAATGATCTATAAGCTTGTCAATGTAAGGCGAGAGGACTCGATTAGCAAGTAAAAGAGAGGTGTCTGGTTTCGAACGTAAAATTAATTCAAGTTGATAGTTTAAACGTAAACAAGCGCAAGGATCCGCGCGGCTTGCGCCTTGGCGAGTGCTACGCGAATGTAGGACTCTTCCGAACAACTTTCTCTTTGGAAATAACTACGCAGTCATAGCATGAATGGCAACTTTCACAACTGTAGAATGATTCAGCGACAAGAGCGGCTTAGCGAAGCCAAAACGTGTCATGACGTTTGAGGATAACCTGTTTACACTGTGTGACGTGACTATCAGGTGACAGTTGTTGTTCCTGGCGTGTTCTATCCGTGACCGACAGATTTATTGGTTTGTGACACAAAGAGCGATTATCTGTTCTGCCACGACAATATCATTGTTAAATTCTGCCAGCTAACCGATATTTTACTCTGATCAGACCTTTGACTCTGAGTTAGCATGAAGGCCGGTGAATGTTGTGCATTAATTCTTACCAAAAGAATACCCTTCCATTCAATCTTGTTTCTAGAGCCTCGATTCTACTGCAAAGAACCGCAATAAAATGATACTTTTGATAAGAATTTTGGTTCTTAACGAGAGAAAATGCTATTAGTGGAATTAAGAGTGCTCGGCAAGGACTTTGTTTTCGAGAGAGATTTCGAATGCATCATGTTCTGCATGGAGATACAAGAGTATCATTTAAAGCTTGAAACAATTGGGTACTGAGATTTTTCGATAATACATTTCTGGCGTCTATAACATAACTAAGGAGCTCTTTAAGTAGAATTATCATTTTTAATAAGTCCCAAACATCAGGTAAGCGCGGGAACTTAGTCCCGCGAAATTTCTGCGCGAGGGTACGAGTGTATTCTGCGGTATCTGCGAAATGGGGTTATCGTTCTTTCTTTTAGGTAAGGACTTAACTGTGTATTGTTTCGCGAGAAAGAAATTCTACTCGCTGGCCTGACCAATTTGACGCTACTGTAATTTAAGGTTGTATGCCTGATGATCTCTGTCTTGAGCTACATGATGACGCGCGATAAATCTCGCTGCTTGGTAACGTGAGCCGAAATTGATAATGCCTAAACCATTTTATTAGCAAAGTAAGGTTTACCTTTGCTTATGTGCCTTCGAAGCAAGAAAAAGAATTTTTTTGTGGTAATTTGATGGCGGTTGCTTAAAATCACACGGTGTATCATTCAACCGTTGGAACCTAACATGAGCAAGATGAACTAATTATGGAAAGAATCCTGACATCACAGCTTATATATTCCTTCCCTGTAACATGACGGGCTCTTGGTAGGTTAGTGTGTTTTCTAACTAATTGTACTGCATTATTTCGCAGTCTCAAAGGCACAATCCTTAATATGCTCTCGTTCTTTTGTTATTGCTTACCCACTCTCTTGGGTACTTAGTCCTTAATTAACTGTCTCATCTTAGTATACCTATATTTTTTTCTTCCGGTTTAGTTACCCGGTTCTTCTGGTTCTGTCTCTCTTAAGTGGTCAGTCCTATTTGCACTGTTGTCATCTGAAGGCAGAACATTTCCTTTGTTTTTCCACTTGGTTCTGTCTCTCTAGAGTGGTGAGTTTCATTTGGGCTGTTGTTATCTGAAGGTACAACCTTTGGTTTTTTTTCTCCTGGCTCTGTCTCTCTTGAGTAGTCAGTCCTATTTGGGCTGTAGTCATCTGAAGGCAGAACATATCCTTTTTTCCACCTGGCTCTGTCTCTCTTGAGTAGTCAGTCCTATTTGGGCTGTTGTTATCTGAAGGCAGAACCTTTTTTTTCTGCTAGCTCTGTCTCTTGGGTAGTCATTCCTATTTGGACTGTTATTATCTGAAGGCAGAACCTTTACTTTTTTTCACCAGGCGCTGCTTCTCTTGGGTAGTCAGTCCTATTTGGGCTGTTGTTATCTGAAGGCAGAACCTTTCTTTTTACTTTCACCAGGCTCTGTCTCTCTCGGATAATTGGTCCTATTTGGGCTGTTGTTATCTAAGGGCAAAACCTTTCCTTTTTTTCATCTGGTACTGTATCAATTGGGTAGTCAGTCTTATTTGGGCTGTTTTTATCTGAAGGCAGAACCTTTGTCTTTTTTTTTTTCCACCCAGCTCTGTTTCTCTTGGGTAGTCAGGTCTATTTGGACTGTTGTTATCTGAAAGTAGAGCCTTTCCTTTTTTTTTCTCCTGGCTCTGCCTCCCTCGGGTAGTCAGTCCTATTTGGGATGTTTTTATCTGAAGGCAGAACCTTCCTGTATTTTCTCTCCTGTTTCTGTCTCTCTTGTGTAGTCAGTCCTATTTGGGCTGTTGTTATCTGAAAGCAGAACTTTCCCTTTTTTTCTCCTGGCTCTGTCCTTTGGTAGTCAGTCCTATTTGGACTGTTTTTATCTAAAGGCAGAACCTTTCCTTTTTTTTTCTCCTGGCTCTGTCTCTTTTGGGTAGTCAGTGCTAATTAGGCTATTGTTATCTGAAAGCAGAACTTTCCCTTTTTTTCTCCTGGTTCTGTCTTTTGGGTAGTCAGTCCTATTTGGACTGTTTTTATCTGAAGGCAGAACCTTTCCTTTTTTTTCTCCTGGCTCTGTCTCTCTTGGGTTGTCAGTCCTATTTGGGCTGTTGTTATCTGAGGGTAGAACCTATCCCTTTTTTATCAGCTTTTGTCTCTCTTGGGGAGATGGTTCATTCTAGACTGTGCGTTTTGTCTAATGACAAACTAATTTTGAGTATGAATCTCGACATAATGAAATTTACTTGTCTTGATTGTACATTTTTTTTCCTTTACAGATTTAATGTAATATTAACCATGAAAAACCGTGATGCCACGTTTCTATAATAAAAAATTAGTTCTCCTGTTGCAACAACCAACCAACTCGAACTGAATCAACACCATATAGTAAGTGCACGTTCCGTTGACAGACTTTCATGACTTTTTTTCTTGGCGGTGTCTGCCCTCAAATCTCGTGGATGTTTCATTTAAAGAATAAATTACCTATGAGTTAAATATACCTCTTCTCGTAACGTACTCCATTGCAATTATATTTCCATCTCTACTCTCAACTATGATAACTTCCCTTGCTTAAAAATCAACTTGAGATACCAGATGTAAAATCGATCATAGATTGTTAAAGAGCTTTGTGAGTAAAGAGCTTTTTCTTCTAGTTTTCGTTTGTTTTCTCGCAGCCTAATACATGTAGTTAGCTGTGTTCGCAGTGGAGTGTTAGGAAACCCCGGCGGGAAAAGACTTCTAAGATTTTACTCCTTTAATGATCGCTTTAAAATACATTACTTCCCTAGTATTTGCCAATTATTTGCTGCTGGCGAAGGGTGCAAAAAAACTCCCTTATATATTTCTCTACAGGGAAATATTATCGGGGAAAAAAACAAAGCTTGAGTTTTGCTGCGCTATGTGATCCATGAGTGTTCTCATCGTGGTTAGAGTTTGCTGTTTTTTAAGGTGTTGTCTTCCAGAGTGGACATGCCGTCACCACATTTTTGTTAGCGTTTAAAAGTCGAAAAATACATGGTTTTGGTGAAAAACTTCATCCTTTTCAAATCTTAACAACTGTCGAGTTTTATGTACCAATAGAATAGGTCAGCAAATTTTACGTCGGCGTCGATCCCTTATTATCCTTTACAAAAAGGAAATTTCGATCATTGAGTTAAACCGTAAAATTTCTTTGGCTTACGTGAGTTGTTAGCTCCACGTTAGGGTTTAACCTTGAAAAATGCAAGGGCACGTCTACCTATCTGGAAAACATTCGTATTATGACAAGAAAGGTCAGCTGCAAGGTTTTGGGTTACTCTCGCCATGCAATTTAGACGCCGAAAAGTGCTAAAAAAATAATTACCGAAAATTCATCCGTAATACCTCGGTCGTAGTGTGGGCGCGAACTCATAAATGTTTTTGGTGGGCAAAGCTCGTCGTGAAGCACGATATAGTTTTGAAACTGAAATGTTTCACGGTCCCACGGGTTGCTTAGCTTCTCTACACTTTAATAAATGATTCAGTTGAGCAATTGGTATCGTTATTTAGACCATCAATGAGAGAAAAAGACTCGAATTAGAGTTTGCATGTACTCCAGGATTACGAAAGTCACTCTCAAAAAAAGTAACTAAGTTTGCATTACAACGGAATTAAATGGCGGTGTTGTCTAGCTCCGCAGGAAAGTGTATATTGATTTCTGCACGCAGCCATTTCTTACAAATATCAGAAATGACCCCTTATCACTTTGTCAACAATTTCCAAATTATGAACACCCAAAACTGACTTGTGAGATGGAGATTGATCTCTTTAATCTCTTCTTTCCCTATTGGGAACAAGTTGAGTTTTTCTGTCTCAAGGCTGAACGCGTATCCATCATGCATCAGGTCCCGAATGTTTAAAAAGCGGTTAGCGTTATCCAGGATTAAACTTTTAACTTGTTATTAGTTGCCCTTGAAATAAAGTTTGCATTAGGGCCTAAGTTTGTGGGGTTTTACCTTAGTGTGACCCAAAAGTGAAGGGAAAAAATCCAATTAACATTGTCTGCAAAGCTACAAAAACTAAACTACAAATTGTTGGCTAACCCTCGGTTAGCTTAATCGTACTAAGAACAATCCGGCCCGGGTTAATAAACTTTTCTCCTTACATAGAGAATTTTCTCTAAGAAATCTCCCACCGATAGAAAAAAATTAATCTCTCTAAATGCTCTGAGACGTAAAAGCCCAATCAGCATCATTCTTGTTCTGATAAACTAATACGTCTATCTGTATGTGTACTTGTAGTTTGTTTCAAGTCCAAGATGTCAAGCTATCCTCGATGAGGTTATCTTTTACGAGATGCGGGATTGGCAGGACAAGAGCATGGCAAAGAAATTTTTTCGATGCCTTTGCCAGTTTTTCGTCGTCTTGCTTGTTACTCCTTTGTTTTACGTTTTCATTCGACCACCCATGAAGATATGGCGCAGTCTGAGTGATATCGAATGCCTTGCGTACGTAGAGAAGTTATATGAGTATCCCTGCAATAAGTTTGCAAACCACACCATGTTTTACATTGTATTCCTGTGCCTGCTTTTCGCCTCAACTTTCGGCTTTGAACACGAGTACAGAACAAGCACAACAGGGCTTTCATCCATTGGTAAGTTGTGTAGATTGATTCTTTACCACTTTGAGTGTATTAGCTAAGAGCAACGGCTGATTCAGCTGATACCGTTTAATTTCGTAATGCATAATCCTGAATTAGCTGGCTAAACTAACGGGAGAAGGGGGGGAGGGGTGGAGTAGAGGTGGGGCACTAACCTTCAACTACTCTTTGGGTTAAAAATGTTGTCTATTTCTTTATTTCGTGATGCATAATCCTGAATTGGGTGGTTAAACTAACGGGAGGGGGGGAGTAGAGGGGGGGGGGTACTTACTTTCAACCACTCTTTGGGTGAAAAATGTCTTTATCAGTAGTAACCTCAAACTGCAAGGTTCTGAAAAGGTAAACTAGTGCGACATTAAAGGAATTTAATCAACATCTCGTTAGCGTGAAGCATTCACAGTATTAAATATTTCAAAAAAAAATGAAACATCGTCTCCAATTCATTTCGGCAGAGTCATTTGCAGTACTGATTTGTCCACAGATCACGCTGTCCTTGTTTATTTCATCGGTTTCCTTCTACAAGAAATTTGGGAAGTTTGTCAACAAGGATTCTGCATCTATATCTCGAAATGGTGGAATGTCGTGGACGCAATTACACTTTTCACACTCCTGGCAGCTTATACAGTATGGCTCGTCACATGGCTAAGCGTTTATAAAGAATGGCAACCGAGGAAGAATGCCTTCATTGTGGCAGATGTCTTGTATGCAAGCGCCACAGTGTTAGCGTTCTTTCACCTGGCTCACGCATTTCAAGTCAGCTCAACTCTTGGCCCTTTGCAGCTTTCATTGTACAGAATGCTGAAAGATGTGGCCAAGTTTCTTTTCATTTTTCTGATGCTTTTCATTGCATTTGCAACCGGCCTCATAAAAATTTATTCATACTATGTGGTCTCTCAAGTGAAACTTCGTGAAGAGGGCGAGAGCAAATTCCAGGACTTCCATCCATATGCTGAGTAGGTGGATACTATTGCGATATTTATATAAGAGAGTGGGCGCCCATAAGCAAACATACAATATTTCATCTATAATTTTATAGAAAAATATTGCTAAAAGAAATTTAAAGTGCTTTAATTGATTTGATGAGTGGACGGACGAAGAAAGACTTATGCCCATGTAATCGGACAGATAGACAAACATCACGGCCCAGTTGTTTAAAGGTCGGATAACGCTATCCAACGGATAAATTACTATCCAGTGGATAAGTAATAGCAAAATGTATAGCGTCAACTACCGTATAGAGTTTTATCCAGTGCATAGCGTTATCCCCATCTTCAAACAATCGAGGCCAGACGTATAGTTCACATGACATCAGCTGACCAGTGAAAAAGATATCTCATATTTTCATCATTCGAAACTTTTCAGGCACGAGATCACTTTTATTGGCTTGGTCTGGTTACTGGTTGGCTACGTGGAAGAAGACAAAATAAGGGTTGATGATCCTGCCTTTTACCTTACACAACTGTTTGGTCGCTTGGGTTTCCTCATCTACCTGGTTTGTACCGTTATCGTTGCTTTGAACATGCTGATCGCCATGATGAATAACTCCTGCGACAGAGTTATGGTAGGTCTCAAATTGTGGTTTGTGACAGATTTTGACTTGATATAATAGTTTCGAGAATGATGTTTGCTAGTTGGCTTTTTACTCAGTGACATAAACCACGTTGATTAGCACACTATCATCATGATTGATCCGTAGCATGACGACTCATATCAATTCGAGGGAATTCAGTCAACCTTCGCAGAAATCACTAAATTCCTCTTATTACTGAGTATACATACCTAGTCAGTCGATCACGGATAAGCTTAAACTCTTTCCAAACCTTGGGGGAAATTTATGTGAGTTATTACATGTGATAGATTTTAACTTAGAAAATGAACTTTGGTTTTTAGGGTGATGAGGACAAAGAGTGGAAGTTTTCAAGGGCTCAAATGTGGTTAGAATATATCGACAAAGGAAATGTAATACCAGTACCTTTTAACCTTCTGTATTATATCTTTTATTTCTGCTTTTTCCTTATATACCTCGTTTACTGGATGGTAAGGGGAGTCTGCAGATGCAATTGTAATAAGAAGGTAAATGTAAGCAATTGCTATTTTGTCCTTGGAATACTTGCAAAATCCTTTTAGTGAGATCTTGGTTGTACTTTCCTCATGATTCTGAGGAAAAAGGGCTCGGAGAAATCAATTCCGTTTGCTTCATTCCCCCCCCTCCCCAGGATGAAACATTTTTCGCTATGACCTGGTCTCTTATTAAATCCCGCGAGCACACAGAAACAGATAAAATTAACTAGTAATTCTGGGAAATGTAACATGTAAATGCAAATATAAATTCCAACACATCTTATATTATCAAGTGTAGATTTCAATTCCAACAGGTCTTAACAAGTTTACCACAGAAGCATTGCATGTCTCTTGAGTGACAACTCACGTTGGTGCTAAAATATGTTTTGTTTCATTTTGCTGCTTACTTTGACGGAAACAGCGAGAGGAGAGAAAAGGAACTGTTGAGGTACGCAAAATGAAAAAAACAATTTCGATTTAAACCTTACTCGTTGTTTCGTTACGTCATCTCGGGTGCCCAGTACGCTGGCTGATTCCTATTGCAAGAAGCCTGGTGATGAGGAGTTTTGAAAGTGGGCTGGCATTTGCCTCCTTTGTTTGCGTTTTAAGCATTCAAGATCGTGGTGGTAATCTTAAGATAGGTTGTTTAGATCTGCATAACTCATTAACTGGCAGATTTCCTAATTCTTTACTTTTAGATGCAAGCCAGTCCTAAACCCATTAGAGCAGAAGAGAATGTTGAAGAAGGCAATCCACAACAGGTAGAGCAAAATGTAGAGCAAGGAAGTAAAGATCAGGTAGGATTAAGATCCCATTTCTTACTTTCACCTCACAATTCACGATTGCGCTCCGCGGTCAATAGTTTACCAAATATGGCAAAGGAAAAAGTCACCAACACATTGAGATCCTCATTAGAAAAAGGGGAAAATAAGAGACAAATCACAAAACTCTTGTTTTCATTTTAGACAAACGATTTAATGTAAAAATAAGGAAGCTGTTTTGAACCTTCTCGGTTACAGCACCAATTAATATTTTTAAGTCATTTTCTCTTTACTTTTTCATCAGACTTCAGGCGATAGTATCGCCTGCTGTATTTGTCATGGGTGTTTTTGTTGTTGTAAATCCGAAACCGAAAACAAACGAAAAGAGGTCAGTAAATGGATCATTTTGTCGTACCACATGTGCGTATAAGTGACAACACTTAGCTGATGAACTAAGGGCAACAGATCCAGGCTGTAAGAGAAATAGATCATGTATTTTTTTTGTATAAATAAACGTCTCAAATTAGCCTCACAATTCCCAATTGCCCTACGCAATCCAAACTGAGTTTGCTAAACCGACTGCTGTGAAAAAGGAATAGAAAAAAACTGAGTAAAGGTAGACACCACTACATTGCAATTCACGGTAGAAAAAGGGGAAAACTAGAGACAAATCACAAAACTCGTGTTTTAACTTTAGGCAAACGATTTAATGTAAAAATAAGGAAGCTGTTTAGAACCTTCTCGGTTACAGCACCAATTAATATTTTTAAGTTATTTCCTCTTTACTTTTTCATCAGACTTCAGGCGATAGTACCGCCTCCTGTATTTTTCATGGATGTTTTTGTTATTGTAAACCCGAAACCGAAAACAAACAAAAAGAGGTCAGTAAATGGATCATTTTTGTCGTACCACATATGCGTATAAGTGACAACACTTAGCTGATGAACTAAGGGCAACAGATCCAGGCTGTAAGAGAAATAGATCATGTATCTTTTTTGTATTAAATAAACCTTAAGTTATTTCCTCTTTATTTTTTCGTCAGACTTCGTGCTATAGTTTTGCCTCCTGTATTTGTGATGGATGTTCCTGTTATTGTAAACCTGAAATCGAGTACAACCGAGGAGAGGTTTGTTAGTGTTGATTAATTACTTCAGTAAATGGATCATTTTGTCGTACCACATATGCGTATGACAACACTTACCTGATGAACTAAGGCCAACAGATCCAGGCTGCAAGAAAAATAGATCATGCGTCTTATGTGTATAGATACACGTCTCAAATTAGCCTTACAATTCACGATTGCGCTCCGCAATCCAAATTGAGTTTGCCAAACCGGCTGCTGTAAAAGGGAAAAGAGAAAGGTGAAGACAAATTTTGAGGCAAATTTGCTTTTTCCGTCGCTTTATCTACGATAAGTACCACCCAGAAGTGCTTCATGATTGTAAAATTCACGTTTAACAAGATTTTAAAAGTCGTTGTCGTCATTGGCCAATATTTTAGAGACGTAGTTTATACATCGGTAGGTTTAACATTTTCTGAACAATTCTGCCTTAGATTATAGGATATTTAGGCAAACATGGAAAATAAATATTTCGGGAGTTTTCATGATTTTGACAGGTGTCATGTATCGTTTTTTTGAACAAGGTTTCTTTTATCTCTCTCAGAAAAATGAAGAGCAACAGATCTTATATTATCAAGTGTAGATTTCAATTCCAACAGGTCTTAACAAGTTTACTACAGAAGCATTGCATGTCTCTTGAGTGACAACTCACGTTGGTGCTAAAATATGTTTTGTTTCATTTTGCTGCTTACTTTGACGGAAACAGCGAGAAGAGAGAACAGGAACTGTTGAGTTAAGCAAAATGAAAAAAACAATTTCGATTTTAACCTAAGGGGCAGTAAATGGATCATAAAGGGCAGTAAAGGGATCATTTTGTCGTACCACATATTCGTATAAGTGACAACACTTAGCTGATGAACTAAGGGCAACAGATCCAGGCTGTAAGAGAAATAGATCATGTATCTTTTTTGTAAAAATAAACTTCTCAAATTAGCCTCACAATCCCCAATTGCCCTACGCAATCTAAACTGAGTTTGCCAAACCGACTGCTGTAAAAAGGGAAAAGAGAAAGGTGAAGACAAACACCTTTTCAGCGATTTTGGATCATTTACAATTGAAATATCACAGATGCAGATATTCCAATCGTTGTTGGAAGCAGTTCATTGCTAAGTTTAGTATTTACTATAATACTAAATTGGTACTGTTTCTTCTTTATAAGGAACGCGGGGAAGCCATAGCATCATCTGTTAAAAAGTATCTGAAACAGATGATGACCACTCAGCAAGCGTCGGAGGACTTTAAAGGAGTCACTTGTTGATGAAAGAGATGACCGAAATCGAAAGAGGGTTGCGTAAACCCATTTACAGGAACTGTAAGCCGTTTTGATGATGTGTAAGATTTTTGTTTTTATTGCAAGAAAATTTAAGACCGGCCCACAATTTAAAGTGCGGGTAGGAAACGGAATTTATCGTAGTTAGTTTAATGTAATTTTTGGGGGGATCTAAAGAACTCGTATTTTCAATCAATCAATTCAATCAATCAATTTATTTAACGTGGTCAGAACGCTTAGCTAAAAGCTAGTTTACAGGTACGCCACGAAATAAAAAGAGAAAAGGAAATTATAAAGCCTTATGAAGGTATATAAATTTAAATAAATTAAGATTAAGAACTAGCTAATATTAAAATATAAGAATTTAAAAATGTAGTCACCAAGTAAAATGTATAAAAATGTATAAAAATGTATAAAAATGTATAAAAATGTATAAAAATGTATAAAAATGTATAAAAATGTATAAAAATGTATAAAATGTAATCATTAAAAACAGTAAATATAATCAAGGATAGATCCTCACCGCACTAGAGTCCTCTGAGATCTAATGTTTTTAAGTAATTTTTAAAAGTAGTAAATGTTTGTATCTTTCGAGACTCGTCCGGTAAAGCGTTCCATAATTTCGATGCAGCATATCTCCATGATCTTAACCCGAAGGTTGTTGATTTTACTTTTGGGAGGTCCAGTATTGTGGTGCCCCTAAGGTTATAAGTGGAGCACCTTACTGTTATAAGATCACGTAAGCTTTTTGGACCTGCATCACTGGCTAATATCTTAAAGACAGTGGACAATATTTTCGCTAATCGCTGTTCACGAAGACTTGAGAGACCGATACGCTTACAAAGTTCCTCATAAGGCGAGGACTTATCTCTAAAAACAAAACGGAGCGCACGTTTGTTCACCAACTCTAACTTGTCAGCTGACTTTTTATTACAGAAGTGCCACGTTTCGGAGCAGTAATTAAAGTGTGGTAAAATGAAAGCTTTATAAAGATCCCTTCTAGTCTCAAAAGACAACATTTTCTGCATCCTTTTTAATACGGCGACATGTTGACTGACTTTTCTACATATTTTAGCAATGTGCTTTTCAAAATTTAATTTATCATCGATTGTCACGCCAAGAAGTTCCATTGTGTTGGATATGGGAAGTTGTGACTCCTCACACTTAAACACTGGTTCATCAGTTCCTTTGTGTTTTCCCAACACCATAGCCTGGTATTTTGAACTGTTCCTCTTCATACCATTACGTGCAAACCATATATCAGCACTAATAAGATCATTGTTGATTTTTTCTTCAACTTTGGAGAATTGATTGTCGGCGTAAAAGATTTGAGTGTCATCAGCGTAAGTGGACAGAGTGCACTTCTTGATGACATATGAAAGATCATTCATGAAGATGTTGAATAATAAAGGATCGAGGATGGATCCCTGTGGTACACCATTGCATATAGGTTGCCAATTGGAAAGCGTATCCCCCAGTCTCACCCTTTGGAATCGATTTGATAAATAATCTTTTATCAGGGAGGTTGTTGCTTCATCTGCTCCATATTCTTTTAATTTCAAAACAATCAGTTCATGAGGTAAGGTGTCGAAAGCCTTGGACAAGTCCATGGAGACCAGACCGATCAATTTATTGTTATCAATTTCTTTTTTCCATTGTTCGGTTAGACTAAGAAGTGCTGAGTCGCAGCCGTGATATTTCGTATAAGCAAACACATATTTGTGATAGATTTCTTCAAAATACGGGCTTATTCGGCAATGAACAATTTTTTCGAAAACCTTCGATATAGCTGGCAGAATCGTTATCGGCCGATAGTTAGTTTTTAATAGGCTGCAGTCTTTTTTGAGAATTGGAGTGACCTCGCCAAGATTCCACTGTTGTGGTATCTTAGTTGAAGTTAAAACATGATTTATCAGTGTGCTAAGAGGGAAGCATAAGACATCCATCGATTCTTTAACTGCTAGTGGAGGGATCCCATCACATCCAGAAGCCTTGTTTGGAGCAAGTTTCCTCATTACCTCGTAAACTTCTGTTGGATTAGTGTTGCTTAGCGACACATTCGGCCTGCTTATTAAGTTATTTGATATGTGCGATAAATCTACTGGATAGCCGTTTTGATTTTGTTCTTTGGCACTTTGAGTACAGCTTGTGAAGAAATTATTTAATGTCTCGGTCACCTCTTGAGGATTCCTGATGATTCTGTCACCCTCCTTTAATGTTATTCCGCTATTGTCTACATTCTTTCGGGAATTAACATAAGGCTTGATGGCACGCCAAAACTTCTTTTGATCTTCTCATGCTTACTACTTTGTTGCGCACTATACGGTAGCTCTCCCAATCACACTGATTACGTGATCTATTAAATTTTTTCTTAAGCCGTTTTCGTTCCACCATTTCTCTCCGAATTTCAGGAGTGATAAACTTCGATTCTACTGAAGATCGTCGTTTGAAAGATCGCATTGGTGCATGGTCATCTAACACCTGGTTATATAACGTCTCCCAGCACCAGTAAACATCGTCTATATCATCAAAAACGTATGCAGCATGGAAAGGAACTCGACTGAGATCTTTCTGAAAATCATCTCGGTTAAAGGTCTTGAATATCCGTTTCTTGACGACTTCGGCGTTAGCATGTAACATTTTAGTTTTGAGAACCGTGTAAACTAGCAGATGATCACTGATTCCTGTTTCGATAGCGCCAGACGATTTCATAAACATGGGCACATTTGAAAGAATGACGTCCAGACAAGAAGCTCTAGTTGTTGAAATTCTTTTCGGTTCTTTAATTAATGTGTCAAGGTCATAGATATCGCAAATATCCAAAAGGCATTTGCCCTGGTTATTATTCATAAACGGATGAATTATGTCACAATTTAGATCACCAAGACAAATCACGTTTTCGCAGAGAGATATCGCTTGATCCAGGACTGTAGTCAATTCAGTTCTGAGAGTAGCATTGTTAACAGAAGGAGGCTTGTAGGCACTGACTAAAGCAAAGCGTCTTTGTCCGATGTGTAGATCGAATAAGAGTGATTCCACTGATGTTGTAATGCCTTTCTTACATGTTGCGGCGATGTTATCGCGAATAAAGACGGCAAGACCGCCACCACCTTTCGTCCTGTCACGGCGAAATAACTTGTACCCGTTGACATAAAATTGAGAGTTAGGAAAGGATCGATCGATCTTAGTTTCCTGTATGGATAGAATGTCGAAGGCTCTGTTCGTTAGCCACTCCTTGATCTCCTCAAATTTGCTTGGTAAACTGTTTACATTTAGGTTTGCTATAATGCATTCCTTGCGATTTTCGTTTCTAATTAACTTCATGTCCGAAGGTTGTGAACTAAGGTCCAGCTCAGTGTCACTTGCGCTTTCATGCGTGGAACTATTCAAGGTGGAAAAGAATGAATCGCTAAACTTCAGCAAGGCACAGAAAGAGCATATCCAGTCGACAGATGGATTATTAAGATAGTACTGAAAGGTCCAGTTCGACATATTCAAACATCTTGCATGCGACCAGGTGTTGCACTCAGAACATAAAATGGCGTCTTGATTGCTTCTTACGGATTTAGAACATTCACCACAAGGATATTTCGTAGGCTTCCTTCTCGGACCAGGGTTAGGTGAAACATCTCCAGAAATCAACAATCTTTGCGCTTGAAATGTACTTACACCAGTAGCAGTGTATAATAATCTTCCTCCATTAAAACGCCTTGATGCGAGCTTGAAAGGTAGTTTATAGTAAGCACTTGACGTTGTTAAGTGGAGTGAAATAACCAGTCGCGTACAGCGTTCGGGATGCATAAAACTGCAGTTTGATGACTCACGAAATTCTCGTAGAAGTACGACAAGGAATAAAAGACACAATAATGTGCCGCCCATACGGACGTGTCTGACCGCCATGATGGCCTGGTTGACACTGACATTGTGTTAAGAAAGGACGAATTCTTCAGATTTCTGGTCTATGTTTGCTAATGTATATATCCATTATAACCGCTTTGGCTGCTGTTTTCCTCATATTCACCCGTCTTTATATCAATTGCTTCATTTGTGCTGTCATGCAGCGGTAATGTATGATTATTCTTTTTATCTTTGACTTCTGAATAGCAGTAGTTACTCAGTATGATAAAGTGGCGTTTTCTTGATTTGGTTTCCTTTGTCCCCTGTCCTCCGCCCCCCTAGTGTAGGGTCTCAGATCGGCACGCCCCCTCCCCCTCTCCTTTCAGTCCGAACTACCAACTTTCAGGAATGTTGATAGCCAGAGGAAGAGAGCACGTTTTTGTAACAAGATTTGTTTGGGTCTGGTTAATGTTGACGTAGTCTTAGTTTGTGTTTGTATAAATCACATCGAGCAGTCATACAACTTGCCGATCCGAAACCTCGCTTCTTTTGAGGCAGATGAGTTCTACTTAGTTCACTTGGGTTTTGGTGTGAAAAATCATCTTTTCTTTTTCTATGTTATTTTTACTTTCTTTTTTCTTAGAGTTTCTTTTATTTTGCCCTCGTTCCTTTTTCCAGTTGTAGGTACCCATACCTCCCCTTCTCCCTTAAAAAATCACTGGAGGACCCTCCACGTTATGGGGCTCACTTAAATAATAAGCTTATCAAGTACTTTAGTGGAGTCTTAATTATGTAAGATAAACTTGATTTGACTTATTTTTTTTGTTTAACTTTGTATATTTATCCTTTTACAAGTGTGTTTATCCCTATAGCTTACCCATTGTATCATTGTATTCTATATTTTTGACGCTCAGTTGTGTATTAAATTACACCCAAAGTGTTCCTGAACATGGGGTGAAATCACTAGACTCTCGAATACGTTGTCTCTACTACAATCTTTGAAAGTGAGAACTAACAGACGGTTCGTTCCGAGCACAATTTGGTGGTGATGTTAATCTAGCAAATCAATAATGATTTTTTAAATTGGCAGAGGGGTAGTAAATAGCCACACAAACGCGTAAGGAAATATAACTCATTAACTCTTGGGAAACCAGTCCCGGAAAATCTCAGTAAATAGTTATCTTGAAAGAATAATTGTTATTATACAGGTGTAGTTTATGAAGTCTGAGTTATTTGTTCTACTCTATCTTCATTTATATTCTGTTCCCTTCTCTGTAATCGTGAATTTAAGATAAACGTGAAAGAGGGAAGGCCTCTAATCCTTGCTCCATAGATTCTGGTTGACAGTACATGAGAAGAAACAATTGGAAAGATGTGACAAAATGTTCAGTAAAGCAACAGTCAGTGCCATTATCTCTTCACTAATGTGTCCATCACCATATTAAGTTTGGCAAGCTCCATCGTATGACGATCAACCAATCGTTTAAGTAACTTAATGTTTTCCTCAATGAATTGGGAGCTCTCTTCTTTTCCCGCTTTCCCCCTTTTGTCATCCGTTGTGTCATCTGCACTTAAGTTGTCTTCCTCTCATTTTTCAAAGTAGCGGCCCCATAAATATTTCATCACCAATTTCTCCATCGTTTCTTTTCGTCTCTAGAATGACGTAATAAGATTAAAGACTTTATTCATCATTATTTTCCCCCGCTCTCTATATCATGATATTCTATCGATTTAATTTAGGAGCATTTGTTGTTTTCGCATGCTACAAGGCTCGCTGGATCAATTCTCTTGGTGTTACATCAAAAACATTACTTTAAGCGGTAATCTCGTCCGAAAACAAAATTAAGAGTCAAATTTCATTACCTGAAATAATGAGACAAATAGGATTGCATTTCTAATGAGAAAAATAGGATTGTATATCTAGGAAGTTAGACCTTGATTTGTTTGGGTTTTAACAGAATTTCTCATTTATCAGTCCTGCTTACCTCTCTTTGCGCTTACACTTCGTCTGGTTCCTTTAAAAAAGAGATGAAATTTAAGAAATGAGAATAAATTAACGCCTCAATTTGACAGCCTAATTGTAAATGCCAGGTCAGCGATCGATGTCTTACTTCAATAATCTACGCTCCCTTCTAAAATGAAACGTACGGTTTTGTGTAGTTCGAGAGACGCATATTTCCCGATTAATATTGAACGACTTAGAAACAATAGTTGATCAGAACAATAAATATCCTCTTAGTGCTCTCCAAAAGATAAAACTTCTTCTCTTCCTTACCCTATTACCATGACAACTAGTCTCCCCCACCCACTATATGATGCTAAAATTCTCACTGAGGCAAGCTTTCACACGCGAAGTGAAAACACTTGGTAACGTTATCTATCAGTAGGAATGCCTGCGAGTGTGTTAATCGACCGAACTACATAAGTTGAATAAGTACGCTACGGTTTTTTTTTTTTTTTTAAATCATTGGTTCTCGCCCCCTTTTGCTTTTGGTTTTCGTCACCACGTTTCTGTATTACATTTCCATATTATTTGAAATGATCCCCCCCCCGAAAAAAAAAAGAAAAATTGGATGATGAATAAATTTGGAACTTATTGAACAATTATTTGTTTGTTCATTCAAAGAGGGTATTATTACGTTAAAAAAATAGCCGAATAGCCGCTATGATGGAAAGGGTATTCTGATAATAGTAATGAAAGGTAGCATCGTGAGGGAATAACATCATTTTCCAGGTTCTCCCATTCCATAATCTAACAGAAATACTTAACAATTATTCCACGAGTACGCATTGGATATGAGCTGGTAGATAGCCAACCAGAGGATTGAAGTTGGCTATAACCATGTCTTACCCAACACACGCGAGTGGAGAAACTGTTTTAATAAGAACTACCACGTGGTAACAGCGAATCTTGCGAATTGCACCGCGTTCGCCCCTACCTTATGCCGTGTTCGCCCCCACACTTTTCGAGTTCGACCCCATCAAGTCGAGTTCGCCCCTTGATTGAGTGATATCCAGATGAGTTGATTTATGACGAGGGTACTAGCAGAATGTGCCAAATGTCACGTCAGCGACGATCATTTTGAATTTCGGCAATTGCATGGAACCTGCTTGGGAACTGGGTTGACGGAATCAACTAAATACTCTGCGTGGGATCTGGGGTTACCAGAAATAACTGTATACACTGAACTTGTGATAAAGAGAACCACACGGTTTATCTAACGAACACGAAATGTGTTGATCGTAACAACCAGACTTAAGAAGATGCAAACCACGCTTTCATCGCAACAGCATTGCTTAAGTTGTTAGACTTGTACCCGTTTAGCTTACTCATCAACTTACGAATCAACTCATCTGGATATCACTCACTGAAGGGGCGAACTCGATAGGGGGCGAAAGCGGCGGATACCAATCTTGCTATATTTATTTTATCGTAAGGAAGACAATTTTTGTAAAGAAAACCATCCACTGGCCGCTAAACAAATCAAAACTTAGTTATACAACTTACTTGACAACATTTGGTGATTGAAAAGTACTCTGACAGTGGTAAAACAACAGAGTAACAAAAAGTTAAAAAAGTAACATTTTTAAATTTGCACGACATTCTCATGTCATCTTTAGCTTTACAGCTGTACATTTGATTTTTCCAGTGTAAATAGTATGTTATAAGGTTACGTCATAAATTTGAAGCTACTATGTTCCGTTGCGATTCACTGAAAGGGAAAATTTTGGAATAGGGTTTTTGCTGAGAGTCTTGCTGCTTAACATGGAAGTAGCCGAACATTTTCAACTTATTAAAAGATACAAAAGTTTAATGGTAAGAATTACTGATAATTAGTGAATTGGAGAAATTTCTCTTTTCGCGGCAGTGTCTCAAACGTTTTGGCCAAACTTACTAGAACTTCGATACCATGTGCGAACCAAAATACTTATTATACTATATATCCCTGAAGCACTCAGGCATACAACTATGCCAGGACTTCAACTTGGGTGAACCAAAGAGGATATATAACCCTTGCTAGAACTTCAATATCTTGTGCGAACCAAAATACTTATTATGTTATATATCCCAGAAGCACCCAGGCATACAACTATGCCAGGACTTCGACCTGGGTGAACCAAAGAGGATATATAACACTTGCTAGAACTTCAATATCTTGTGCGAACCAAAATACTTATTATGTTATATATCCCAGAAGCACTCAGGCATACAACTATGCCAGGACTTCGACCTAGGTGAACCAAAGAGGATATATAACACTTGCTAGAACTTTGAAACCATGTGCGAACCAAAATACTAAATATGTTATATATCCCAGAAGCACTCAGGCATACAACTATGCCAGGACTTCAACCTGGGTGAACCAGAGAGGACATATAACATTTGAGGGTCTCTACTGGTATTCTGAAGAAATCAAAGATTTATGCTGAAAAAGGAAGATCTCGTAACTGAAGCTTAGGCTTAAAAATTTATGCAACGCAATGATTTCAATCTAGATAATGAAGAGGTAGATCTGCTGAAAAAATGAAAAGTGAACCAGCATTTTTGTTACTCGTGCATTGTTCTTTGGTAAAATTCCTTAGTTACTTTTCATGTGCAACAATATTGTTTACTTTCCTTATCACACTAAGTCAGTGTTCCTCTTTTTCCTAACTCCTTGGAAGTTTACCTGGATCATTTCCTCACAGAATGTAATCTGATTTAATAAGTATGTTTCAGCAACATCTTTGTCTTTACAAAACCTTCTCAGGTTTTCTAATGGCAGTGACTGGGTAACAATTTCTTCAATGTTCTCGAGAAACCTGCGTTCTGTTGAACCTAAAAACGATACAAAGATCACGCTTTAGTAAATACTGCAAAAGTTGTTAAATCACCTTAGGCCGGGGGTGGGGATTAAAAGTTGTTCAGTTAACAATAGTTTATGGTTACTATAGCTTTTCATTTTTCTGTATGATTGTTATTAATTGAAGACAAAGTTATTGTTATTAGCTGTGACAACCACACTAAGTAAGGCATAGTCTTTTTGTTCTAAAAGCTTGAAGAAAACAATACATTAATTATAGTATTAAAGATATGGCATTAAATACAACATAATTTACTTTCCTAGTTGTGTGTTGGTTGTTGTATTTATGTTGCATGACTTGTTTAGCTACATTGGCTTGGTATTAGCACTTGGCTAAGGGAAAAGAGTGAGAGGAAAAAAAGCATTCTTGAATTTTATGGTCAATGAAGTACGCTTATTTACTCTGTTGGAGTCTTTTGTAGAAAAAGTGACCGTCACAATAGCTGTTTGCATCAATCTGATGTATGACTGTATACCTGAGAATGACAACACTTGAATGTTGTGCCGCTCAATACCACTTTCCTGGCCAGGCTTTGTCTTTACTACGATTCTATCCCTTCCCTTCATACTGTCTGGTCCATACTCGGCTAAAACAGCATTGCAATTTTTAAGGCTCCCACACTCATACGCAAACATTCCCAGTGAACATAGCAACTGCTGTATTCCGCAGCTCGCAATGAAGAGTGCATAGGTTTACATCACACAACTCTTCTTCAAGGAGAAACAGCAAGTCATCCCTAACACCCTTCCATCTAAAATATTAGCAAAGGAGGAGTAATATCAAAAATTACTGAAAGTTGACCTTTTATTTTATACCTAAACATTATCAAGCTTAGGTATTTATCAGTTTCTCCTGTGCATACAATGTAATTACAATTATGCCAGATTGTAATTATGCACAATTACAATCAAGCCAATTCCTGGGAAGTTGTCTGCAGTTTCTCTGAGGACAATAACGCTTATATCTACAACCATAGAAAATTAATGTAAGGTATAATGGAGAAGGCTAAACAGGGATTAATAAAATACTTGTTTACTGAAAATAGTTTTGTAATCAAAATTTAATTAGATGCATGTCTAAAGTCTGAGGTGTGTACAAAAAAATTAATCACATAACCAAAAACACATAAATAACATACAGCTGCCCTTGTAAAATGATTGCATTAAAAAATTAAATGGGCTTACTGACCCTCCAACATTTGCCTTGCTCTTGATAAAGCATTCTGCACAGGATTCACCACATTCAACCCCTGGACATGCACATCCCTGCAATAAAATTGAGAACAATATTTTATTGTTTACCAGATAGTGACAGCTTGCAACAAGACAAGACAAAAATTCAAGGGGTATCGCTAAGGTGTGTTTGCTAAGTAACAGGACTATTTTACAGGTCGTCATCAAGGAACCACAAAACAATGAAACCAAGGATTACGGTTAACAACGATTTATAAACGATCATAAAATATTGATCCCACTCGTGCCAAAGATTATGAATCAAGACAACAAACAAGGCAAACAATGGACAATAAGTCAAAATCTTATGGAAAATGTGAGGTAACACTAAAGGATCTGATTACAAACCAATAGGAAAACAGAAAAAACATTGTAACTACATCCATAAATAGGCACACAATCAAAGTAATTGATAATTGATCGGATTGAAATTGAATCCTTTGTCTATAATAGTATCCTTAACAAGCTTGATCCAATTAAAAACTGTGAAGAAGTTGAAGTTGAGTATGAATTTTAATTACCCATATACCAAAACTTACAGTGAAAACACTATTATAAAATGACTTGTGCACATCCAGTGACATAGGAACTACATTTAATGGCTACTTCTGTGATAACTTACCCGTATAACTTTACAGAACACACAGCACTCTGTGTCCAACCCTCTCTGACATAGACCTTCCATTTCTTCATCTGACTCATTATCTTCACACTTTCGTTTGATAAGCATTATCAATGCCTTGTAATCAAGCGTAACTGTCATAAAAAAACAAGATGAATAATTAAATTTTCTCGAATGTCACATCCCGACAAATATGATTTTAATGTCCATTAACAGGCTTCTTCTGGGATCACATCCCAAAATGCCTTTTATTTTAATTCATCAGTCTGCATTTACTGTCATCAGCATTTCTACAGCCTGACGTAGAAATGCAGATGGTTACAATCTTTAGGAACACATCCAAGAAGAGAATGAGGAAATTGATTCTTAAGTCTTGTTTTTTTTAAGGTGATGGAGTCAGTAATTTAGCAGTAGGTAAAGGGCCATTCAAGCCTATAGTGGCCCATCAGGCTTTGTAGCCTTACCTTGGATTCAGGAGCATAAAGTGACAAGAGTATTTCTATGCACACCCGGATGGGGCGCTAGCCATCAAAGGGTTATACATGACAGGATTAAGTTCACTGGTTCTTTTTCAATCCCCTGAGCTCAGACACTGTGAGTATTGCCTATGAATACAACACAATTACTCTGGCCAGGACTTGAAACCCAGATCACTAGATCTCAAGTTCAGCACACTCACCACTGATAATTACAATGCAGATCACTATGTCTCCCTTATTAAGTAAGGTAAGGTCTGGGTTTGGGCTCAGAAGTCACCCACCAGCGTCGAAGCTTATCCAGATTTCAGTAGCACTAAGGGACTGGGAGTATTTCTATTTCACCCTGGATGGGATGCTAGTCAATAAAAGGGTTATCCCTGCCCAGCATTAAATTTGCCAATTGATACACATTCATATACATTTATATTATTTGTGGGTGGAGAGAAGCACTATGAAAGTTGAATGTCTTGCCCAGGAACACAACACAATGGCCTCGGCTAGGGTTTCAACCCGGACTGCTTGATCTGGAGTCCAGTGCTCACGTGAAACATTAGGCACTTACAAATTCAGCAGATGGAGGTATTCTACAATATCGTTATTATAAGTTAAATGTTTTAATAGCAAACAGAAGAAAGAAATACATGTAATTCTGAAAATAAATATAACTTCAATATATAAAGGAACTCCAGCAATAAGCTGGGTATTTTTCCTTGGCCCTACAGTGGCCTAGGAGAGTATATTTAATCACCTGTAAATTTGACTTTAAAGTGTCTTCCATCAATAGTTATTCCATTTTTCTTGATGGCATTTTTTTGGGCATTGATTTCCTTTATTAGGGCTTCAACATTGATCCTACAGAAAAAAAAAACAGTTTAAACTCATTTAATTGAACTCCTAACTTAATGATGGGCATTGAATTATGAAATCATAATAGTGCATTTAGCAGTCTGCTAAATGCATTTCTTAAAGTGATATTTTAGCCATTGAAGACCTAAATATTATTATTATCACCTGTTTTCCTCACAATTTGCAATTGCTATAGGGTAGACACTTTTACAGCTCTCACTTGATGCATGACTGACATTGATAGGAACCACACCTATCATGACTTGCTGCCTACCTGTAGAAGGATGCAAGAACAGGAATATTATCCGACACTATGATTACTTATTATTACTTGTCCTTAACAGGACATGCAAGAACAAATGAAAAATAGGTGGCTTCAAAAATGTTGGGTTGTTTTCTCAGTAATACACTGCATGCTGCACTATTAGTATAAATACGTACCAGGTAGTGATTTTCGGAATTGCTTTATTTGTCAATGGCAGAGGTTCAAAACGGGAACTTGATGTTGTAGGGTAGCTTGGGGTGATCTTGATAATTATATCAGACAGCTTATAGAAAGTAAAATGCTAAATTTGCCCCTTAGATATGCAACAAGAAAAAACTAACCAAAAAATGGTCTCCCATCTAGCTTAAGATTAAGCTCAAGGGTTTGCTGGTCAGGCTGATGCAGTCTTGTTTCCCTTGCTGCCCAAGCCACTGCAGCAGAAAGGTTAACCTGATATCCCTGAGGAGCTCCATCTGGCAAGGGCCGATTCCCATTGCCTTTTTTACAACATGAAAAATCATCTTGCGCACAGCCTTTATGTGATTCTTGTTCAGAAGAAGTGGAATGTCAGATTTCGTCTAGATAAACAAATGCAGACATAACAATATCTTAATGAATCAATAAAAAAAGATATTACAGGGTTGGAAATTAGCACTTGCCCACTTGCCCAGGCGAGTGTCAAAACTACTTGGGCAAGTAAAAATCCTAGGCTTTTTGTTGCATTTATTGAAGGCACTCGCCCAATGGCCAGTGCTGTCAAAATTAAGTCTCCATCCCTGGCATTACAGATCAATGCACCCATTAAAATGTGAAATGGTAATAGAATGATTATAATATAATGTGGAATCCATCAATAATGATAAGAGCACAAATAAATGTTTAGGTAAGGAAAGACATGTCTTGTGAAATAAAAATACTGAGATCAAGTTACAGTTTGAGTTCTAATATAAACTACTCTATTTTAGTCACACTGCTCATCAGTGAAAATGATTTTAGTAAGATGAGGTATGGTTAAAGGGGGGTGGGGGGTCAGGGGCACCTCAGGAACCCCTCTAGCCATGCCCTTGACAAAGTTTAGCAATAAAAAAAGAAAGAGGAAAAACAATATTTCTGTTTGTTATTTTTCTATTTATCTTTGTACTTTGTATCGGTATATTGTTTTATTATATCATAATTAAATAAATTTTGACCTCCAAAAGAAACGGATAAAGTTGACCAGAATTTAAATACAGGGGTGGCAGATTTTCCCCACTCGCCAATTTAATCAAACACACTAACTGGCAATACAAAATGATTTACCTTAGTTCGCCCTAACTTTGTAAAGTTCAACAAGGTTTGCCATCCTTGGTCTGGGATCCGGGACTGCAGCTTGAAGTAAAGCAACGTCCAATCGGGCACACGAACGGATTTAAAGAACTTTGGGGCACTGTCCCCCAATATTGCTTCCAGGGCTTGCTTCGGGTCTTTTTTTCTCAGCAGCTGTTCTGCGATATCGCTCATCACTTTAGCCACTTCAACATTCTGGTCCACCTGATAGGCGAATAAAGATGCAAGAGGCACCTGGAACTTATCGCAAACATCGCCGATCAAGGTCCACATATCGCTTGTACTGTCCGGGTTGTCCTTTGCCGGGTCCTGTGTGCCTGAGCTCAGCGTCGATTGACCGCCGTTTTTCACCTCATCTCGAAGGGCCTCCAACTGGGAAAGCACAACTTCAAGTTCAGCCTTAAGCTTAAGATTTTCATCTTGACTCTTCTCGATATCCTCTATGGATATGGCTGACCTTGAATCGACTCCAAATACTGTTTGTACAGGGTCATGAATTTTGTCCTTGTTGTTGTCACGTGTGTCAGTCGCTGTTTGGCAATCTTCATTATCTTGCCCAATTAATATTTAGGCTGTTGATGCCATCAACCAACCAACTGTACTTTTCTTCTTCGCCCGCTTTTAGTTTTTGCCGAAGTATCGCGGAAACAACGCCGAAAGAAGAGGCTATGAATACCTCTTCTTTGTGAACTACTCGTCGATCCAAGTGCCCGCCATTTTTAAGATTCGAGAGTTGCACTGTGTTAAATTCTTTTGGAAAGCTTGACACCAAAGGGCTACTCGACATGAATTTTCCTACAGGAATGCCGCATATTGTGGAATTCAGGAGATACCAGTCCCTCGAATCGCTCGCTCATCTCTGAAAAATCAGTCTACAAACCGACCGAGACCTTTCAATATACACACTATTCATCTTGCCACCCGCCAGGTGTTAAGAAAGGCTTTATTAAAGGAGAAGCTATCAGACTTCTAAGAACAAACTCCTCGGAAAGAAATTTCCAGGAGGCCATGTGTAACTTCAAAACACGACTTGAAGCACGTGGTTACCCAAAAAGCCTAATTGAAAAAACGTCATCTGAGGTCTCGTTTGCCGCAAGGCAGCCGACACTTAAAAAACAAACCAAAAAAACTAAAGGCAAAATATTGCCTTTTGTGACAGCATACCACCCAGGGGTTAAAAATTTAAAACAAATACTGATGCAAGAATGGAACCTCATCCAAAATCAGCCACTGCTGAAAACAATTTACAAAACGCCTCCGATTATATCATACAAAAGAGGTAAATCGCTCAAAGACATACTCGTCAGAGCGAAGCTTTAATTAAAGGCTTTTGCGTCGCAAACGTAAAACCACACAGGGGAGTCTGTGTAGGCCTGTCTATGACCTTTTCAACGAATATCGAAGGCATCCATGCCGCACAGCACCTGATCGAAATGAGAACAAATTTCCCGCTCTTGTGAGTAATGTCTGAAATTCAATCTCAAGAAATGTCAAAAAAAAAATCCAGCCCCTCAAAATAAACAGGATTGACGCCATTGGAGGTTGTACACAACGGTGTTAATGTAATCACCGAACGCTCCCCTGTTGAAACCACAAATCGAAAGCGATGATAGCTACTGAGCCGGATCATGACGTCACACCATAGCAACCAAACCCCACGAATGTTTGAACATCCGGTTTGCTCTGGCTCGTCATGCGCTGGTGATCACCAATTTCTTGAGCCACGCGCGTTATCAGCTACAGTCCCCGATCAATTGCATAAAGTAAAGCCACAACTCCAAACACGGAGGATAACATCCAACTTATATTAATATCCGTATCAAAAAGAGGCAGAAGTAAGTGGCTATTTTCGGCATTGTATTACTTAATAAATATGACAGCAATTTATTCGACAACTGTGTTTCTTCAAAAAGTTATGTGAAGTGAAACGGAAATAGACGCGGAACAAATGATTTTTGGGGAAACTACTAACTCAGACCAATCAGAAGTTTTACCGTGAACTTATAAAAAGGGACAAAGACAACAATATCATCCCCCTTGCATGCGTTCCCTCTCAGATTCCAACGACCACGCTCCGGGCTTGAATTTTTTTCTCTTCCCCCCCCCCCCTCCCCCTCTATTTCCCTTTGTGTATACCTCTCAGTCTGCAAATTTAGAACTTCAGTTTTCTTCAATAATCCCTCATGGTAGCCAGACACACACGGCCCAATGATTGATCTAAGCCTTTGTTTATCATTTGTCAATCTGCTTTTTTAAAAAACAAAGAAACAAACGAAGAAACAAGAACAATCAAATAGCGCAAAGCTGTCTGTTAAGTTTCGTTATATAAAGGAAACATCTAATTATTGAGGTGAACTGCAGTATTCATTTGTCAAAGATTTTTGGTTTTCGTGGTGGCCATCAATATTCAACAAGCGTCTCTTTTAATTTTCTGAATACAAGAGAAGCCTCAACTTAAAAATGATAAAAAGTTGAATGCAAACCTTTCATATCCCGATAAATCTCGATCTTAATCGGCGAAGGCCACAAACCATAACACCTATCACATGAGCCCAAAATTTCTGATTTAAGTCATCCGACAGCCCTTGATTTGATGACATTATTTGCAAGACTGAAAAAAATACCCAAATGCTGTAATTGGTACAAGATATCCAAACGCTGTGATATGACTGGTACGAGATAAATACCCTAATGCGGCGATCTGATTGGTGCGAGCAACGTACCACTATACTCGCTAACATAGAGTATTTTTTTTATTAAGAAAAAAATAACTGGATAAAGAGAACAGATGTTGATAGGTGATAACGAGAGACTAACTTCCGCTGAATAGACAACAAGCAGTCTCTCCTTTTCGGCGGCGTCCGTAGGACGGGTAAACAAAATCAGTGAAGAAAAATTTGCGTCAGCACGCGGCGGGTAGCTCTTTAAGTGAGGCGCTCGAAAAGAAGGGACTACAGACGAAGCTCAAGAGTTTGACTTCTTCTCACAATGCAAAAATATGATGAGCCCAGCGTAAATCGAGTGTTAGACTTGGGATTTGTAAATCACTTCGGGATTACTAAAGGCAAATTACAAGCACGCACACGGCAAAATTCGTTCTGCGATGGTCCGGCTTGCCCTTCGTAATTATCTCCATTTGACAGGTTTCCAGTTTATTGTGCGCCTCGAATGTTGAAACAGTTTTCATGTTATTCTCCCCGCGCTTTGCAACTACATGAAGATTGACTGGCAACTAAGACAGGGAATGCCATTGGTTACACCTAATTGAGATTAAAGATCACTTAGCCGAGCAAGGTCGATCTCTTGGGCTTCGTCTGTAGTTCCTTCTTGTCATAGAGAAATAGCATATTATTCACAGCCAACCGCACTCAAGGGCAATATTTAAAAGCCATCCCGATTATGATATCGAAAAGGACAGTCATTAAAAGATATCCTGGTCATGGCTAAACTTTGGAGACATAAGATTCAAAATCGCTTGCGAATGGCGGGAGTCACGCCAACGCGTCAACACGTTAAAAAAAATCAATCTATTTTCTTCAGCGTTTCTTTATTTCAGGGCGGTTGTCCTCTTAATTCGGGATGATATGAAGAGAGATAACCATCTTTTAGGGAAGCTGTATCCTGCTTTATGCTTCCGAGCATAAATCTATAGCTCTTTCCTAGGCTTACTATGAGTAATGTTGAATCGAGTCCCAGGATAATGTTACGAGCCAACCCGCCCCAAAAAAATAACCAAAAGAGATGCGACATCACCTTTTTCGACTTGGTTATAAGTTTAAGCTCTTTTCGGCCACGTAAGCTTCTAAGCTATTTTGATTGATGTGTTTTCTTTAAAGCAACAGCTGTTAAAATGCCAAGTAACATAATTAATGCACAATGCAAATGACACGAAACAAACCCAAACTACCGATGAAAATGCGATTTTGTCACGTGAACACCCTGATAATCAGGACTGCCGCCTTCAATTCCGGGAATTTGAGGAACTGACTAGTTCTGTTGTCTGAAATATTCACTCTATATTCAAGTTTTCTTGCTGTGGCGCAAGACCTGTCAAGTAACATACATTATAAAAGCACAAATGACCCGAAACAAACCCAACTACCAATGAAAATACGATTTTGTCACGTTAACACCCTGATAATTAGAACTGTCGTCTTCAATTCCGGGAATTTGAGGAATTAGCTAGTTCTGTTGTCTGAAAAATTCAAAATTCAAGTTGTTTTGTTATGGCGCAAGACGTTTCCACCAAAAAGGTGCATTCACAGCTCGAAGGAGGTGCCGAAGACAGACCTCTGCGTGATGTTTTGAAGAAAAAAAAAGACGAGGAGAATCTTGAAAACCAATTACTCCGTGCTCTCGGGGAAAACGATGCGAGCAATTGTTGGGAACTTCTGAAAAGGAATCATGAGACGGTCAGGTCGGAATACAAAAAATTCCAAGATGACTGCAATGAAGCCAACAAGAAAGAGCAGCAGAGGGAAGGGAGATTTCACTGCGACTGCAAATGTTCGAACTCCGAACCGCAAAGATCAGAAGAAGACAGCATAAATGATGAAACCAAACTTAACTGGATCAAAATTCTTTCTAACCCTCTGTTCATTGGTTTGGAATGGCTATGGAGAACAGGATCTCACTGTCAGTGTAAATTTTGCGAGGAAGATAGGAAGTTGGTTGGAAAAGAAAAGAAAAAGAAGGAGGATGTCATAGAAAGTTCTCTACATGATGCATATCTACTCGATGAAACGTCGTCTCTCAAGCACTACAATAGCCGAGATGTTTACAGGGAATCGGCGGAGGCTTACGAAACGTTTGCTGTTGGCGTGCTGGAGAAAGCCGCCCAGAATGAACTTTACCTGATCATGGATATAAAAGGAGAGGGCTGCCTGCTGAAAAATAATCCTAATCAACACAGAAATTTTATTCAGAGTCTGAGCCTTCTCAAGAGTGCAGTCAATAAGGGAAGGAAGAAGGTATGCTCTCGGGATTAAACGACGATGTTGTTTAGCGCCGCAGGAATGTGAATATTGATTTCTGCACTCAACCATATCTTAGAAATATCAGAAATGACCCCTCATTACTCTGCCAACAATTTCCAAATCTTGTGTGATGGAGACCGATCTTTAAATCTCTTGGTAACATAAATCAGTGACAGCACGTAGTAATTGATACTGTAGGCCTCCTTTATTCTCCACAAGTTTAATCAGATGATTAAAGATTCGGCTTTGTTTTACTAATGGAGTTTGAACGAGATAACATCAGGCAAATTATTTTTAACCCATCGTATCTAGTACAATTTGCATTTCATTAAGGGTGTGAGCAACAAAACACCCAAGCTGAAATGTTTAAGTTTGGAGCTCGCCGGCCAAACGTTAGATCCGTGAGCTAAGTGTTATTCTACATAAGGTGAAATGGTGATTCATATGAAATGCAGTTAAATTATACACTTTCAGTGCCTATCAACTTCGATGGTGGTCTTAATACATACTGCTTGTTTTCGTAAAGGAATGATCGTTGCAGCAAAAGTCTTTCAACGATTTCCTTTTACAGAGATTTTATTACATCAAAGCATTCTTTCAAAGTTTCCTTTGTCTGTTACTAAAATGCTTGATATTCCGGCCGAACAAGTTGAGTTTTTCTGTCTCAAGGCTGAACGCGTATCCAGGGCCCGGTTGTTCAAAAGGTGGTTTGCGATTATCCAGGATGAAACTTTTAACTTGTAATTAGTTGCCCTTGAAATAAAGTTTGTATTAGGGTCTAAGTATTAAGGGTTTTACCTTAGTGTGACACAAAACTGATGGAAAAAATATATCCAATTAAAATTGTCTGCAAAGCTACACAAATTAAACTAAAAACTGGTGGCTAACCCTCGGTTAGCTTAATCGTACTATGTACAATCCGGCCCGGGTTAATAAACTTTTCTCCTTAAACCTTAGAGACCTCCCACTGATTGAAAAAAATTCATCTCTTTGAATGCTCTGAGGCGTAAAAGCCCAATCAGCATCATTTCTTGTTCTGATAAACTAATACGTCTATCTCTATATTTACTTGTAGTTTGTTTCAAGTCCAAGATGTCAAGCTATCCTCGATGCGATTATTTTTTACAAGATGCGGGATTGGCAGGACAAGAGCATGGCAAAAAAATTTTTTTGGTCCCTTTTGCAGTTTGTCGTTATCTTACTTCTTACTCCTTTGTTTTACGTTTTCGCTCGACCACCCATGAAGATATGGCGCAGGCTGAGTGATATCGAATGGCTTGCGTGCGTAGAGAAGTTATATGAGCATCCCTACAATAAGTTTGCAAACCACATCAGTTTTTACATTGTATTCCTGGGGCTGCTTTTCGCCTCAACTTTCGGCTTTGAACACGAGTACAGAACAAGCACAACAGGGCTTTCATCCATTGGTAAGTTGTGTAAATTGATTCTTCAGTGCCTATTTCACCACTAACAGTGTATTAGCTATGAGCAACAGCTAATTCTGCTGATACCGTTCAAGCTCAAATTAGTGCCCGGGACTATTTCTTTATTTCGCAATGCATAATCCTGACTTGTAGTAATCTCGAACTGCAAGTTTCTGAAAAGTGAACTTCTGCGACATTAAAGGAATTTAATCAACATCTTGTTAGCATGAAGCACTTACCAAATATTAAATTTTTCAACAAACAATGAAACAGCGTCTCCAATTAATTTTTGCAGAGTCATTTGCGTTCCGTTCTGATTCGTCCACAGATTATGCTGTCCTTTTCTTTTTGGTCGGTTTCCTTCTACAGGAAATTTGGGAAGTTTCTAAACAAGGATTCCGCATCTACATCTCGAAATGGTGGAATGTCGTGGATACAATAACATTTCTTACACTCCTGGCAGCTTATACAGTATGGCTCTCCACATGGCTAAGCGTTTATAAAGAATGGCAACCGAGGAAGAATGCCTTCATCGTGGCAGATGTCTTGTATGCAAGCGCCACAGTGTTAGCGTTCTTTCACCTAGCTCACGCGTTTCAAGTCAGCTCAACTCTTGGCCCTTTGCAGCTTTCATTGTACAGAATGCTGAAAGATGTGGCCAAGTTTCTTTTCATTTTTCTGATGCTTTTCATTGCATTTGCAACTGGCCTCATAAAAATTTATTCATACTATGTGGTCTCCCAAGCGAAACTTCGTGAAGAGGGCGAGAGCAAATTCCAGGACTTCCATCCATATGCTGAGTAGGTGGATACTATTGCGATATTTATATAAGAGAGTGGGCGCCCATAAGCAAACATACAATATTTCATCTATAATTTTATAGAAAAATATTGCTAAAAGAAATTTAAAATGCTTTAATTGATTTGATGAGTGGACGGACGAAGAAATACTTATGTCCATGTAATCGGACAGATAGACAAACATCAGGGCCCAGTTGTTTAAAGGTCGGATAACGCTATCCAACGGATAAAACACTATTCAGTGGATAAGTAATAGCAAAATGTATAGCGTCAACCACCGCATAGAGTTTTATCTAGTGGATAGCGTTATCCCATCTTCAAACAATCGGGGCCAGACGTATAGATTAGCTGACCAGTGAAAAAGATATCTCATATTTTCATCATTCGAAACTTTTCAGGCACGAGATCACTTTTATTAGCTTGGTCTGGTTACTGGTTGGCTACGTGGAAGAAGACAAAATAAGGGTTGATGATCCTGCCTTTTACCTTACACAACTGTTTGGTCGCTTGGGTTTCCTCATCTACCTGGTTTGTACCGTTATCGTTGCTTTGAACATGCTGATCGCCATGATGAATAACTCCTTCGACAGAGTTATGGTAGGTCCCAAGTTGTGGTTTGTGACAGATTTTGACTTGATATAATAGTTCTGAGAATGATGTTTGCTAGTTGGCTTTTTACTCAGTGACATAAACCACGTTGATTACCACACTATCATCATGATTGATCCGTAGCATGACGACTCATATGAATTCGAGGGAATTCAGTCAACCTTCGCATAAAATCACTAAATTCCTCTTATTACTGAGTATACCTACCTAGTCAGTCGATCACGGATAAGCTTAAACTCTTTCCAAACCTTGGGGGAAATTTATGTGAGTTATTACATGTGATAGATTTTAACTTAGAAAATGAACTTTGGTTTTTAGGGTGATGAGGACAAAGAGTGGAAGTTTTCAAGGGCTCAAATGTGGTTAGAATATATCGACAAAGGAAATGCAATACCAGTACCTTTTAACCTTCTGTATTATACCTCTTTTGTCCTAACATTCGTTTTCTGGATTACAACGCTATGCTGCAGATGCAAATGTAATAAGAAGGTAAATGTTAGCAATTGCCATTTTGATTTTGGAATACTTGCAAAATCCTTTTAGTGAGATCTTGGTTGCACTTTCATAATGATTCTGAGGAAAAAGGGCTCGGAGAAATCAATTCCGTTTGCTTCATCTCCCCCAGGATGAAACATTTTTCGCTATGACCTAGTCTCTTATTGAATCCCGCGAGCACACAGAAACAGATAAAATTAACTAGTAATTTGGGAAATGTAACATGTAAATGCAAATATAAATTCCAACAGATCTTATATTATCAAGTGTAGATTTCAATTCCAACAGGTCTTAACAAGTTTACTACAGAAGCATTCAGTGCATGTCCCTTGAGTGACAACTCACGTTGGTGCGAAAATATGTTTTGTTTCATTTTGCTGCTTACTTTGACAGAAACAGCGAGACGAGGGAAGAAGAACTGTTGAGGTACGCAAAATGAAAAAAACAATTTCGATTTAAACCTTACTCGTTGTTTCGTTACGTCATCTCGGACGCCCAGTACGCTGGCTGATTCCTATTGCAAGAAGCCTGGTGATGAGGAGTTTTGAAAGTGGGCTGGCGTTTGCCTCCTTTGTTTGCGTTTTATGCATTCAAGATCATGGTGGTAATCTTAAGATAGGTTGTGTAGATCTGCATAACTTATTAACTGGCAGATTTCCTAATTCTTTACTTTTAGATGCAAGCCAGTCCTAAACCCACTAGAGCAGAAGAGAATGTTGAAGAAGGCAATCCACAACAGGTATTGTGAGGCAAATTTGCTTTTTCCGTCGCTTTATCTATGATAAGTACCACCCAGAAGCGCTTCATGATTGTAAAATTGACGTTTAACAAGATTTTAAAAGTCGTTATCGTCATTGGCCAATATTCTAGAGACGTAGTTTATACATCGGTAGGTTTAACATTTTCTGAACAATTCTGCCTTAGATTATAGGATATTTAGGCAAACATGGAAAATAAATATTTCGGGAGTTTTCATGATTTTAGCAGGTGTCATGTATCGTTTTTTGAACAAGGTTTCTTTTATCTCTCTCAGATAAATAAAGAGCAAGGCAGCGAAGATCAGGTAGGATTAAGATCCCATTTCTCACATTCACCTCACAATTCACGATTACGCTCCGCGATCAGTAGTTTGCCAAACATAGCAAAGAAAAAAGTTAAGGTAGACACCGATACATTGAGATCCTTATTAGAAAAAGAGGAAAAAAAGAGAGGAATCACAAAACTCGTGATTGTAGGCAAACGATTTAATGTAAAAACAAGGAAGCTGTTTCGAACCTTGTCAGTTATGGCACCAATCAAGATTTTTAAGTCATTTTCTCTTTACTTTTTCATCAGACCTCGTGCTATAGTTTCGCCTCCTGTATTTGTCATGGATGTTTTTGTTGTTGTAAACCCGAAACCGAAAACAAACGAGAAGAGGTCAGTAAATGGATCATTTTGTCGTACCACATATGCGTATAAGTGACAACACTTAGCTGATGAACTAAGGGCAACAGATCCAGGCTGTAAGAGAAATAGATCATGTATCTTTTTTGTATAAATAAACAGCTCAAATTAGCCTCACAATTCCCAATTGCCCTACGCAATCCAAACTGAGTTTGCCAAACCGACTGCTGTGAAAAAGGAATAGAAAAAAACTGAGTAAAGGTAGACACCACTACATTGCAATTCACGTTAGAAAAAGGGGAAACTAGAGACAAATCACAAAACTTGTGTTTGAACTTTAGGCAAACGATTTAATGTAAAAAAAAGAAAGTTGTTTTGAACCTTCTCGGTTACAGCACCAATTAATATTTTTAAGTCATTTCCTCTTTATTTTTTCGTCAGACCTCGGGCTATAGTTTCGCCTCCTGTATTTGTCATGGATGTTCCTGTTATTGGAAACCTGAAATCGAATACAGCCGAGGAGAGGTTTGTTAGTGTTGATTAATTACTTCAGTAAATGGATCATTTTGTCGTACCACATATGCGTATAAGTGACAACACTTACCCGATGAACTAAGGGCAACAGATCCAGGCTGCAAGAAAAATAGATCATGCGTCTTCTTTGTATAGATAAACGTCTCAAATTAGCCTTACAATTCACGATTGCGCTCCGCAATCAAAATTGAGTTTGCCAAACCGGCTGCTGTAAAAAGGGAAAAGAGAAAGGTGAAGACAAACACCTTTTCAGCGATTTGGGATCATTTACAATTGAAATATCACAGATGCAGATATTCCAATCGTTGTTGGAAGCAGTTCATTGCTAAGTTTAGTATTTATTATAATACTAAATTGGTACTGTTTCTTCTTTATAAGGAACGCGGGAAAGCTATAGCATCATCTGTTGAGAAGTACCTGAAACAGATAATGACCCCTCAGCACGGAGGACTTTAAAGAAGTCACTTGTTGATGAAAGAGATGACCAAAATCGAAAGAGGGTTGCGTAAACCCATTTACAGGAACTGTAAGCCGTTTTGATGATGTGTAAGATTTTTGTTTTTATTGGAAGAAAATTTAAGACCAGCCCACAATTTTAAGTGCGGGTAGGAAACGGAATTTATCGTAGTTAGTTTAATGTAATTTTTAGGGGGATCTAACGAACTCGTACTTTATGTTAAGAAAGGACGAATTCTTCAGATTTCTGGTCTATGTTTGCTAATGTATATATCCTTTATAACCACTTTGGCTGCTGTTTTCCCCATATTCACTCGTCTTTATATCAATTGCTTCATTTGTGCTGTCATGCAGCGGTAATGTATGATTATTCTTTTTATCTTTGACTTCTGAATAGTAGTAGTTACTCAGTATGATAAAGTGGCGTTCTCCTGATTTGGTTTCCTTTGTCCCCTGTCCTCCGCCTACCAGGAAGGTTACTACCCAGAGCAAGAGTTCACATCTATGTAACAAGATTTGTTTGGGCGTGGTTAATGTTAACGTAGTTTCAATATGTGTTTGTATGAATCACATCGAGTAGTCACATAACTCGCCAATCCGAGACCTCACCTCTTTTGAAGCAGATGAGTTCTACTTAGTTTCCGTGGGTTTTGGTGTGAAAATTCCCCTATCTTTCTTTGTTATTGTTACTTTCTTGTTTCTTAGAGTTTCTTTTATTTTGCCCTCGTTCCTTTTTCCAGTTGTAGGTACCCATACCTCCCCTCCCTCCCCCCCCCCCTTAAAAAAAATCACTGGAGGATCCTCTGCGTTATGGGGTTCACTTAAATAATAAGCTTATCAAGTATTTTAGTGGAGTCTTAGTTGTGTAAGATAAACTTGATTTGACTTATTTTTAATTTTCAACTTTGTATATTTTTATCTTTTTACAACTGTGTTTATCCTTATAGCTTACCCATTGTATCATTTTATTCTATATTTTTGACACTCAGTTGTGTATTAAACCTTTAACTCCCAAGATCTCAATACCAATTCTCCTTACTGTCTGCCGAAGATTCTCATTATGTTAGTTTGGAGAATTTGGTATCAGATCAATTAATAATCCAATAATATATTTTTTCCCTTTATTCTCATCACTTGTCTGCATGATATTGTATAGATAGAGTAAGGAGAAATTCTCTCTTGGTCACTCACGGGAGTTAAAGGTTTAAACTTTACCCAAAGTGTTCCTTAACATGGGGAAAACCACTTAAGACTGTAGAATACGGTGTCTCTACTACTATCTTTGACAGTGAGGACTAACAGACGGTTCGTTCCGCGCATAATAAGTGTTAATGTTAATCTAACAAATCCATAACGATTTTTAAATCGGCAGAGGGGTAGTAAATAGCCACACGAGCGCGTAAGGAAATGTAACTCATTAACTATTGGGAGACCAGTCCAAGAAAATCTCAGTTATGGGGATCACTTAAATAGTAATCTTATCAAGTATTTTAGTTGAGTCTTAATTGTGTAAGATAAACTTGATTTCACCTATTTTTTATTCTCAACTTTGTATATTTATCCTTTATAATTGCGTTTATCCTTATAGCTTACCCATTGTATCATTGTAGTTTATGTTTTTGACACTCAGTTTTGTATTAACTCATAGCCAAAGTGTTCCGAGCACAATGTGTGTTGATGTTAATCTAGCACATTAATAATGATTTTTAAATTGGCAGAGGGGAAGTAAATAACCACACAAGTGCGTTATGAAATATAACTCATTAATTATTGGGAGACCAGTCCAGAAAATCTCAGTAAATAGTTATCTTGAAAGAATAATTGTTATTATTCTGATGTAGTTTATTACGTCTGAGTTATTTGTTCTACTCTATCTTCATTTATATTCTGTTCCCTTCTCTGTAATCATGAATTTAAGATGAACGTGAAAGGGTGAAGGCCTCTAATCCTTGCTCCATAGCTTCTGGTTGACAATATATGAGAAGAAACAATTGGAAAGCTGTGACAAAATGGTCAGTAGAGCAACAGTCAGTGCCATTATCACTTCACTAATGTGTCCATCATTTTATTAAGTTTGGCAAGCTCCTTCGCCTGACGATCAACCAATCGTCTAAGTAACTTAATGTTTTCCTCAATGAACTGGGAGCTCTCTTTTTTTCCCGCTTTCCCACTTTTGTCATCCGTTGTCTTATCTCCACTTAAGTTGTCTTCCTCGCATTTTTCAAAGTAGCGGCCCCTTAGATATTTCATCACCAATTCCTTCATCGTTTCTTTTCGTCTCTGGGATGACATAATAAGATCAAAGACATTATTCATCATCATTTTCTCTCACTCTCTTTATCATGATACTCTATCGATTTCATTTAGGAGCATTTGTTGCAATTGTTTTCGCATGCTACAAGGCTCGCTGGATCAATTCTCTCGTTGTTACATGAAAAACACGTCAAAGTTTTACTCTAAGCTTACATGTACCTCTTTTCTGGCGGTAATCTCGTCTCTCTGAAAAAAAAAAAAAATTAAGAGTTGCATTTCATTACCATTACAAATATTATTACATATCAAGGAAGTTAGACCTTGATTTTGGGTTTTGACAGAATTTCTCATTTATCAGTCCTGCATACCTCTCTTTGCGCCTGCACTTCGTCTAGTTCCTTTAACAAAGAGATGAAATTTAAGAAATGAGAATGAATCAACGCCTTAATTTCACGGTCTTATCGTAAATGCTAGTTTAGCGATCAGTGCATTACTTCAATTATCTACATTCCCATCTTAAATGAAATGTACGGTTTTGGTGGAGTTTGAGAGATGCATTTTTCCCGGCTAATATAGAAAGACTTAGAAACAACAGGTGATAAGAAAAGTCAATACCCTCCTAGTGATCTACAAAAAATAAAACTTCTTCTCTTCCTTACCCCATTACCACGACGACAACAGCATTTTTCTCTGAATTTCCCAGAAACTTTGTCAGCAAATAGAATACTCCCATACAAGGTGTAATAGACCATGTTGATGGGTGCCGGCATCGTGTTGCCTTTGTCAATCCATTCCAGCCACATTCGGGATCTTGAGTATTTCCACTCAATTTCGGAGTTTTTCTAAAATTGAATTGTGAAGAAGAAATCAAGAAGTTGAGAAGGTTTTTCAGTAGCGGGGTTGCTCGTTTCAAAAAAAAAAAACAACGCAGTTAGGAATTTATTCGATGGACTAAAACTTTCTTGAATATGGGTCAAATCTGACTGACTTGCGGCAATGGTATTTATTTTGGGTGTATACTCACCATGATTCTCTCGAACGAATTATTCATCATGGCGATCAGCATGTTCACAGCCACTATTACAGTGCAAATCACGTAAGCCATCAGGAAAAGACGACCAAATGTGGCGGTGAGAGCAAACACTGGGTCTTTTACCTCAATTTTGTCTTCTTCTACGAGGCCAAGCAGCAACCAGAATAACGCTATAAACGCGCTCTTGTGACTGAGAAGCAAAAGATATCAGCATATTATAAATAGTCAGACGCAAGAATGAAATTTTCGCATTCCTCTAAACAACTTCTAACTTTTGTGTTTCCGAACGAAAATCACCGAGCTTAAGTAGCCTTCTTCGATGCCAATGTCCATGTTTCAGATTAAAGCTTTGTTTCAAGGTGGCCTATAGTCGTGTTTTTGTTCGGCTTAATTATGTACATGTATAAACAACAACTTCAATTAGGAAATGCGACATGAAGTAACTCTATGTTAGCACACATACAATGCAGACATGTGAAATGGGTGCTGGCTTTGCAAAGGGCCCGAGCGCTCCACTGTTTCTCGAGCTTCTGCATTATCAGCTGAAAGGCTACTCAGTAAGTTCATCTCTCAGTAGTCGATGAAATTCAGAACGAGTTTATCACCATTGACTCGCCGTTCGTTTGCTTTCGGGAAATGCTGAAGCCATAAGTTTATTAGTTATACCTAATTTGCAATAAAAAAAAAAACACCTTACGGAGAAGCTTTCTTATCTCAAAAATATATTATACTTAATGTTGGACGTTATTGGATAAAGATATTTCTTATTAAAGCTCTCTTACTCCGCGTACGGATGGGATTCCTCATTCTCAGTGTGGTTCCATTTTCTCTGCAGTTCAGTTTTCGAGCTTTCATAGTAAGAGTAGACTTTTACGACGCCATTAGTAAACGAGAAATACAGCACAAGGAAGATAAAGAGGAATCTTTGCACATCTTTGAGCATTTTGTAAAGTGACAGCTGTAGAGGGCCAAGTATCGAATCAACCTGAAATATATGCGTCAGGTGAAAATATGCCATAACGGATGCACTTGCGTACAACACATCGGCTAGAACAAACGCTGCTTCCTCAGGTTTCCATTTTCTAAAGTACAGACAGGAGAGCAACCACACAGCGAAGGACGCCAGAAAAGTCAAGATGATCAGCGTGTCTACGACATTCCACCACTTTGATATATAAATGTAAATTCCTTGTCTGCGAGCTTCGAGAAATTCCTGTAGAAGTAAGCCAAGAACAAACGAAAGCACCACATAGTCTGTGAAGAAAATTTACAGTTGTTTAGCACAACAGCACACGCGCGTCAAGCATTGATTGATATACGTCGTCTTCATACAATTCAAAATAAGTTGTAAATGTACTTTGCTCTGGCAAATTCAAAATGAAAACTGTGTTTTTCTGGGCGTTTTGGAGGCTAACCATAGAGAGAAGGAAAACATGACTTTGAAATGTTAGACTGTAAAAAGGGTGATATTCTACACAAGTAATAGATATGTAATAATAGGTTGACCTGTATACTTGTTTTTCGCTAATTTTTTCTTTCTTTACATCAGCTATTTAATCTTAATTCAAATCGTAAGGTTGAAACCCAAACTGCTTAAAATTTTAAGTGTAGTACACTGGAAATAAATGATGACTGCGGGCTATCAAACGAACAAAAAAAGCCAAGTCGATGTGAGTGAAAATTAAATTTATGACACTTACCACACCATATCAGCCCAGTCGGTGAAGTTTCAAACTTGTCGTCAAAGGAGGTCAAGAATATCATTGAGAGAAACACCAGATACCACATCGTGTGGTTAATAAACTTGGAATAGGGATGCTCATAAAGCTCTCTGAATTCCCAAATCTTCTCATTGTTACAGCAACGATAAAATTTACGAACCAACCGTATCGGTATGTAGAAGACGCTCGATACTGCTACAAGCAGTAGTTGGAAGAAGAACCAAGCCAGTTTGGTCAGTCTGCTTTTATCCCGCCAACCAGGCCATTCATAGTATATAATCTCGTTAAGAATCCACTGACATTTTGGGCTTGCTACAAACTGCGAATTGAAAAGGAAAAGATTGTTTTGATAAATTTGTAATTTCTTGATTTCTAACATATAAGTCCTAAATTATTTGCAACCACTAATTTACGCCTACCCTTTTCTTTTTTTTCACGTATCATTAATGCACCGTTATTTTGGCATTTTATGTAAATTACGCCACCCTTCACATTTCATGTGTCACGCACTTCCCGTGTACTTTATTTTTGCTACGATATGAACCTTTTTCCTTCGAGTAATTCATGATTCGCATATTACCTCAGAATTTGGTAAGTTTTTGTCTCGACATATCTTTGTATTTATTTTTTTCGCCTTATTTGTTACTATATTTTTGTAAAGGTCGTTTTTTCTGTTTCATAGGAGTTTACTTCTTCACGTTCATATTAAGAGGGTTGGTAAATCGAATGGTGAGTAAACTTGTTTAATTTAAGCGGGCGCTTGCCTCTTTAAAGACTTAGGAAAACATTGTTGGACACCAAGGTTGGGGCCACTGATTTGTCAATGACCAGCCCAATTTTTTCTTAAGTCTTTGAAGAGGCAGGGTCCTGCTTCAATAAACACTTTTACTCACCATTCAATTTAATAATATATTTCACTATCTTAGTTATCACATTGGCAAACCTTTTTTTTATTTGACTCAGCGGCTTAGTCTTTGTTTTTAAACACAGTGACGATTTTTATTTTTTTTAAGTGTACTACCCATACTTTCCTGGAATAAAAGGGTGAATAACATAATTTTTTGACGTAAATAATGTCAAGATTTCACTATGATTTTATATCCCAAGCAATACTTCAGTTTCATACCGCTCTTTATTTTCACGGGGTCCAAATTACGACAAAAGCAACGAAATACACGTCATATTGTCATCTTACTCTAAATGGAAAAACACTTGGCATTGCCATCTAGATTATGCTTCACACGTGCTTTTCATGAACAGCCACACGAAATGATATAAATCAGTTAATAACAACCTAGCTAAAAGAGATTGATTGTACGTGTACCATCCAGCATCCCCAGTTTTCATTTGGCTAGTCTTAGATCAGCGATTTCGTGATCACTAAATAAATGCTCTGCTGAATATTAATTCAAATGACTGTTTGTTTTACCCGATTGAAGATTGAAATGTTTGCAATACACTTTCCGAGAAAAATGAAAGAGTCCAGTCCATTCGATTCAATAGTGTATATTATTTCAAAGGCGGAAATCACGGAACATTTTTGTTGTAGCAATTTTAAAATTTCTTCTTAAGTAAGTGGTTTTAATTATTCATGGTAATTTAGATTGGAATTGAAAACTCGGTGTTAATGCTTGACGCTCAAGTTATTCCATAGTGAATCTGTGGGTTTGATATGCTTTTTAAGCTGTCATACTTTATGAACCAGTGAATAAGTTTTAGCCACATAACTTAGGTACCTTAAACGTGTAAAAAAAATAAAATAAATGATTACAAACCATCTTTCTGTTTTTGTCGGCAGCAAACTTGAGAAGAATCAGGCTCTGATTAAAATTCTTAGGTTTCTTCGCCATTAAACAGCCATTACCATCGGTATCCATTATCTCCTGAAGTTGGCTGAAGTTACATCCTTCAACAACATCAGCCGCAAATTTCTCACACTCCAATGCTCGCTTGTAGTACTCATCCCGACTGTAATGATGCTCGTACCGAGCAATTTTTTCCAGCAGGTATGCATCATCCAAAGCAGCCTCGATGATGTCTTCAAGCTTACTTTCTCTCCGCTTCGGGTATTGGATAGCGGTGGATGTCAGCTGTGAATTATTTCTCCATAGCCATTCCAAACCAATGTAGAGTGGATCAGAAAGTATACGTATCCACTGTTGTTCTTCTTCGTGTTGAAATTCAGTTTGTGGTGGCCTGCTTTCTCGGAATATACAAGCGGAAGTATCACGTCCTCTAGCAGATCTGATTTGGCCGCGTAGCTTTCCCAAAGATACTTGATCAGCCCTTTCTCTTTCAGGCACTCATTTTCTGCTACAGTTTCGCATGTCTTGTTTAGGTTTTCTATCGTCTTGAGCTCCGACTCTTTAGCTCTTGCTATTAATTTCCAAACTGTGACAGCATCTTCGTCTTCGAGGGCTTTCGTAAGTTGTCGCTTGTGAGACACACATGTTGGATCTTCGTCTCGACTATCCCTGCACTCGTCTGAATTCGCTTGCCGTAAAAATCGCTCCACATCGTCCTTTGTACCCCTCGAAATTGCATCAAGAAAATCTTCGTAAACATTTGAGCCGCCTTCTGGTTGTTCGTCGATTGCCGCGTCAACGTGTGCAGCCATCTGATGATTTTTGCTTGTAGAGAAATTAGAAGAGTTGTGAAAATAAGTGTTCTAATTGTTCATTTTAGGGAATAGGAGAAAATTTTAGTGCTTTCCTACATGAAGACGATTGACAGTGCGATTTTTCCAGATAGGACAGTGGACAGGAACAGATTCTTTATCCTTATCGGTGGAAAGTGAAGCTGTCAATCCAAATCATACTCAAGTGACGAGCAGACGACAATAGAACGTAAAATGGGGTTTTCGTGCGTGAGGTGTAGTCACACCAAAGTTGAAGTCACGCAGCTCAATAAAGAAATATTCCATTGTTAGACGCCGCTGTTATACGTGAAATGCCTTTTAAAATCAACCTTCCGCTAACCGTGCTGAAGAATATATGTTTCATCAAGTGGATCTTACTTCTTAGTCGGGAAAAATTACATTAAGATCTTTCTAAGAAATAGCGGAAGTCAATCGAAGCTTTGTATGAGCCCCAGAAAGCGAATCAATCGCATTATTCGCGTTAAGTTACGGTGTTTCTTTCAGATTCGCGACAACTGTTGAGGGCAAGAATGTCTACCTAGTGTTATCTTCTCAGCTACCTTTGCGGACCAAAATTCGATGCGGATGATGGCTAATTCGAACTTCCGACTCAGAAGCATAACTATTCGAGTAAAGTTTTCAGATTCCCATATCCATTCTGTTTATTGCGCAATTTATGCTGTCTGTATCTATGCTGTTGTAATATTAATGAGTGTTTTCACTTTTGAGCCAATAACGGAAGGAACATATAAATGGAACGTATATTTAAATAATTTTCGACACGTTTCTGGCCATGCACATAGATAAGTGCACGTTACTACAGATTTACATAAAGGCACTAAGGAATCGACAACAACTCTTGTCACGCAGTCAGGTACATCCGGGAACTGCCACTAGTTCTGATGCCGTCACGGAAACTTGACTTGAAGTTGAAATTGCTAACTATTGTCTTAGTGCTTAGGAAAACAATTTAATTTTTAGGAAAACAACTTCCAACGCTCCATGCTACAGTTGATTCGATGCAAAAGACCCAAGTCCGCCAGCGCTTATAGGTTATTGCATTAACCCTGAACTCCTATAAGCATAATTGCTCCTTACAAAATCAACACAATATCAAAAAGAACAATTATGAGACTAAAGAAAAATTATCAACAATTAGATTATCGGTTGATTTAATACCAAATTCTCCAAAGTTACATTATACGAAATGTATGACAGACGATAAGGAGAATTACTATTGAGATCTTGGGAGTAAAAGATTAAAAAATCTCTAATATTTTCTAATAAAATTTCATAATCACTTGTAGTCGAGGAAGCATTTCCCCCAATTGGTAAAGTGCCGAACGATTACCTGCGGAAAAAGCTTGATAATATCATATTAGTCTACAATATTCTAACAACGTATGGAGAAAGTATAATATTATGCTAAAAATAAATGGTCCACATGTAGATATAAAGACACAACTGCCCTATATCGTCGTCAGTAGTTTAGTCTCTACAAAAATTAAATAATTTCTATTCTATTTGTAACCTAAACATGCCATATCTTTGTAACTGTCATTCAAAAACTGATATGTTAGGTGCTTGAATTCTGATAACTAATTGTTGGTAACACCAAATATAGATATTTTAACTGTCTGACCGGCTAAAAATGAAGACTAACCTTAAGCAATATATTTCTTCTCTGGAGAATGTTTAAAATCATCATCAATTAATTTCGCTCATGCACGATTTGTTGCTAAAATATTACGGTGCTCAAAAATCCTCGGATAAAACAGAGAAAAACGCACAATAGCCTCTATTTGGCTCAAAATATACTCCGCTACTTATATTCGTAGACATTATCTGATTGCGGAATGCGAACGGTTTTCCGACATCGCAATTTCACACAAATTCTGACAATTGGGAAATATTATCTAAGAAATATCACCGGTTTTAATCCATCACATACGTTCGCGCACACGCGATCGTTTTTAATACGTGCATGACGTGACCGAAAATGTTCCAATGCGATGGAAGTCTTTCTTTAAAATTGACGTTATCTGTTCCTCGAAGCTCACATGTATTCTCTAGTATCGCTCTCCTGAACTGCTCGCTACTCAAATCAGATAATGTCCGCGGACAAATATCCAGGCACCAAATGAATGCTAGTGTATATCTAAATCCAGAGACTTCAGTATTGACCTGTTTAAGAACGAAAACCGAGGAAAAGGACTGCGTTTAAGGGCGCGTTGCTCCTGTTTTTACCGTGGGCTCCTTCCATTTATCTTCGTAGCTATCAATAAGATACTCCACAACTAATCCGTTCATTACCTTCATGCGTGTCTGAAACAAAGAGATACTCACAAGTCAGAAGATGGTCGAAAAATATTAGGCAGAAGTTAAGGTGTCTAAGATTTTCTTTCTCAAATCAATCCTTTTGAGACATTTAACTCGCCTGTCGATCATTTTCATCTCTTTTCTCATCCTTTAAAAGTATCAGTTAAGCATTCAGAAAATGTAAAGTGAAATGTCGTATGTAGCAGTAACAGTATCTCAATACATTCGCAACAGGATATTTGGCTAACCTTTCTTTTATTTCCGTCTCCTCCCCTCACCTAAAGAAGAGGAAATTTCGTGCAGTCAAAAATGTAAAGTGAAGTGCTGCATACAATAGTAACGAAGAAACGAGGAACAAGCCTTAAACCTTTACCTCCCATGAGTGACCAAGAAAGAATTTCTCCTTACAATACCAATACAATATCAAGCATAGAAGTGATGAGAATAAAGTAAAATATCAATTAGGGGATTATTAGTTGATCCAATACCAAATTCTCCAAATTGATATCATAAGAATTGTATGTCAGACAGTAAAGAGAATTACTAATGAGATCTTGGGAATTATAGAGTTAATTTGAGCCATGTAATTTGGTTTACTGTCTCAATACGCTCTATCTCTATCTCACGTTTTCGCGCCGATTATTGTAGCAAGTTTTCCAGAAGTTTGGTAAGAAAATGTAGAGAATATAGTAGACTGTATTGAATGGAACAGGTATGGTATTGCCCTTGTCGATCCATTCCAGCCACATCTGAGTTCTTGAGAACTTCCACTCTACGATTGCATTTTCCTACAAAAGATATTAAGAGTGTTTAAGATCGTAAACTTATCAGGTGTCAACCACAACAGTGTACAGGTGTTTAACTCACTGCGAGAAGCGCCGCAGAAAAAACTGACCAATCATAAAAAAGCATCAGCAGTTTGTTGTTGCAAGGAAGTGATCACTGAACGAAGCACTACTCATTAAAATAATTCCCACGTCACAACATAGGACGTTGTAGTTATGACTAACTAACAATAGTTTCCATAACAACGAGAAACATCTTTAAAGGTTTAGCTGCAGTTCAAGAAGTTTCTTTCTCTAGGGAGGGGGAGGGATGTAAGGATATTTTTTGTGGGGGGGGACCTTATGGTCTTCAGGGTGACGGAGGTTGGATGAATCGTGGCCAACAAGATGTAATGGTGTGGGGGGGGGGCTATTGAAAACTGACTGCCAGTTAGCTGCCAACTAGGAGGGAGGGGAGGATCAGGTAAATTTTTCACGTGACACAACCAAACTTCTTCCACCCCCCCCCCCCTCTTATCACTCGAGCAATAGATAATTGCCGAACTAATGGGAGTAAATGTTTAACAATGATAGTGGGCTCTTCATTTGTCCTCACAGTCTCAAGGTTGTTCCTTTTCATGCCTCTACACTAAACGTCCTCCAAGCTTTTGTAAAGTAAATTAGTAGCTTACGTGCGCCCCCTATTAAGTTTAATTAGAGCTCATAGGGTTATATACGTACTTGCCATATCGGGGAACTGCTGGGTACTTATCTTCTTTAAGTTGTTTTTGAGAAACCACATAATACGAATATGTATTGATTACGCCTGTAGCAAATGCTATGTAAAGTAGAAAAAAAATGGCAAGAAACTTGAGGACGTCCTTAAGCATTCTGTAAAGTGACAGCTGTAATGGACCCAACACTGAATTAACTTGGAAGATGTGTGCTAAGTGGAAATAGGCCAATACAGATGCTGTGGAATAAATGGCATCAGCCACTATAAACGCAGCCTTTCTTGGTTTCCACACACCACCACAAAGAAACCACGCAGTAAACCAAACTATGTAGGCCAGCGGGAATGTTAAAACGATCAAATGTGTCTACGACATTCCACCATTTTGAAAAGTAAATTGAGGCACCTTGCCTGTAGGCCTCCATTGCCTCCTGAACCAAAAGGCCCACAACAAAAGCGACAGCAGCCAACTCTGTAAATGAGATCGAGCAAATCAATTAAATATTTTGTTGGCATACTAAATTTATCTACTCTTGCATTGAAACTGACACACATCCACGCACATTATGCCTCATGAGTAGATAAAACTAGGGAGTCTTCGTCAGAATTAAAAGCCAACTGAAGCTTATCAAACTATGAACTATGAACTCAAGGGTCGTAATACATCTGTTATGTTATTTCAATCAGTATATCAAGATTCTTTAAAAGATTAATTGAACATCTGTAGAGTAGGTTTAGGGCCGCATTGGCTTTATTTAAGATGGCCCTGAACCCACCTAAAAAAAAAAGAATTTTGGATGTTCTAAAAACATTAAATAAATTTTGATTTGCTGATTGCAAAAAACCGGTTCCTTGAATTGCAAGCACATAATAATTGTGCTGTCGCAGTGAATATGCTTTGATTATAATATGTTGGGCACTAATTAGGCATTTGTCTCATGCCATCTTATAAGATGGCATGAGACAATAGGCTGTCACTGGTCATCACTCGAGTATTAGCAACAAAAGTGACTTACCTATGTTCGACATGCCTGTCCCATCAGTGATAAACTTACTGTGAAAAGTTGAGGCGAAGACCAGGCAAAGAAATACTGAGTGGGACATAGTTTGATTGATGAACTTGCAGTATGGAAGCTCGAAAAGCCTTCTAAGTTTCCAGTATCTCTCTTGGTCACTTGATTTACAGCAGAGACAGCCTTTCAGTATAAGCCGCAAGGGAAGGTAAATGATAACACCCAAAGATATGATAAAAAGATAGTGAAAGAGAAACCTCAGGGTCTTCACGGCCAGCCCTTTACTCTGCCACATGGGCCACTCATGATAAACGACCTCATCACGAATGAGCTGGCATTTGGGGCTCGTTACGAACTGGAAAGAGAAAAAAACCATGACTCATTAATGCAAATAACTGCACATCACTTAATCACTCAAACTATTTGTACTCTTATAATCCAGGTAATCTCAATATATGAAACACTAGAATTCTACACGATTATAGAGGCATTTTTGCTTACATCAATGTTGACATTTTGCTTATTAAGTATTCGAAGTTGCGAAGAAAAAGGATCACCTCTAGTGAAAATATATTTCAATTAAAAATGATTATTTTAATGAGTCATCTGTCCAATAATCAGTCCCTTATAAGTTACATTGCATGGTAATAAAACTTTCAGGATTGGCAAGATCTCACAGTCCATTTAGTTAAAGTGACCGATGCTCTTTAATTTTTACCATCCCAGCTTCAAACTTAAATTTCAAAATGGTTGAAACCGTACACTGGTCTTTTAACATCTGGAGCAATCATTTCCTATAGAACTCATTTTTTACCAGACACAACGAGCGTGCCCGTTTTTGTGCCATGTTGGCCTCACAGTTTGTGGGAATTCACAACAGATAAACGTTCCACGCAACGAAAACAAAGGCTGCTTTTATTTTGCCCCTAAGCGCAAACAAAGATAATGCAGAGGGATGTGATTGGATATTGCTTCTAAGCTTACAATTCTCACCATTTTGCGCTGTGTATCAGCGGCTATCTTGAGAAGACTCAGACTCTCAGCGAAATTTTCGTGATTTCCGTTCAGTAAGGGGCCATCTCCCTTAATATCCATAATCTTGTAAAGCTTTCCTGAATCAGACGTGCGTATTTGCTCTACGATGTCAATGGCAAATTTCTCGCATTCCATTGCCCTCTGCCTGTACTCATCCCGGTCGTAGTCACTTTCGTTTGCAGCAATTTTTTCCAAAAGGCAAGCATTTTCGAGGGCAGCTTTAATGATATCCACAGTCTCTGTTTCATTCTCAGCCGATGATGTTTTGTGGAGCCATTCGAGACACATGTACAACGGGTTGGTCAGAATGTTGATCCAAGCTTTCTCGTGAACATTTTCGCCTCCCGCTTCCGTCTCTTGGCCCTCATCGTCGCTTTGAAACGTGAGAATCCAGCTCAGTGAGTCCCTTAGGATCGTACAAAGTCCCTCTCCTTCTTTCCTTTTCACCTTTTCCGCAACCCGTAAGGCAGCAAGTTTCTTGATCTCGCTCTCCTCTGCATCAGCTATAAGTCGCCAGACTGCAACGACGTCACTCTTTCGGAGAGCTAGTTCGAGTCTCGTCAATAGATTTTGTTGTGTATCGTCCCCTCTCTGTTCCGCCTCAGTTATCGCCGTTTCATTCCCACTTAACAAGAATTCATCTATCTCTTCGTTGTTGTCTTCTTGTATCTTTTTCAGAAATTCATCGAAATTGCCTCTGGTATCTCGTTCTGAGGATGTAGTCTCCGCCATATTTCTGCCAGCAATCGAGCAACGTAATGCTTTTTTTTAGACTGAGCGCGGCATTTCCTTTCTTTGAAAGGGGTCAACGGATATGTTTCACGTTGTTTACAAGCTACAACGCGCTTATTGGCAGCCGGAAATTGTTCCAAACTGCTTATCTTTCAGTAATTTTAAACGCTCAAACCAAACATTATCCCTAGTGTTAAAAGAACCTTCAATGATTAGCTTGTTATCCAGAGTACCTTGACATTAACAGCAAGGGATAGAGAACCTATTCGCGAAATGAATCCTGAGTTATATTACTTCCTAATTCCCTTAAAAAAAAAAACCTGGCACAGCGTTTTACATCACTTTATTATTCCCAGCTACTCAGTCGCAATGACATAAGGGTCATCCCTATTAAACTCATCAACTTAAAAAATAAAATTAAGAAAATTTACATATGGTAATCGAAAAGCCAAAGAGGTGATTTAGCGAGGCACGGATAGGTAGTGAATTGTCTGCCCATCCAATGTAAAAGGAAAAGCGATGAAGTGTAATCTTTCAGTGGCCTTAGGATATCTATCACATTTAAAACCGAAGTTATCTCAAGTCGCCCAGAAGCTTATCAGATATAAGCAACATAGCCTACATTCAGGAGAGCGTTGCCCTCAAAGCGTTTGATCAATGATGTAAGGATAATCGGTAGGACCCTGTCATGCGGCGTCAATTCACCTTTTGGGCTTTAGATTTCACGTGTAGTATCACGTGACTTTTGATGTAGACAAACCCCGAAAGTTCAGACATTGAGTCGAGCTCGCAGCACATGTGTCCAAAATTCGGCTTTGGAAATTTTTCTTAAATAACTTCCCACTTTCAAGAAGCGTCTCTACGCTAAAAATTGACATCTTTCTTTTATTATTTATTTGATCGTTTATTAAGCAAGTTGTCATTTCGCTGCCGTTGAAGCAGATGCGAAGAATGTTACAGGAAGCGTTGCGGCATGGAATAATTGAACTAGTTCTGCGTACAGTGATGTATCTGATCAGGTATTTTCAGGATATTTAGTGCGTAGATTGTCAGATAAATCCCAGTCAGACAGGAAATTAGTGCCCACGAATCGCTGTAGAACGTGAGGAAGCCTTAATTCCCGCACGTAATTACGTATCTGGGAGTGGATTTCCTTAGCTGATTAATGTACCGATTCTTTTAACCTTAAGTAACGCAAATAGGAAATTCTGCGAAACTCAGAACAACCTTTAAGAAAAGTTAAACTTGAGAATGGCAGATCACAAAAGTAAAGCTGATTTCAACGCAATGAGTGTGGCAGAGCTTAAAAAATATCTACAAGAACGGGGGATTTCAGCGAGCGGATACTTGAAAACCTCGTTAGTGGAAATCACCTCCGCAGTCGAAAAAATGGTTCTGCCAGTGGATCCAAATTTCGAAAAGGCGACCTCCCTGCTTTAGGGGAATTAATAATTCATGATATGCTTATACCCTAAAGACTGTTAACAGTTTTAACGCGTCGCCGCCGTTTGGATTGTACGACATTTTTAATTATATGATTTGCTCTCCTGAACTCATCACTGGCTCCACGCTCAGATCTAAAAGGGCTTGAACTGCTGCGTATTCCTCTGTCGATTTACCAGTTTGACGATCAAGTGTCAGAAGGGTTTTTGCCACTGATAGTTCAAGGCAAACTTTCATGCACCTCTCTTTGTCTGCTTCTCGTTCGCAAGATGCCTTTCGTGTACGAGTCGCGACACCTAAGCATGGTGATATAAAAGAATGACTGAATTAACTTACCCTTTCTTTACTAGCTACAGCAGATATGGGATCAGGGTCTTCTTCTGTTGGACCATTTCCACCGACGAAATGTAGACTACAAACGTAGCTGTCCTTCGTGCACACAAACGAGTCACCTCGATGACATAACCTTCTCCACCTTTGCCTTCTCTCTTTTTGTCTAACTGCCCCCGGAAAATAGAAAAAATTGACTAGGTCGCCGTTAGCGTTTCTTACCCAGGTGTTGAAGTATCGTGAATCGTTTTTCAGGTGCCATAAGCTCATCTCTTTGTCGTAACCATTATGTTTAGGTATACACTTACTAAACAACTGCAATCATACACGTTCAGAGAGTTGAAATCGGTTTTATTTTTGGGAATCAAGGCCTCCCCACGTTCTACAGCGATTCGAGGGCACCAATTTCCTGTCGGACGGGGATTTATCTGACAATCTACGCACTAAACACCCTGAAAATACCTGATCAGATACATCAATGTACGCAGAACTAGTTCGATTATTCCATGCTGCAACGCTTCTTGTAACATTCTTCGCATCTGCCTCAACGGCAGCGAAATGACAACTTGCTTAAAAACGATCAAATAAATGTCAAAAGAACGATGTCAATTTTGAGCGAAGAGACGCTTCTTGAAAGTGGGAAGTTATTTAAGCGAAGTTCGGACACATGTGCTGCGAGCTCGACTCAATGTCCGAACTTTCGGGGTTTGTTTACATCAAAAGTCACGTGATACTACACGTGAAATCTAAAGCCCAAAAGGTGAATTACTTAATAATAACTCGCCTATCAATGCATGAGACAACAAGTCAGCATAAAGTTTGTTTTCAGAGGCAATTGTTCAGGCGTTTTAAGCTGTTCTTGAACACATTCATAAATGAGAAAAAAGTAAAGACAGACACCACTACATTAAGATTCACGTTAGAAAAAGGGGAAAACAAGAAAGAAATCACAAAACTCGTGTTTTGATTTTAGGCAAACGATTTAATGTAAAAATAAGGAAGCTGTTTTGAACCTTCTCAGTTACAGCACCAATTAAGATTTTTAAGTCATTTTTTCTTTACCTTTTATCAGAACTCGTGCTATAGTTTCTCCTCCTGTATTTTTCATGGATATTCTTGTTATTGGAAACCTGAAATCGAATACAACCGAGGAGAGGTTTGTTATTGTTGATTAATTACTTCAGTAAATTGTTAATTTTGTCGTACCACATATGCGTATAAGTGACAACACTTACCTGATGAACTAAGGGCAACAGATCCAGGCTGCAAGAAAAATAGATCATGTATCTTTTATGTATAGATAAACGTCTCAAATTAGCCTCACAATTCACGATTGCGCTCCGCAATCCAAATTGAGTTTGCCAAACCGGCTGCTGTGAAAAGGGCAAAGAGAAAGGGGGAGACAGACACCTTTTCAGCGATTTGGGATCATTTACAATTGAAATATCATAGATGTAGATATTCGAATCATTGTTGGAAGCAGTTCATTGCTAAGTTCAGTATTTAATATAAAACTAAATTGATACTGTTTCTTCTTTACAAGGAAAGCGGGAAAGCTATAGCATCATCTGTTGAGAAATATCTGAAACAGACGATGACCACTCAGCACGGAGGACTTTAAAGGAGTCACTTGTTGATGAAAGAGATGACGAAAATCCAAAGTGGATTGCGTAAATCCATTTACATGAACTGTAAGCCGTTTTGATGATGTGTAAGATTTTTGGGTTTTTTTGCAAGAAAATTTAAGACCAGCGCACAATTTGCGGGCAAAAAACGGGATTTATTTTAGTTAGTTTAACGTAATTTTTAGGGTTATCTAACTACCTCGAATTTTGTGTTAAGAATGGTCGAATTCTTTTTCTGGTCTATGTTTGCTAATGAATATGCCTGTCATAACCGCTTTGGCTGCTGTTTTCCCCATATTCACCCGCATTAAGATCAATTGCTATATTTGTGTTGTCATGCAGCGGTAATGTATGTATTTTCTTTGTATCTTTGGCTTCTGAATAGTAGTAGTTACTCAGCTTGATCAAAGTGACGTTCTCCTGATTTGGTTTCCTTTGTCCCCAGTCCTCCGCCTCTCTAGAGCAGGTTTTCTGTGTTTATCCCTATAGCTTGCTTCCCTCCCCCCCTCCTTCTTTCAGTCCGAACTAACAATGTTCAAGAAGGTCAGTAGCCAGAGAAAGAGTTCAGGTTTATGTGGCAAGATTTGTTTGGGCTTGGTTGATGTTAACGTAGTTTTCATATGTGTTTACATAAAACACACTGATCGAGTAGTCACATAGCTCGCCGATCCGAGACCTCGCTTCTTTTGAAGCAGATGAGTTTTACTTAGTTTCCTTGGGTTTTGGTGTGAAAAATCATCTTTTCTTTTTCTTTGTTATTGTTACTTACTTGTTTCTTAGAGTCTCTTTTCTTTTCTTTTGTCTTCGTTCCTCCTTCCAGTTGTAGGTACCCATACCTCCCCTTCCCTCTTAAAAAATCAATTGAGGACCCTCTGCGCTATGGGGCTCACTTAAATAATTATCTTATCAATTATTTTAATGGAGTCTTAATTGTGTAAGATAAACTTGATTTGACTTGTTTTTAATTTTCAACTTTGTATATTTACCTTTTTACAACTGTGTTTATCCCTATAGCTTACCCATTGTATCATTGTATTCTATATTTTTGACACTCAGTTGTGTATTAAACTATACCCAAAGTGTTCTTGAACATGGGGTGAAATCACTAAAGACTCTCGAATACGTTGTCTCTGTCTCTACTACAATCTTTGAAAGTGA